TAAAGACCTGCGTTGACGCGCGAGAGACCCCATCCTCCGTTAGTACGATAGTCAGCTCATACAGGCCGCGGGCCCGCAGTGCTTTTCCGTCGACAGAGACTAGGTTTAGGTTCGAGTGCTGCCGAAGCGGCTTCAGACCAAGCCGTTGAACGACCTCCAGGTCAACCACGTTCAGGTCAGCACAGGAATCCAGGTTTGCAACGACGGTAGCCCGGCGATTGCCAGGCGTCCGTGCCTCGGCCAGGGTGCGGCAGCGGGGAATCACATCCCCGGTTAGCCACGCCGGTAGGGTCAATAGAGGACGAGGCTCCTCCGTTGACCCTGCTAGTTTTCCTGGTCGGAGAAGGTCGCCTCCTGGTCGTCAAGCTCTTGGAGACTGTCTTCCAGTTCCGCTCGGAGCTCTTCGACCCGTGCGCGGGTTTTGGGCTCAGAGCACTCCCGGGAGGTGTGCCCGTTCTTGCCACAATTCCAGCATTTCAACGCGACGTTGATGTTGTTCGAACTACTAAGGTTAGCAGGTCGGGAAGTGGACTGACCTTGACCGGCGACCGGTTGCGGGATTTGGTTGCTTCCTGTAGAAACGCGGTTCCCTGTCTTATTGTTGTCGCGGCGCTGTTTCTTTGTTGGCCTGCTGGCCAGCACGCCGTCGACCGTAACCGCCCGCTTCTGGTCGTCCTGTCTCTTCTTCCGCTCCTGGCCCTGGGACCAATACTCTTCACAAGCATTGGCGATCTCCATCGCCGTGCCGAAAGACTTGCCGATGGTCTTGTTCTGGTACCACTTTGCCAAGTGGTCGTTAAGCCCTCGCCAGTACCTCCAGGCGATCTCGCCTGCCTGGTTGGAGGTGTTGCCAATCTTCCGTTGCAAGTGATCCTATTTCCGCCTTTACGCCATCAGCGACTCGCCGCCCTGCCAAAGCGTCCAGCTTTCCTCGTAAATACGGTGCATCTAGAATTCAGGGTTTAAGTGTTCCCGACGAATGAACGCGACAAAGTGTGTCTACGTAGGGCGTGTGACTGGGGGCTTGCTGGCGCGAAGGCGGTCGCGGTGCTTTCGCCAATCAGCCGCCAGCTCGGTAGTTAGCCGACTACCTGCCTAGATAATCTTTATGTCTTCCGACGCGTCGCTGCGTGCATTAGTATTATGGGCGTCCTTTATCGTCGCCAACCACTCTTCCGTCTCGGTAGCAGTAGCACCAATTTCTAGCTTCCCAATACCGTATTGCGGTGGCTTGTCGTCACGGTGGCGATTGCCAGGCGGTGGCCCCGTAGCCCTTGCGGCCATGATGTTGGTCAGTGCCTCCAGCGTTTGCATTATGCGAGTGTATTTATCGCTTTGCAGCTGCTTTTTGGCTGGCAAGGTATCGTTGAGCGGTACGTGTACCGGTCTTGTATCTGATTCGACAGACGGGGTTGGGGTGCCTGCAGACGTTGTGCGCCAGGTGCGGCTGCCGTGCATTGGCGTGGGGGGTGGCATTGGCACGTCCTCTGCTTCCGACAGTTCGCGTGCGGATCGCGGAGTGGCCGCCCCATGATCGGACATTGCTCCTCGTGGAAAAGAAGTTGAAGAATGTAAGGGTTGGTGTGCAATGTGTGGTCACGAAGGCTTTAAACGTGTTGGTACTGTTGTATTAAGACTTCAACTTAACGAACTATAGGAGACGGGTAGGCGAAGGCCTGCCAGCTAATTTATACGTGGCTGGAAGATGCAGTGTAGCGCAACCCCAGTGGGGCGTGGCACAGCTAAGTGGCTGTGCTTGTCCCGTGCAACGTGTCAAGATAGTTCGTTAAGTCCGTCGCTTAGTAAGCGACTGGTTGCCGAACCAGTGCGTAGGGACGCGTGTGTGGAATACCCTTACATATACACGCGTTCTTACGCACTAGTTTAGTAACTAGTTGCTTACTAAGCAATAAACTTAATAAACTATCTTAATACGTTGCATAAGACTAGCATAGCTACTTAGCTATGCTATGCTTTACTAGGGTTGCGCTATACTATATCTTCTAGCTATGTATAAATTAGCTAGTAAGCCTTTGCCTACTAGTCTTTTATAGTTCGTTAAGTTAAAGTCTTACTATAATAGTATAAACTAGTTAAGCCTTTATAACTACGCATTATATACTAACCTTTATAGGTACTTAGATTAGCCTCTCTTAGTTAGCGTACATTTACAACCTTCTTAAATGCAAAGGTATAAACAAATCATACTTTATTATAACTTTAATTACTAGTCTAGTAGCTCTTAACAAGCATAAGCTCTTAGCAAACAGCTTTTAATATTAGCATATAAATAGCAAGCTAACCTACGCTAGTATAATAATAAGACTAGACATTTTCTTTACTATATACTAGCACTTAAAGGTAATAAAGTTACCTAGAGAAACGCATACTAAGTTAGCTAAGCAATCGCTTTACTACCTATAAGGCAAAGAGGACTATATAATAGTCTACCGCCGTTAAAAGCCTCCTTTAAAGAGGCACATTTGCGTTAAAGGGTAGGTTAATACGTCCTAGGCTAACAATCTAGTTAATCGTCACTCTACGTATAGCTTTATCTTTAGGATTTAAGGAAGGCTAGTCTCTTAAAGAGCTAAGAAGCTCCTAACCATTAGCACCTCTACCTATAAAGCTAAATACAGCGCCGCCTACTACGCAACAACGCAGGCCTGCTAGATCGAGCAATTTATGCTTAAAATAGGCCTTTAAGCCGACATCCAAATGTTTATAGACAACACCTTCGCGATTAGCATTACAAAGAAGCCTAAATTTAAAGAGCGTTTAAAGCACTTTAACGTTAAGTAGCACTACTTTTGTAAAAGCGTACTAGGCAGCTTGTTAATAGTATAGTACGTGAAGTCTAAGGATTAGATCGCTAATATTATAACGAAGGCGCTGCCTAAGGCAGCGTTCGAAAAGCTGTTGCCTCGCTTAATAGGCTAGCAGCCGTGAAAGGGCTGCCGAGGTTGATTTCAGTGCATCGCGGTGCGCCTGCGTGGCGTATTCAGGGGGAGTGTTAAGCATTGGAATCCGCCACACTGTGGCCCTTCCGCCCCACTTGGCCGTACGGTCCTGTGATTGGTCAAAATGCACAAAAGCGGGGCCTGGCACTAGTATCAATACGGATCCCTAGAAGGGTCGCGATGTATCTATTTCTTCCTTAGTACACAACACTCTTTCGCCCACACTAGACCCTATTCAGCCTCCTGCTCCTCACAGTGCATCACGTTATATGACCGCTACGTATAGCCTCCTTTAACCATGACACAACTCCGTACGAGAATGACTACGTCGTACGGAGCATCTTACTATCTTATCTTACGTCGTGTAGCTCATTACCCAGCGGGTCTGCCGCAGGTCATTCCATATTGGGAAAGCTGATCTACTCGTACTCCGTACTTCTTACACTGTACAAAACAAGTAAGCGGAGGTCGTTGCAGAATGCGTTTGCACCCAAACGGTTAAGCAGATTAATAAGAGGCCTATGCGCAAGGCGATGGCCCCACTGTCATCCACGTCGTACTTCGTGGGGAGGCGGACACTTCGCCTCTGACTGAGCGACGTCCGGTATGTACGGAGTATCTTTAACGATACGTCGTTAAAGCAAGACGGCCGAGACAAAAGATGAGAACTCCGCACAAGGACCCTGAAGAGACCCACTAGAGTGCAGGCTACATAATACGACGTATCGTATATTCTGCTTCATTTTTCTCGTTAAGTTTGATTGCGCCAAATTTGGACCCAGATTGGACCGTTCTCAAAGTACCGTCTAACAAGTACCAGGATTGTTGTGCGAGCAGCATAAATGTAGGATGCAGGATCGACGAGCAGTTGTTCCGACCGTTGGAGCTCGAACCTGCCGCGTACTCGTGGTAGAAGTTGCGAAACTTCCCAAGCAGGCTTACTCGTATTTTCCACAGAGTGGAGTTAGTGCCAAGATTTTTTAAAACAGGAACCATTTGCGACTGGTACTACGACTACGATTACGACTACAGCATATGTAAAACACAACTACGGAGTACGATCATACGACGTAGTTTAGCTCCATGCTCAGTGGAGTGCGATGCCTGCCCTAGCCGAAAAGGGGGGAGGCAGCACAAAACCCTTGCGAATCAGTGCTAATTCGTGGCTCTTCTTTTGATTTTTTTTACCGACATACTATGTACGATGTATGTGTGAGAGCGAGATCGGGAAATAGTCTTGTTTTCTATTCGAGTAATGATCCTGCCAGTACGGAGTAGCTGGCAGGAGACTAGAAATAAGCCCCTCCTCGGATCACTCACGTGATCCGACAGTATGCACGTGTGCTCTATAGTCAAAGTTACAGTACGTATGTCATCGTATAGATTAGCAATCCTACTCCGTACTATTGTGGATTTCCCCGAGGTCACCTGACTTGACCTCGGCCGCCGAAATTACTAGATAAGACGAAGCCCTGATCTGCGCGCAGTCTGGTCTTCAATCAGTCAACCACCGAACGAAATATCATCACTAGATCTTCTGAAGGCCTTAGAGCTTACTACGATACGTGCAACTGGTCCGGACGAATATCCCACAAGGATTACCGTACGGGTCTTACACTGGTGATCACGCAGAACGTGCATGACAGACTAGTGGTGCACGGAGTAGAAGCCACACTATGTACATATTGCCGTGAATAAAACGTATACGCGATCGAAGCTAGATTAACGATCGAACATATATCGTATGTACGGAGTGATATGCTCCATTCTTTGCATCTTTAACGTCAGCTAAGAACACAGAAATATATTCCTCCAGTTTTCTGACGATCCAGTATCATCCTTTGTGATATTTTCTCTGTTTTAGGGTTAAGACGATACAAGAATTCGAGGACAGGAACAAAAGGCCAACAAGAACATACAAGTACATAATAATAAAACGAACATAGCTTTCAGCAAGGCGTAGCGCATCTGGTCCGACCCAGCAAAGCTCGGCGCTCGGCGCTCTACGTTCTCAGGCAAATCCCAATGGGTGAAATATCATCATGGGGCCTCCTGGATAGAGACCTGGGTGACATCTCGCGTGACGTGGATGATATGTCGCGTACTATCGTCATCCTTCTCTGGGGCACCGTCACTGCTACCGTCCCTCTCGGCTCTCACAGTTATGTTCAGCTCGCAGTCGTACGTATCGTTCTGTGTAGCTCGGTTTCTCTTTCTCCGTCCCAACGTCGGAAGGTCGGTTCCGTATGATTGATCACCGGTACTGTGGTCTGCTGAAAGACTCTTGAACAGTTTGCGCAGCGAAGGTAGGGATCCCGCAAGAATTCCAAGGCTAAGCTCAACTACCGTCCAAACGATAACGTCGCCAATCTTGTCTATACATGAAAAATTGCCGCAAATCAGCCTGGTGCAAATTTGAAAGATTCAAAAGGTCGGGGCTGGTCCAGACTTACAAAGCTTATTGTTTTGTGCTGAGTAAGACGCCACATGCGGCATTCGAATGATGGTAGCAACGGAAGCACTAGTCCAAATCAATTAGAACGATATCTATCATCAGCGGGCAACGATTTGGCCAGTTCTAGCCAGTGAAGAAGAAAAACTTACAAAACACCCACGGCTAAGATAGAATAACACAAGAGCTTTAGCTTCCGGCGAAGCTGGAGGTCCCACAAGATAAATGCTGGCAAGATGGCAACGACCCAGTCCACAAAGATGTTGACTGCGGAGAAGACATATGTGGGAATGATGATGATTCTAATCGAGATACATTTCCCGTTCCCGGTCCAGGAGGCTGTAAAGGGAATGCATTGAATAAAGACGATGATGAAAGCCATGACAGTCATGGCTGTGCTGAGGAGCGAAGCTAAGTATAACGGGTAGACGTAGCGGCGCTGTGTGGCGATTCGGATCAGGTTCGCACAAATGCTGATCTTGATGAACGGTGATGCTAAGACGTAAAATAGCTGCCATAGGGTGACCATCTATTCCACTGTCAGCTTTCCGCCATATATCCCGCAACGGGCGAATAAGGCGGCAAACCTTGGCGGCTTCCACCGACTGTGCCGGGTTCAGCTTGTCTTGCTTTGTTCCCAAGCCGGTGTAGCATGCAAACATGACAATGGCATTGTGTGCGGTGTTGAGGACCTATGAGCTCACCCCTGGTTAGAACTGCATAGGTGTTTCTTCGAATTTCAGTCGAACAACATGACAAAGAGCGCTTACTCCTCCGATATACATCAAGTAGTCCTCTATTGCATTCGCCTTTGTGACCGTTCTGATGTACACCCGCAGTGAGAGGATTACCAGTGTGGCGATTGTGAAAAATATCGTGACACCTAAAATGGCTTTGGCGAACCCCTCTGGATGCACTTTGTGCCATCCATCTGACTGGTCCATCGCAGCAGTCTACCAGAAGGCCCAGAAATATTTGCAGTTTTCAGACGGGGCCATCGCCGCGAACGAGATGCGGGTGTTCTTGGCGCTTAAGTGTCCAGCAGCTCGAAGATCTTGGCCTTGAAAAGGTTGTGCCTCGGGGATGCTTGCGTCGTAGCCAGGGGAAACTGTCAAAAATCCAAGAGTTTGGCAAAATCCAGGAGCCGTCGTATGAGATTGTGTACTCCGTATGTAGCAGGGGTTCTTCGGCATTTCCCCGGAACATTTCTTATCTTGCAAGTACAGAGTACTCTGTACTTGTACGTATGTATGTATGTACAGTACATAGTATGTACATGCATGGTATCTTATCTTAGTAGAAAATCTACTGCTCCGTACTACGAGTACATACTCCATATGTAAGATTCTTAGGTACGTCGTACTTTCGCTAGGACTCCATAAATGGCTCTAACCATCGCTAGTTGTGCTTTACTCCGTACGACGTACTCTGTACATAAGCCGCTTCCGTTGGTATCGAACAGGCTCGAAGTACTCCTTAACACCAGATCACTCCCGTCCCGAGACTAGGCCAGTCTCATTAACCGGCCCCACCTGCCAGGGTGACATCCCCCCTTTTTGAAGCAGTTCGTTGACACCGCCGCTGTCGTCTTAGTGCAGCAATTGAGTGGTAGTGGTGCGACATTAGAGCTATAAAATACTCGTGAATGAAGTAGATTACGTCGTATGTAGGAGGCCCGCTTTGATGTGTACCGGTATCGCTAATCTACTTCGTACGAGCACACGAGATAAAAGCGATGCGCCTTGGGACTTGCTGCTCGTACTTGCAGGCATAAGTGCCGGCCGGCTACTATGTACAAAACCCCTCAAGAGTAGAGTATCTCCAATTTTTTTTTTAGAACCCCGGCTGAGAAGTGGCTTACCGCCCTTCAGTATACCGGGGTTCCTTGTCCTCTTTACGTCGTACTCGCATGCACGTTATACGTACTCCGTACATAGTAGAATAAAACCCTGTCTACGGAGTACGGTGTATCGTAGTTGCCAAGCTGACGTCTTCTCCTGACAGCGGGTCTATACATTGTAAATACAACATGCGCAGAGCTAGTATGATACGGACACATACTACGACGTATGTAGCAACAAAGGAACGCGTTGTTGGTTTGGTGATTATAACGTAGGATTGCTACATTTACTATGTATCAGTTTCGATCCCATCGCTAGTACTCCGTACGGAGTATCTTACTCCGTACATACGTGCGATAGTCCACCACCCCTACGACGTATAAAGTACGAGTACAACATCTACTTTGGCCCCCTGTAATCATTTTCTCTCGTACTCGTGTCAATTCCACATTCACCGCTGTTGATTCTTTCCGCTGTTGGTTCCTTCTGCCTTACCTCTTTTTCAAACACTACTTTCATAATATGGCTGTGTGGGAAGTCAACGGCAAGATTGCCATTGTGACCGGCGCTGGTTCTGGTAAGTATCTTGCCTGTCTTCTCTGTTTGCTAGTCAACCTAGTAGCTGACGGTGGGCAGGCATCAACCACCATCTGACAAAGAGGCTCCTTCAGTCGGGATGCTCCGTCGTGATGGCAGATCTGGCTCTGCGGCCGGAAGCCGAAGAGACGCTGAAGGAATACCCTCATCCCCCAGTTGAGGCTGGTGCTGCATCGGCCATCTTTCAGAGAACCGACCTGGTGGACTGGTCGCAGATCAACCTGCTTTGGGAGACTACTCTCAAGACATTTGGACACGTCAACCTGCTCGTCAATGGCGCAGGCCTCTACGAACCTCCATTCAGCGACTTCTGGAACCCCCCAGGCGTCTCGCCCCTAGCCAAGGATCCTACAGATGCCCAGGTTGGCATGTACAAAACCTACGCAGTCAACACGATCGCCCCCGTCAGACTCGCACAGATTGCGATTGAGTACTGGCTCCGCCCCGAGAATCGCGTCCTCGGTGGTAACATTCTCTGGATCGCGAGTATGGCAGGCTACATCCACGGACTCCTGACTCCATTCTACTACTCCAGCAAGGCCGCAGTGGTCAGCATTTGCAAGTCCCTGGGCAGTCTGAACAAAATTGCAGGCATTCGAAACGCCGCCATTTGCCCTGGCGTGGTTGATGTGCGTAATTCCATTTCCCATGCATGCCCATTTCTACTGCAACTTTATAGAGACTGACCAAAGAACTGGCTACCAGACACCCATTTTCCACGCGACATACAGCCGCGAACGCGTGCAGGCTGATGATCTTATGTTGACCGTAGACGAGCTAGTCGACGTCGCCATGAGCGGCATTCAGGACCCCAAGTACGGCGATGGCAACATAATCGAGGTCTTCTGCGGGGGCACAAAGGAGGCCCATGAAGTTGTCGTTCGCGACGTCCCTCTAGAAGCCATCTACAATATGGAAGGCCTAGTCGGGCTGGCTGCGGGAACGCATATCATAACTAAACAGGAAGCGTTTGAGAAGCAGCTCACAGAGAAGGGGCTGGTATTCAACTAGTGCAGTCTGTACATACGGCACAAGTACCCCAAAGTATCCCCTTTACGAGCACGTTCCGGGTCTGTGGGGTGTTAGGGTCCCCAGTTATACTACGGAGCAATGAACGGTTTTTTTTTCGTGCGTGCGTGGCTTCCATTCTTTATGGATGTACGGGGCATCGTACTCCGTATTGCTCGTACGGAGAATGTGTGATTGTCTCTTACGACTTGCACTCGTAAAAGCGACCTTGGGCCGGAACCGAAACCACCCAACTGCACGGGTGGGTCGCTGGGTGGCCTTTGCATCTTCCTTTAGCCGGCTCACCGGCTCCCTGCAACCATGGGAAACGAGTAAGATACACACGACGAACGGAGTGCTCAGTACGGAGGTTACAAGGGTAAGTTACTAGGGTACGAATTTGTACCGCGCACTGTCAAAAAAGTCACTCCCTGGTCAGTACTTGAACCTACCCTAGTTTCTTTCGCCTGTAACCGTCGTACAGAGTACAGGCTCATACCACAACGTATGTACCTCCCAGACAGGGCAATAGCACGGCGAGCATTCATCTTAGCGCAGGGGTTTTAGTACGACGTACTCGGTATGTAAAAATCCCGGCTTGGTGAGAGGGAGGTATCCCAAATGAATGGCGCCAGTGCACATTTTCCAGTGGATGTGACGTATCCACTCAAAACCACCGCATATAGGTTTTCTAGGTGTAAGATAACACAGGAGGCCCTTGACTGCTGGGCTTAACTATCGTACGAAGTCGTACTCCGTACGAGTACATACTACTAATTGATGGACCTGGGAAGCTTTACATCGTACTGAGCAAGGTATCTTACCTCGTGCTGAATACTCCGTAAACCGAACTTGTCCAATTGTCCGGCTGTTTGCTCCACCTGACAACGAATACGAGTTAACAGCACTGGCCCACCAATCTACAAATAGCATCCCGGTCCGCAAAACCGGTTATATACGTAGGATAACATGGTCGTTTTGAGAGGCGACTACGACGTAGGGCTCAAGTCTAGATCGGTATTGTAAATCCACGATTGCAGTGCAACTACGGAGTGCTTCGTACGACGTATGTCGTTCGGTATTTTACAGATCCTTCCGTAGACAGATAATATAATTTAGCCGCCAAATCATATGCCTGGACGTGAGAAACGACCACGTGCAATGGTATTTTTAAGCCACTCCTCTGTACTGTTCTACGTCGTATTCCTTTGCGGTGGGATGTAAGATATCAAATTCCCTGGGGGTTTGAGGTACGCAGATTATAGTTGAACATGAAGGCTTCCTTATTGACATCACATATTCAGGTCTTTAATCAACTAATGGGTGCCGAGGATATGACTCAAGTCAACAGCTATATCTACTTGCATTAGTCAGTGGCTGGAAGATGGCTGGAAGAAAACAGCCGTATCAGAAATGTGCAGTCGCTGACCGCTCATCTGCGGGTGTTGATTGTGGCCGATTATGGTGTCCTCAGTCTAGCCTGATACTATAAACAAGAAGTATCCTCAGAAGTGCTGTATAGACAATCATTCTTCACTTGATAGTGCAGCTGTCTCTACTCCGTAATTGGCTCTTACCTCTCCCGTAGGTAGATTCTCGTCGCTTAAACGTTCTGTACCAAGTAGAAATTTCTACACGTTAATCTATAATGTATGCTCTGTAGGTAGATTACTTGTAGTGAAGCTAACAGGAACGGAATAAGGCTGAACCCCCTTGTCAGCCTAGCCTATCTATGTAAGATACCTTCTAAAATTGCGTTAGACAATCACATATTATTATTAGATGTAAGCATGTAAAATACGGAATTTTGGGCGCTAAATCCAGGACATCTGTAGCAACAATTTCGGTAAGAGCAAGGACTTCACTGGATCCCTTTATAAGCCGCGTTTTACGCTTATGCTTTTACATATTTGATTTGGTCCATGATTCCTTTATACTTGGTGGTTTTGAACGTGTGAGCCAACTTGAAAGTCCTGCATATATGTGCCCCGGCATCCGGGGGCCTTAACATCTTCGACTTGTTAACTAGACGTGCTTGCTACAAGGAGGGAGATCTGATGTTGAGAATTATTAGAGAGCGCAATACGAAAAGGATAGGTAATTACGGCCTTCGAGAAGTTTCTAAAACGTCCTAGACATTACAGGATCAACAACAGGCACAAACCATGTATGTCACAAACAGAATTTTGTTGTACAAGACGAAAACCGGAATTATTCCCTAGTCTATATAGTCTATATCTTTTCGCCTTCGGGGGCCAAGCACCGGCGCTGTGCACCCTGGCACTAGCAGCGCTAGCTACGCCACAGTAGTGTGCGAATAACTTTGACCACAGCCGAGGAAGCCTAAAACGAGTCTCTGCATCTGTAAAACGCAGACCCTGTTCACATTGACGGTAATGCGGGAGATTTAGAAGCAAAATTCGCACACGTAAAGTAGTGTCAAGTATCGGGCATCTGTCCCTAAGATTGCGCTGGGCGGGAGGCAAGAGGCAAGAGACAATAAAGGCAAAAAGGTATGCACTCTTCTTCGTTTTTGAGGCAGCTAAACGCAATAGCTTCGTTGCCGTCAGTCTTAGAAAAAATTAGCGAGGCTCTGCATGCTGGTGGCAACAGTGTTGTAGGCAATGGCCGAGCGTATGGCAGTCCGCGTGTTATCGGCAATATGTATAACTTCAGGGTGTTTCCCCCGGGGCTCCCACTTGACGTTCTTTCGGGCTGATCATTGCTGAACTAGTAGTAATTTTTGTACTGTAGTGGGTAACATAATTGTTTTCTTGGGCGGTCTTGGCTGGCCATATCTGCTAGCGACTGCTTGCAAAGGGCGTCTGAAACCCGTTGACAAATCTAGTGTTCTGGTAACACAGAACGATCACGTGTAGTGGAACGGTACGTGTTCGTCTAGGGGTCGCCTTTGTATTTAGTGACGGTGCCGATCACCTTAACTCTTCGCGGACGCCGGACGCGTCTATGTAAATTTCGGCTACTTTTGTGATTTTTACAGCCTCCTCTTTCCTCTTGGCAACTGTTATGGCACGTCTCTCCTGACTTTAGAAACGGCGCTCAGGGTGATGATAATGTACTTTCGCTTGGCTAACAGCGCTCTCGGCCCGTCGTGCTTGAGGAGCTCTTCAATGACGTCGACGGAGCCCATGTAGACGGCTGTTTCTAGCGCCGGGTCTTCCACAGGCATACTTGTTTATAACATTCGGAGGAGCGTGTCCAGGACATTGGCAACACGTTCGAAATCCATGGACAGCTTGAGAGCGCTGAAAAAGCAGTCTATCGCAGGGTCTTGGCATAAAGCTCATTTTGGCTCAACGGCCGATAGTATTCACAGAGATGTGAAACATATCCAGCGGGTGCACGAGTTCATATTGATGCTGTCCGTATACAGAAGCTCCTCGATACGGCTAACGATGAAATATGGCCCTCGGTACCCGGTCGGCACCATTGGCACCGTTGGCGATTACCGTGCTTGCTATTCTGATTTCTTGAATCAGACTTGCGTGTAGGGTCTTGACCCTCAGACCGAAGCACAAAGTGCCCAGGTGTAACGTGCCTCTACACCAAGGGTAATGGTGTAGAGAATAGCAGAGTAACACCCGGTGACCGAAGCACCTATGGCCAGACCTGGTAGCGACTGTGACCCGCGAGCCAGACCTCCCCAGACCATCCTATTCTTGAAGTAATAGTAATGACCTGAGATTTAGCTCACCTCTCATACAATCATAATTCAGCCCCGTCTCCTCTCCCCATCAGGGAGGGGCGGGGGCTCTGATGCTTGCTATGAGTTGTACCGCCAATTTTTCAGAGATTCGTGCTTTCGACGAGATGGCGGAATATGTGACAAACGCGTCGACTAGCTTAGTAGACTGCTGAACCGCTAGATGGTTGCTACTTGCTATAAAGGCCTTCGGGTATTCGCCCGGATGCTGTGCTACTAATCTGTGATATCTACGTTCTGTCTTAAATATATCGTTTCAGCTCTTGGGTATATAGTTTTAGATTTGTATAAGCTCGCTGCATCAAGTGAGCAACGGTGTGCATATCCGAATCCTTGCCTGGATTGTGCTTCCTGAGCGTAACGAAGTTAGAAAACTCGCAAATATCAGACGCCTCCCGTGTTGATGCTACGCCGATATAGCATAAGACCAGCCGACCCTAAATAAAAACAATCCATTGGCTAGTTGTTGCAGTCTGTACAAAGCGAGCACTTGAAAGATTGTATGTCTTCATCAAAACCCTCCTCAGGATTGGCCAAGTTGTAGTAGCTCCCTATCAACCAAAGACGTTCACTCTCTGTGTCGTTCCCAGGGTCGCATATTCTATTTCTGAAACAGTGATACAGAGTTAGAAACACAAATGTATCGGCTCGTGGCAATACCTTACGGGTATAAGATGCAAATGTTTTCGTGGTCTGCTTTAACAGACGACAGGCCTCCGGCAGTGTAAGGAGGGAAATCAGCCGTGATGTCATCTAAGCTTGTCAATTTTCGGAAATTCGAGTGACTTAATGGCAGAGGTGGAGAGCTTACAGCAAATATCAAAGGCGATAGTCGCTGAAGTGTAGTGAACAAATTTTCCAGTGAAATTAGGCTCTGCCCAGCACTGTATCCCAGGGCCTGCGGTTCTTCGAGCCAGTTGCTCCAGTCCTGTCACCGGTACAGAGGATACTAGTCCAATGTGGGAGAGAGCACAGATGGACGAAGAAAGTGCATGCAGCTTCATGGTAGCGACAGGCTGTTGAAAGACTGCCTAATCAATAGTCGAAACCGAACTTTGCTGCTCTTTCTATGAGCTTTAGATATGTAAAAAATAAGTCCTGACAAGTTCAAGCTTCCATGAAAGACATTCGTGCTTTTATATGGAACGGATACCTGTCTTACTTGTTCGGTGAGAATCATGTGGCTTCTCACTTAACGACATGTTGAGAGAGGATTAGTATAACCGCGCATTAGGGCCGAATAGCCGAAAGCACGACGGCCCAATGAAAGCCCAATAATTTGTGAAAACTAAACAAGTGATACACACAGAAGAAAGGCAAGATCCTAAGGCCACACGACCACATACACACGCATAATTAATGGTTACGTTTTATGGCCCTACCAACCTTTCATCGGGCTTCTCGGTCTGCGATTCGCTGCCATATTTGCGGGGAATACCCGGCGGCTAAACTCAGCGAACGGGAGGAGTTAAAAGAGGTTTACAACGTCACAGGACCCGCAATTCATCATGACCCGTGTGTGCCTGTGTGATCAAGAAGAAGCAATGCAGTTACATGGAACCAACGTCGAATCTGCGGCCACCATTAAGTTTCAGTTTACTTTTCGTCCCGCAAGAACTCTGCCGGGCTAATGAGCTTGCGCCGAAAACATGTGACCGACTTGGACAGCTATAGATCCGTGTCGATGCTAGACTGCCAGACGTACTTGTATCATACGAGTACGAGTACAAGTAAACCCGCTTTTTGTTATGACTGCCTACCAGTCATGCTACATACGGTGTATGTAAGATAATATACCTTGACGTACCTCGAAAGTAATTTGCTCTTTTGGTAATTCGACCAATCACGGATCCGGCTGCTAAGCACACTACTCACAAATTGACCAGGTGCGTTCTCCGCGGATTTCCGTGTGTCCTTTGAAATGCTTACTCCTTTGATTATGCGTCCGTCTTAGATCGTATTACACGAGCTAATCAGACCAGAGTTAGACGTATCTTACCTGAATTATGACGTAAGGATGTTGTATGAAACCGTTCAAATAGAGGCTCATGGAAATCAGGACAGCCGTTATGCCAGTAACGTTTGACTAAACAACGCACCATACAAACCGCAACGCGTTATGTCGATCACCGAGCAGGACTCTGCAACTGCCGAGCACGGCTGGGCGGCCGTGCCACGAGATCCTAGTGTTGTGCTCTTGGGAAAAGAATTCCTTCACGAGCCGAAGCCGCTGCTTGTCCAAGACATGCTATTACCGACGCTCGATCCGCTTGTTGTCAAGACCCAGGCGTATGCCAAAGAGAAGCTGTCCCCCCAGACCTACAACCACTCCATGCGTGTGTACCATTATGGTAGGGTATACGACTGCTTGAGGATCAGAAAAATGGTCATGGAGGTTTCTTGGCTGACCGTCATGATTCTTCCACCAGCCACTGCTATCCTGCTACAGCAATTTCCCGACAAGGCCCAGGACATGTCGCCTTCTACACTCGCCTTGACGGCGCTGCTGCACGATATCGGCACGACACACGACAATCTGCGTACGACACGCTTGTCCTTTGAATTCTTTGGCGGCTTGCTTGCCCTTGACCTCGTCGGCAAGCAGCTGGGCGCACCGCAAGCGCAAGCCGAGGCTGTGGCGGAGGCTATCATCCGCCACCAGGATCTCGGAACGACGGGCAGCATCACCTTCCTGGGCCAGCTGATCCAGCTGGCCACCATCTACGACAACATGGGTGGCAATCCGGCATTAGTGCACGCGCAGACGTTGGAAGACGTGGTTCGGATGTATCCGCGCAACGGCTGGAGTCGGTGCTTTGCTGCGACGATCCGCGAGGAGAACGGGCTGAAGCCATGGGCCCACACGACGGCGCTGGGCGAGGAGGACTTTCCGAATGGCGTGCTGAACAACAATTTGATGGCGCAGTTTGAGTAATTTGATCGCTGTGGCGGGGTTGATTTTAAAGCTGCTGCTGTGATACAGGCGCATGTACGCTAATTCCACCTGGAATTCGCAATCAGCTACGGAGTACAATTGCTCTTGCCGATGAAAGTGGGCCAATTCTGGAAGCTTCGACCCCCTGACAAAAGCTGCCAGTGTTGGCGGGGTCGCGGCAAAATGCCCTGTTGCTGTCTCGTCTGGGAAAGTCTGCCCCACCTAAAACCCGCTACCGCCTGTTTCTCCTTACTTCATCTTATCGAACAGAAGCTCCCAAAACAGCCTTCGTCCCACACTGAGCATTCTTCCAACAACATCGCGAATCTCAACTTGCAACGACAAGCCGTTCTTTTTTTTGGGGGCCTTCTTGTTTATTTTCCCTTATCCCTTCTATACCTCCTATAGCCTACCTCACTCCCTACAAACTAAAGCTCTCTCTTATCATTGCTATCTACACGAGACGCAAACAATTGTGCCGCTCAACGTCGTGGAAGACAGTTCTTGTTGACCTCTTTGTTACCCACCAGCACACGTATCTTACGTCCTGCGACTTAGCCCACTCTATCCTCGGCCTGACCAGGATTTAATGCTTTATCCCTAGCCCTGCCTGGCAGCCATACGCCATGTCTTCCGCCAAAGCACTCTCTCTCAAGGAAGAAGGCAATCGCCACTTCCAGGAGGGTGACTATGCCGGCGCTGATGCACTTTATTCCAAAGCGTAAACACAGCAACGGAGCTTCATGTGTTGGAAATTCGTCGACCACGCTTAACTAACCCCAATTCTCAATCTACAGTATTATTGCTGATCCCACCAATCCGACGCTCTACACCAACCGGTCGATGGCTCGCCTGAAGCTCGATATGTGGGACAGCGTTACTAGCGACTGCAAGGCGTGTCTTGAGATTGCTCCGAACAACATGAAGGGCCATTACTACCTAGCACAGGCCGAGTTGGCCCTCAAGGCATTCGACGACGCCGTCGCACATGCAAAGTGCGCCCACGAGATTTGCATTGAATCCAACGACAAGTCACTGACAGCGGTCACTGCGCTTGTTCTTCGGTGCAAGAAAGAGCGCTGGGAAGATCGCGAGAGGCGACGCTTGCGTGAGGATGCCCAGCTCGAGGCACAGGTCCTATCTCTGATGGAGACGGAGCGTGACCGCGACCTTAAAAACGCCGACAATGACGGCGACCGCAAAGAGATCGCGGAAGAGTGGGAGGAAAAGCTTAGCCATCTTAGCGACACATTCGAAAGGGCCCGCGTTGAGTCCGAGAAGCGGAGGGAAGTACCGGACTGGGTCATAGATGACATTACATTCGGAATCATGGTCGACCCTGTCATCGTGAGTTGGAATGAAATATTACCCACTCTCCAGCTTTCTTCGTTGTTCATAATAACTAACCCTCAGACCAAAACTGGAAAATCATACGAACGCTCGGCCATTCTAGAACACCTAAGACGCTCAAGCACGGATCCACTCACAAGAGAAACGCTTACACCAGCGGATCTGCGGCCCAATATCAACTTGAAACAGGCCTGTGAGGAGTTTCTTGATAAGAACGGGTGGGCGGTAGATTGGTGAGCCGCCGCAGAGCTCGATTCAGATAGCTTTTTTAAACCCCCCGCTTCCCTCTCCGTTATGTTTAAAGTATATACTTTTTCCCTGGGAGCGTTATTAGAACGTTGGGTTCTGGCTTGGTTCTTGGTTTATTACACGATAGCGATTTTTTACAGCGATTTTTTATTTCCAGCGTTCATGAGGCAGTCAGAGACAGTATGGTTAAGCATAAACAAAATCGCGGGTTGCTTTGTTTACTTGCGCTGGACTGCAGGAACCAACCGGTTCATTTCATATTTGGGCGAGAACATCGGAGGGGTTTTCTTTCTTTCTTTACGACCCATTCTTCTGCTTTGTTTTTGCAGCTCATCTGAATTCACGATTATGTTGAGAGCGTATAAGTAAATGACATTTCAGTAAAACGCAAGAGTAAAAAAAACCCCAAACTTACGAATACGTTGCCCCTCTGCTGATTCGTCAGGAACACACGGCACACGCGGCCCTGCTTATGATGTGCTGGACGCAGCATGCTGTTGATCCGTCTCTAGTCTTATATGTAAATGATGTTACAAGCCGTTGAAAACCCAGAGTCCATCTCAAGATGGTTGTCGCGTAAGGGCAAGTCTGCTGCACGTTCCCAAGACCAGAGTCTTTTTTAAATTGCATACGTGATATGCCTTCTCTCCCTATCTATCATATATCATAAATATCCCCCTCACATCCGGTAACAACCAATGCAAAAGGCCGACAATACAGGGATGTATCATACAAAAAAGACGACAGAGAGGATAGAAAAATGCGACTGAAAAAGAAAGTGTGCATTCATGTACAGCCTAAAGAAACGAAGGCATGCCCCTTCCAAGCTTCTCGCAGCAGGAAAGGGGGTCGATCACAAGGAAAAGGCGTCTTCGTCCGAGTCATTCACTCTATTGTTACAAACAAAGGAAGCAGAAATAGAGGCGCACCGCTTCAGGGCGTCATTGTCATTTTGATTGTCGTAGCCAAAGGGAAAGAAAACGAGACGAATCCAAGGACGTCAAGTAACAGGCCGTTCAAAGCTAGAAAACCGGTGCAGTTTCCATTCTTGATCTGTCCGGGGATATGGGTATGTTGGTCATGTCTGATATTAAAATGTAAAAGCGCAAGACGAGAAGCAAAAATAAAAAGGGGCGGCAGAGGGACTGGGAAGCATTCACAGTTCAGACGAAAGCATTGTCACCCCCCCGTGGTGGACTGTATCGTTTGCTACTTGGAGGCGGTGGTCGTGATGTCCGATATGCCGACCGGCTTTGCTGTCGTTCGTGACCGCCGCGGCCCTGCCGGACATCATACACGTTGTAGTCTGTGCTATCGATACTCTCGACGCTGCCGATGCTGTGATGGCTCCGATGGCTGCGATGGCCACTCTCGTGTTTCGCGTACGGGCCACTGCCACTGCCACTGCCACTGCCACTGCCACCATGTCGTGGTGGAGAAGAGCCGGTGATGCCTCGGCCATACCTGGCATGCTGATTGTCTGCATAGAGTTCCTCATCCTCGTCGTAGACTTCCTCTTCCTCAAACGGGGGCAGCTGGGGTGCGACGGCTGCGACACGGGAGTCGTTTTTAACGAGACCGAGGCGCTCTTCCTCCGACGCCCCTTTGACCTGCGGAGCCGAGTAACCCCGTGAGCTGACCGGCCGGTGCAGGTGAGAGACGTCGGCGCTGTGGTCGGCTACGCTGGCGTCAACATGGGATGAATCGCTATGGTGCTGGGTTCTGCGGAAGACGTTCTGGAAGGAGAACTGCCTCTTGGCCGAGTGCGGTGGTGGCTCCGGGGCTAGACTGCCCGCATCGCTCGCCGCATAGTCCATTGCATAGCTTCCAGCACCCAAGTACTCGGTCTTGACTGCGGAATGACCGTACGACCGGCTGCCGCCGTAGTACGTGCCGACGTCTTCGTCGTCGTCCCGGTGGTGTGCTGGAACGGCAATGGATGTCAACTGAAGAGGGTGCATGGGGCTCTGAACCTTGTTCGGTACCGCGTCGTCGGGGCGGAGGTGTTGGGGTATCAGCGTGCTGCGATGCCGGCCCCGGATGGTACCCGCAATGCTGGAGAGGACGCTTGGGGTGTTTGGCCGGTCCAAAGCAAGCAGTTCATCGTCACTGGGGATGTGAGACCAGCCGAGGGGAGGGTGTGGGGTTCTTGGTGGCGGCGTGAAAGTGCCGGACGTCCCAGGAGTGCGCGACCTCAAGCTGTTGCGCGTGGTGCGTCGTCTCCGGATACCATCCCATTCGTATTCTTCCGGAGCACCGTTTTCGCTCACAACTTCCAGATGACCTTGCATGCTTTCCTCGTGCATCCGCTTCAGTTCCGCCATTTCCATCTTCTGGCGGGCTGAGGATATTTGCCGGACCAAGGCGGCAGTGCCGCGGATAGCATCTGCCTTCGGCTCCGTCTCTGACTGCTCCTGTTCAGCTATGGTCTGGATCTGGTCCAGGTCACCGGCAAAGACGGCCGAGTCCGGGATGTCTTTTGCCGATTTGGACAATTGAAGGAGAACGACACCGGAGCAGATGATGAGGAATCCCATCACAACTGTCACAATGGATGTCACCGAGCCCTTGAATCCCCGGAAGAGGACGGCGGAGGTAACGATGGTTGTGGTGGTGAAGTAGACATAGTACGTCGGGGTGACCAAGGCAGCGTTAAACAAGTTTAGAGCTTTCTGCAGCAATGATTAGCAGTCAGGCACAAGCAACCAGTGCCAGACAAAAAGATGTGCTTACATTGAGAAATACGATCTCTGTGACGAGCGTGGTGATCACAAAGACCAGAAGGACATATATGAACCACTGGTTGAACTGGGGTGTGCCGTTGGCCTGCGCGACAATAGCAGCGCCAAGACCCTGTGTTGCCACAACGCTCAGGCCGCCAATCCAGCTGCAGATGGAGATGTACACCAGCATGTTCTTCTTTCCCCAGCGTGGACCGGCCCAGATGGCGGTGGCTACGGAGCCGACGATGATGACGCCGGCGTAACTGAGAAAGCCAGGGGCGATGACGTAGTGCTGCATTTCTTGAATGGTCGACACGGACGACTCCTCTGGGGCGTTCATGACGATGACGACAGAGCCGACGATGCACAAGAAGCAAGCGACCTTGCCAACCATGCTGAGACGTTCCTTGAGGAAGAAGGCCGAGAGGATGGTGGTGATGACAACGGAGAGGGCGCCGAGTGGGGTAACGAGGATAGCATCGGTAAAGGCGTAAGCGGCGAAGTTGCAAATCTCGCCGATGATCATGAGGGTCATGCCGGTCCACCAATAGCCGTTCTTAAGATAGCCGTAGCCCTCGCCGGCGACCTCATTGTACTTCTCGTTGGCCTTGAGGAGGCCGAACTTCTTCAGGACATACGAAGTGCCGATAAAGGCGCCAGAGCCGACGGCCAGGCAGATGCCAATGACCTTGTAGACGGCCGGGCGTTCTGTAGTGCCGGCCGCCGATGTGGTTGACGTTCCGTTGCGAGCATAGATCTCGTGTGCCACGTCGAGAGCCAGGGCCATATGGTCCATGTTGCTGGTAGCCGCGCAGAGGGAGAGGAGATTCGGCGGTCGACTGACTCAGCAAGGACGATCGGGCCGTCGATGCGAGAGCCGGAAGAGGAAACGGAGACGGAGGAGGGGGATGTCGGCGGCGTGCTCAGATGTGTGCATGCGGGAAGGAAGGCCTGTGTCGAAGATACTGGTTTTGGTTCTGGAGACTGTTGCTGAATAAACCGACGCTGTCATGGGGCATCGAAGAGGAAGCTGCGTGCGGGATATACGGAGTAAGGTCGACGGAAGTGGTATTCAAGTCCGGGAATTGCGGACTATTTTGTGTTCCGATGGCTGTGCTATAGAGGGAACGTGCGAGAAAAGAAATGTTCCAGAGCACAGGCGACGCGAGAGGAGGGGCGATGCCTCAAACGCTCCAACGCCAGCTGCGTGCGCCAGGGAAAGGGGCCGTTATGGGCACGTTTGCAGATGCGTAGTGATAATGTTCCCTAGCCAACGATAGGGGCGTGTTGTACTGATCGCAGCGGTGCGACGGTAAAAATAAAATCGATGGGGGGAGATCGCCTCAGGGGCCGGGCGAGAATAGCGATGCAACAAGCGGTTCTGGGATTGTGCGTCAGCTCACCGGCTCGATAGAGGTTGCTAATTGGCGAGAGATGGAGGGCGAGAGGCTGCTACTGGTAGGCCAGACTGCAGGGGCCGCAACTTGAGACACCTGTCGTGTGAGATGTTTGGTGATCGTCGGGAAGATGAGAGCAGATTGGCCGGGTTGACGAGAATGGATGATGGAAACGGGAAAGGGGTTCAAAGGCGTTTCCGGTCCGGATGACAGGCCATAGGAGTTGCAGTAAAGTTTGGCCGAGCAGAAGACAACGAATGCGGCGACATGGAAATCCAAGCCTGGCAGGGAGGTCTGAACCCAACATGCCAGAGGCAGATAGCGCTTTATCGACACGTATTTTGTGGGTTTCTCGTTGTCTGGGGGGAATGGCGAAAAAGCAAGTGAGGCCTTCTGGGGAGCGCCACAGACGCGATTGGCTACATAGTAGCAGCTCCAGGTGGTTGCCATTCGCAACGGGGCGTGTGCACGCTGTTTCGATCCACCACAGGGAGTAGTCGTAGTCCGGTTGGGGGCTGTGCAGCTTGGGCGACTCGTCCGGGCATCCAGGAGTACGTAATGCCCTGCAGATTCTTGCACGCCCAGCACCACGTACGGAGTATAGTGGCCAGACCGGTTCTCTGGCCAGACTGCCGGGCCTACGTCGTAGCAGCTCCTTCTCGTATTGGCATGGTGCATGTGCCCCCGGGACCCACAGAAGGCTTCTCCAGCAAAGGAGTTCGGTAAAAGTAAACGCCCGATGCAGAGTCTGCCATCGCATCCTGGCGGTCGTCTGGAACCGACAAACATATAGCTGTCGACTACATTGTCAAATGATGGCTTATGGGGCATGCCGCGTTTTGCGTGACGCTGAGCTAGAGGATATTCAAGAAATATCTCTCAGCACGACAGAGCATCCGTTCGAGTGACGATAAACTACCAGAAAGGGAAAGAGCGGCAACACATCATACGAATGGGGCCGTCACGGGAAGAGCTAGGGCTGAGTAACCGCTGCAAACGCTACCTAGGCTCTGGGAACAATACAGCCTCAAGATGAACCACAGATCCGCGCGCTGTTATGCAACAAGGCCTCCCAAGACTTTAAGCACACGCACTCCACCGCAAGAAGCAGATCTGACCGACCAACTTCACGTGATGGATCGAAATCGGGCCCGAAACTTTCGAGTACCCCCATGCTGAACATAAATTATATCTTCTGTTATTTTCATTCATTTCGTAGCTGCAGTCTGCCGAGCGTGCGTTCCTCCTCTTCTGCGATTCTACTGTGGTATTGCGCCTTCCTAACAAGCTGGCATTCCTTAAAACGCACTCAGCAGCACCGTCGCCGATCCGGTCAATGCAACGGCCAGCAGAGCCGTGGTCCGGCTGAAGAGGGCGGCAGGTGCCGCGGCGCTCTTAGCGCTGCTTGTGGGCGTCACCATGGTGCCGCTGGCAGTGGAAGTGGCGGTGGAGGAAGACTTGAGTAGGACATAAATTTCGCCAGTGGCATCGGACGACATGAACAGACGGCCAGAGGCATCCCATGCGAGGCCCACGGGACGGAAGCAGGCTCCAGGACACTGGGTGAGATCTGGGTTGGACAGGATGGTGGTCAGAGCAGTCGTGCTGGTGTCGTCGTCGACGGGCGATCCGGTGGTGCTGTTGAATTCGAGACTAGACAGATGGTAGCCGACCTTGGCCGTCTTGTCGGCTATTGAGGGTCAGCTTGGAACCAGGGACATGGGGAGAGAGTGGAACAGGGCTGTCTTACTGCTTCCATGGAAGGTGACGTAGGCGGTTGCACCGTCGGATGTGAAAATAATGTCCAGAGGAGCCATGTGAGCCGGGAAGGTAAGGCGCGGCGACACGGTGGTGTCGGCGCAGGTGGTGTCGTTGTAGGTGCTGTTGACGATCATGCTGACCTGGCTGCCGACAACGAGGCCAGCATTGTCGGGGATGGATGTGTTCCAGACGGCAAAGCAGTTGGGGTAGCCGTAGTTGCTGCCCTGTTTGGAGGACGACAAATCCGACAGGGTGCCGAGGTAGTTGAGCTCCTCGCCCGGGTTGTTCTCGTGGATGTCGGTGCCCTCGCGGGTGGCATCGTCAATGCTGTTCTCGACAGCGAAGATGCCGCCGGTGACGGGGTGCTCGGCCATGCCGACCGAGTTGCGCAAGCCCCAGCCGACGCGCAGGCCGGCGGTGTCAAAGTCGTAAGCAGAGACGTCCGAGGACGACGCCGTGAGCGAGCTCAGGTCAAAGGCACGAATCTGCGACAGGCCGGACTTGACATTCAGCGCGTCCTCGTCGTAGTCCTCGGAGCTGCCGCGCGACACCAGCAGCGTACCATCCTTGGCGGTCGACATGAGCAGCGTGCGCGTGGTCAGGTCGTTGTTGCTCATGCCGGAGACAACGGTCTGGGAGCTGCCGCTGACGCTGCCGGTCTTAGCATCGTAGACGTAGGCATTGACGGCCGCGACGGACGAGGCCAGCAGGACGGTTTCGTTGGCCGTCAACACGAGGCCGTGGTTCAGCTGGAGAGGTCAGTATATGAGGGGACGGGACAGATGGAAAGGGAGGAGAGGTGGCATACACTGGTGTCGTTTACAACGGTCGTGTACGAGGCCACCTCCAGACAGGTCTTGCCCTTGTCAGTGAAGACGATGCGCGAAACGCCCTTTCCGCTCTCAACGACCAGCAGGCTGCCGGAACTATCAAACTGGATGCTGCGCGGCTTGTGCAGGCCATTGGCGACGATCTGTGCGGTCCAGCCGCTGGCTACAACCGGCGTGTTGTAGGACGGGGTAAGGACCGTGGAGCAGCTCGCGGCAGAGGTGATTGCGGCATGCAAGCCCAGACCGACAATGGCCAAGGCGGCGGCGACATTATGCTGGGAAGCCTTCATCGTGGCGTACACTGAGGAATGAGGCAGGAGAGGAGGCTGTCGGCGATGGCAGAAAGCTGGTGAGCTTCTAGACTGACAGGAAGGACAGGGCAGAATTGAGACAAAAAGGGACCGAGTCACTCTAAGTGTAAGAAAGGCACAGGTGTGCACACCGGTGTGAGAAGTGGATATTCACAGCAGCGGTCGGACGATTGCAGGAAGGACGCCGGCCATAGCTGCCCCAGATCCAATATCAATATCCAACAGCCAACAGCCAATATTTGACATGTGCCGAGAAATCGGCCAGCTGCGTCTGACCAATGTACCAATGCACTTTCGGGTAGGCTGTTGGACCTGAACGACAAGTAGAAAAACTCCTCCCCACCCATCGCCCCAAGAGGATAAAATACGAGTTAAATCCTGCGCTTCCGGCAAGACGCATTACGATGTCTTTCTTGGACCTCTTTCTCTTCCTGAGCAGTTGCAGCACAACTGCAGCGCGATTGCAGAAGGGTTGCAGAAACGACGCAGAGGAACAGCACAGCGACATTGGTAAGCCACCACAAGAGCTGCGAGCGACAGCTCAATTGAGCCATGTCCGGTCGCGCCTCTAGCCAGCAGAGTAGCGCTGGCAATAAGCAAAGCGACGCCGCTAGCTGAGGGGTGGGCGCCGGAGGGTCGGATGCTGTGGAAAAACACTAAAAGCCAATGAAAGAGGCTGCGGGAACACAATGGGCAGGCGGCATGCTTGACGAAAGTACTCGTGCGTATACGAGAGAGCGGGAAAAGCTGGCTCGCGTGGAAAGAGAAAATCTGGCCGCTGTACTCCGTACTGTCCTCACAAAAGCACAAGGCCAAGGGAGAAAAAACTTTGCGCTGGTGCGGGGTACTTGCTTAGAACCAAAGTCAGCTCACAGCTCGAGAGCGAACTAGACCATGCCTGTCTATATGTGACTTCTTATTGGTCGCCCGCAATCGTCAAAATGAAGCCATCATTGCCTGCCGCAGTAGACTAATAATAACGTTGTCGTCGGTGGTTAAGGCATGCGGCTCGTTTGCATTTTTCCGCCCGGCAACTTTCCGCCTATCTGTTCCGATCCGTTTCTCTGGTCTCTCTGCTCCCTCGACTGTCCGGTTCGCTCTCTGCTTCACTGCGCCTCTTTTCTTCCGTGATTTTTTTTTCTCTCCCGTCTCTGCATCCCCGGCTCAACATGCTACCCATGGCCACCCTGGCAGCCGTTTTGGCCTTGCCGGCTCTCGCGGCCGCCGCCGTCCTCCACCCTCGTGTCGACTCTGCGCCGAGTCCCTGGGTCACCGTCGATGCCTCGGGCAGTGCGGTCACCATCACGCCTACCGTCTCCAAGGGCTCGACCATCTCGGCGCCGCCCAGTCAGCTGACCCACTCTGCCACCTACGTCTTGGTCGTCTCAAGCTCCACCACCACCAAGACCGCAGCTCCGGCCGTGGCCACCGCGGCCACCTCCAGCGGCGCCGGCGCCTTTCTCACGTGCAGCAACTACCAGGGATACTTCAAGCCCTTCTGTCAGCCGGGAGACGGCAGCGAGCTGGCCCCAGGCAGTTCGTACTATGGTGAGTCTGTTCCTGTGAGGAGTCTTCTGTCTCGTGTCACAACTATTGATCAGCCCAGTCACCTGGGACACGACCTTCTTCTATACCGGCGCCACTGTCGAGATCGGTGTTCAGTACAACACTACTGGCAGCGTCTCTGACTTCGCCTCAAAGACTATCGACGCCAGCCAGGGCTTCTACGTCTGGACCATCGAGTCCTCCTTCCTGACCACCCTCGGCGCCTCTTCCGTTGATGCCACAATCTACGCTTCCTACACGGACACGTCCAACAATGCAGAGCGAGCCACCGGGCCAGCCGTGGTCATAACCTCGGCCAAGCATTCATTGTCATCCGGCCACCATGTGTCTGCGCTGGCGGTGGCTCTGCCCGTCGTGCTGGGCCTTGCCGCCATCGTGCTTCTGTGCTTCTGCGCATGGTCCTGGAGGCGCTATGGCCGGGTGCTCCCTTGCTGCGGCGGTGGCGGCCGCCGGGATGCTGCCGGCAACCAGAATACACGGACAACATCCTTCCTGCAGCAGCAGCCTCGGATGGGCGTGTCGACAGTAGTATCACATGATGCTGTCGGGGGCTCTGGGAAGGCAGAGCCCGCAGCAGCCACAGACATCCAGCTGACAGACCGTGACAGCTGGTCACCGACGCATGGCACCACAAATGTCTTCCGAGCGGAGTTGAGACGGCAAGAGGCGGAGAGCAAGCAGGGATAAACAATCATTTGATGTGGAAGGACAGCTGGGTGCTGGACAAGACCGGAGTATTTTCATGCTAGGCCTACTTTTGAGTAATGCGTCAGGTAGTGCCGACTGTGGGAGCAACTATAACGAGCTTGAGACGGTCTGGACCTCCTTTGAGAGCGATTTACGTACGAGAAACCCAGTCTGTGGTGCCGGACCTCCGCCCCTATCGGAATCTTGAAAACATGCATTGTAGGACTTGGCTAGCGGCAGGCCAGCCAACATGTGATTCGGTCTTGCCTTCGGGCAGCTGTGTCTCCGTGTCGGCAAGTCGTGCTACAACCTGGGGAACAGCGAGCGTTCTTGTGCCGCTTCTTCAAACGCGGGGCTACTGCAGAAGGTGTTCCGATTTTGTGGCCAGGGCTGCATGAAGCAACCATCCGAACGGCCCATAGAAAAAGAGAGGAGATACCGCCACATCTTCTTGGCCACTCAGGCTGAAGTACTTAGCAAGGCATCTTCACACGCAACATGCAGGTGTGGGCCGAACTCTTGATGATACATAGAACACCATAAATGCAAGCACTAATGGCGGCCTGGCTAGTGGACTAGTGGGGGGAAATAACGCTAATGGCATCCCCACAGCGGAAGAGTGCGGGGCAAGAAGCCTGAAAGAATCTGTCGGCGAAGAGGGTTTGCTGTCAGTTGGCATTGTGTGGCCGAGCCATCAGTCACCTCCCTCTTCCAACACTACTCGTGGTAGACCTTGTTGATCAGCGTGCCGATCTTCTCAATCTCGACGCGGATGTCGTCTTCGTGTTTTAGCGAGAGCTTGGGCGTGCGCATAGCTCCGATGCCGGGGCCGGTGCCCGTCATGATGATTGTGCCACGCTCCAGCGTCGTGCCCTGTGACAGGAACGCGATTGTCGTTGGGATATCGAAGATCATCTCGCTGTGCATGTCAGCGGCAGGAGGGATGACGTCAAGGCCGCGGGAACGGCCTCACCTCGTGTTGGAGTTCTGGACGACCTCACCGTTGAGAATTGCCTTGATCTTGAGCCTGTGAGGATCGACGATGGCAGATGCCGCTACCAAGACCGGCCCAATGGGAGCCGACGCGTCGAGACCTGTGCCGTCAGTGCTGCTCTGCCGTGTTCTTCTCTGCCTCGCCCGCCCTCACCCTTGGAAAAGCACCACTGGCTGTTCTTGAGCTACTGGGCCCGTGCGCTGACGTCGTTGCTCGCCGTATAGCCCAGCATGTAGTCCAGTGCCTGCTCTTTGGGAATGTCGCGGCCTGTCTTGCCGATGACCAGCGACAGCTCTGCCTCGTAGTCGCTTGTGCCGTCCTGCGCGATCTTGGGCACGACGATTCGCGCGGGGACGGGCCTGCCTGCGCCGTCCGCGGCTTGATGAAGTGTCTGGAATCGGCATGCCGGCCTCCTTGGCGTGGTCGCGGTAGTTGAGTCCCATGCAGCGGATAAGGGGCACCTGATCTTGGCGCAGTAGCGCGAGCAGTTGTTCAAAAGTGCCCGAGTCAGCCAGGGTGTCAAAAAGACGACCGCTAACAGCCCAAAGCTCACCGTTGAGATGGTCAGTGTCCTGTTTGTTACTACCCCGTCAAACACGTCGCCTTCGACGACTTGCACCGTCACCGTCTCGCCCTTCTCGAGCGCTAGGCCTAGGTCGGGCACCTTGGCAGCATCGATCTGGCCTAGGTGGACCTGACCGTCCTCCTTGGCCAAAAAACGGACGAGATGTGTCCAGCTGTAGGGCATGCGGGCCACTGGGTCGGTGCTTAATTACTGGTATGTGCTCAGACTATCGTAGTAGGCGAGGTTGCGCGTAAGTTATAAGGATTGGAGGGGGCTAGCGGCGGACTCGTTTCGGGGAACATCGATCACTCGGGTTCAATTTAGTCATGCATCATATCGGACGCCATGCAAAGGATGCAGGCCAACGGAGAGGTGAGACACCCTCGACGCGAATTAAGCTTCAGCAAACATGACAAGCTGAAAACAAGGCTGCGATGCGAGGTCAGGCTCGGCTGGATGAGAACAAGAGCCCAAGATTGTAAGGCTGGATCAGGGACTTATGATATTTGGCAGAGTTCTATTTCCACGATAGGGTCCTTATTTAATCCCAAGGGGAAAAAAACGTACAGCAGCGGGTATTCGCTGGTCGTCACCGACCCAACTACTAATCCGCCGATTACTGGTTTAACTAGGGGAGAGCGGACGGGATCCCGTGCTTTCCAGTATCTATGGCCGTACGTGAAAGAAGTCAGGCGCATGTCGATCTATAAGTCCTTTCGCTGAGCATCCGGTAATATCAAGAACCGAACGCCAAGGGCGAAAATAAAGGACTGCCGAATTTCCATCCCGTCTAACCCACGATCGGCAGCCCCAGCGTTGATGGTGACCTAACCAGGCCTGTGATATGCTGCCAAGACTGCCTGATTCCCATTGTCCATCTTTGTTATTCTTTTGTCAGCTGTTGACCCGTATGGGTAAGCAGATTCCCAAACTGGCCAAGACGGCAACTGACCAGTCGTACTGTAACGACATGCATGCACGACGTGCATATGTGGATACGTGAAGAAGGAGAGCAGGAGGGCCTGATTACAATTGCTTTGTCAAACTGCGCCGTGTATGCCAAGAAATGTGGACGATTTTACGATCAGTCTACGTCGAGTTAGAAGTTGCGCTATTGATGCGAACGAGGCCGACTTGGTGGAAGATCTGGGCGGCTCTAGCCGTACGGCCCTGGGGAAACGACGGGCCATCCTGGGAGGGACGCTGTTATCTGCTCGTACGATTGCATGCCGATCGGAGCGGCAGGAAGCAAAGCCGGGTGGAGAGATGTTGATTTCAGAATGATGCAGACGAAGCACAGGACAAGATCCACTCGAGATGGATCAACCGTGGGCCAGCCAGGATAAGCTGGTTTAGACGTCTATTGTCCACCACTGATTGCGTTCATGGCAAAGCATAAGAAGAGATCCCTCTTTTCATTCTGTCGGAAAAAGTGCCATTCAAACCATTCATATCTTGCATCTAAAACGAATCGACTGAAGATGTCTCCTCCTGGCCTCAGTAGCCTCAATGGGGACGGCATGTCCGCGGCTTCAGCATCCGCATCCGCAGCAAGTAGCAGCGGTCGTCGGGCCACATCGAAGGATTTTGTGCCATCGGTTGTTAGCGATGAAGTGCTCGAGACGGAATTCCTCATTATCGGCGCTGGTCCCGCAGGATCGTCCCTGGCTTGCTTCCTGGCATCATACGGGCTGAAAGGGATCGTGATCAGCGCGGCACCGGGCACGGCCAACACGCCGCGCGCTCATATCACCAACATGGCCGCTCAGGGTGGGTTATGGATGGCATATAGGAGACAATCGGAGTCCAGACGCCTGGCTGACAGCAGGGGAAACTGCAGAGTGTCTACGGGACATCGGTCTCGACCAGGAGACAACAAAGGCGGCGTCAAAGGGAGCATGCATGGAGCACAGTCGGTGGTGCCACAGCATGGCTGGCGAGGAGTATGCGCGTATATACTCTTGGGGCAACGATCCGCAGAGAAAGGTCAGTAGGTGAGCAGGAGGGTAGGCAGTCTGGGCTCGGGCTCGACCACGGCGACGACCGACTGACAGGCCACACGCACAGGGCGACTATGAGACGGCGAGCCCGTGCGAGCCGGTGGACTTGCCGCAGACGTTGCTGGAGCCGATACTGGTGAGGCGTGCAACCAGCAGCGGATTTTGCGTGCGCTTCGACACGGTCTTGGCGTCGTTTGAGTACGACGAGGCCGCCCAGCGCTACACGGCCACGGTGCACGACCGCGTGACGCGCCTGGCATATCGGATCCGCACACAGTATCTCTTTGGGGCCGACGGTGCGCAGAGTCAGGTGGTGCGCCAGCTGCAGCTGCCGCTTCTCCGGAAGCCAGGCCAAGGCCTCGCGGTCAACGTGCTCGTGCGAGCTGACCTGGCCCATCTCGTCGGTCCTCGTCGCGGAAACCTCCACTGGATCATGCAGCCGGACCGCGAGAGCCCAGACTTTGGCTGGACCTGCCTCACCCGTATGGTCAAGCCGTGGCACGAGTGGCTGTTCATCCTGATGCCGAGCCCCGGGGCCGATCTCGCGGCCGAGCAGCCCAGCCACGAACAGTGTCGCCAGCGGGTGCAAGATTTCATCGGCGATGACACACCCGTTGAAGTCCTTGACGTTTCGCGCTGGCACATTAACGAAATCGTGGCCGAATCGTACTCGGTCGGGGATGTGTATGCTTTTTTCGTTCCTCTTTCATTCGGCACGCCTTTGCGTCTTGTCGTAACTGCTTACTAATCCATCCATTACTCATCAGCTTCTGTCTCGGCGACGCCGTCCACCGTCACCCGCCCATGAACGGCCTCGGCTCCAACACGTGCATCCAGGACGCTTTCAACCTGGCCTGGAAGATATCATACGTGCAGCGCGGCTGGGCCGCCCCGGCGCTGTTGGCCTCGTACAGCGTTGAGCGCCAGCCCGTCGGCGCGGCCATCATCGCGCGCGCTAATCAAGGCCTACGCGACCACCAGCCCGTTTGGGAGGCCCTGGGCATGTTTCCGCCAGACATCGAGGCCCGCCGTGCCGTTCTGGACGAGCTGCGGGCCCCTACTGCCGCCGGCCGGGAGCGTCGCAAGGTCTTCCAGGCGGCCATTGAACAGACCGCCCACGAGTTTCACGGCCTCGGCATCGAGATGGGCCAGCGGTACGAAAACAGCACGGCCGTGTACACGGCCGACGAGCCGGCTCCGTATGCACTGCCGCCAGGAAGCAAGGTCGCCGAGGACCCCGTCCTTTACTATGCCCCCAGCACGTATCCCGGTGTGCGGCTGCCGCATGTCTGGCTCAACCGCGCGACTCCTGAGAAGGCCACCTCGACCATCGACCTCGCTGGCCACGGCCGCTTCGTGCTCTTCACTGGTATTGGCGGCCGTGACGCTTGGCGCACTGCTGCCGCCGCCGTCACCGCCCAGCTCGGCCCGCCTCTCGACGTCCACGCCATCGGCTTCCGCCAGGAGTGGGAGGACGTATATTTTGACTGGGAGCGTCTGCGCGGCGTCGAAGAGTCAGGCGCCGTGCTCGTGCGGCCAGACCGCTTCGTGGCCTGGCGCTGTCCAGAGGTGCTTGACAGCCCCGATGCCTGTGCACTGAAGCTGCTCCAGGTCATGCGGGCCGTGCTCGGGTTTGGCAATGCAGACAGCTGAGTGCGAGACAGGAGGCGTATATTGGTGGCGTGGTAAGCAGGAAGAATGGCCTTTCCGCTTGTAAATAGTCAGCGGTTGTAGACAGCTCGGCTTATAACAATTCCTTCCTTTCTGAGTACAAGTTCTGTAGATTGTCACTTAGGCAGCCGCCCTACTCGCGGTACAGCTTTTGTGACTCGATCCATGAAAGTACTGACGGGCTGACATATGATGCCAGCTGTCCCCAGTCACACGCCTTTGCTGCCGCCCGTGCCATCGTGCTGCTGACAACCTCCTTTCCACGATACCGATTCGAGATCAGGTCGACACGGCCCACCCAGTCCTCGGCGCCACCCAGCCCGGCCAGGGTCTGCAGCCAGTCCCATTGCTTGGCCTCGCTGCCCCACTGGTCATCCGGACGAGTCGTCACGTGCAGTCGCGATCGACGGAGAAACGGCGTCAGTGCGGCTTGCATTGGTGTCAAAGAGGGGTCATTGTCGTCGCCAGTTGTTCTGGAGGCCGTGTAGTATTTGGCATCAAAGATGCGGATGAGCGTGTCGAAGCCGACAAGAAAAACTTCTTCAGGTTTGGCTGTCTCTCCACCGATGGCGTAAAAGTCTGACGCCGCAATGGCACTGCTCTTGTCGGGAAAATAGGGCTCTGACGTGAGGCCAATGTCGATGGACGGCATTGGCATGAGATTGCCGGCTTCCCCCGCCATTCCTCTGCGGTGCATGTCCTTGGCTGCGGCCAGCATCATTGCCAGCCGCTGCTCAAAGGCCACTGGCTTGGGTGCCTTATCAGCGTTGTTGACTGACAGCAGCAGCAGCAGTCGGCATGAGCTCTGTGGCTGCTGCTGCTTCTGTATATCTTGTACTGCAGCTGCTGCCATCTGCATGTGGGCCACTGTTGGCGGATTAAAGGACGAGTCTAAAACGACAAGACGCTGTACTGACGCGCGAGGCTGCAGTGGCTGCAGCAGCTGCGACGACTGTCGCCCGTCTGCAGCTGTGCAGACTACCTGGAAGTGGGCGGCCGACTTTGCAAATGCCCCAAGCGCAGCGCGGAAGAAGGAAAGCTCTTGTGCAGCCATGGCCCGGTCGTCTTCCGTGGCTGTCTCTGTCATGGCTGGGAGGTCTTGAGCTGCTCGAGAGCCGTGCTGTGGACGAGTGATTAAAAGCGCGTGATCATTCTGTTCTGCGGGTGCATGCATCCCCTGCTTTAGTAACCCCGCTGCCTAAACTTTCGGGTCTTTCCGTTTACGCCACAATTGTCCCCTGACGGATGGCAGCAACTATCTTACAAAACTTGTGAAAGATACCGTCGTAAACAATGCTTTCGTGAAATCGACTTGCCTGTTGATGCTGTGATTAACTCTTACCTGCCGTCCGGCTCCCAACCAATACAAAATCCCTCTCCCTTGACAAAACACCGCTGCCTGCTGCTGCCTACCGGATTTCTGAGTCCCTTAGGAAGTTTGAGATGCTACCCGACCGTTCCGGGATGCCAGGAAGCCGGTCGGGAGACTGGGCCATGAGCCGCTCGAAGAGATAGTCGTCCCCGGCCATCGCGTCGTCCTTGACTGCCCGCAACGCCCGCGCCTTCACCAGGGCAAGCTCATCTAGCGCCATGTCTGCCGGCGGCGCGTTCTCGTCGAGCGCGTAGATCTTGATGCCCCGGATATGCGTGTCCTTGCCGTTCTGGTGATTTTCCTTAACCTTCACCTGCACGATCCAACAGCAGAGCGATTGACCGTCGTTGCCGCCTCCGGCCCCGCTGAGGTCGACTTCCTGCCATCCCACCGGGCTGGTCATCGACAGCGTCGCAAACTCGATCAGATCGTGGTGGCCTGTTCCCGCCGATAGCATCACCACCGTCGGCGTGTACGACTCGTCCTGGTTGTAATCTACGTAGAATCGAATCGCCCGAATCTCCACCCGTCGCAGGAAATGTATCGTCAGCAGGTGTGGCTGCGGGCCGTCCGATCTGCCAACGTGTCAATCACAGCTTTACCCTCTCTGTCGATCTGCTGCGCAGAAACTTACTGCCAGTACTTGTTCAGGTCGTCGATGAGGAGCTCATCCACGCCGTTCCCCGGCTTGTGGCTGCTCACGCTGAAATGCGCCAGGTTGTTGATCTCCTTCAGGCCCAAGAGCATTGGGTCGAACGAGATCATCGGCTCGTCATTAGGCATGTCCTGCTGCGACCCAAACTCAAAGTCGCCGTCTTGCTCGTCCAGCAGGTCCTCGTCCGCTATCTCTCCGTAGTGCCCCGTCAGGCCGTCGCTGTCGGTCGCGTCGCCGTTGTCCACACCGCTGAGGCTCGTCTCGTCCACACCGCTGTCATCGTCTTCCGGCTCGTCCTGCGCCCATACCTCTTCCCGCATGTGACGTTGGAATACGGCGTTGCCACGGGGGCGAGAGCCCGTGTCTTCGCCTGGAGCTGCTGTCTCCATGTCTGCACGGCCAAATCTGATTCTCCGACCTTAAGGGCAGTCAGCCGGAGGTCTTGAGCAACCTCAATTATATGTACGTTCCAGCATTATGTGGGATGCTCTAATAAAAAGGGCCCTACCTAGAATATCGTCCTCATCCTCGTCGTCAGACGCTTCTATCGCAGGTATTCGGTGGTCAAGCTGGTCACGATTGTACTCCAAGGCATAGCTGTCATCTCGCCTAGACAGTCTTCTCAGCCCTCGGAGACGATTGTTGGGCTCCATAACGCCGTTCGCTGGTTGGCCCGTCTGCAGTGCACTCCAAGATGCTGCAGCTTGTTCCTCGACACTGAGGGGTAGCGGCACACGTGATCTCGACGCATTTTCGCGTTTAATTTTAGGCAGCCACAGCGCGTCGCGACTCGCCTAGACTGCTGAAAGCGCCGGTTTGATGAGAGCTACTAGCTCACCTCGCCAATCGTCACCGAAACCTCGAAAGCATTGCATCCGGTCGGCAGAAATGCCGGGAAACTCTGGTAATCAACCACCAAGTACTTTTAGAACAATGGGCTTGCTACTAACAGCTGTTGCCAGACCCAAATACTATCCGCATCCTCGTCTCGACAGACAACCATGTCGGGTTCGAGGAGAGGGATCCCATCCGAAAGGATGACAGCTGGAAGACTTTTGACGAAATCATGAACCTCGCTAGGACTGAGGACGTACGTTCCCCCACCACCTGTGTCGCTCGGTGCAATCTGACAAGTCCTAGGTGGATATGGTTCTGCTAGGCGGTGATCTCTTCCACGACAACAAGCCCTCCCGGAAGTCCATGTACCAGGTCATGCGAAGCCTTCGACAGAATTGCCTGGGCATGAAGCCGTGCGAGCTCGAATTTCTCAGCGACGCTGCCGAGATTTTCGAAGGCGCCTTTGGCCACGTGAACTACGAAGATCCCGACATCAATATAGCTATACCTGTGTTCTCTATCCATGGGAACCATGACGACCCCAGCGGCGACGGTCATTACTGCTCCCTGGATCTTCTCCAGGTTGCCGGTCTCGTCAACTACTTTGGGCGGGTCCCGGAAGCAGACAATATCAAAGTCAAGCCATTGCTGCTCCAGAAGGGTGGGACGAAGCTGGCTCTCTTTGGCATGGGCAACGTTCGGGACGAGCGCATGTTTCGTACCTTTCGGGATCACAAAGTGTCCTTCTACCGCCCCAATCAGCAGGCCGACAATTTCTTCAACCTTATGGTCGTCCACCAAAACCACCATGCCCACACGGCCACCAGCTACCTTCCGGAAAACTTCCTCCCGGATTGGCTTGATCTTGTGATGTGGGGCCACGAGCACGAATGTCTCATAGATCCCACGAAGAACCCTGAAACGGGATTCCATGTCATGCAGCCTGGCTCGTCTGTTGCTACGTCGCTAATTCCTGGAGAAGCAGTGACAAAGCACGTTGCCATTCTGACAATAACTGGGAAAGAGTTTGCTGTACAAAAGATACCACTAAAGACAGTGCGTCCCTTTGTAACTCGCGAACTCATCTTGGCCAACGAGAAAAAGTTCAAGGATCTGGCAAAAAAGAAAGATAATCGTGCAGAATTGACAAGGCGCTTGATGGCTGTTGTTGAGGAGATGATCGAGGAAGCAAATGCCGAGTATTTCGCTCTTCACGATAGGGATGAGACAGAAGAGGATCCACCGCTGCCATTGATCCGGCTGAAGATCGAGTATACCGCTCCCGAGGGTGGCAACTTTGACTGCGAGAACCCTCAGCGATTTTCAAATCGCTTTGCTGGCAAGGTCGCTAATGTCAACGATGTTGTCTACTTCCACAGAAAGAAGACAGGAGTATCTGGTACGGATAACGCCGTGATGGCCACATATCTCTGCCCGAATGCTTATGTTGTTTGTTAGGACGAAACAAGACTGATCTCACACTTCCCGAGATAAACGGCGCTGAGGAAGGAGCTGATTTCAATGCAATCAAAGTTGAAGCGCTTGTTCAGGAATACCTAGCGGCGCAGTCGCTTAAAATCCTTCCTCAGGGCGAATTTGGCGACGCAGTGAACCAATTTGTCAACAAGGACGACAAGCATGCCATGGACACGTTCGTCAGCGGATCTCTCGCCAACCAGCTTAGAGACCTGCTGGCATTGGGTGCCGAGGACGACGATCTTGACGGAGCCATGCAGAAAATACGAGACGAGCGGGAACGGCAGTTCCAGGCCGGCCTAGTAAAAAATGGACCTAAGCGGCAATACAAGCCGAGGCCTGACGATTGGGACTCTGACATGGAAGGCCACTGGGAAAACAATACCGACGCACTTATCTCAAGTGCTGCCAGTGTACCACAATCGGCAGCTTCGCGGCAAGGTGGTAATACCGGAGCGCAACCTAGCACAAATCAGAACGACGAAGATTCGTCTATGGACGATTTCGACAGCGTACAACCTGTAGCCAAGTCGACGGCAGCTAGGAGAACCGCTGCCACGCGGACCACCAAGGCTGTAGCACCACGGCAACCGGCGGCAGCGAAGAGAACATCTGCTCCAAAACGAGCTGCTGGCAGGAAGAAGGGGCCATTTGAAGATTCAGACGATTCAAACGAAGACGAAGTTACAATAGAAGATGAGGCACAGGACAATGAACAGTCGCAGACAGCACGTCGTTCTCGTGCTGCGCCAGCTCGGCCGGCAGGCCGCATGCGCCAAACAACCCTGCAGCTCTCCCAACCAGCACCGAGACAGCAGCGGCCGTCGCGGAAGACGACACAACAGACGCAGCAGTCGCTGGAGCTGAGCGATGATGAAATATCCGACGACGATGACTTTGAGCCGGCACCGACTACAAGGGTTCGGAAGAGATAGCGTCAAAGTATTAGTAATACATTTGCCTTACTAAGTGAGAAAGATCACGTGTGCCTGATATTCCGTACAAAATAGCCTGTGGCGCAGATTACCAGCAAAGCGCCACGCTGTATCGCCGGCCAACCTACGTTGATCTTGAGGCGCGGCGTTCGTGGACGTCCATGAGCACGGCTGACCATCGAATTTCATCGAAAAACACGACAGAAGCAAGAGAAATTAAAGTGCGCCTTCGAATGATGTTATTGCTGGGCCTGTGCGACAAATAGCCTAACCAAACTGTTGCGCTGCCGCGAATCGCGACTGTTTCTCGCCCCGCCCATCTGATATCCCCCTTGTTCTGGACGTCGGACTGCTGCAGGACACCATGGGGGTGATCCGCAAAAAGACGGCCGTCCGCGGTGGTGAGGGTGGAGTGAAGTACGTATGCGATGTTTGCAGTGCGGATATCACATCGACCGTGAGTTCCATCCAATCCCTCATATTCTTGGTTGCCAGCTGCATTTTATTGCGCTACCGGAGCTCTCTGACTTGGACACGGGGTCGCGCACAGGCTGTCTATCCGTGGTGCGGAAGTCTATGACAGGAGCCGGAAGCTTAAGCAAACTCCCTAGCAGATACACGTGCATTGAAGGCGAAGACTGACTGTGGCCTGTTGATAGGTCCGCATACGTTGCGCCCATCCATCTTGTAACGAATACGATCTCTGCGTGCTCTGCTTTTCGAACGGATCGTCCAGCAATGCGCACCAACCGGCGACACATCCGTACCGGGTGATCGAGCAGAACTCGTTTCCTATATTCGACAAGGAATGGGGTGCTGACGAGGAGCTTCTGCTAATCGAGGGTGCCGAGATTTACGGGCTCGGCTCGTGGGCAGATATTGCAGACCACATTGGAGGCTACCGGCACAAGGACGAAGTGCGAGACCACTATCTTCAGGCATACGTCGAGTCGTCAAAATTTCCGCTTCCGGAACGATGCAGTCCGCAGGACATGCAACTGGCCAATGAAGTGCCTAGGGAAGAATTTCAAGCCAGGAAGAAGCGGCGGATTGAAGAGAGACGGGAAGCAGCTAAGAACACACCAGCTCTGCAACCAAAGACGAAGCCAACGGCGTCAGTGCCATCATGCCACGAGATACAAGGGTACATGCCGGGACGGCTGGAGTTTGAGACGGAATACGCCAACGAAGCGGAAGAGGCCGTGCAGTTGATGCAATTCGACCCCGGCGACGGCATTAATTCAAGGACGGGCGAGCTGGAACCGGAAATGGACCTGAAGCTGACAGTCATGAGGATCTATAATTGCCGGCTTACGCAGCGGGTGGAGCGCAAGAAGGTTATCTTCGAGCACAACTTGCTGGACTATCGAGAGAACAACAAGCTGGAGAAAAAGCGGACGAAGGATGAGCGCGAGCTGGTAAACAAGGCGAAGCCGTTTGCGCGAATGATGAATCATGACGACTTCAAAAAGTTCAGCGAGGGTCTCACGTACGAGCTGTTTCTGCGACAGGCCATTTCGCAGTTGCAAGAGTGGCGCAGTGTGCGGATCGGCGATCTCGAGAGCGGGCTCAAGTACGAGCTCGAGAAGACGCAGCGGCTGCAGAAGGCGATACCGCTGGGCAGCATGGACCGCGAGCGGCTGGCGACAGCGCAGCGGAATAAGCAGCCGCCAGCACCAGAGCCGCCAAGCGGAGCGGCGCGACTGCTGGCGCCCGATCTCAAGGGCCTGGGTGCGGACCTCGAAGGCGGCGCGGCGGCGATGGCGGCAGCAGCTGTCAACGACGATGCCGTGGCCAACGGAGACGTCAAGCCAGTAATCAATGGAAATGGATACGCTGATGCGGCCTCTGTTACTTCCAACGGCATCGGGACGCCGAACGGCTTCGGCAACGGCACGGGATCGGGCAGTCTTGCCAACGGATCCAGCTTCATTAATGGCAGCGGCATTGGCGTCAAGAAGGAGAAGATCGTGCCACAACCGATCGCGGGCGTGCAGCCGTTGACGCTGACGCAGGACAATGCGGCAGACTTGCAGCTGCTGACACCAGAAGAGGTGGAGCTGTGCCAGGTGACGCGGATTCAGCCCAAGCCGTACCTGATGATTAAGGAGCAGATCCTTAAGGAGGCGCTCAAGGGCAACGGCATGTTGCGTAAGAAGCAAGCCAAAGAGATTTGCAAGCTGGACTCCCAAAAGGGGTCACGCATCTTTGAATTCTTTGTCAATTCTGGATGGATTGGGAAGGCGTAGTGTGCGGTAAGGTCTGTGTGCGGGTTTGTTGTCGATTCTCATGTTCGTTCTTTGTCGGGATTTTGAATTTTTTTGCGGGAAGGACTGTGATACCGTATGGCTTCGCGTGTTACTGTTCGATGGAAAGCCGGTGCACGGAATAGGACGGCGTTTGGTTATTCGGCGCAAGCGACAAGTAATGCTTTCAAATATAATTATCAAATATCCGCGAAAGGAAGACGTAAAACTGACAGAAAGCTGCTTCCGCTTTAGATGTCTTAATGCAGGTTACTGGGGTTGACAATGACAAGTTGTATCTGAAGCGTTTGGCAAGGCGGGTTTGACCTGAAGAGGGCGTGTTTCCCTAAATGTTTGTTTAAAGAAGAGATCAGGCATGTCGCATGTCGGGCGGCTGGACGACCATGTCGCGCCCAAAATGCATAAGTGTGTGTTGTCGATTCGGAGAGAGACGCGATCACAGGATATGTGACGTATGAACAAAGAGACACTTGTTTGACTCAGAAAAGGAACTGACCTCTACAGCACCACAACATTACTGAAGCTGGCTATAAAACATATCGCACCGACAGGTGCCAGCCAATTCGATGCCTGAGGAGCCATGGGAGCAGCATTTACGAAGGACGCTGTCACGGTTGTTATGGAGCTCAAACGATTGACCGAAAATTCGTGCCCACGTGTTTTTTCCCAGCACACAGTCGTGTACGAAAAGCTAATTTCTTTAAGGAAGCACATTATCTGACCCAGTTTCGTGTCTAGGCTTGAAAAAGACGTAAGAGAAAGCGAGCGAAGGACGCTGAAGGTACTTGAGCAACGAAAAACTTTCCAGTAATAGCTGTTCCCTGCTTCCAGATTTTGATCATTTGCGTCTAGAAAATTCTTCCAACAAAGAGTATAGCAAGGAGCCCCATGAAGCCGGCCTCGCAGCCATGTCATTGAAACCCGTCAGCCCAATCACCCCACCACAGACAATGATGCCGCTGGAACATCCAGAACGAGTGCTGCAAGCGAGCCCGAACTTGCACAGCCAATACGTATTTCTGCGCAGGGCCATACTGTATTTGTCCGTCTGCTGCCGGAAAACAACGCACACGTCGACAGCAGAGAAAGAAACAGAATTACGCCTCTGATGTTGCAGCAAAACCACGCCTGGGTGGTAAAATTGCTTCTTGAAGCAAGCACTACGTTCGATGCAAAAGAATCCATAGAACATCAGCGCTTTCAAAGTCAACGAAAGACGGACACCTCAATATAGTCGCACTCCTGCTGACGACCGGCGCAGACGTCGAGAGCAGATACTTAGACGGACAAACAGCGCTTAAATATGCATCTTTTTGGCCATACGGCCATTGTTATGGAATTACATCAAGCCAAGGTCAAATTGTCCGAATTACGGGCTACAAACTTGGCAGCACTCAAGGGCCATTTCGAAGTTATATACTACTTATATGAAGAAGACGTTACCGTTGTAGAGGATAGGGGCGACAGACCGCTGGACCTTGCATGTTCCGGTCCAGAGAAGAGCCGGTAGTTTTCATTGAAAAAGGCGCAGGGATAGATTGACGAAAGGATATAACTTGGAATGAAAAGTATGCAATTCTATATATGGCGCCTTTGTTGTTGTTTCGCTCCATCTCTGGGCTACAAAGTAGCATACGAAGATCCAGACACATAGCTGCTTACTCTGCAACAAAAAGATACGAGATCGGTGAGAGCCTAGGCTGGCTTGGAATGTCTAGGCGCAGCTGAACTGAGCTGGAGGACATTGGAGCTCAGAATAAGGGAAGTGGACGGGAAATCAAAGATGGTTGTAACAACGGCCGGCCTTCCATCAAAGGCTGTTTTTGTTGAGACCCGTCTATACTCCTTTCTTTCTCTTTTCACAGCACTAGAGTATATTTTGTCTGATAATAAAGGTAAGAATCGCGGCTAATCACCCGTTGGTACCACTGGCAACGGCCGATGAGCACCGAATTCACTTTCAAAGTGGTGATGCTGCGGGGCCGAGAAAGAAGGACCATCGGCTTCAGCCAGAGCGAGATTGCCGTGCTCTACGACGTCCGCTACGACAGCCGACCGGTCTTTTCCCGGCACATGCGTCCATTCCGCCTCGACGACTGCGACGCCCGCTTCACGGCCGTGGCCGGGGTCAAACAAAACACACCGGCGTACTGATGATGCTCAGGGCGGCACAAAAAACAATAGAAACTCCGATACGGGGAATCGAACCCCGAGCTAGTCGGTGAGAGCGACTGATGTTAGCCATTACACCATATCGGAATAGATGCTTAGTCATTACGGATGGGAACCCGGAAGTAGTTAATGAACTGCACAAATCACCGTCTCAACACGGTGCTTCGGACTGTGTCAAACAGTAGACTAATAACGACTCGTATTCACATGCTGAGTAAAGGCAGCCGCGGAAGGACCGACCGAGGAGCCAGGCAGAAACGGCGAAGTTTCGTGCACTTGTGCAACGTCCTGAGCATTAAGCATCACATCCCCTTGCATTTTTGCCCTAGCCTCATGTCCTCTCGCTCGCCTCCCATGGCTCAGAACGCAACCGAATACGCGCTCGTGCTTCCGTCATGGGACCAGCTCAACTTTTCGCGCAACTGCACGGCCTTTGGCCAGTGGCTGTACTCTTTCATCACGGCCAATTCGTGGGACAAGCAGGCAACGTTTGGTGGCAGCGTCACGCTGTCACTCGAGATGTTCGATGCCGCTGTACCGCCGGACTGGTCCTATCTGCAAAACGCCAGCGACGCCCAGACGGCCACGCCCGACGGTCGTGCCGCCGCTGCCACTATTTACTATGGCCGCGTGCTGCAATGGTTCAGCGCCAACCTATTCTGGTCCTACAACAGTACCACGGCCTCCTGGGACAGCAGCCCCAGCTTCAGCGAGAATGTTATCTGGCAGCCGGCTGTAGCCTGTCCCGAGCATTTCTGCAAGGCTGTCGCCTTCACCGGCAACTCTGACCTTTCCGGCATCGGTGTCCTCATCTCCTACCTGACCGAGGCCACCCTCGTCACGGCCTACCTGATCTGCTTCACGCTCTCGCGAGCCCATCGCGCTACCCGGCCACATCGCCGTCGCCACAGGCACAGTCGCAGGCACAGTCACAGGCACAAGCGTTCAGTGGCCCGTGCCGCTGCCCGCCGCCTCTTTGACGCCGTGCGCGGCAGCCTGACCGGCTTTCTTACCAACGCCATGCTCTTTTCCTCGGCCATCCTCACAGCCGCCGTTGTCATGGCTGCCAAGCAGGCCGGCGACAACCGCAGCCGCCAGATCGGCTCCCAGACCATCCCCACTGGCAGCGCCCTCTACAATCCCGTGCTTGCCCTCTTAGTCGGCCTCTTTTCCGTCTTCCCCGTCGCCATCCTGAACCTTTTGCTGCCAGAGCACGACGGCGATGACGACCACGAGACCAGCAGACCCAACACAAAGACGGACTTCCTGCCACTGCTCCATCGCCTTCGACACCAAGCCGCCACCGCTTCCTTCACCCACACCCTGGCCTCGTTCTCCCGCAGCATCGCCGGTCATCCCTCTGGGAGTCGCACTAGCCTCCGCCGCGTCGTGCTCGGCATCCTCTGGGGCCTCGCCATCGCCATGGTCATCGTCTCCCCCCATAGCGAACTCGACTATACCTACCGTGGTGTCTCTTCACCCGCCGACGCCGACGATGACAACACCTTTTCCGACGTGCTCTACGTCTGCGACGCCCGCGGCGGCCTCACCTACTGGCACATCCTCGATGCCCTACCCTTCCTTGTTGTCGGCGTGCCCCTGCTGTGGCTCGGGCTGACCTCCGTCCTGTACAGCCGGGCCCGTCAGTCGCCGCTGCACTCACCTTCCGCAGCATCTCCCCTGCCACCCCTCTGGACCTTCGCCTCCGCCTGGCTCTGCTGCGTGATCATGTGGGTCATCCTCATCTCCTTTGTCAATCTCCGTGGCGTCATCGTCAAGACCGCTGGCAGCATGGACACAGATGACGAGTGGGCCTTTGGCCAGGTCCTCGCTATCGCCACCTGGGCTCCCGTTGTTGCTGATGTCATCTATCTCTTCGTCTTCGGCCTCGAGGCTGGCCTCGCCGGCACCCTTCCCAATGACTACACCGTCCGTCGCATCGCCACTACCGCCGTCAGCCAGCACGTCCTTTCAGCCCCCCAATCCCTATACAGGAAACAACAGCAGCTAGATGTGTCTTTGGCATCGGCGTCATCTTCACCGTACAACCAGTCAGGCGCCAAAATTGTCTCTGCACAACAGACCTCTGCAGAGAGAGCTATTTCATCGACGTCCGCCAGCCCACAGAGCCAGTCTGCACAAAAGGATCCTGAAAAGGGCCGCTAGAACGCAATTGCGGTGCAAATCAGCCAATCACATGGTTACGGGCTTCGGTATCAAATGCCAAATACAGACAGCCGAAATGCTCTTAGGCCACACACGTGACTTGAAAGTTGCGAGTCGTTGCGATCGTCATCCACCAACCAATGCGGAGCGTTGAGGATTTCCGGCTCCACCAGCGAGCTAGAGCGGATATATGTCCCTGCAATTGCGCCTCCACGTGCGTCTCTGCTTCTCATCCTTCATTCCAGGCATCTCATTCCAGCCAGCGTAGTCAGCACAAGCACAATAGTCACCATGCAGCGCCAGACTATCCAGACCAAAAACGCTCCAGCAACGGGCACGCATTTGTCACAAGCGACCATCCATAATGGTGTCGTCTACTGCTCCGGTGCCCTGCCTATTGACCCTGTCACCAACGAGCTGGTTGGGGGCACCATTGGTGACCGGACGGTGAGCTGTCTTTACTTCTCTATGGTTTTCACTCACAAGTCCCGCTGACTTTCTCCTCAGATCCGCTGCCTCAAGAACCTTGAGGCTATTCTAATCGCAGCCGGCTCCAGCCTGGACAAGGTCCTGAAGGTCAACATCTTTGTCACCAATATCAAGGATGTTCCCGCAGTGAATGAGGCCTACACCTCACTATTCTCGGAACCGCGACCGGTATGCCACCCTGCTGTCGACACTAGCCGTGCACACACATGCCGACATACTGACACCACCATCACCAGGCCCGTGCATGCGTTGAGGTCAGCGGCCTGGCCAAGGGCACTGACGTGGAGATCGAGTGCATTGGATTCATTGGAGAGATTAGCAAGCTGTAAATTCGGCCCTGTTTTTCGCCTAGATGAATACATTGTATCCAAGGACCAACAAAGGCCCAAATTATCCTGCCCTTTGTCTGTCCTGCTTGGTGTGTGTTAGAAAAGTAGATTTGCGTTCTAAATACATGTAGACTGATCTTCGTTCCCCCGTAAACGGGTACTCACCCAGGACACCGCGAGATGGTGCCAGTCAATCGTCCCAGATTGACCCCAAATGGCCGACCCTCCACGGCCAAATCCGCTTCATAGGACCAAAAAAAAAGTACAGCAGAAGCGAAAACAAAACAACAAAAACCGCTCGCTCCTTCTAGTCTTGTGGCTCGTAATTATTCCAAGGGTCCATTTCCACAGCTACCCTGCCCTCAACCTCCCCATCTCCGTCTCCTCCGTCCTCCATGTCGCCGCCTCCTCCGACCCCTACGCCACCTCTTCCTCCCCGGGCAGGTCTCCTCGCAGCAGCACCTACCACTGCCTGCCAGACATCAGCCACCACCGCCCGCCAGACGTCATCCACTACCCCCACCACCGTCACCACGGTCTCCGACAACCGCACGACGCCCTGAAGCGGCCACATCAGGACCGTCTTCACCCAGCGCGCCGAGCTCCCGAGCCACTCGGTCACCGGGTGCCAGTGACTCTCCAGCCCCTGACGGGGCTCTGGTCCTACGATCCAGGCCAGACCGGCCCGGACTTTCTCTGGCTCAACGCACAGAGAAACCAAGGCAATTAGTAATGCGGCACAGCCAAGAGCAAAGGGGATATGGGAGCCGATTAACAAAACCGCCATATTTTCCGTTGCCTCTGTCGTTACCGTTGCCGTTGCCGTTGACCTTGCCGTTGCCGTTGCCGTTGCCACTGCCATGGCTGTCGCCATGATAGTGGTTGTCGCTGTCGTCGTCGCCATCTCTATCGTCGTTGCCTACCTGGTCTACGGCGATGGGAAAGGGGGAGAGAAAAGAAGAAAGGAAGGGGAATCGGAAATGAGATAAATGGGAATCGAGCGGAGCAATGAAAGGCGGAAATGCGATGAAAAAGCTTCGTTCTTTCTTCCTGCAATGTTTTGGAAAAAGCTCTTTATGCTAATACATTCATCTACAATTATCAAAGAAGGGACGGCTCATATTGTCGAATACGGAAGGAACGCGTTGTTCGCACTCGGCCCTTTATTGCACCGCGATGTAATGAAAAGTTTTATTAGGGCCCTGGCGCAATCAGTCTTGTTTTTCAAATCTATTGTCGTGCCGACCTGGCCTAAAACAAAGTCGACATCCTATTCAGGTTGAGGAGAAGACAGATCGTTCAGATACAACTAGTAAAGGTGAACTTTGCTTGTGCTACTATCTATTATTGTGTGTATATGTTTTGTGGGATTCCCTAAATATGTACATTATGTGTATTTGCTAATTATGCTGGTCATGTTTTATTACAACCAAGTTTCGGTCTTCTTCAGAGACTTGCCTATTGCTAAACAAATACAAATGAAGTTCGTTGTTCGCAGTGAATGCATTTTCTTTCTTATTTCACATCACAATCCAAATTGACTATGCTGGAGATTATACATTTGTAGAAGCTAATCGGCTAGGTTTTCCTGATTTCTTTCGCATATTCACCGTACATCACGGCCTTATTTCTCCTTGCACTAGGATGCGTTTCTGCAACAGCTTTGCCGACTTGACCGATGACTTTCTCGAGGATGTAAAGAAATTTAATTCGTGAAAATTTTGGCAAGGCAAGGACTACATCGGTTGCAGATCGGTATGCGTCCGCCAGAGCTTTTGAATCGACGAGCTCTCTTACATTTGGACCTATTGAAAAGGCATATTGTATGTAGCTGGCCATGATACGGCCATTGACAAATGTGCGTGCAGTACACGGCCCCTCTTTATTTAATAGTGCAGCAATGCGAGCTGCCTCTATAGAACCTGTCGTAATCTGTCGTGATGTTGCAGCCGGCAAATTGTTTTCGATGTCGACAACGACCATGGCAGCAGCTGTGATAGCGTCACCCATTTTTTCTGCCGCCTCTGTCGCGGCCGGGGAGGTATTGTCTTGTGGATCTGCAAGGGAGGCGGCAATTTCGATGGCCGTGTGGATAAGTTCTCTGATGGCAGAAGGATTAGTCTGGCCAGCAATGACTTCATGCTCTGAGGCGCCACAAAACATGGACGTCTCGACCACTAAAAGTTGTTCCCGATCATTCAGCATGTTGAGGGCTTCTTCGTATGGAGGCGGATCGTCTCGGGGACTAATGCCGCTTTGTGAGTCGGCCATATTGATTGATGTATAGATACTGCTGATACTGAGGCCGTGTGGGTGATTTGTTTGACTCTGGCCATTTTTACGACCTACTAGTCTATCGAGGGCTATTCGAATTTCGCGGTATTTACGTATTCTGAAACGTATTTTTCGGCGTGATTTGGTCGGTAGAAACTTGCATAATCGCCAAAAAGCGCCGTCTTCTTCGAATTCGCGATTCCAGCGATTGCCGCACTTGATGCTTTTTTGGTCCATTTTGTTTTGTTGAAGGGAATTTTCTATTTAGTATTCTGCGAAAGAAATGTAGGTAGATACTTATAATAGCCAGTGTATACAAGCAGCTTTCTCAGGGTATATATATTAATGTGTCATGCTTCTCCAAGGTGGAAAATTTTATTGTCAGACGGGAGGCAGCGCAACAAATTTATATGAGCTTGCAATGAAAATCAAAGATAGGATAAACTTTGCCTATGTGGAGGGGGTAAGCTTAGGATTCTTTTACGTCGAAACAACATTTTAACTCACAATCGATATCTTCTATGGAGGTTGCAGACAAGCTTTTTGAAACTATCGCTCAGAAAGCAGAGAGCCAACAGGACATGCACAATATTCCTTTGAGCGGTAACTATCGCGTTTGTCAGCAATGATAGGCTGCATCCTGCCAACCTGAGTCATGCACAACCTCATCGTCATAAATACTCAGGCCCTAGTAGCCCGTCGAATGGGCCATATAGCTAGTCGCAGATGGTGTGTGGGAGGAGGGGAGGAGGCAGGAGCACTACTCTGTACCGATGGCATATATATTCCAAACCCTACTAGTCAACGAGAGGGGCTCCCATGTCACAAATTCATGGATAGACCTTACACGGGGCTTGTGCTTTTTTGTCGAAAGTTAACAACATTAACACTAGCACATAATTATAGAATCTAAGAAAGTCTGTTGCTGATGGTATGTAATCCGAAGCTGCCAGTGACATAGGTGAAACGTATAGCGAACTTTGTCGTGCGTCTGCATTATAGCCATGAACCCTTTTTATTTATTTTTCGGTTTAAGTTGCCGTCAACACAATGGGAATATATGCACAAGAAAGAGACGGACGGGGTATTTATGGCCACAAATAAAAGCACAACATTGGTCTGTAGTCTCTCGAATATCAGAGGCGGCTGACAATGTTGACGCTGAGTGTGTACCCACCGAGCTTAGATACGAATCCCGAATCTCCTGTCATACTCGAAGATGTCTCAATTATCTCATTAATATACGTAAATATTCTAGTGATTCTTATATCTAGCCACCTGGAGCCGTTGACTACTGGACGAGGACAGTTGAGTCATGCATGATCATGAATACCTTTACAACAAGTAAGACCGATAGACATGCTTCGAAAAGAGGTCCGATATTTGTCAGGACCATTGACATTTCATTGCTGAGGCAAAGTCTATCGTTCAACGTGCAGGGAAAAGCGCATGTCTTTTGAGTGATGTAAGAATGTGCATGTATTCGTATCTAGATCATGATTGTTCTATTCTATCTGCCAATCTAATTCAGCGGCTGCTTCGTTTCACTCTATTTTTCAGCCGGCGTATATCATTTAAACGACCCTCCGCCTAGGACTAGCCGCCAAATGACATGGAAGACCGGCATCTATTACCTTGCCCGTCTTTTTGTCCTTAAGTAGCTTCATGTGCCCTGGCAAATTGGCGGCCGGCCCACCGACACGTTGTGCATGTCTAGAGCCAATACGGCGGCGAAAAGGTCATAATTTGAAGACCAATTCAGGCCTTAACAGGGTATATCGTGACTATAACCATTGCGTTCAGACAGCACTTCGTTAAATGCGGAGTTCCGTATAAAAGCCAAAACGATCCTCAACTAATGACTCCCGAAATGAAAGGGGAAAAAAAAGAACAGAAAAATGTAGAACTGTGCCCAGCACTGGTAGCTTTACAATAGCGTGCTCCTAAAATTCGAAAATCTCACTCTATTCCTTGGCGTCCGTCTTGCTTTGACGGAGCATGCGCGCTTGCATCTCGCGCTCGATGCCATGTCGGACCGCGTCCAGCACGGTCGGCACAGTGGCACGTGGCTTATATGCTGGCTCTGTGCCGTCTTGGTACACGCCCGTCTTGACGAGAATGCTGTACCAGGTGTTTTCCGACTTGGCGTCCATGGCATTGGTGCCACGGACATCAGACTCGGGCGTATCGCCGACAAAATAAACCGTGTCCAGCGTGCTGTGGTCATCAAGACCGTGCTGGGTGGCACGCCATTGCTGCAGTAGGCGAGTTGCAAACTCAAAGGTATTGACCTGAGGCTTGCCAAAGGCATGCGTCACAAGTTTCTTGCCTCCGGTCACATCGGAGAAGATTGTCTCAACAATCCTGCGAAGAGCGCCCATGCCCAACCGGACATTCTCATGAGCCGCAGACCACACAACGTCGCTGTGCGAAAAGAAGATTGGAGGACCTTCGTCGAAGGTCTCCGAGCGAGTGTCGAGTCGGCCACCCTTGGACATGGCAATATCCAGAATGATCTGTAGATCGGAAGCCCAGTCGCGGCTGTCGGCGAAAACAAAGATGGCTTCGATAACAATATCGTTGATGTTGCCCCGCTCGAGCAGGTCTTGAGAGTTAGCGTGCTCGAGTTCGGTTAGCTTCCGAAACGGAGCGACTGCTGCATTGGTCTTGATGATATCTCCAGGGGTAATAACATCACGGAAGCCGTAATGCTCAGCTACTGTGCGGCACTTCTCGCCCTCACCGCCTACAACCAAGACTGCACCGCGGTACTTGTCCGCAAGCTCTCTCATAGGAGTGTGCCCGCAGATGAACTGGCCAGGGCTGACCTCAACTTGAAGCTGGTCGGATAGATCGACGCACCGCTCAGCCTCAGTCTTGCCGCCGCCATTGGTGAGGAAAATGTACGGACTAAAGTTTTAGTTAGTAATACGTACTGGGGCTTCTATGCCAGTCCTACTTACACTCTTATGCCGTACTCATTCTCTCCGTTGAGCATCTTCATAGCCTCAATGGCTTCTGGAATGGGCGTGCCGCCCCGAACGAGGACTCCATCAATGTCGAAGGCGAAAGCGAACGTGTCGGCTACCTCTTCGCTTGCACCAAACGGTGTGATTGGCTGAGAGATGGGAGTGGCTGGGCTCGCCGGTGTGGTTGCGTTTGATGAAGCCGGAGACGTTAATGGTGTGGAGTTTGAGGGCGTAAGGTCAAGAGAAGACGGTTCTTCGTGAGAAAGCTGATTCTCGAGATTTCTCCGAGCGATGTTGAATGTCTCGGCGAAACTGTTAGCGGAAGCAGTTCGGCAAGGGCCGGCGGGTCTCTGAAGCTGGGACATGGTGGGCTCCAGTATGTGATAATGAGATGGATGGAAGACTTGGCGGATGCTGTGATGAGACTTCAATCAGTTGATTTACCACGTCACAGACAGCTGGTGACCAAAAAAATCTAAGCTTGAGAGGTAGGAAGGCCGAGCTGTATTTATACCCGCATGAATTCAGGTAGATCTAGGGGGAACCTGGCGTATTCGTATTTCTACTGACAAGCTGCCCTGCGGGTCTAAGATACGTCGCCATAGCCCTGGACTCGAGTGCGATATGAAAAAAGTGGAACCGCCATTAACAAAGAGTTGGCAATTAGGGGCCAGATAGTGGGGTGGGTGGAGACCAAAGAAAAGCAGGATAACAGACACGCCCTGCAACCAGCGGCTCTTTTGATTTTTTTTATTCTTTGTTTCTCGCCTGCGATTGTACACGCAAGTAACTGATAGTATATATGCAAACCGTAAAAAAAGCGTGCCTCTATTAAGGGCAATGTCACCTAGCTCTACTTGCACTACTCCGTACCAAGCCACCTTATCCTCACTAAGCCTAGGATGCCTAAGTCTGATAGCGGAAGCTGTCGTAGAGATTCGCTGTGAAGGGGCCACAAAGACGAGGAGGTTCACATGTACGGTATCTTGCATGATACGATGAATCCAGCAAGATACCTAGGCATGAGACGCGCTTGGGATCAACAGGATTCCAGCTGACACAAATCGTAATTAGGCCAAAAAGAAAGGCTTTGGGCAAAAAAAAAGTGGATGGGCCGGGAAATTTCGTTCAAGTCGGATAAGCAGAGTGGTAAAAAGAGACTGCAGCTAAAAACACACTGCCACACTGCATCATTCTGAGATGTGAGTGGCCACCAAGAGGTCAGTCACGCCATGTTGTTATACCGTGCGAGGCGTTGGCCGCACGTCTCTGTGTCAAGCGTGCATCCTGGGTGGCCACATCGGCCGAATTTGCCGATCTAGCGGCAAGTATTCGTGGTTGCATGAACAGCTTTTGCCACAGCCGTACTGTAAGCAGCGTTACCTCGGACTGCAGGCGGACACTGTGAGGATTCAGGTACATAAAACGGAAAGGTCTCTGGTGTTGGAGCTAAACCATTTGCTGGATTCTACTCCGTAAGGAGGCGATCCTTGCTGCGCCCCACTATATATTGATCTAGCCAATCAGCGTCTAGAACCTGCGACGTGGCCAGCATTGCCACACGGTGTTTTTTCAGGAATAAAACCCTTTCTGCAAATATGAATCGCTCAATGCCAATCTAATTTTACTGAAAGTACATGGCATCTTGTTTACCTCGGCCGACGGGTTTTCTATGAGAAACACGGTATGCGCCCGTTCCTGTCTCAGCACCCGAGCGGAGCGGTCTCCATAGATGCACGGCTAAATGACGTCACATGCATATTTAAGGGTGGAGGCGTGCCATCCATCTTCCTTTTCCAGATAATTCAGCGAGCCATCTGCGGCAATGGCTCCGTACGTTATCGGGACGATCTTTGTTACTAGCGACACATGGCGTGGGCGACGAAAACTCTAGCCAGCAAAAGCTGCGCACATGGCAGAAGAGGACAGTCGGCGGCAGGTGCCAAAGCCCAATACATGGTTAACAAGTTTTTTGCAGTATAGACATGTATCAGACACAAAACGTACTGCGACTGTATCTTTTATCTTTCCGGTTTTCACAAGCTGCATGCTGTACTGACATCCTAGCGTCCGATAGAAAGCGGGCCGAATATACTAAAAACTTGACACGTTTCAAACAATGCTGACCGACTTGAGCTCTCCGGCATGTTTGCATTTCCTATTGTCGAAATGAAAGGGCATGTTGCGTAGTTGGTCAGACCCTTGAAGTCAAGGGACTGCTTTCACTCTTTCACTCGTAAGACTTCGGGTGAGGATCGGGATAGCTAAAACTGATGGGGAGCCAAAGTGCAGAGCACCAAACTAGGACTGTACCGGAATTGTATCCGATCAAGAAGGTGGTCAGATAACGTAGGTGATGTGTTCAATGGCTCCATATTAGGACGTGGCCCAGTGTAACGACTCCAAAGGCCAAACCTGCCCCACGACAAAAATGTGGCTTGGTCAGAAATGCAACATGGATATATTTGGTGATATCATAGGCGGCTCGCAAAGACGATCGACATGTTTCAGCAAATAACTTGCTGTACTATGTACAGGACAAGAAGTTGCAACGAGCTCGGCTAAGATGTGCGCACCTACCTACGGACATACGCACCCTTCCATACTTAGTTGTCGGACCTCTGATAAGCTCACCAGTGCCTGTCTTGTCTCGCACAGAACTTTCAAAGCCGGTATGGTTCGGGCGGTACACTGTTCCGCAAAGGTAATTGATTTCCGATTGGCGGCGAGAAATATGTAGTCCATAGAGTGGCCAGTTCCATGATATGCAACAGGAGACAAGACTGTTTTGCCAGCCTTCTTCGGTCTGCAGTGGGGCACAGGAAGCCCATTAGAGGCTTTGCTGACAGGCCGAACTCTCCACCTACCACCAATACAGCCATCCCAAGCTGTTCCTTGTTTGATGCGTTAAGTACAAACCGTCCTAAAGACGTTTGCTATCCGGGTTTCCGGAGAAGAGGATGGCCTAAACGGCCAATTGAGTGATGAAAATGGATGCATGGTGACGTCCAGCAATTGACTACGGCACACATGCGACCTTGCACGTTTCCGAAGGAGCAAATGGATGGGGAGGAGTAGAAAAGACCTCTGATATCTTGCGTGATCATGTGCTAGACCGGATAGCACTTTAGTGTGACTAGGATTGTCTGTTGATCCTACCGCCTTCGATTTTGTTACGATGGCCGAGGCAAGAACGAATGGAAATCAGAACCAGGTTGCCAACTTTCGTATCACATGTGAAAATGATGATAGCCACAACCGGCGAGGCAGGTTCATCTATGCTCTAACGTTCAATCAAGCTAATGGCTACATGCGCATGGTTGGCACTATCTCGACATCTAGGCCGCCGAGATATGTTTGGTCTGGGGCCCGGAAAAGTTACAGACGCCCGACTCTTTCTGATCCGTGTCCTTGGCCCGGCGCTGGAAGAGGGCACCGATGTCGCTGAGGAAGGTGGCCGTAGCGGTCGGGTCGCTGAGGTCGAACGGCTCGTAGCCTTGGGTGATCTGGCGGAACTGCACGCAGGCAGCAATGAGGCTGAGGCCGTCGTCGTGAGCGATCTGGTCGACCGGGCGGATGGCACCGGAGAGAGAGCCATCCAACAGGGCAGCCGCAAGGCCAGGCTCAGCCGCGGCCGGCTTCCCGAGGCCGACGCCATCGACGACATCTAGGGCGCGAACCATGGCCGGAGCAGTGCGCAAGCCGCCGGTGAGGTAGACCTTGGTGGTGCGGTCGGCCGGCTCGACGCCAAAGGCGGGCACGACAGTCTGGGCGAACTCGAAGAAGAAGGCCTCTCGGCGCCGCGTGCTCTCCTTGACGTCGTCAGCCCACGACTGGCCGATCTTCTCGTAGGTGCCGCCGCTGAGCTCGACAAAGTCCAGGGCCACGTCTTCGGCCCGCAACAGCGCACACATGTCGCGAGCCTCGTCGGGCGTGATCCCGCCGTCCTGGAATTCGACGCTATTGATCTTGGCGCCCACGATAAAGGCCGGACTGGTGCGCCGCCGAACCTCCTGTGCGATCTCGAGCAGAAGCCGCATGCGGTTCTCCAGCGAGCCGCCGTACGCATCCGTCCGCTGGTTCGTGCGGCGTGCCAGGAACTGCGCGATCAGGTAGCCATGTGCGCCGTGCAGTTCGATGCCATCGAAACCGGCCCGCTCCAGGTACTCGGCCGCGTGGCCGTAGCCGGTGATGACGCGCTGGATCTCGGCCAGGCTGGCCGCGTGAGGCATCGCAAACGTGTGCCCCATCTTGGGGGCCAGCGGCACGGCCGACGCCGAGAACGGCTCCTTGGTCAGCGTCTCTGGTGCCTGGCGCCCCGGATGCACCACTTGCGCCACCATCAGGCTACCGTTCGCCTTGCCGGCCGCTGCCATCGCCTGAAAGGCTTCGAAGCGTCGCCCCGAAAAGGGCGACTCCGGCGTGATCACAGTCATGCCCGCCCCCGACATGTGCTCAAAGTCAATCGCCACGTTGCCCGTCAGGATCACCCCCCAGCCCTGTGCGTCCTCACCCCAGCGCCGGTACAACTCCACTAGCTCCGGCGTCGGGATCCCGCGCTCCTCCAGCTCGGTCGGGCTCCATGTTGCCAGGCCCTCGGCCATGGCCGCCTTGAGAAACCGGTTCTTGGCTGTGCGCTGCGAGAAGTGGAACGTCAGCGGTTGGCCTAGCGGCTCCACGCTGATGTTGTCGCCCTCCTGGACTTGGTAACGAGTCGGCATGGTGATGATGTTGACACGTGTGCGAATGTGCGAAGAGATGGCAAATGGATGTTTCCAGTGGGCGAACACCGTCTTTTATACACTTTGCAGACTTGCCAAAGCCCCTCCCGAACTCCGGCACAGGCTTCCGAACCTTGTTGCCTAGCCGATCGGTCTCCATCGCGCCATGGTCCTACTGTGGTTCATCGATGAGAGGCCAATCGAAGCACGAGATGTGGGCCTGAAAGCACCCCACGCATTGGTAATCAGTTTAACTCGTAAACGCCGGTACGGAGTAGTTTGCGGGCTGTGCCGCCACGATATTCCGTGATGTCAAAGCACTGCTAACGGCAAATGCTGGAGATACTCTTGAGTAACATTCGAAACTGCGATCTGAACTATCTGAAATGTGGCCGGACAGTTTATCCAGTGGCGGAATTGACACCGCCCGATACGTACCATCGATTATCAGCAACTGGTTTTATGGTGTAGTTGGTTATCACGTCAGTCTAACACACTGAAGGTCTCCAGTTCGAGCCTGGATAAAATCATTCACAATTCCTTTTTTTGCCAGTCTCCCCGCAATGTGCTTGTTCTGAACCTGAAGAGATGGATGGAAAGAAAGTAAGAAGGAGAGACAATGGGGCGGTAAGACAACTTAAAATGGCCAAATTGACAATTAGAGTCACCCAAATTCTCATCTTCCCCGTCTTAACGAATAGGGTCCCTCAAATGACAACTGGAGACCCGTCTGCGGCTGATGAGCCAATAGAGGCCTAGGCCACAGTCTTTGGCATCTTGGCCGTCGTACGCGTGCCAAAGCCGCGGCAAATCCCAGCAGCCTGGCCAACCACGAAGCTGACGTGTGCATTTCAGCCGTTTTACGTCTGATTCGACGCCAGGAATTTCACGCCGTAAGCGCTTCGCTCGGCAATGGTTGGCGTGTATATCGTAGGATTCGCTTCTTTCCTTCTTTATTGCCTCTTCGAATGGACCGTTTTCAGAGCCATTACAACACTCAAACATGGTGAATTACGCTGTAGATTTCAATAGTTCTCAGAATTTGCAGCGCTTAGATAAGCGCAAAGCAAAGCACTTCAGCAACGGAAGGCCCAGGTGGCCCTTAAAAATTTGTACAATATGACTGCCTCTCTTTTTGCTGAGGTGCACGTGACTGAATTTATGGGGCAGCCTTAAACCGCGCCCTCCACGAAGCATCTTGAAATTTAGCCTGGATCTTCCGCCCAATTGTGGTGGGGTAATAGGCTTAGCACGGTGAGATATAATAGGAGTGGTAGCCACTTTCTCACGTCATCAAGAAACTACGGAACCAAAGACTGCGTGGCTGTGGCTCCCTGTACGGTGAGCTGAGAAGTAAGATACAAGAGCAGAGAGCACAGCCGAATGCTTGCGTCTTAATTACGGGTTCCCCCCTGCAGTGGCCGCCCTCTGTTCATTCCATATTGCCATCCCCGCACCTGACCGTTTCTCGCTCGAGCCTGGCCCTTCGCCTTTATCCCTTCCATCTGCCCTCCCAGCCGTCGTGCGCTTCCTAGGCTCCCTTTCACTTTCTCCCGTACTCTTTCCATATCCGGCGAAAGAGTAAAGAGGCCGAAAGTGCGACAAAGACGAGGAACAAGGAGGAAACGGCGCCACGTACCTACGCTTTCCCTTCTCCCCGGAACTTAGGCGCAAACCCAGAGATTTAGGCTCAGCACTGCGCCATCCACACTTCAAAACGTCGCAATCAGACATCAACAGTTCAATTCCGAATTTTGACCCCCATCTCAGTCTCCCGAACATCAATTTCTTTTTGCCTTTGGCACCCTGCCGTCTGCATTTTCCTTGCAAACAATTCAACAATGTCGATGCTGAAAAAGAAAGAGCTTGTGACCATCATCACGCCCATTCCCGGTTTCATTCCGCGACAGCTGGCCATCGACATCCTCCACTCCCACAGCGAGGTCATCACTCTGAATCCTCTTGTCCTCGAACACAAACCCATTAAGGCCCCTCGCGATTCTGCTTCTGACGAATACTACTCCACCTGGTATGAGATCATCGAGCGTATCCAGTATGTTCCTGGCCTGGGTAGGATGGGGTCGGGCAAGATTGCCTTCAAGGGCTGCTTCCACAACATGCCCTGGGGACTACAGGCACACATTTACGCTCCCATGAGCACCGACTTGCGCTATAAGTACCGAATTGCGGGCAATCAACCAGGCATTGAGCCCCCCGAGACGATGGAGATGGGACTGGCTTCTCTTGGCGCACCGACCGACGGCCTCTATCTTCGCGAAGACGTTGAGGTCAAATGCAGCATTGCCGTTATGAGCTTTGTTAAGTCGCAGCTCAAGGCTGCCAGCAAGAAGATGGTCGAGCGCATCATCAAGAAGGCCGAGCTCGTCGACTCCGGCGTTCTCCACGCCATGATGGACAACGGCAAGCTTAGAACGGTCAACCCGGCCGACCGCTCGAGTACACAGCCTACTTCGCCCACAGGATCACCCTCTCCCGCACAGCGTATTTCAGAGCAAGATGCGAAGGAGCAGCAGCAACCACAGCAGTCGTCTGCGCGACTGTCTACCATCGGTGCCCCTGGCTCTCCCTTCATGCCATATCAGGTTCCACGTCCACACTCACTTGCGGGAACATACGGCTCTCGTCCGGATAGTGCCAATGCCAGTCACGGACACTCTGCTTCGGGGACGCTAGGTCCTGGGCCTTACGCCGTCTATCCCGGTTACCGTGCTTACGCTGCGCATCCCGGCTATTCGGGCTTTGTACCTCCCTACATGCAGGGTGCATACGGCCAGTATCCACCGCATCTATTCCAAGCCGAGATGCCCGGCTACATGACCCCCACTGGTGGTCCGTCGGCATACCCAGCCGCGAGTTTTGCCGTTGAGATGCCCGGAGACTACTACCACCCACAGGCAGGTGCACCACCACCCGCATTGTCGGTCGAGTCGACACCGCGGTCTAACCGTGACTCGGACATATTGGCGACTGGAAAGTGGGCAGCGCCTACCGATTACGCCCAGGGATCTAGCCAGCGTAATAGCCCGGCTCTGTCGGGGTCCCGGCCGGGTTCTGTCTCATCTGACGCCGGCGCTTCGGCGCCTGGTGGCTACCGGCCTCTCAGCATTGACAACAAAGGCGTCTCGTCAGAACTTACAACGCATCGTGAGACGCAGGAGGAGCACCGTGCCGAGGCTCTCAAAAAGCTGGAGAGGCAAAGCGCGTACGGACAACAGAGCGGGCACACTTACAACCCTGCTGAATATGGGCGCTCCGCTTACGGAGCGAAATGAGCTTCGTACTCAGGATCACGGTCGGGATACTATGAATTAATGCAATTTACGGAATGGTTATCAAAATACGGGAACCGATGATACCTGGGCACAATGGAATTTTGGACAGTAGGTGGCTTACTTCGGGGCATGGCTGATAGTTTTGTGCGGACGAGCGATTTTTCATTACCTTATTGGCTAGCTGTTTGTTCTTCAATGCATATTCTTCTTTCTGCTCCATCTTTTCCTTGTTTACGAGGCAATCTTCTTTTTACTGAAACCAATACGCGTTCATAGGTCAAAAAGATACATCAACCAGACCATATTCTTCTACAACCACGGCTTCTTCTCGTCTACCGCTGATTGGGACCGCTTGGACGGCCACTTCAAATTTGGCTTTCGCTCAGCATCTACATCCGTGCGGCGACGGCGAAGGGTTCGGCCGCGACCGGTCTCCGTTGTGGTGTTCAGCAACGGACCTTTGAGGGCGTCCAGCGCACCCGCAGCCGTGTTGCCGCCGACCGCCGCCACGACAGCGGGAGTTTTCGGCTCCTCTTTGATGGTCGGCTCACTGGGGATACCGGTCCCACGAAGTCGCAAGGCAGGCCGTGGTGACGCCGTCCTTGACGAACGCGCCAGCGATTCCGCCAGCCGAGTCACGAACGACGACCGGGCTGCCGGCGAGGAAGCGCGCCGTGTGGCTTCAGATGGGCGGCCCCTTTCCGCCACAGTGCGACCGCGAGACGTGGCCCTTGGCCCGGTGGCCCTATCCAGGGAGCGAGTGCGCGTTGACTTTGGCACGGCTGACTGGGTTGCCGTCTTGGTAGACGGTTTCCCAACCGGCACAGATGCCGCGGGCTTTGCGGCTGGCTTGGGAGCTGTCGCCCTGGAGAGTGTCGCCCGCACCGGCTTTGCTGGCAGAGGCCGTGCGGCTGACTTCAGAGATGACTCCTTGGCTGGTCGGACGACTGCTGGCCGCGCCAGCGCGTTGGCCTGGCTGACTGTGGGCTTGACCGTGGACTTCGCGCCGGCCGTCTTAGGGATGACCGGCACAGCCACCGCCGGCGCCTTGGTAATCCGGACCTGCTCACTTCTAGCCGGAGTGGGCAGCGATTGCTCACCATCCTCGTCCCCCTTCTCAATCAAAGCGTCGCTCTGAACCGGGACTTCCTCGGGAGTAGCATTGGCCAAGGGAGTCTTGGATTCCACAGAGGCTTCCTCTGCAAACAGCACGACATCCTTGGAAATCGCGGCCTCCTCGGCGACCTTGGCTTCTTCGACAGCCTGAACCTCCTGGGCGACCCCGACCTCCTTTGGAGTCTTGTTATGCTCAAAAGAAACCCCTACCTTCTCCAAAGACAGCTTCACTCTTGCAAGAGTACGCTCAGTATTCTCCAGGCCCAAGCCAATCTCCTCGATGTAGGCTTCAACATCGTCCAGAAGAGCTCCTGCCCTGACGAGAAAGCGAACGTCTTTGCCACCGATGTTTACCGACGGTCCAACGGCTACGTCGACCTCTTGCGGCTTTGAACCTTCCCCAGAAACACTGGTTTCCTTTGCTTTGGGGAAAGACGCACTGGAATCAGCTGCTGGCGCTTGCTGCGGCTGTCCTGATGTCGCATCAACAACTCCTGGACAATGCTGTTTCGGTGGGGTAAAAATGCTCGCATTGGGGTCGAGCTCCCATCTTGCCCCGGAATCTTGCTGAAATGGGGCCTCATATCCATAATACGGGTTCGATCCTCCAGCCTCCTGGGTCTGGGCATACGCGGCCTCAGCTTCGGCTTCGGCTTCAGCCTGTAGCCTTGCCTCTCTTCTTCTTAGTCGACGGCTCTGGCCTCCGCGGCGGGTGGGCTTGTACTGATACCACTGTGAATCCGGGTAATAACCCCAGTCTTCGTTGCCGTTTCCGTCAGTTGCGAGATCGTTCCGGTATACGTAGTGGTAGGAATCCATTGTGGAAAGGGTGTTTAGGTGTGTTTATACGGGGTATGAATGCTGGAATCAGATGTTGCTGCTGTTGATGTTGCTGCTGCTGATGTTGCTGCTGTTGATGCTTGTGCTGCGATTGATGTGATGGGCGTGATTGCTGACTGCCAGAAATTAAAAGTCAGTTGAGACACGGTCTGGCAAGGCACATATTATACACATCGGGCACAACGAGGCGGCATGCATGTTCACAGCCATCCTGTCTCTTGTTCAAGAACATATTGTGGTGTTCAGGTGGCGCGTCTCTCAAAGCCGGTGTGGTAAAGAGGAGCAAAGGGAAATTTGCGACCAGACATGGTTCCATATGCCAATTCTATTTTTGTAGACAAGACAAGGGGGTTGTTGCCGAACAAAGAGGCATACTCCATACTCCGTATTAGTCAAACATGGATGTTCGAAACATGGATGCTCAACAATAATGGATCGTCATTGTGCTTGCAGATAACAGAGTTCGTGCGGGTTACGGAGTAGTGTCTTGTCTTTCGGAGGACGGCTCCGGGGTCCTGCTAGCGACGCAAGGCGTGCTTAAGAGTAGCGGGTGCACGTGGATTCTATGTGTTTCAAAGTCGTGGAGCCGCAGCATCCAGGCGTTGGCTCCGCGCATTCTGCAGCAAAAGGCTTGGGCCTTTCTTCTTCCTTTCTTCGGATGAATGCTACCTCTCCCCTTATTGCCTGGCTCTTTCCGGAACAGTAGCTCTGCTTTCAGGGAGAACATTGGATGGATGAAATTGGGAAAGAGCGCACCGGCAATTACCTCATCGACGATCAGCGCCGGCAAAACACTCTATGCGCCCAAACGGTCACTGCGTCAATTTTGGTGGTGGAGTTGGGTGTGTCCAAGCCTTGGACTCCAAGCCTTGGCTAGGCCCACGGCCGCGACCTGGGGGGCGCAAAGCATTGGCCACTATGGAATGCTGCATACGCAAGCTCATGATAAGGTTGCGCATGAAATGGTGAATTAGTGCACTTATCCGCGACGAAGTTTCTCGTCTCTGCGGCTTTTCGCCGCAGCTGCACCCTGATGGGAAGGCGCCAAGCAGTCCTTGCACGTAGCCCACTTGGCGTGGCTCACTGACTATTGAGAATACAACATGGAAGGAAGCCAGGCAATATTGCATGCATGGCTTCTATCCCTATGGGCGCTAGCGCCGCTATTTAGGCTAGTACTATCGCGCCGCTCACGTTTTCCATCAGGGGGAAGCTTGTAGGGGCAACGGCCGAGACTGTCAGAAAAAGCTGCGCAATAGTCTCTGCTATCTAGTGCACCTCACATGGCACTAATGGGCTCCCAGCTGCATACGACGTACATACGACGTACAGCACGATAGTGGTCGTTTCTCTGTGGGGATGGGTCGCAGCAATACGACGTCCACTCCCGCGCAAAGTCTTCCCCTCTGTTTCGCCTCTCCAGCTTAGCCCGTATTTGGTTGGCGTGGGCTCGGCCGTTCCTCTCATCTTGTCATTTCCCCTTTAACCCCCCCCCCAGTCCTGTGCTCAATTGCGACTCGCTAGCCTATCGTCCCAGGCCAACCACTTGCTTTCTCTACTTGAACGTTTCCTTTTATTTCTCACTTCGTTATCTTACCACTTCTTATTCTTTCTACTTTTTTCTTGACGTTCCTTTGGCATACTTTCCACTGCATCTTATTTCTGTTCTCCGTTCTTCCTCTCTCCACCCAATTCCAGCAGATTCAACCCCAGAACGGTTCCCAAAAAAGCAGACTTGCTACTGCCTACGACAAATTCTCGAAACTGCGAGCAGTATCGTGAAGCTCAAGCCCAACACTATCGCAACAAGCAGCCTGACCGCTTTATCCCGCTACCCCTCTCTTGTTCGTCCATAATGGCTGGCTTCATGGAACGCATTCAAGCCAAGATCGAGCTTTTCCGCCTTGAACAGCGCTACACCCGTCGCCGGAACCGTCGGTCAACATTTGTTTCAAACGCCGTGTACGTTGACGGCGAATACGTCTACCAGACGCCCATCTCCACAGGCTCCTCGACGAACACAGCAAGCACCTTTACGTCGATCGCCAGCCCGCCTCGCTCGCAGTCGCCTCCCGCTTCTACGAACAGAGTCCGCAATCGCCTCTCGATGCCCACCTTTGGATCTCTGTCAAAGGCCACTCGCGCCCAGGATTGGCGGGCAGGACCTACCATCAGCGAGGACCGTTGAGCAGCCACGACACCTGCCAGCCGGTCTTTAGAAACATTGCGACAACCTGTCCCGAGTCATCCGGGCCAATCGTGGCGGAGGCAGGTCCGGACAACCGGCTTGTGTGGCGAATTCTCGGTCATTCATGCCATAGAAGTTTGACGAACACGCAATGCACCGCATGCAGACTCCATCCTCACATTTTGCATTTAAGGCGGGCTGCCGACGATCAGCGCATCAAACGAACCGATCACGCGAGCTAGCCAACCAACCATCATCAGCCTTTACGGATGTTTTTTTTTGTTACTTTCTGGGACATACTCCACGACGCTTATGATCCATTTCAAGCATTGGATATCTGCTCGCGATCATTTATTTCAGCCTATCTTTCTTTTCTTTTAGACTCGGAGGAGCAGCTGCTCTCGGCTCTCCACCGGAGCAAAGCAGCCAATTGTGTGGGGTCATTGGTATTGTTTTGTAATGACGATCGTCTGTCACGAGAAAATCCGAAGGCGTCTCAACTTCCAAGAGTGTGTGGGATTAGTGTCCGGCATGACAGCCGGCATCAGCGCAATGCTTGTTTTTTTTGTATATATTGTTTACATGAATGACCATACTTGCTTGACGCATTGTTGTCCCTTTCCACTACCCATCAAGTTTCTTTTTGCCGGTTTCACCTACTTTATGCGCGGCACTTACGTGTGGTACAGCATTGATTTACGCGCACAGCCCCTACGACTGATGTGGATCTTCAGGAGACTCAAGGCAGACAATCACTCATTACGAGTCTTGCTGCCTGTCTTGTTCAGGTCTCACGTCCACGGACAGCCACGAACTCCGCTTCTATTTCGGCACATGATGAATGATGTATTGTCTTACTAACAGTATTCTGCATCAGGCCTAATCAGCCCTTTGCAAACGTCAAAGTAGCATGTCCGTGTGGATGTGCGGGTGCTCGCTCGTACTCGCCAAGGCAGTTTATTAACAGATGGCTCCTCCATCTTGTCGTCTTCTGCCAACACTTTAGTACCGACCCCTCGCCTTTGGAATTTCACATTGACTTTCGCTGCCATTCGCCGCCATTCGCCATGATCTGGGCACCTTTGCTTCTTCATGTATTTTACAGTGCTGACTGGGGGGGGCGAATGAGGACGCCCAAGGCGGTCCTTGTGATGCCTTTTTCTGGCATTGAGTAATAGTGCTCCAGTTGGGTCCGTTAGGCAGCCAATTCAAGGTCCATCACGCCACAGCTTTCTTTTTATACGCGGCGAAATGGACCTTGATAGCTCGGCTATCACACCGCTTGGCCGCAAATCATCCCAGGCTCCGAAAAGTAAACAGTCAGTCAAACCAGCCGACTCTAGCCAGCCAAGCTGCCTCCTCAGAAGGCTGCTTATGGGACCCTCTTTGCAACAATTGCAGCCAGGCCAAGAATTGTCAACACCGCTCTATTTACCAATGCCGTCCATGTTTGCTCATCTCGCAAACGATATTGTGTGCGCGCCACTTTCAATTGTGCCATCAATATTTATGATTGTAACAACGGCCTTAGCATTGGTTGGGGGGAATCGGTGGCCGCCTTGCAGCTTCTACAGTAACGGTCTTTTTAGAGGTCATATTAAAGTCATGTTGTGCTTTGTAAAAAAGGGAGTAATGCGATTGCAAACACATACTACAAGTGCGTATTTCTAAATTGGACATCCATTGGCTCGTCTTATTTCCACGAACCTCATGTAAAATACGTCAGCGGTCTAACAAAAGGACGAGGTATCTGTCAAACCAGCACCAGTCGTTTTGCTGGGGTTTCGTGGATAACATTGAGACATGTCTGAGTGATCAGACATTCCAGAGCGACGGATTAGCGACGGTGGTCAGAAACCAAGTCCGTCAATAACCCGCCCCTCGAAGTATCGGTAACTTAGCTCATAATATCGAGGCATACGTAGCCTCTGTACTCCATAGTGTCATAACATACCTTGAGATCTAGCTTAATGAACGAAGTCACTCCGTACAAGCGCTGAAATGTAGTCAAGAAGGCTAAAGCTGTGCTAGCGGTAGCTATACCTTACTCTAAATAACAAAAATTTCAAAATGGCATACGCACACTTTGTTGTGTCTTATATATTAAAAATGCGGTATTGAAGAGGCTCGTCAGAAGCCAAACTTCAAACAAAGGAACTTATATTCAGCAATTTTCAACTGTCGAATAATCCACAATATCATCTAAAGGAGCAAGACAAAATTAGAAGTCGCGGGGATCTCGTGGAGAACGATTCCACAAAAGGCTTCCCGCTGATTAACCTTTGGTCATAATATGTGAGCAAGCGAAACATATACCACGAAGATAGGGACATGCTTCGGAGAGTCTGATTAAGTAATCTAAACGTTATCTGCTATGGTGACCTGCTACATATGTCCAGCATACGTGCACCGGTGGGCGGGATGATAAAGACGATGGACAGGCTTTGATCTAAGTTCAAGCGAGCGTTTCCGGACAGAGGTCAGACCACTGGGAAGACGCAATGCAATTATTAACCGATATCGCTCGTCTTCGTCAGTCAGAACTCCCAAGGTTCCAGCGCGGATGGCATCACTTTATGTACATAAGCGGATATAAGAGCACGTCATTATGGCGTCGATATCGACAACCACTAACAACCCAGATCAGGCAGCACACATCTTTTGTTCATAGATATAAATTGTTCCATCTGTTATCTCGACCGTCTCAATGTTTCCCGGGTACTTTTGCCAACAATAGACCGGAAGAGAGCCCAACAGAGCCTCTTATCAATCAGCAGCTTACCTATCCAGCTGTCTTATCCTTTTACAATATAATTCCCATCATGGCCCCCGGCGCACTCGTGTCAGAGACCTCAAGTGTGGGCAGCGGGCTGTCAGGAAAGAGGAAGAACGACCAGGCGCCGCGGTCTGTTTTTCCTGATGGCATTCGCACGTCAGGCCAGCACCCCCCCCTGTACGAGCAATTGCAGCCGTACGCCGACTTCCCCAAGGAGATCACAGGGCCGACGGTGTGGAAAAAAGATGATTACGAGAACAAACCCGAGCGCTGGGTGCACCGGTTTACGGCAGAGGAGATTCAGGAGCTGAGTGACACGTCGGATGCTTTTATCGCCAGTGGGACGCCTCTGACAGGCATCTCCAAGAGCAACTTCCCACTGCCCAAGTTGTCGGCAGCACTTGCGCGAGTCCGTACCGACCTGATAGACGGCAAAGGATTTGTGCTCTTCAAGGGCTTCCCGGCGGATATCTGGGGTCCGCACAAGAACGCGGTCGGTTACATGGGATTGGGCACATACCTTGGATACTTTGTGTCGCAGAACGGGCGCGGCCATGTGCTAGGCCACGTCAAGGATGTCGGCGACGACCCGACACAGATCCACAAGGTTCGTATCTACCGCACGACGGCGCGGCAGTTTTTCCACGCAGACAACGGTGACCTCGTGGGGCTGCTGTGCGTGCACCGTGCGCTCGAGGGCGGCGAGAGCGACATTGTCAGCGTGCACGACGTTTGGAACACGCTGCAGCGCGAGAACCCCGACGTGGCCGAGCTGTTGACGCAGCCGATCTGGTACTTTGACCGGAAGGGCGAGGTATCCGAGGGCGAAGAACCCTACATCCGCCAGTCCGTGTTGTACCTCGAGCCCGGCGGCCAGGAACGTCTGTATATCAAGTGGGACCCATACTATGTGCGCTCGCTGTCTCGCTTCTCCGACCAGGGTCTGATCCCGCCCTTGAGTGCCGAGCAGATACGCGCCATACAAGTTCTCGAGGACACCTGCCAGCGCCTGTCACTGCACATGATCCTCGAGGTCGGTGACATCCAGATCGTCAGCAACAACCACCTGCTGCATGCGCGGACGGCATACAAAGGTAAGTCGCAGCGGGGTGCACGAGCTCACACTGGGGAACTAGAGCTGCCTTTCTGACCAATCGCTCCTCTTAGACTATCCTGCACCGGAACCCCGTCGTCATCTCTTGCGTCTGTGGTTGTCCACACCCGAGAGCGAGGGCGGCTGGAAGTTGCCCTACCCCGACAGCCTGGAGCTGAAGCGGGGTGGCATCCAGGTCAACGACACTCCACCGACGTGTCCTCTGGATGCCGAGTAAGAGGAGGTGGGAGCCCGGGAGGCTGTACAATGTGCGGGTATTTCGATCAATGAATAAAAGCGTCGTTGGTCTGTGTAAATAGGCCGATTTCTGTTTGGCTCTGTCGTATTGATAATGCGCCTCAACGATTTGGTCTTCTTGTAAGAGTTCGATATTCGATCCAGCGACTTTCAGCTGTTGCTTTACTACAGAGACGGTAGCTTTGCAATTGAAGTAAACAACAATTTGAAATTGCGATTCGGCACGGATCAACTATTGGGGCGTTGTAGTGCAATCGCCGCTGTTCGCAGCTTCCCCATACAAGCTACCAGCACAATGTTAGCGCTTTTTTTGCTGGAGAAGACCGGTGCCTAATAATACCTATTATCTGACGATCACAAACGGTCATGGCACCAGTAATGATTTCTCTCAGAAATGTTGCTTCAACTGGTGGGCTGCTTATTGCCCTGGTGGCGTTGTGGTACCTGTATCGTGGATACTGCGTGCGAAGACGCTTCCAGAGATTGCAGAAGCAGGGAGTTGTAAGTGCAGACAGGTCCGATCTCACGAGATGGGTCTAACGCATGTGATGTTTTTTTCATTGGCAGCCCATGATACAGCATCACCCAATTTTCGGGCATCTCATCGCTGTCGGCAAGCTCATGGCAGACATACCCAAGGATGCCCACGGCGATTATCTTATGGTTCTCGTCCAAGACAACTGGCAATACCTATTCCCTAGCTGCAAGCGCTGTCCACCGGCGGCCTACCTCGATCTCTGGCCCTTTTCGCCGCCTATGATTCTCAGCCTGCACCCGGACGTGTCGGCACAATTCACGCAGGACTTTAGCCTTGACAAGGCGCACAGTACGGCCGCATTTCTGTACCCCTTGACGGCCAACCTGGACGTGTCATCAAGTAATGGTTCGCAGTGGAAGCTGCGACGGCGGCGCATATCTCCAGGGTTCAGCATGCAGAATATCACGTTGCGTGTGCCAGATCTGCTCGAGGAGGTGGAGGTTTTTGTGGACGTACTGCGACGGGCAGTGGGCAAGGACGGTGGCTGGGGGCCCGTATTCCCTCTTGAAAAGAAGGCGACGCTCCTGACTCTCGACATTATCGGCCGCTTCACCTTGTGAGTAACGAGATTTGGGATTTGGACTACGACGAAAGGCAGAAAGTAGAAGTGACCCGGTCGGCCAGGGATGTGCGATTGCACGAGCAGACGTCTCCTCTGACGCCGTTCTCTGCCGGGATGCTAGATGTTATTCCGCGGCTGTCTTTCCACATGCACATCGGCAACGTCCTAACGGCACTGAATCCATGGCAGCAGTTGAGGGTGTGGTGGGACAACCGCATGATGGACAACTACCTGCTGCCGATGCTGAAAGCTCGTATTGCTGCGTTAGGGAATGACTCCGGGCCGAGTGACGAGAAGCTGAGCAAAAACCACAAGACGCGCACCGTGATCGACATCCTGGTGCGTGCAATGGCCGACGACCGGGAGGACGAGAGCATGTTTCTGGCTTATGCATTGGCCGAGACGAAGCACACAATGTTTGCCGGTCACGAGACGACGGGCCTTCAGCCTGGCGTGGATCTTCCACATTCTGGCGCTCCACCGAGATGTGCTGGACAAGGTCCGGGCAGAGCACGAGTCAGTGCTAGGACCGGACCCTGCGGCAAGCCTTCGTGCGTCTCCACAACTGCTCGGTCAACTCGTGTACACCGGCGCGGTCATCAAGGAGATGATGCGCGTGCACACCAATGTTGGCACGATGCGCGAGGGCGCACCGGGCTTCCAGCTGTACGGCCCAGCCAGCTCAGGCTTCGAGGGCGTCGCATTCCCTACCGAAGGCTGTGTCGTCTGGGACGGCAATTTTGCCATCCACCGCAACGCAGCGTTGTGGCCGCGGCCCACGGAGTTTGTGCCAGAGCGGTGGCTGACAACAGACCGGTCGGACCCGTTGCACCCGCGGCACAATGCATACAGGCCGTTTGAGCAAGGGCCGCGCAACTGTGTGGGACAGCATCTGGTGGTGACGGAAATGAAGATGGTGGTGGCGTTGGTGGTGTGGGAGCTAGAGCTGGAGCCGGCGTGGGACGAAAGGGACGCGCAGGGAAACACACACAAGAAAGAGACAGTCTGGGGCGAGAGGCTGTATCAAGTCAGCCGAAACGGGCCCCCGCATGTGAAGGACGGGATGCCGGTGCACGTTCGACTCCGACAGGCAGCATTTTGAGAATGTGCTCCAGAAAAGCACAGTGCCGGCGATCTGTGGGAAGGCTAGGGACCTTACGACGTACATTTCACGGCCGGTGTGACGAAAACACCACTCTTACAGCACGTTGCGATGACGACTTTCAGAAGCGAGACACACCATCCAAGACACGGTGTACTTTTCGGTATTACGGTGCGGTTCAACGCAAGACGTTGGGTATCACTATTGGGCAACGTCATACCAGCCAATGCACAGTACAGAAGCCGGTTCGTAGCGGGCTTGGCTCATCGTCCAACAGCGCACTAAGGGCGGTCTCACGCCCCAAATGTCAGCAGCAACCGATGGGGCGATGGTGCGATCCCCAGATCTACACTTTGTCGACGCTACAACAGACTGGCAGAGAAAGAGGCTGCGCTTGTCGTCTTACCTGCTGTACCTTTGTGTTCTGGAACGCAAGACAATAAATGGATAAATACTCGCGCCTTTCGTACCGATAATCTCTCCGCATGTTTCCAATACTGGCGATCCGCAAAACAAGACATGGCAGAACTCGAGGACGGCAAAAGCAGTAAGAAGGCCGCTGAGGCAGACTCGATGCCAGCCGGAGCACTGGACAGCAGAGACGATGATTTAGATTCTGGCGAGAATGACATAGCTATCATTCCCAAGGGCACAATCGACCCGGTGTACGAAGCCAAGGCGCGGGTGCTGAACCGTGCAGTAAGCAATTGATTTCCACTTCTCTCCCGGGCCTTCGGCGTTGACTGACACGCGCAGATCCAGAACATCGGCATGGGAAGGTATCAGTGGCAGCTGTTCGCGGTGGTGGGCTTTGGCTGGGCGAGCGACAACTTGTGGCCGATTGTCACGTCGCTGATTTTTACGGCAATCAAAAACGAGTTCCACCCGTCGCGGGCACCACTGCTCACGCTCGCGCAGAACATCGGCCTGCTCGCCGGGGCAGTCTTCTGGGGCTTCGGCTGCGACGCGTTTGGGCGACGATGGGCGTTCAACGCAACACTGGGCCTGACAGCGGTGTGGGGGATGATCGCAGCGTGCTCGCCCAGCTTTGCGGCCATCGGGGTGTTTGACGCGCTGTGGTCGTTTGGCGTGGGCGGGAACCTGCCGGTGGACTCGGCCATTTTCCTCGAGTTCTTGCCGGCCTCACACCAGTACCTGCTGCCGGTGCTGTCGGTGGACTGGGCACTGGCCCAAGTGGTGGCGACTCTGATTGCGTGGCCGCTGCTGGGCAACCTGACGTGCCAGGAGAACGAGACGGTGTGCCGACGCAGCGACAACATGGGCTGGCGGTACTTTGTGATCACGATGGGTGGTTTGACGCTGGTCATGTTCCTGGTGCGCTTTCTGTTGTTCTCGATCCACGAATCGCCCAAATACCTGATGGGCCGCGGGCTGGACGAGGAGGCGGTGCGGATTGTGCATGAGGTGGCACGGCGTAACGGCACGACGACGGGCCTAACACTGGAGCATCTGCAGGCGTGCGAGCCGGAAGGATACGTGCGACCGACGGACTCGTCAGCAGCAGCGCTGGCATTGGCGGCACTGCGGCGCAAGATGGCCGACATGGATCTGGGCCGAGTACGGGCGCTGTTTGCAACGCGGCAGCTGGGGCTCTCGACGGGTCTCATCATGGCTGTATGGGCGCTGATCGGGCTGGCATACCCGCCGTACAACGCCTTCCTGCCGTACATCCAGGCGACGCGGGGTGCCGACTTTGGTGACGGGTCGACGTACCTAACATACCGCAACTCGCTCGTGGTAGCTGTGATGGGCGTTCCCGGGGCGCTGCTGGGTGCCTGGCTGGTCGAGCTGCCGCGTTTTGGCCGCAAGGGCACGCTGGCCCTGTCGACGGTCGTCACCGGCGTGTTCCTGTACGGATCGACGACGGCCCTGACATCGAACGCGCTGTTAGGCTGGAACTGCGCCTTCAGCCTGGCCAGCAGCACCATGTACGCCGTGCTGTACAGCTTCACACCCGAGCTCTTTCCTACGCCACAGCGCGGGACCGGAAACGCGCTGGCGGCGACGTGCAACCGTGTGTTTGGCATCATGGCGGTGGGTAGCAGATTTCTTTCTTCTTTTTTATCTTTCTTCTTCATACTGGCTGTCCGGTTGCTGACCATGCAGCCCATCATCGCCATGTTTGCCAACCTGCAGACATCGGCACCAGTCTACACGAGCGGGGCTCTCTTCATTGCTGCCGGTCTGCTTGTACTGGTGATGCCGTTCGAGTCGCGGGGCAAGTCGGCACTGTAATCGTGTAAGCTGGATGCTTGCGAGGGAAACGCGTTGATAAGCGATGAGAGCGAAACCTGTCTGCCTAAAATGGACCGTGACAACAATATTCCTAGGCACTGCTCAGCACACCATTGCATCTTCCATGTCCTCCTTCCAAGCCCGCTTGACCTGGTCGAGGAGGCCGTCGACGGTGAGCACATCCAGGGCTGTGCCCGCAAGGCCCTTGCCAGCACGCAAGGCATGTTCAAAGGCGATGCGCGTGCCTGCAGCGCGCTCAAAGTCGACAGTGTGGGGGCCACCACCAGGACGACTGCTGCCGTCGATGGGGATAGACGGAATGCGGAAGCCGGCGCTGAGGCTGGGCATCGCGTAGCTGACGTCGCCCTGATCGGTACTGGCAAGAGTCCTTCCACGGGCGTCGTCGACGTCGAGATTGTCGGGGATGTGCTCGTCGTCCGGGACGGCAGGGTCCTGGCGCACGAGTTCGTTCCAGTAACGTGAATACGCGCAGGCCAGCAGCCGGTTGGGGATGTGATCGGCGTAGCCGCCGCGTTCATCAAGCGTCAAACGGGCGCCAGTAGCCTCGGCACCAGCACGGAAGCAACCGTCAACCTTTTGGCGCAGCTCAGCGAGGCGACGCTTCGAGGGTGCTCGCACGGCGAACTCGCCGGCCGCGTGCTCGTGGATGATGTTGGTGGCTGCGCCGCCGTCGGTGATGCGGCCCTGGATGATGTCGCCCGGCGCCGTCTGCTGTCGCAGCATTGAGAGGCCCGTGTACGCCTGCACGAGAGCGTCCAGCGCGTTGACACCCTGCCACGGCGACGCGGCCGCATGGGCTGCCCGGCCCTCGTACGAGGCCATGAAGTTGGTGATGGCTGTCGTGCGCATCATGGCGCTGGGCGTCGTCGTGCTTGGGTGCGTGATGAGCGACACGTCTGCGCCATGCTCACGGTAGGCGCCGGCTTCGAGGAGGCAGACCTTGCCACCGCCATCTGAAGGGTCAGTACGGAGTAGGGGAGGGGAATCAGGGGGGTGAAGCAAGAGACGGAATGATGAGCGAAGAAGAGCAGAACGGTGGAACGGAACGGTGAACGAAGAGTCTAACGGTGGAAACGAAAAGGTGGAGACGGAACTAGAGACGGACAGTGGGGATGACGAGCACGATGAAACGAAGAACGGAACAGCGTGATAACAAACAGAACTCACCCTCTTCGGCCGGGGTTCCAAAGACGACAATCTTTCCTCCGAGACGATGCTGCCACATCACCTCGGCTGTCGCCAGGCTGCCGGCCACAGACGCCGTGGCAATCAGGTTGTGGCCGCAGGCGTGGCCGACGCCGGGTAGCGCGTCCATCTCGACGTTGAACGAGACGACCGGCCCAGCTCGCCCGCTATCGTAGACGGCCACCCAAGCTGTGCGCATACCATAGGCCTCTCGCGTGACCGTCCAGCGTGCGCTGTGGTTGCCGCTGCCGATGGCGCGCCCTTCGTAAAAGGCCGTCAGCCGTCGGTGCGCCTCGAATTCGTGAAAGGCCAGCTCCGGGTGGTCGTGGATATGCCGATTGAGCGGCCACAGAGACGCGCTGGCCTGGTCGACACACGCCGAGATTGCGGCGAGATACCGTGGCGGTGAGGCCGACCGGCCGGATACCTCCCTGGCCTCTCTGGCCTCTCTGCTGCCCAGCTCGACCGCATCTGCGTGCGACACGAGCACGAAGCCGTCGCTCTCTAGTAGAGTCTCCGTCGTGGCCATTGCAATGGAGAACTGGTGAACTGTGATGATGGCATTGGAGTCCTGGCGCTTTTTGGAATTCAGCATTTCCGGGTATTATGCATGACTAAGCAAGTGCGGGTCACAGTCCCTTAAACCAGTCGCACATCTGGACACACCGCCCTCCCTTTCCTTAGTTAAGGGCATTGCAGATATTAATTAGACCTTCAAAGCATAGACATTGGGTTTGATCCTGTGACTTGTACTCTGCGCACCACTATTCTGTACGCGCAGTCTGCGCGAATACCAGTGTAAGACCCGTACATTAACCCTTGTGGGATATACGTCTAGACTGGTTGCACGTATCCTACATAGTAAGCTCTAAGACCTTTAGAAGATCTAGTGATATATCTCGTACGGTAGTTGACTCCTTACAAGCAGATTGCCCGCGCGCATTCGCAAGCGAAGATTTACGTTAATTACTACTTTGTAAGTAATATATAGTGTGTTATTAACTATGTTTATAGGATAGGTTAGCTAGCTAGTGCAGTTACTTATTGTACTAGTCTACCTCCTTGTTAGTCTCTATGCTGCAAGGGATGTCGTTGGGACTGAATGCGGATGCGCTTAAACCTCATTCGTTGCTGACTTGTGTGAAAAGCGAAGCGAGATTGACAGAAAACAAAGAGAATTAGCTGAAGTCAATATTTGCGTGCAAGATTGGAAAATTCACCAGGATTGATACGGAAGAGAAGACGCCGGATGAGGAAACGAAGAACATTCAATGAAGTGAATATGACTATAAATACCTACATACAAGTGGCAAAGAAATATGGCCACGTCTGAGTCTTGCAACTATTTACTAGCATTTTTATGGTGCACAGCCGAACATAATAAGAAGATCATTCCTACCAAATCTCACATGAAAGTTTTCAAGTCTTTGGTGACCTAGACGAAGCATCATGGATAAAAGACTGTCTCCGGCCAGAGCGAAGAAAGTAATCGACTTGCTCGGGGCTCGCCTTCGCAAGGAGATTCGCAGCATATACGGAAAGGTTGATGATACGATGGCCCAGTACATGATCAACGAGCTCCACAGCCAGATGATAGTTACAGTGCCCCACAACCGACTGTACATGCCATGGACGGCGAGCGACGAAGGATTTTTGGCGATGTATAAAAGTGTCGGGAGACCGGCCAAAGAGAAGGGCGACAAGACCCGGAATGCGGACGATGCGGACAATGTGGACAATGTGGAAATCAAGCGGGAAGACGCTCCGGGTGAAATGGGCGAAACTATCGCCTTTGCTGCTAATATGAGAAAGCGAAAGCAGTTGGCAACTCCAATGATGGAGCTAGAGGCACCGCGAAAGAGAAGACGGCCAAGAAGGAGTCTGGAGTCTGGACTGTTGGACCAGCCGGAATGGATAGCAGAACTGGCAGTGGAGCAATTTCAGCACCGACTCAGTCAGACGGACACAGATGTGACTATCACAGAAAGTGACATCAAGCTCTTCTTCTCGGCTGCTCTCCATTGGATATTCCACGGGTCAACCCGAGGACTGCTCCCAGACATCCTCCGAGAGAGCTTCGGGCACGGAGGCAGGTTCAACTTGAATAACATAGCGTGAATAGGTTGTCGGAAAAGCTGCGCGTGGAAGAGCAAGACACTGAGATGGCCGAATTTACCCAGAAATGAGGCGAGATGGCCCTGCATGAAGGGACACAGAGAGACAGTGTGCGCCTGCTCATGTTCTCACGCAAGGTGGAAGTGGTGCATCGCTTTGACGGCCTGATGCGACCGGAGAGGCGGCAGTGGACGATCGACCTGCTAAGACGCCACGGCTTACGTTGTCGCCAAGGCCTGAAAATGCGTAACTGTGTCACACAGTTCCTCAGCACGGAGCTCGGCCTATCGAGCAGGAAGGCGTCTTGGACTCTATCCGAATTTGGCGGTCGGTGGCCGAAATTTCCGAGTGCTTCGGCCAGGGCGCCCTGCTCTTTCTCAATGTCTTACCGGAAAGGACGGCAACTCGACTGTACTCGTCGGGTCATCGAGTATCCTGCGACAGGCGCCGGTTACCACCATTACTCGCCGCGGCGCGCGAACAGTATCCAGGCATCCAGCACATCTGTGACCTGGCTCGGAAGAATGTGGTGGAGCCGGTCCTCCAGCAGCACAGTCTTCCTGTAACGCCGGCACCAGAGTTGGGCCTTTTGCCGCTCGAAGAGGCGCTGCGGCGAATTGGGCAGTCATGAAAGAGCTGGTTCCGACTGAAGGAGGCATAACCACGGTATATGTATTGCGACCTGAATTGTGGGGTAGTCCAGTCTGGTTGTGCATGGATAGTTCTGAAGATCCTGTACTCGTATGTATTCCGATTGCGTATGCATTCAACCTTGTTTTGCAGTTTTGTGGCGCCAGTCTGACTACGAGTCCAAGATGGACTCGCCAGTTGTTTGACGGTGGGTTGTTTCTGGCTACCGCTGGCACCACGTCTTTCGAACCAAGCATAAATCATACTTTTCCAAGGACAAGCGAAGATGGTATTTAAGCGCGTAGGATCTCCATAGAAGCACCACATGTACTCCTTTGTAGACCGCGCTTCCACTGTTCGAGGTTCTGTTAGATATCTTAGATTTGTTCCTCGCCGTTCTGCGCAAGGATTATTCCCCGGCCAAACTCGTACTTACGAGCGGTTGCATTGCACACAGCTGATGCTGTGGCCCAGTTCACTGCCAAGTCCACTAGTCGTCCGTTCGGAGCTTATTCGCGCACGAACACGGACTATTTGGGCGGCATTGGGAGCAAGTAGAAAAAGGGACGAAGATGCAAAGATAATTTTATCAGATGTCCGTCGCTTCGAGTAGTCTGTCGAGATTTGTCGTTGGCCCCTTGGCACACTTGGCGCTTTGGCCAGCCTGGGACGTTTGGGTTTTCTAGGCTGCTTGGCCATCTTGGCGCAGAGCAATTGTTCGACAGCACGCGGCCACTGAGCTCCGAGCCCAAGTAGAATGGGGAAGTACGTCCCCGACAGCCAAGGAACCCAGCACAGGCAGTCACCAGTTTATCAGATCGGATGTGGACCCGAGATGGGAGCGAAAATCGGCATCAGCAGCTGCTAGCTCAGTCGCCAAGGAAAGGTCCAGAGGAGGACGTGTTCGTGACCGGGGCTCCAGATGGGGATAAAAGAGAGAATCGCAGCTCCCTCAGACTGCACACCCGGAACTCTCATCCCAGCACCAGCACGACCGAGACCAGGACCAGACCAGCATGACAGACAACCAAGCCGCCGTCTCTGGCGCGGCCAATGACAAGGAGGCCCAGATCGTCACCACGGCCATGGCGAGCTCTGCAGACAATGACAGCGCGTCGCTGCACAGTGCCGGCGGCCGCAGTCTCCGGGTGCCCATGACGATGAAGCTGCTGTCTGTCGTGCTCGTGTCCCTGATCGGCTTCGGCTCGCACTGGAGCTCGGGCGTGACAGGTGCCATGAAGAGCACGCTGAAAAAGGTACGCTCCCGTCCTTCCTTCCTGTTGTCTTCGTCTCTTGTCGGCCTGCTCACGCTCGGCAGAAATTGCACATCAACAACGCCGAGTACGCGCTGCTCGATGCCAGCGAGGACTTTATCAAGTCGGCCCTCATCGTGGGCACCGGCCTGGTGACCGATCGGATCGGTGGTGCCCACGCGCTGCTCTGGGGTAACTCCCTCTACAGCGTGGGGGCCATCCTGGTGGCAGCAGCCACGACGGTGCGCAGCTACCGCTTCATGATCGGCGGCATCGTGGTGCAGGCCATTGGCGATGTGACCACGCAGGTGGCCCAGTACAAGGTCTTCTCGTCCTGGTTCGCGCCCTCGGACGGTTTTGCTTCCACGCTCGGCTTTGAGCTTGGTCTCGGCAAGATCGGCTCCTTTGTCGGCCAGGCCACGGCCAACGTGATCGCCCGTCGTCTCGGCGACTTCAGCTGGGTTTACTGGATGGCCGTGGTGATGAACGTGTTTACCAACATCGTCACCGTCGGCTTCTTCTATTTCACCCGCTGGTGTGGCCGCCGCTATGGCGACCTGGCTGATCCGGCCACTGGCGAACGACTGACCGAGAACAACAAGTCGTTTGAGCTGAAAAAAGTTTGCGCCTTGCCGTGGCCCTTCTGGGCCGTCATGGCCTTTTCCCTCTTCGAGACGTCGACGGCCATCGTCTTCTCCGGCAATGCCACCGAGCTGGCCGAGCAGCGCTTCCACATCGACTCCGTCAAGGCCGGCTGGTATGCGGCCCTCAGCAAGTATACCGGCTTCTTTCTGGTTCCCGTGCTCGGCTTCGTCATCGACCGCTTCGGCCAGCGCCTTACTATCATGCTCGTCTGTGGTGCTTTCATGTTCACCGCCATGGCCCTCGTCGCCTGGGGCGAGACCGTCTCTGGCACCGCTGCCAGCTTCGGCGTCTATGCTGTTGCCTTGTCGCTCGGTCCGACTACCATCATCGACTCGACCCGCACTTCCATGTGGTATCCCGAGGTCTTTGGCTCGGCCTATGGCATCAAGATCGGCCTCAACAACGCCATGAACATCATCATCCGCATCGTCACCGGCGTTATTCAGGACCAAGACAACGACAGCTACGACCGCGTCGTCATCGTCTACGCCGTCCTCGCTGCTGCCTCCCTTGTCGTCGGCATCAGTCTCGTCATCCTGGGCCGTTTTAGCATCGACCTCGGCCGTCTGCAGTGGAGTCGCATCAAGCGCATGGCTAAGGGCCACACCATTGGCGAGCGTCGTGAGCTCTTTGAGACAGGCAAGAACGCCAGACGTCATCGCCTTTTCAGCCAGTCCTGCCTCGTGGCTGCCATCTCTCTGATTGTGGGCTCGTGGATCGCCTACTTCTGGGGCGTTGCAACAGGCAACAATGACTAAGCACATAGCTTGTGTGCCGTACAATTTGCAAAAAGTAAAAGAAAAGAAATAGGATTGTGAATTAATTCTTAGAGATAGAAATAGAGTCTGCAAGGGGGAAAAAATAGCAACTCCTCGTTTCGATCAAGGGACCTCCGGGTTATGAGCCCGGCGCGCTTCCGCTGCGCCAAGTTGCTTATTCTTGTGTTCGATGAGTAAGAATGGCCAGTGGGGCTTTATTATCGCAGTGGCGCCGATCAATTCGCTTTCGAGGAATGGGGCTAGACATCTACGACGTACGTCGTAAGGAAAAATATTGTTTCCTCCGCAGGAAGACTACGACGTACGAGTGCAAAGGATGCCCTATCTCGGACTAGTGACCCAATCCGACCACTTTCAAAGCTTGAGGAAGATACTGAGTAGGCAGTCGATTTCTGCTCGGCTCGCTGAAAAATAAGCATGACGCATAGGAACGAGTATACATAGGAAAGGAGGCCTAGATCTATGCTATCTTAACTTCCATACAAAAACATGCCCAATACGGAGTAGGCCGCAACTTGGCTTTCCTGCTCTAGTCGAAGGGGTATATTGCCGCTTTGAGCTGTGTACTCCATAGGGTAATCTTTAGCCGTCCCTCTGGTCCGTCAGCCTTGACCCATGTCCGTTTTCCCTTATGTCTCGTACGAGCACTCCACCCGGGTTAGTATTCAATGAAATGTCACAGCATGCCTTCCCTTATGGAGTACATACTCCTTCAGAAGTGGACAGTGCACAGAAGTGATAAGAGGAATACATACGAGTACCTTGATGTGCTGCTATGTACTCCGTACAGAGTGCATATTTGATAAATGACAACGAACCTGTTCAAGTTAGTTCGCATAAATGCAGGCTATGTGGAACCAGAGAATGGGGCCGGATGAAACAATAGGCCATAGGCAAACCAATACGACAATAGTGCTTGCATACAATACAAGTCCCCAGACATGATGAGTCAACTCTCTGAAACTCTGCATCTGTACTCCGTACGGAGCGCAACGTACTCAATATACCATATGTATGTACTTGTATCCTGTAGTATGATAGCATACTAAAATACAACTACTCCGTACGGAGTATCCACTGGCGTTACTACCGGCTTTCATGAGTGTGGGGCCGATTGTCGATGGTCTGAACTCGGTACGGAGTACGGAGTACTCCTCCATATTAGGTCCTTCTCGTACGGAATACAATCACCTGACAATAGCCCATCGCACCGCCAGATGGAAGCAGTTGCCAGTTGTGCGGAGTATAAATCTGCACAAGGTCTACCACACGTTCCTCGAATCCTAAAGGCTATTTATTGTCCCTTAAATTATAAACACGTTTTGCAAAGCACATACTTTACGTGCCTAACCGACGACATGTCTGCTTGGGAGGTAAAGGGCAAATACGCCATCGTGACTGGTGCCGGAAGTGGTACGTGCCCTTGAGGGTTGAATTGCCAAATAGGAAATGCCGTGACTGATTGGCGCTCGTCACAACAGGAATCAACCATGCCTTCGCAGAGCAGCTTCTTTTAGCCGGTTGCTCGGTGGTTTTTGCAGACATTGCCCTTCGCCCAGAAGCCGAAGCAACAATCGCACAGTTTCCTTACCCACCTAAAGACGGAGCCCCTTCGGCTGTGTATCATAGCTTAGACCAGTCCAACTGGTCCCAAATCCAGGATACTTGGGATTTCACCATAAAGACATTCGGCAGAGTTGATCTTCTTTGTCCAGGTGCCGGTACCTGGTACGATCGTCGCTCACCTTTTTATTTCCCTCTCTCTAGGCTTCGGACCATTTGCTAACCCGGGTTTCAATCTTCATCAGGGAGCCACCAGCAAGTGCATTTTGGCAGCCTCCAGGAATCTCACCTCTTTCCAAAGATGACCCTAATAGCACTCTGGGTGTCTATAAGATATTCGCTGTCAATGCGTTGGGTCCCATCCGATTCGCACAAATTGCCCTGGATTACTGGCTGCAGAACAAGATTGCTGGCAACCTGATTTTGGTCTCTTCTATGAGTGCTTATTTGCCTTCTATTGGCACTCCGCTGTATAATGCATCTAAGGGTGCTCTCACGAGTTTCACTCTCAGCTTAGCGCAATGAGGGCTCGGCTCAACATCCGTGTTGTGGCCATGTGTCCCGCGACAACATATACACCGGCCGTGCAGAAGGGATACTGCTCTGGAAAAGTACGCGAAACCGACATGAACATGACGTCCACAGAATGTGCCGAGGCAATGTTGCGCATTGTGACAGAAGCCGAGTTTGGTGATGGCAACGTGGTGGAGGCCATGCATTTTGGCACTAAAGAAAAGCCTGATGTCAGAATACGGGTGGTTCCGTACCAGAAATTGGCGCCAGATATCAACGTGGAGGGTGAATTCAGCGGCAGAAACATTCTGATCGAAGAGGAGAAGCAGTGGGAGCAGCTGACGACCAAGGGAATGCGATCCTGAAAAGGGTGACCCAGCGGCACTGCAATACCAAAGCGTGCAGTAGCCTCCACTAGGTTGATATAACTAGCATTTTATCGTAATATTGTTTTCAGTATGCAAAGGCAAACTATCAGTAGCACACTAAAGACAAGGATGTCGGCAATGCTGTTGTTTTTGCCGATTTATGGTATTTCCGTCATCAGAGCCATTTTCGCAATTACTTAGTATCTCATTACTGAAAATCATATAATGCATGCATGATTTGCAACTTGGCACTGACCAGGCCTGGATAAGCAACTGTGCGAGCAGTGCTGGTACAGACGTACTCGAGACATAAGCATGCTTCCGTTAATCTCGCATATTTTATCAATTTAATGCCCCGTCTACTCCGTACACCGTTCGATCTCGCTGTATCCTCCTCACTGAGAGCAGTGCTTGTACTTCCGCATTTTTCTTTTTCCTGAGGCCAAATCATAGAGCACGGTTGCGGTTGCGACCAATGGTACCGCAACCTCCACACTATTCAGCCGTAGTATGGGTACCCGTAGTCCCCCTAACTGCAACGCAATTAATATTTCCCTGGTACTGCGTGTTACCCCTTGACAGCTATCGACAAAGCAAGCACCCTGTGTGGAGCACACGGCGGTCTTTCCGTAGTAAGCGGTTATCTTTGCCGGTCAGCAGAAGAGGCCATACTATGTAATAATGCCCCTCCCCCCTGAAGGATATTCGGAATTGTGATATGAAACGATGAAGATACTACGGGACACTCCCAACAAATAAGAGCGAATTCTGTCTGTTGTTCAAGCGCTTCACCCCAAAGTTTTGCTATTTTTGTTCTGCTGTTTTCGCTTTTTTTAAAGAGCTGGGACAAAATGCCACCGCCTGGATGGAAACCGATCCAGCCAACTGGCTTGGCCGCAACAATTTTAGCCGTTAGAGTAATCTTTTCAGCACTGAGCACCATTGTGCTATCTTTGCAGATATGGGCCCGCTACTCGAACCGTATATTTGCACTTGAAGATTGGCTGATGTGTATTGGCTTTGTAAGACCTACTTTGATCTGGCGATTGGACACCGATTTACCCGCTGACGTATCTACCAGATAATAAACATGACACAATACTCTGTTGTGTGCTATGGGACATTCACAGGACTAGGCTCGTATGATGCAGATATCACTGGGGGGACTACCGGAGCCACATACATGGAGGGAATCAAGGTAAGTCTTGTCAATGATTCCTACAAGCGTGTATATTTTTAAAGGTTAATTTTAGGCAATAGTCGATATTTCTATGGCAGGTTTTCTTTTTGAGCGGTTTCGGTTTTATCAAATGCAGCATATGTGTCACCCTTTTACGTATCGCTGCGGTCCGCTGGCATCGAATCGTCCTGTGGACTCTCATCGTTATCACAACAATCTCCAGCATCTTTGTCACCATTTACGTCCTGGCTCAATGCAGGCCAATAGCTCGATCTTGGGGTGAAGTAGAGGGCACTTGTCTTCCAAAAACAGTCACTGTCGTGATCACGTTGGTCATTTCCGCCCTCAACATCATTACCGATGTCACAACGGCGATTCTTCCCTTCCTTATGTTGAGAAAGGTGCAGATGGAAAAAAGACGGAAAGTTGCGATTACGCTGGTTCTGTCCCTCGGAATCCTGGCTTCAATAGCAACAATAGCGCGTCTTCCTTTCGCCGATGCTTACTTTGCCAAGGAAAACTATTTAGGTAGGAGTTGGACGGTTCATAACTGTGAAATGCTTAGTATACGCTGACCGGTCTGTCTTTGATTAGTTGGAATTGGACACGTCATCCTTTTCAGCATGCTAGAATGCGACCTTGCCCTCATTGCTGGTTCGCTGCCCATGCTTCGAGCATTTATCAAAGGATTGCGCTCGTCGGCCTCTGGGTCGAAATCGAAGACGCCCTACGACCAGTCTGAACTGGTGACTATCGGACGAAAAGGCTATACGCGGCATACTGACATTTCCAGAGAGGAGGCAGGTGACGGAGATGGGAGTGCCATCGGCGTTGGAGGAATCACTGTCGGGCGAGAATTTATTATTACACACAAGGAAAGGTCTACTGATAGCCTGCGGCCTTAGAAATGGAAGGATCAGTGTTGGGGTTGTCATCTTCGCATGCAGGTAGCTAGCTCGTACCTTTTCTTCTTTGCATGCCAACCCGGATAATACTAACATAAGACAAACCTAATAAGCAAGGAGGCAGTAGAGCTGGACCACTGTAGACGCCATAGTAACCTACAGCTTGCCCTTGGTCCAGCTCGTGCCGGCGCATATTGCTTACACAAGAAAAGTTGTGCGAAGATGCTTCCCTTGACTTTCACCTACATTGACAGTTAAATCGTACAGTTGCCTCTGATTGGTATCATATGCTGTTTCCACCACAACTAGCACAGATAATGCCATAATAAAGATTCGGTATACAGAGACAGAACGAAATGTTAGTAATATTGTATAGCACTATTTTCTTGGCTTAGGTAGTTGCAGTCCGATGCTAGGTTGATGTTGCCAGGGCCATGTCAGACAATCGTTGCGGGCGGTGCACCCATCTAGGCTCCAATTCTTCTCGACGAGGGACTTTAGACACACCGAAATAATCAAAGAATCCAGCTTTTTTGTTCTGCTTAGTTGATCGCCAAACTTGAAAAAATAAACGCTGGAAATCGCTACTATCGGACTTTGTTAAGGCCCGAGGCTGGAAGAAAGACACGGCTAAGTTCATAGCACAGGAACGTCTTGACAAACACAAACACAAAAATGCTAAATGCAGTTCATGGCAAAATTATACATTATTGCATTACATACATTCCCTTATGTGCTTTTGCTAACGATAAATGTTTCAGCCGCAGTGGCCCAAGTGGGAATCTCCTCACGATGAGCAGTTGTGTCGCTGCCGGACGCACAGTAGACGTCGCCTACGTCACAGTAGCTCTGGATCTTGTCTGCATATGTGTTCAGTAGCTCAAGGCTGGAGTGGCCGCGCGAGAAGATCTGTAATTTCTGTTAGAAGACCTTTTCATCGTATCGGCGAAAAGGGGACCAGGTTACTTACCCCGTCGCTGCTCGTGTCGGTGCCAGCGTCAAAGGTTTGTCCGTGTGTAAATGTTGGGTCTCCAAAGACGGTAACGGCAGAGACTAGAGACGATGTTAGATACCTCGCCGTAATGTAAGGTACGGTCCTTCAGCAACGTACTGTGATCCACGTAGCTCGCTGTGAGCGGCGTAGGCTTGAGGACACCACCGGCAAGCGCATCGGTAATGACATTTCCTCCTTGGCTGAAGCCCACCAGCACAATCTTGCCTTCACAAGCATCGGCATAGTCTTGAACCAAGGTGATCAGGGCTTTGATGCCGTCAGTCACGGAGCTGCTGTAGATCGGATCAACGACAGAAGCGGGATAATCCAGGGCAATGCTTCCAGAGCTCGGAATAGCTTCTAACACGTCGTTGACGACGGTAGCCGTGCTGCCAAATCCCGCATCTTCTTCACTGCCGCGAACACCAATGACATAAACACCGCTGTAACAGGTAGTGCGTGTTTTTAACTCGACTGGCGCAGCGACTGTCAAAGCCGCAAGAGCCAAAGTCGAGAGCGTAGTAAATGTCAACATGATGATTGTTTTGCGTATATATTCGACTGTGTGCCTGAAGACAGTGCCTTCGCCCTTGATCAGTGTGCTTGCCAGGACTGAAGAGACCGATCGGGTAACGAGGGGATGCGGGAGTTCTTATTATGCCCGGAAAGACCACTCCATTATCGGACATTCAAGTAGGATATCTGCGACAGAGCGAATCACTTTTGTCTAGGCGGCCATCGTGGCCATGCGACATTTAGCAATTGGCGGAGCTCAATGCACCTATGGAGAACTATCCCATGTGGGTAGGTGTTTCTGTGTTCGTGATAGCCTTGACCCCTAAACGGCAAGTCGTCCACATAGCCCCCAGCAGAGGCATGCGATCGACCAAATTGGTCTGGGAATATCACCTGCACTGGCCCGTGACACGACGTGAAAACCGACAAGCTCATTGGCCGCATGCTACTTTTGGTCGCATAAATTTGTAGCTTTTTCACACCGAGTGCTACCCTGTTTGCCGCGCATCGAACGGGTACCAATTCAAGATGAAAATTGCTATTTTTCTACTCCGTTGCATTTTAACTATGCTCCTGAAACAGACTGCGCCAGGTTTAAGGTGTCGGTACCAGTGACAAATGCTTGCCTCGACACGTGGGCTATGCATTGTCTCGCTACCTGCAATTTACGCTGCGGCCCTGATACTAAAGTAAAAGGCGCAGTGTAATACCAAGAAATCGGCCCGTGCCGAACAGTCGCCGGCGTATGCGGTTACGAGTGAGTACTCCGTGCACCTCGGGGTTTTAAGCCACACTCCGGTTTGCACGTGAAACGACCCACTCTGGTCGTGTGAAATCGCTACCAAATACTCCGTAGGTTCTAGAGAGAAGTACTCCATACTCCGTACGACGTACATAGCTGAGAATTGTGGTGGTTTTGAGAATACTGAGGAGTATTTTGTTTCATATGTGTATCATCCATCTAAATCATCGGACGGGGTTTATGCAAACTCGAGCATTCCAGGAGTGTTAGGACAGGCGTACAATATGAGACGAACCCGTACGGAGCAAATTACAAGTCATGGGAGACTGTTAAGGTTCGGTGATACTACTTGAACTTGGGCGGTCACTATTATATAAGCGCGGGCGTACACCTTGCAAAAGAAGGCCATACTGAGGAATATGGCTACTGTGCTGATGGCACTCGCGGCGGTGTATGCTTTCACACCTGTGACAGCCATGTCGGCAGATGTGATGAGTGGCTTAACCTGCTTCCTGATAGGAATTTCCCATCAGTGTCTGCCGCGGTGTAGGAAGCCGCCGAGGACGCCTTTTGTTGCTGTCGGCATTCCCTGAAGAACAGCCTCATTGTTCGAGTAACACTGTCGATTAAAGATTTTCTTAACATTGAGCAATAAATTGGTTATGGTAGAAAGTTGAGCAAAGTTTAGTAAAGTGAGAGGATGTATCTAAAACGGGGCTGCTTCACGTTGCCTTTTATTTGCCCTCATTTCACATAGACAGTCTTTGGGACTCTCTTCAGGGTGGCTATCGTAAGGCTCGCATGTAGATCGAACCAGAGCATTCTCCTCTTTTGGTTTCTCGTCGCCTACCGTTAAGGTAAACCAAAACCTGTTCTCGGGCCCGTTTCTACCAGAGGTGTACGTACAGACCTTGCCATGTCTACTTGGCACTGACATATGAGCACCTTACAACGGCGCATGCATATTTGACAACCGCTGACATTTACGCAGCCATCGAGCGCACAAATAGTGCATAGTAAGATGTGCAGATGTCGTAAAAGCGCCGCCACTTCGCGAAACAAAGTCTGCATTCTGTCAAAACTCGGTCTGATACAAACTCGCCTGTATGTTGTTGTATTGGCAAAGAAGTCGAAGTGGCGGTGCCGCTAATCATGCAGAGGTTTGCACATCCACGTTGTGACTTGCTATTGGCCAACTATTTCTGAGGCTGTCAACTTCCTAATTGCCTCCATGCACAGCATGGATTTTTATTCTCGGTCAGCTGCCTTTGTGCACCAAAGTGGCTGCGATCTCGCCCCAAAATTGTCTGGTATCCTACTGCATCATCCAGGTCTTTGCGGCTCTTTTGGACCGATTGGCTACGATCAAGTGTGGATGACGGCCTGAAGGTCTGACAGCCAAGACAACCTGCCGCAAAATACTGCCCGACTTTTTGCCCGCTACTCGGCTAGGACTCCAGGAAAAGATGCACATGTCGCCTGAACGGACTACATTAGTTCGCCGGTGAATTAGCACACGCTGACGGAATACATCCTGCTGTCGGCGGTAGAAAATATTGAGCGCTAGGTTTCTTTGGGTACTATTGGCAATAGATATACAAAGGTAACAAGCAGCCCATTGATTATACCGTGTTCTTACACATTTTACAACGGCCTAGATCAGAAGAATATTGTTGTTTTGTCGTGGCTATGGCTCCGAATAAGAAGACTAATGGTGTTGGAAGAAACGGCATATATGGCTTACAGAAGGCCGGTTTCGAAAGTGGTACCAGTAGTCGCAGTACGAGTGTTGCTGGTTCTACAAATGGATGCTTCTACAAAAACGCATCTGCTACCTCTCCCAGCGATGAAGGACGTTGCATCCGCTGCCAAAAGCCCACAACCAATCGCTGCAGTGGTTGCGACAGTGCGCCGAATCACCCCGACGACGACCGACCCAACGGCACCGGCATCATGGCCGTGAAAACGTTCTACTGTCAGGCAGACTGCCAGAGTGCTGACTGGGCTCACCACAAAGCGACATGCACAAAGCTGCGATCGCGCAGGACGCTGCGCCAGGCTGCGAATGTGCTGCAGATGTCGTTTTGGCGCATCCGCCGGCAAGCATATCCCGTGGCTATCAACAAGGTGGATGTAGTGGCCGACTCAACAGACGTCACCATTCACGCGGACCACACAGACAGCAAAGGCGCAGCTACCTCGCTGCACACCCTGTCTATTGACCTCTTTAAGGGAGACAAGGAGCTTGAGAAAGCAATTCTCTCGCATGCGGCTGCTGCCGACGCCGTTGTTTGTCTTCACGAGATGGCTAGAGAGCTTTTTTCCAGTGAGTTGGAGGAGGTAAGCAGAGTTCAGAGCAGGGAAGAAGCCGCTAATCAGACAGGCCTCTGCTGGTCCCTCGAGGAGGTGACAGTTTTTCCTACCACCGACAAACTGAAAGTCTCCACGACTGGCCATCCTAGCCCGCATGTTTTCTATCCCGAGACAAAAGCCAACGAGCAGCAGCTGTCGCTACACTTTCTATACCGGCTAACGTTAAAAACCGACAAAACCGTGTGGGCTGTCGATGTTACCGGTGCCCAGCACGGGTTTCCGGACGCGCTATGTCCCTGGCCAACGTATGCACGTGATCACTGCAATACCGTCGATAGAAAGACAGTCCAAGAAGCGCATGAAGTCGGATACCTCTGGAACGAGTGGAAGAACGGGCCAGAGTCTGAGAAATGGATTGGCGAAGCACTTATGGCCGAAGTTCACAAGAGTCTCTGCGAAACAGCAGCAGCCCTTGGAGGCGAACTCGGCCGACTAGGCAAACCAGGCATTCAGAAAGAGCGACTTGTGGCACTTGACAGACTTGAAGCAGCTGCTGGCCGGGCTATGATGTCTGTGAAAGAGCATGGCTACAGGATGGGAGTGATAGGAGAGGTTACCGAGAATTGTGGGGTGCATGACGGTGACAGCGAGGAAATCGGAGAAGAGGAGAAGGACGAGAAGGAAGATGAGGGTGGGATCAAACGTGAAACGTCAGTTCAGGATTCTGCTCGCCTTGGCCGCATCACCCAGCTGGAAGCATCTCTAGATGCGGCCGCCAGCAGCATGCGCATCGTTGCCACGCCGCTGGCTTGTCTACGAGAAGCACACGAGCTTCTGCGTTGTTGGAGGACGATACGAATGACAAGAACGACGATATCGATACAGCTATCAACTACAACACTCCCCTCTCCCTCCTCCCTTACCTCCACGCCTTCCAGGTTGCCGTGGCCAACAGCGACGAAGCGCGTGCCCATGTTTTTGCACAGCGTGCCCGCATGCACGACTGCGCTACCCGGCCTGCAGACCATCCGCTTTACGGTCGCACCCATGCATGGCGCCAGAGTCTTGCTGGCATTCCCATCGGCCTCGGCCCAGACGATTTTGAGGCTTGGCTGTGGCGAGAGGATAAGGCTGCCAGCTTTTGTGGGACAAAGAATGGAAGGACTGCTGCGTGTTTAGCTTCACAAAGTTGGCGGTAGAGAATCTGATTCTTAGAGCATGGAGGCAATCGAGCAAGCCAGAAGACATAGTTGTTGCATCACATCGACGATCAGTAATCAAAATATTCAACTATCACTCATTGGAATGGATCACTGAAAATTGTGGGATGCTCCGTATAAGATGTTTAATTTAGAGCGAGATAAAGAACAAGAGTACTTCTAATCTACTCTTCTTATGGCTCTATGAAGCCTCCAGGGTCGTCTCCTGTCCTAACTCATCATCCAACTTCGGCGTGCGGGCGAGCCAGCGGCGAAAGACATAGACCATGAAATGAGCGACAAATATCTGCTCGGTAGTGAACATGAGGACCGGAATGGATGCAGTCGACCGCGGCAACAGGTCGACGGTGATCCACATGGCGTTGAGCAGGGGAATGCCAAGAGCGGTCGTCTTGGCCGGCCCACAGAAACAGATGGCGATCGTCTCGAGCGGTTCGACCTTTGTGAAGAGAGCGCGGCCGAGGCGAGACGACGGCCAAGGCCGCCACGGTGGCCGTGCCAGAACAAAGACGATAGCTGTCCAGAGCAGGTAGAGGGCGACGTTGAACAGCAGGATAAAGGCGATACATCCGGGCTTGAGCAGCTCAAAGGCGTTTGTGGCAAAGCACGACGAGAAGGTGGTCCTGGTGGCAAAAGTAAGAAAGAGGGAGGAGAAGATGGAATGTTGAAGAGTCTATAAAGATGAAGAAAATAGCCAAGGAAGGAGTAGAAGGGAGAAGAGAAAAAGAAGCAGAAAACCTCATACCACGTAATCAAAAGCAAACAGACGGTCGACAGTTTCTTGAGGTAGAAGCGGGTCAATGTGGACTCGACAACGGCCGGCCAGGCCCAACGCAATGACTGACCGACGACGAGAGGTAGAAGGACGCTGAGGCCGATCTCCTTGAAGACGTGGACATACATGGGCCGCAGGTCAGCGCCATGGCCGCGCCAGATGTCAAAGTCGGACGAGCGCGGCAGCAGGGCGATGGTCCAGGCGGGGGTAACAAAGGGGCCGATGAGGTTAGCGACGAGGACTTCGACGAGCACAGCGGCCTCGTCGCCGCCGGCGGCACGGGTCATGACAGAGTTGGACGAGATGGTGGTGGGAAGGCAGCCGAGCAGGACGTAGCCGGCGACAACGGCGCGATCAATGACGCGGCGATGGTCGGCGGCGACAATGATGCGCAGGACGGCAGTCAAGATGGCGGGCGCGACGACAAAGGACATGCCCTGGACGAGGACGTGCAGTTGCCAGTTGGTCAGATGGACGATCAGCTTCTCGCGCGGGATGCTGAGGCCAGAGATGAGGAAGATGTAGGCCACGGCGCCGTAGAGGATGCTATACTGCGATCGGATTGTGCCGCCACTCTTGGCCACGTCGGGATAGAAGTAGCCGAGAACGCAGGCAACACCCATGCCGATGAGCAGCCACTGATCGAGCAGCAGGAGAAAGAGCCGCTTCGCCGTGTGTGGCCATCGAGCGGACTGTGATGATGGCGGCGATACGGGCGATGGCGACACCGGCAAAGATGCCTGTCTGGCCTCGGCTGCGATGGCAGTGTCCTTGTCTAGGAAGACACCATGTCCGTCGGAGATGACGCTGCCAGGAACCACCGCCAGCTCGTCTTGGCGTCGCTGCGGGTCGCTGCTGTCATTCATCGCATCTGCAACCGGGCCCGGTTTAGTGGTTGAAGAGCGCCGAGTAGATGCAGAGACAGCCGAGGCCAGGTACAACTCACGTGGAAGCCGTGCTAGACAAAGCTTATCTTTCGCCATGCTTGGCGCTAAAGAAGAGAGAAGGGGTTCAGACTCCCAAAATGGAGCTCACAATTTGGCCTGCTCACATCCAGGTCACCGTCAGTACAGCTGCAACACAAACGAAATTTCACAAGCAACCGTGCGGCTGCTTCTAGTGTATCTTTTCATAGTTAACAGTGAAAATAGAGCTCGTCAGCTTAGTCGTCCATGATGCGACTCGTTCTTTTCCCGCAAAAAAGTCGGCGTCTCCACTGCGAACCGGAAAAAAGACGGAAATATCCCGGAAGTTTCCCGTTAAAGTCGGTGGCCGCTATACACACGCTGCGTGCGCCGAATAAGCACGGAAATAACGGTCCACCTTATATAAGCAACCAATAATCCCTACAGAGCACCGCAGAGGCAAACGCCGCCAAAAAGCATAATCTCAGCACTGCCTAAGTAGCACCAGTACCGGCACCACCGCGCCAGCAGTGGCCTATGGGCCTGCGCAGACAAAGCCATAAAATGACACATTCATACCACGTATACTCCGTAACGTAGTAGCAATAGCACTAGGATCAAGCAGGCTAAGGAGGGCATGCACCCGCAGATTATTACACGTATAAGGCCGCGACGTCGCTTTTGTAGCCAGCCATAAAGCAGACTTATAGTGGAATATGCCACTGTAGAGGAGCTGTGAAAATGTGCTTATTCAGACTTCGTATTATCCCGTCTCATATTCGGTGCACACTGGCGTGTGTATAGCGGCAACCGCTAAACTCCCGTGCTTAGCCGGCAAAGACAATTAAACAAATTTGATTCAAACTCCAATAATATACAAGTTTACGGCCGCTTCCTTCCTATTTTCCTATTCATACACATGATGCAGCTTAGATGCTGGAAAAGGCCGCCAGACTCGACATAGCTTCACCACTGGTTGTGAACATGCAGCAGTAATCGCATGACGAGCCCAGATTGGCGTTGGAGACCCAGGCCGGCTCCCAGTAGAAGAGGCCAAGACCCTTGCTAACACCGGCCACAATGGCGGCGACATCCTTGATCCAGGTGGCCTGGCCGGCCGGCGAGATCGGAATGCTCGTGGTGTCGCTCGGGAAGGCGTACTTCGGGTTGGGGCACGACGACGGCCAGTCGGTCTCGGCGACGACCAAGTCCTTACCCCAGGTCGAGGCCATGTTAGTCAAGCTCGTCTTGAGCGAGGCGAGCGTGGCCTTGGAGTTGTAAAAGGGATAGTACGACACGCCCATGATGTCAAAGTCGGACAGCGTGAGCGGGCCTTCACCCAGCACGGTCGTGTACCAATACTTTTGCGTTTCCCAGTTCCAGCCGTTGTCGAGGTGGATCATGATCTGCGGCTGTGTGCTGAGGGTGGAGGCCTTGATGCCAGCCGAGGCCGAGTGCAGCAGCCGGGCGGTGTTGTACGGGTTCTTGGACAGCTCACCGGTCGGGAAGAGCAGCCCGCTGGTGATCTCGTTGCCGATCGAGATGATCTTGGGCTGGATCCCCGCCTTCTCAAACGTGTCGGCCACCTCGAGCGTATAGTTGTACACCTCCCAGGCGAGGTCTTCGATGGCCGTCGGCCAGCCTGACGGGATCGCCTGGTTGGCCGGGTCGGCCCATGTGTCGCTAAAATGCAGGTCCAGATAGACGCCCAGGCCGGCTGCTACAGCTCGCTTGGCCAGCGCCACGTTGTAGTCCAGCCCGTACGTCTTGTCCGACGGGTTGACCCAGATCCGCTGGCGGACCGTGTTGATGCCGCTCGAGGCAAAGATCTTCTCAACCGCCTCGGTCGTGCCGCTGGCCGTCGAGTATTTTAGGCCAGAATCCTCCTCCACCGGGACCGAGGACCAGTCGACGCCCCGGTACGTCAGCTTGGCCTGGACAGCCGAGAGGCCGAGGGCGAGAAGGCAGACAAGCTTGGACAGCATCGTGTTGTTTGATAGAAAGGGGAACAGAAGCTTGGGAAGAGAGAGAAGCCGATCATCGAGGGCAGAAAGACCTCCCTTTTATTCTTGCCCGGTCACATGTGACCGGCCATCCGACCGGATCATGGCACCCCTATAGGCTGTTGAATTGGTGGAGCCTCGTCCAGAGTCCCGTTTCACGATGTCCTGTGATTTTCCGCTTATGATCTCCACACACAATGGGGTAGATGTGATGGACAATGCAACTCTATCCAGCGGTCAAAAGATCAATTCCCGGCATGCAGTGCGACAGGCTCGTCTTCCATCCGTGGACCCCGGACGAAGTATGTTCACAACGACTCCTGAATCATCCTCTGGCAGCATCACGCAAGGTGGACTCAGGAGTCGTGAGGGGCTAATGATAATAGGCTAAAGCGGAAGCGATGGAGTGATGGACGAAACAGAATGGTGGCGACTGGCACTAGCGAAGCAAGATACGCCATGCTTTCAGCCGCTACCCCGTAATCTCGTCCACCCGAGTGCGTACTATACCCGTAGGCGGCTCGATCTCGTGAGCCTTGATCCACTATTACGATAAATCGTATGTGGTAGAAGACGCCAGACCCGGTGTTTTGCCTAATCGAAGCATCTCTGTACTCAAGCTTGCATACTCGTACATGTATCGCTGTCCTTGACAATTTCCGGAGCTAACCGACATCAACGCCTGTGTTGCGCACTACATCATCTCGCTTCATAAGCACCGATGCTTCTTGACAAGGGCTAGGGTCGGCCGAGACGTGCTGGCCCGCGACTAGCTTGCTACGTTTTCTATTTAGCCGCTCCTTTCCACCACGCCAGGTGCACCGTGCAGCTGTCTCTCAGACCGAAATGGCTGACTTTAGACCATCTCAGTTCTGAGTGCTGCTCCAAGATTCGGTAATGCCTGTTCTGTGATGACAGCCTGCTTTGTAACGACAGGAAAGGCTTCGTCGTCGCTATGGGCTATGGCCTCAGTGCCAGAGTGTTCCTCTCCGATAACGTCTATAAACTGTAGTTTCTTCCTTCTAAAGAGGGGTGAGCAACGTTAGTATAACTATCTCCATAGCTGTGGTAGACAAGAAAAACGTACTCTTTATGTCTGAGAACGAAATAGAGCACCTGAGTGAAAACGATGAGACCAAGGCTACACGACAAGCTGAAGGGATAGCCCTTATGAAAGCGGGGCGCCTCAACAGTGGGATATGCCAAGATTCCAGTCCTATAGGAATCAGCGAGGAATGCTACTCAGGGCAACTCTGATACTCACCATGCCGTCGTCGACTGGGCGATGATGTTGATGAAGACGAGGGTGAAGGACCGTGTCTCGGGCGAGTCACGCAGGATGTTGTTGACCCAGCCGTAGAGCGAGCTGGAGAGCGAGTACGACCAGGATGTGCTGCAGAAGGCCCACCACTTGGCGCCAATGGGGACATTCCAGATAGTCTGGGCGTGTCAGTTAAGGCGGCATGTGCATGCATGTACATAGAGAAGACAGGAGAGCTCACCAGGATCAGCATGGCGATGGAATTGGCGGTGGCGGCAAAGGTGATGCCCCAGCGCGGACCCCAGAGCAAGTCGGAAGAGAAGTTGGTGAAGAGGGTGTAGAAGATGCCGAGCGCAGACGGAAGGGTGCCGAGCTGGTTGACCTCCTCGGAGCTATACTTCTTGAGCGACTTGAGCCAGAGCAGAAAGCCGCCGGTGTTGGCGCTATGGTTCCAGAAGAGCACGTCGACGAGGACGACGAGGTAGAAGGACTTTGTCGTGAAGATCTGGCGGATGTGATGCAGTTTCAGCTTTCCCTGAACGGCGTGGCCGTGGTGCTGAAGCCGGCGTCGGGCTACGTCGACGTCGTGCTGGGAGAGCAGCATCCGGTTTGGCTGGTCGATGGTACCGGGGATGAGGAAGAAGCCGGCGATACCGACAGGAATCGTTATAATGGCACAGATAATGTACATCCAGCGCCAGCCGGCGAGGCCGTGGACGCCGTCGAGCCGCTGGGTGGCTGCGGCCTGGACGAGGCCTGCCGTCAATGTGCCGATGGGCAGGCCGATGTACCAGATGCCACCGCGACGGCTGATTTCGTAGCGGCGGTACCACGAGCCGAGGACGTAGTGCACGGCCGGGAAGTAGGCAGCCTCGAACCAGCCGATCATGAAGCGGTACGCCATCATCTCCGAGTAGCCGGCCGCACGGTACTGCAGCAACGTGAAAATGCCCCAAAAAACGTCCAATCCGGGCAACAGGTAGTGCATAGGCACATACGTAAAGACAAACAGAAAGGGCAGCTGGCCGAGAACAGCCCCGACAATGTAGATCGTCTGCAGCTGGATCAGCTGGTTGCCGTAGAAGCCCAGGTCTTCCTTCATGCCCGACACATAGGCATTGTCTGCAGGCCGGTCAGCAACTGGTCCGTCTCAGCCCGTCCCAAGTCTGTCGGCTCGCTGCTCACTCAGGTTGTTCTGGTCCAGATTCTTGACCCAGTATGACACCACCAGATACGGCACGATGATCAGGTCCAGCTTCATGATGAACTTGCGGTCCTCGGCCGTGTCGTCCTCTGAGAACCACCGGATCTGCCACCACTTCTTCTTCGCAAGGTCGGCCATGGCGAATGCTGTGCTGACTTGTGTGCGTACTCTCTACATAGTACAGCATGGCAGCTATCTTGTCTACATATATATAAAGGACGATACAACAGCTGCCAAACGATCCTCTGCACCACCACTCTGCAACGTCGCCATTGGACAGACAGGCCGTTTTTTCGTCCTGGCAGTTGTGAGGACCCCGTCTCGAAGCAAACCAACATGAGGTCCGGCTATGTACGTCCACCCCATCATCAGCACTAACAAGATAGCACGGCATTGCGCCGTCCGGCTCGCGATGATGACATCAGATAAGAGTCTGGGCAACAGATTAGTGGCTGTGGCGGCGACGATAACGATCACGGCGTTTCCGTGAAAATGTGGTGACGGCTAGCAGAGAATAGCGACATACGGAGCCTCGGATTGTGCCATCCGCTTGCTGCAACGATCGGCGTGCTATCTTTAGCAGAAACACCTCCGGCCGGGAGAATGGCCGTTATGCCTGAAAAGGCTAATGTGCCGCATGACGATTGGACTAGTCCAGAATTAGAATGCAAATCGCGCACGGAAATGTCGCCTTGCTATCGGTAGACACATCTCCGACTACAAGTATATAAAGACTTCTCCTCGCGCAAGGCGACATATAATACGCATCGCTCAGAAGGTTATCAAAACTAACACTGTCTAACAATGTCTACTAAATGACGCGCAACTCCCCGAAAAGTTGCCTCGGCTGAGGAGCCCTGGTAACGTGACCCCGTTTTTTCTTGTACGGTTCTCGGCCTGAAAAACGGAAGAATTTGCGCAAGGAACCGACACATCTTACGTCGTATGCGGGAATATGGAATGAGGCCACTACTATGTACAATGTCGGGTTTTGAATCCTGGGCCCTGCCATTTCTCGATGCGTTGGGAGTGTGGAACCTCAACATGCTGGGTCTGGCAAGGGGTTTGCATCGGAATATAAGGATCCAACCTTATTATAGGCTGGCATGACCCGGGAGATTTCAGCACAGCTTCGTGTGATCCGGTATGCATGCTATGTGGAGTCCCCATTTTCGTGCATCTTTTACATCCCCCCGATCCACTTCGAGATGGAAGCGCCGGTAAGCCACTCAATACCCGACATTCAGCAAGCGCTATGAGCAGTGCTCTTAATTCCCTGCATGAGCTACTGCGTACAGATTACGTGTCACAGTCCAACCTCCGCCTTTGCTGTTTCATTTGTCCCGTCTTTTTCTCCCGCTTTGCCATGTGTGTTTCTCTACTTGGGGGTTTTCCATTTCCCCCTCTCTCTTCCCTCTCTCTACAACGTACAATTTTCCCTCAGCTATTTTGGTGCATCACGGAAACGAACTTTAAATCTACTGGAAAAATGGCAATGCCTACACCCAAGCCCGGCCTACCTAACGGCGAGAACCAGCCTCTTCAGGCTGCTGTTTTAGTAAGCCGCCCTTTCCTGCTTCGTGCTTGTCGACAATCTAACCGCTCGCCCAGGATGATGCTAACTCCTCACTCGGAAACGATGCCGCCAGCTCCACGGCGTCTATCACGTCGAGCATCTTGCGCTACCGGACATTGAACGGCCGGACCTACCACAGTGATCGGGGAGGCAGCCAGTACTGGTGTGTTGGAGTGTTCCGTTGGACCTGCTAAGCAAAGCGCGCTAACAATTGTAAGGGGTGCAAATGACGATGCCCAGAACACCATGCTAGACATCCAGTAGGTCAGCCAAACGGAAATTCTGCTGGTTTGCCACGCTAACTGTTTGCTAGACATCATGTATTCACACTGGTCTTGGATGGCAAGCTCTATCTGGCGCCTTTGCCGGAGGAAATTAATGTAAAGCTGCAATATTGTGTATACCCAGTACTTTCGAAACTAACACGTGCTCTAGAAAGTTTTGGACATTGGAACTGGAACAGGTCTCTGGGTCCTGTAAGTATCTTGCTCCTTCTGCAATAGGAAAACAGCAACTAATATGGCCTAGTGACTTTGCAGACCAGCACCCCCAGGCCACCATAATTGGCACCGATCTCTCTCCAATTCAGCCGACATGGGTTCCGCCCAACGCACGCTTGTATGGCCCTCTTCGGTTCCTTCGTCTATACTTCATAGCTGACAAGGTCGTAGCGAGATCGACGATCTCGCAGAGCCATGGACGTTCGATGAAGCATCAGTAGACTACGTGCATATCCGTTGGCTTATTGGCAGCGTAAGGGACTGGCCGGCCTTGTTTAAAGAGGCCTACCGGGTCCTGAAGCCGGGAGGTTGGATCGAGTCGTTTGAGTGCAACGGCCTGTTCGAGTCTGATGACGACTCTATCCCCGAAGATTCTGCTACCTCCCAGTGGAACGATATCTTCGGAGCTGGTGCCAAGACGTTAGGTTCCTCTTTTACCGTTGTCCAAGACGGTGTCCTACAAAGAAGCCTGGAAGAGGCTGGATTTCCAAGGATTAAGGAATCTCCGTTTAAGGTCTCGGTGATTTTTTTCCATTCTCCTCCAGCTCTCATTCTAATAGCTGGCAGATTCCATTTTCCGAATGGCCTCAGGACCCGAAAATGAAAGAAAAATTGGCCTGTTCGCCCGGCACGTATTTGAGAACGACATCGAGGGCAGTGTTGGCCTGCTTGCCACCATGCTCGGCTGGTCAAAGGACGAGATATCCGTGTTTGGGGCCCGTCTTTGTCGCGATATGCGCTGCATGGATGTGCATGCGTTTTACTGGTGCAACGTGATATGGGCCCAGAAGCCTTTCCATGCCTAGAACTTCAATAGTTGACATGTTTGGCTGCTACGTACTACTATCACCGGCTGCTCGATTGCTGTTCTATTGATGACACACCACACCTTTCTTGAACATGTGTGGCTGTCCCCCTACTCGTGAGCCTGCAGCGCAGCATTGTTGGTCACATTCGGAGAAGCGATGTGACACTTATGTGAATACGGACTGAAGGTAACATATTAGCCATACATATCATAAATGATATGTATTCAAGAGTTTTTTATTCTCTGAATAGTTCCACCCTACCAAAAATCTTACTCCTCTTTGTACTCCGTAAAAACCTCCCGCTTCCCTGATCTCCCGCTTCTCTAATTAATCTGGTTCCTCTCTACGCTCTACGTCGTGCGCACTGTATGTCGGGATCTTTTTGTTGTATGACAATATGGCAGATCACGCGGCAACCTTCATGGCTGCAGAATCGCCTTTGCCTTCGCCTCTGCTACAGTCCGACATCATTGCTGCTGATAACCATAGCGATGATGTGAGCCATCTACATGTCTCAGTCATGTGCTTAGCTGACGTTGACTGAATGACAGGAAGGATTTGACGACAGACACTCTGCAATAGCAAGCGAAGCGTAAGCAGCCAAAATCCCCACATTACAGAATGAATAGGAATCATCGCTAACTCATGGCCTGTCTTTCCTGTATAAAATAGGACCTCCACTGCCTCCATAGCCAGTAGCATTCTCAAGTACCGAACCATCCAGGGACGAACTTTTCATAGTGAAAAGTACTCGCCGTACTTCACTCCCAACGATTCAAAGCAGCAAGATTCGGTCGATATCAAGTAAATCGCAGTAGAAGTACGCTGAAAAACTACACGTTGACTGGTCGTACATTTCTTTATTTGTACAAATTGATCACACAACTCTCTGACAGGCGAAAACTGCCCGTATCACTAGTCATCACTACCTCACCCTGCTGCTTGAAGGAAAGCTGCTTCTAGCACCGATCCCCAACGATGTACAAGTTGGTTTTACTTTCTTGCACTCTTACCTACAGACAAATTAGACTGTGCTCTAACAACTAAATTACTAGAGAAAGTCATCGACATTGGGACAGGCACTGATCAGTACTTTCGTACTTGCTGCTTTGAAAAAAAGCACATGTTAATTCGGCTTTAATAGGTATTTGGGCTATGTATGTCTTTGCTTGTCTCTGCATCACGGAAATTGACCAGAAGTTTTAACCGTTTTATATTATAGCGACTTTGCAGATCAGTATCCCAATGCCGAGGTTATCGGTACAGATATTTCGCCCATTCAGCCTGCATGGGTGCCGCCAAATCTCAAGTTTGAAATTGACGACGCCACAATACCATGGGCCTGAAACAATGATACGTTTGACTTTGTGCACTTGCGATATCTATGTGGAGGCATTACCGACTGGAATGCGCTGATGGCCGAGGCGTACCGCTGCTGCAAACCTGGCGGATGGGTGCAGACCTGCGAGTGCAATCCTTTGTGCCTTAGTGATGACGGAACTACCGATAACAGCTCCGATATACAGATATGGGGGCAATTCTTCTACGAAGGGGGCGAGAAACTGGGCCGGTCATTCAATTTTATCAAAGACAACCTGCAAAGACCAGCAATGAACTCTACTGAACTATCAGATATTCACGAGGCGAACTTCAAGGTAGGTGTCCCAGCCTGTCTATAATCTGTAATTATCTAAAGTACGCACAGGTTCCTGTAGGCGGTTGGCCGGCTGACCCTCAGTTGGCTGAAGTTGGCCGATACCTCCAACTTGCAATGGATAATGACCTTGAAGGTGGGCATGCCTAATGAACTTGAGCGATTGGAAATCCCCATTAGCTATCTAACAAGTAATCACTAGGTTACACACTCTTTGTATGGAACACTTTGCTGGGTTGGGATAAGGCTGAGTACCAAACATTTATCATGGGTATGCGAAAAGCTCTTCGGAGCAAGCAGATTCACGCATACATCAAAGTACGATATATATGGGGCCGTAAGCCTTCATTCTGAGAACTGGCCCACCGGCCGGCCATGCTGTGTTTGTTCTAAATTCTCAGGTAGACTGTAGTAGTAGTCTATATTGTGGCGAGGGGAGGTCACGGATTGTCACTGGCCTAAATACCTTATGTTACCCGTCTCCACTTCATCGTCTTACCTCATCCTGACAATCCTCTTCTTCCCTTATTTTCGCCCGTCCTAAAGAGTCTGGATGAGGCATCGCTAACATTCTTCTAAAGCATAGAAAGAGCTGCGTATGACAATGCGTAGGGAAGAATGTAGATTTTGTAGTCACGGCATCTTTGCACATAGGAGTTGAACCCTGTCACATGCCCATAGGTGACGCCTGTCGTCGTTCCGTTTTTGACAACGGGGAGAATCGAACTAGTTTCCATAGAATGTTGCTAATAAAACCAACCCTTTTTGTTGATCGTACTAACTTCAATGAACAAGCAACAAGGTACGTCGGATAAATCTTTCGTCGTTACCTCTATCAATTAACTAATAGAGTTACATGCGCTGTTCTCTTTGCCTAATAATTGTTTCCGGGACAAGTTGTAAACACTGAAGAACCTTTTGTCGAAGATACTTAGTGCGAGCTAACACACAACAAACAAAGGAAGCAATGGTCTCGACGATCTGGGCAAAAAGTGCGGATGTTATCTCTAGTTTGATAGCTCAGTGCTCCTCCCTTTGTGTAACATTGGCCTCCCTCTCAACTGCCATTTACTAGAGCCTAACAAGACCTGGGAGTAGGGTATACGCACATTGTCTTAGCTATGTTAGTAAATAGCAAAGGCTTAATATTTCTATATTGTCTTTTGCAGACTGGTTATGATAGTTGTGTTGTTTGCAGTCACACATGGGCTTTTGCATCTTTAAACCCCTTTTTACTAAACATTCCTACTTGCGGCTCTCCACCATCTGCGGCTCGAGTGTAGATTTATCGATAATACAATCCGTTTTCCTTATCACGGTGCATTTACAAGGCACTGTCGTCCCCGTTGCAACAGGCGGAGGAATGCCGAAAAGGGAACTTGGCCACTCTTCGTTATGTGAAATTACGGACTAATGGCCATAGTCCCTTGTTCTAGTCCTCAATCAGACATCCAACATGGAGCCACACCTCGCTGGATTCCCTCGCTGTTCTGCGCTGCTAGCTGAGCTGCGCCTCCTGCGCGTATCCTCGGTTTGTTGCCCTGCCCAGACTGCGCCATGTTCTCCTACGAGCACCGGCGAGTGCCGGAAGCCGGCAGCACCACTGGGACTGGCGACTGCGCTGGAGCGTCCTCGCGGACACGGCTACAACGGCGCCGGTCATCTTTCCGCCCCTGCACACATGCCGAGAGTCCTGCCTTCTGTGGCTTCTGCGGTACTCCCTGTCACCTCGATATCTGGACCTAAAGACGTGGGGATGGCCGTTGGTTACAGAGAAGAGAAGGATATTATAAAGACAGGGATTCTGACAGTGATACATCGGTGCATGGTTCCTGCCAAGTCCAGCCAACTCCTTAGCGCCGAGCGATCGATCGATGGTCGATCGCTTGACATCACGTGCCGCGCCGCACTCGGCATTATTGAGGGGCATTGCATCATTGCGCTAAAGAGCTTCGAACACTGGCGGGAAATGTTAGCAATTCGACGACGAAACATCGAGCCCATCTTGCCGACAATCGCCCTTTCCCGATGAGCGATTTGCAGACGGTCACGACGAACGAGACCAGATGCGAGAGAACCTTTCTTCTGCGCTTACATCCTGATCTTTGCGACTCTCTCCGCCCCGCCTCGAAGGCAGACACAGAACGGTCGATTCTTCTCGACTCATTCTCGACAACGCGCGACATGCGCATGGCTGCGTCCGCTCGCTGGCCATGATTGCACGTGGCATCCCGCGGGCGGCGACGCTCAGCGCGCAACGGGTGCACTGCGGATGGTTGTGGGCGGCACCGTGGTCTCCGGGCTGTCCGGCCGCGGCGGCCATGCTTGATCGCCGGCGGGGCGTCTTTTTGTCCGCGTCGGTCTTTTCGACGACGGCGAGCTGGCGTGCAGTTAACAAGGCAGCCGGATCTGGCAAGGTGGCGGCAGCGTCAGAAGCAGCAGCGGCAGATGTGCGAATACAAAAGAAAATTGCGGTGCCGACAGACCCGCTCACGGGCCCGGAAAAATCGGCCAAGGAGCAGCGGACGGCCGACTGGGCGATCATGAAGGAGATGTCGCGGTACCTGTGGCCGCGTGGCGGGAGCGGTAGCATGGACACGAAGCTGCGGGTGTCGCTGGCTGTGTCACTGCTGGTGGGCGCCAAGGTGCTGAACGTGCAGGTGCCGTTTTACTTTAAGAGCATCGTGGACGCGATGAATATTGACGTGGCTGCAGCCGGCGGCACAGCAGCCGCGGTGGCCGGCAGCATGATCCTGGCGTATGGGGCGACACGCATCGGGGCGACCGTGCTGCAGGAGCTGCGCAACGCCGTGTTTGCGTCGGTGGCCCAGAAAGCCATCCGCAACGTCGCCCGCAACGTGTTCGACCACCTGCTCCACCTCGACCTCGGCTTCCACTTGGCCAAGCAGACGGGCGGGCTCACGCGAGCGATCGACCGCGGCACCAAGGGTATCAGCTTTCTGCTCAGCAGCATGGTCTTTCACATCCTGCCGACCGTGCTCGAGATCGGCATGGTCTGCGCCATCCTCACGTACCAGTACGGCGCACAGTTTGCGGCCATCACGGTCGCCACCATGGCTGCCTACACCGGCTTCACCATCACCACGACGGCCTGGCGCACCAAGTTCCGCCGCCAGGCCAACGCGGCCGACAATCGGGCATCCACGGTGGCGGTCGACTCGCTGATCAACTACGAATCGGTCAAGTACTACAACAATGAGCCGTTCGAGGTGGCCCGCTACGACGCCGCTCTCCGCCAGTACCAGAAGAGCTCAATCAAGGTAGCCACCTCGCTGGCCTTCCTTAACAGCGGCCAGAACATTATCTTCTCGTCCGCTCTCACGGCCATGATGTACCTCGGCGCCGACGGCATTGCCTCCGACAGCCTCACTGTCGGCGACCTCGTCATGATCAACCAGCTGGTCTTTCAGCTGTCCGTGCCGCTCAACTTCCTCGGCAGCGTCTACCGCGAGCTGCGCCAGTCCCTGCTCGACATGGACACCCTCTTCAGCCTGCAGCGCGTCAACGTGGCCGTGCGCGACGCTCCCAATGCCCAGCCACTGCTGCTGACTAATGGTGGTGCCATCCGTTTTGATCACGTGACCTTTGGCTACCACCCTGATCGACCCATAATGCGCGACCTCTGCCTCGCCATACCGGCCGGCAAGAAAGTCGCCATCGTCGGCCCCAGTGGCTGCGGCAAGTCCACCCTGCTTCGCCTTCTCTTCCGCTTTTACGACGTCGACCAAGGCCGCATCCTGATTGACGACCAGGACCTCCGTCACGTCACCCTCGACTCGCTGCGTCGCAGCATCGGTGTCGTCCCCCAGGATACCGCCCTCTTCAACGATACCGTCGAGCACAACATTGCGTACGGCCAGCTCGATGCCCCCCATGACCGCGTCGTTGCCGCCGCCCGCCGTGCTCAGGTCCACGACATCATCCAGTCCTGGAAGCACGGCTACCAGACAAAAGTCGGCGAGCGCGGCCTCATGATCAGCGGCGGCGAGAAGCAGCGTCTGGCCGTGGCTCGCCTGCTGCTCAAAGACCCGCCCCTGCTCTTCTTCGACGAGGCCACCAGTGCTCTCGACACCCACACCGAGGCCGCCCTCATGGCCAACATTAACAGCATCTTGCGCGAAAAGTCCCGCACCAGCGTCTTTGTTGCCCATCGCCTGCGCACCATCTACGATGCCGACCTCATCGTCGTCCTGAAAGAAGGCTCTGTCGCCGAAATGGGTACCCACCGTGAACTGATCGACCGCAATGGCGTCTATGCCGAGCTGTGGAGCGGTACGTTGTTTTCTCTGGCTGCTGTTGCTCTGGGCCTTTCTCTTCTTATGCTAACGATCGTCAGCCCAGGAGACAAACTTTCAGGTCGAGGATGTCGAGGAGGGCGACGAGTCCATCACCGACGACGACGACACCCCTACCAAGTAAATACGACACGGACATTCGTCGGCTTGGATTGCCAGATAATATCAGGAATTTGTTTATATTTGATCCTATTATATGCGCTCCTTCAACAGCTCCTATTCCCTTCCCCTCTAAAGCCCGAGCACCACCTTCTTCAGCTCCTCGAAGTTAGGCGTGCCGTAGCCGGTGACAGGGTCCCAGCCAACGGTCGCGTTCCAGTGAGCGCCCGGCACGATGCCAGCGCCAGCCGGCTCGTACTGGTCGGTCTGGTAGTTGACACCGTTGCAGCCAACGGAATAGCCGTCCGTGATGTCGTTGAGAACCGAAGGTCCATAGGTGTAGATCAGCGGGTTGAGCCAGCCCAGAGTGGACTTGCCGCTACGCAGGCGGGCGTCGTTCAGCAGGCCGACAATGCCAGCCCAAACAGGCGCCGCAGCGCTGGTGCCGCCCGACGGGCCTGGCTGGTCGAAGTAGATGATCTCGTAGGCGGGCGAAACGCTGTGAGCAGACACGTCGGGGAAGCCACGGCCACTGAAGTTGGTGTACGGGGCATAGTACTTGACCGTGCTCGCGTTCACGTGATCGGAGAGGTACTCGCTGACAGCCTTGTCCTGGTAGGACGGCCGCGGGAAGTACTTGCTGAAGCCGCCGGAAGAGCCCTTCCAGGCGATCTCTGGCGAGACGTTGACGGTGCCGCCGACAGCCGTCACGTACGGGCACGTGGCCGGGTAGATGGGGTTGAACTCGACCGTGGTGTTGTCGGGGGCCAGGCAGCCAGCACCGACACCCATGTCGCCAGACGAGTGCAGCACGGTGATTCCGCGCAGACCCAGCATGCCGATAAGGTTGCAGGTGTAATTGGCGTAGTTGTACGGGACAGACTGGATGAGTCAGCACGGAGCAGCAGACAGAGAGAAAGAGAGAAGGGAAAGGGAAAACATACATCCTCCTCGTCACCATACGAGTTGGAAATTGCCTGGGGCAGCTCGCTGTTGGACTTGGCCAGCAGGTAGCTGAGGTACGGCAGGTACGGCTCGTTCTGGTTTTCTGCAGCCGAGGGCAGGTCGATGTCGGCGACAAACGGTCTGGAGAGCGAACCGTTAGCAGGCCGATCACGCATTTCGACACACACAGAGATAAAACGTACGGAGAGCCGCCAGTGATGTATTCGATGACGGGCAGCGGGTGCGAGACGCCGATGATGTTCTGGACATCCAGGTTGGCCTCATCGACGGATGCGGTCCACTTGTCCTGGTCGTTGGTGGCGTTGGCGATGAGCTCGACGGTAAAGTTCTGTGCCGCAATGCCGTTCCGCTCCTCGTACGTGAACACGTCTGCGTAAAGGGCCGACTGGTTGAGGAAGCTGCCGAAGCCGACACGCGAGCCGGAGCTGGCGTCGGGCGTGTAGTTGCCGACGTTGTAGAGCTGCTTGAGGCAGGCAGGTGTGATGGAAGTCGAGCAGGCGGCATCGATGGTAGTGGACGTGCCCCTAGCCTTGACCAGGCTCGGGGACCTAGCCGTCTTAGAGGCCGGAACGGGGGCGGGGGCACCACGGCGCGGTGCAAACGCCGCGGTCTTGCCAAAGTAGTTGCCGGGGTCGACAAGGGCGACATGGGCAGCCACGTGGTCGGGCACGGAGTACGACAGCGTGCGCAGCTTCGTGGTGGCCGCATTGGCCTCGTGGGTGTAGAAGTCGTACGAGGCGTTGAACAGGGTGTTGGCGCCGTCAACGGTCGCGGCCACGTCGACAAAACCGTCGCGCACCGAGAACGTCTGGACGGCGCTGCTGCTCTTGAGCCAAGCTGTCACGACCTGCACGGCCTCGTCCGAGGGTCCATACTTGGCCGTGATCCCTTCCACATCTTCGTGGGCACCGTAGCTGGCGCTGTTCGGCGACGAGACCGACAACAAGTGCGACTCGAGCTGATCGATGTTCTGCAGCGCCAAGGCAATGGTGAAGACCTGCGCCGACGAAGTCCGGGCGTTGATCTTGGCCGCTGGAGCCACCGACCAGCCTTTGGGCACGGTGTCGATGCTGCTGATCACCGCCGCTTCGGCGGCCGGCAAGAGCAGCAGCGACGAGACGGCCAGGGCCAGGGTGGCCATAGAGCCGCGGAGGGTACTGCAAGCCATTGGAGAGGGGAGAGAGGAGGGGAGGGAGAGACGGAAAAGGTGAGAGGAGTGAGTGGAAGAGAGAGCTCAACGGGAGAAGGCACCGAGACGGTCTGGTTCTTATATCAGCACCCACGGCTTACTGGAGGACCACTGCAGCTCGTGTTCGCGCATGGTGCTCTGTCGCCATGTGGTGCCGCAATGGCGGCGATGGCATGTCAACAACCACAGCTCATTCATCCTGCTCGCCGATCGAGGTTCCATTTCAAGCTACCGCCCCTGTTGCTGGATCCTGTTCGCTCCCAGCACGCAGCCAAGTGCCTGCCAAGAAGAGTAAAGACTTGCACATCTATCAGGAGAGGGTGTGGGGAGGCGTGTGGAGAGTGTGCGCGGATCCAACGGGCGGTGGATTGTGCTGTGTACCGATTGGAGAGAGATCGAGAGAGAGAACAAGCGAGACAGAAGATGGAGCTACTTCGTATTCCATGCAGCATTACCCAATTAGGCATGAGCTTTATCGGCACCTGCCAGGGCTCAGGCCCGCGGCAGTGCTGCTGGTACGATTAGCTGCCGATCCCCTTTGGGCAGGAGCCCTCTTGTTTGTTTGTCAAGGTGTTTTTGAGTGACGCAAGCTCTCTCGCCATGGCGGCCAGCATGCTAAGCAAGATAGCGCTGTAAGTGGGCGCTGTTCCTACATGTCCGCGGGTTGGGTCTTCCGATTCCAGTGGGTTCCGCCTGGACTTCCCAGCTTCCTGTCGCAGTAAGAAGCTTGTCTGCCGAAGGACCCCAAGTAGATTTAGTGCGCCCGCCACAACCTAGGCCCACATAGGCTGTTGCCTACTGAATATACGGATACGGAGTAATACTCCGTACGAGTCTACGATAGGTGTCCGCCTGCTGCTTCGGGAAGCACTGGCCAACTTGTTTGTTTGGGCTTCGTATTCACGCGAACGAATCGTATTTATGCGAACGAAGCAGCATGACATCACGATATGACCTGTGGAGTCCGGTAGACGGTCTAGCTATGTGTTTCAAGTCGCATTTATTTGGTAATGGCCGATTTCATTCATGAGAGCTCCCAACAATGCAATGATACGAACAGAAAACATGTAAAATGGTTTGCGACATCCGACAGAGATCGAGAAGCGACAGTCGAGAGAGGAGTCAGCCCGAGCGGTTCAGGCCCCCGGAAACGCCGCTGCTGCGCGGCAGAGATCTCGCAGCGTCTTAGGCACGCGTCCGTCCTGCAGCTCCTGCACTACCTGGTCGATGATTGACCGGTCTGGGATGCGTTGGGCCCGAGACTTGCGCAGCCAATACTCGAACGGACCGCCTGTTGGAATGTCAGCGGGGGAAGAGGGAAGAAGACGAGAGAAGAGAATTTGGAAGACGAGCGAAAAAACAAGCGGAAGGACGAGCGAAGAAGGGCAAGAAAGGAACAAGATAACGGCCACAAAAAAAAAAAAAAACTCACGGTTCCGGTCCAGCGCATCGCCCAGCTCAGCACACCGCTCGTCCGGCTCGTGCTCCGTGTGCATGTCAAAGTAGTGCGACATGAGCTTGCCCATGTCCTTGAGCGGCCACTTGGACGGCGCGCTCGGCTGCCGTCCGGCGCCTGCCATCAGATACTTTTCCGACGTGCAGAGCCGGCATTTCCAAAAGCCCAGCCGCTGCAGCGAATATGTCGCGTCTCGCTCATCCGCCTCGTCCGTCCCATTTGTCGCCGACGTCATTGCCGTCATCGTCGATAGCATCGTCACATCAGCCGCTGCTGCCGTCGCATCCGGATCCAGGCTACAGCGCCGGCTGCCGACCATGCTGCCGTCCACGTTGCTGTCGCTGCCACAACCATTGCTGCTGTGCACGCTGATTGTGTCCTGTCCGCTGGCCTCGGACACGGCGCGCACCCGCTTGGCTGCCGGGTCGCCCGGCAGAGCCGTCACCGACATCGACCGCTTTGTCATCGGCCCTGCCGGCCCCTGCAGCGTCTTTGACCGCGACGCCAGCGTGACGCTGCTGTCACGCCCTCCTGCACTGCCGTGGACGATGCGCCCCAGCGGTCGCCCGCCCTTGAGCAGCCGCTGCGCCTCCAACATCTCGCGGCGGTGCTGGCTGAAGCGAATCTGATGGCCCAGGTCAAGTCGCCGCAGCTGCAGTGTGCGCATCTCCTGTGGCGTCAGGTCGGGCTGCGCCAGCTGCGAGTCGCAAAAGTCGAGGTCCACCGCGTACGCGTCCACATCCTCGTTCAGCTGCCGGTAACTAATAGCGTCCAGGTCGATGCCAGCCGCCGCATAACCTCCGCCTGCACCCAAGCTGCTTCGCGGCGTCTCGCGATACCGCCCACCACGACTGGTCGCTCCGTTGGCCTGGCCACGGCCAGTGCCGTTGACCAGACTAATGCGTCGCCCGAGTCCGTTGGCTTCTGCCGTGGCAGGCGTCACCGTAGCCTGGCCATTTGTCGCGGGCGGCGGTGGTGATAATGCAGACGCCTTGGCCGCTGCAGCTGCTGTCAGCATTGCCGATTGCACGGCGGCACCCGCCATCACAACAGAATTGCTGTCAGAGATCGTCTCGCCACTTGGTGACAGATCGCGGCTCACGGCTTGCTCGTCAGTCAAGCTTGTTGTGCCCGTGACGTTCTCCTTGGTATGTCAGCTAGATGAATGGCAAAAAACGGACCGAAACTCGCAGAGTGTGAGTGAGTACCGGAAAAGCGGCGCTTGACTCTTTGTCAGAGGCTGACTGTCTGGTCCTGGCATCTGCTGCAGAGCCGGCAACGTGGATCTCGGGCGCTGAAGCTGAAGCTGAACCGTTCTCAATAGCCGGTGCGTCCGTCATGGATTTCCGCGGTATGCGACCTGCCTTTCTCGGCGTGCTTTCTGCTTTGGACTTTCCGTTTTGGTGGCGACTGGTTAGGGACTTGCGCCCTGGAGGTCTACCTCTTGGAGGCATGGCGCCGGCGACTATTGATATACAACCTCGGGCTTTGCAGGCGCGAAACGAAAACGAACGAGAGACCACAGGATCAAAGGGAGCCTAAGCGAGACTGGGTGGGAAGAAAGAAAAAGAAATGATGGGTGGTGAAAGAGAGTATGCAGGGAGCAAGTGTCTGTGTGCAGTTGGCCGCTTTCTGCACACGCGGTCGCGATTAAAAGAAAGTCGTCAAGCCCAAAGGTGAAGCAGGCTACTTCGTCTCAGTGCGCGAGTGTGTGTGCCGTGCTGTTGGTGAACCGGGAATTCGAGAGGCGAGATGGAACGGGAAGAGGTGAAAAGAGAAAAAGTTGGGATCGCTCTTGACCCAGAGCGGGGGTGGAGAAGGGGGGTGCGTGAAGAAAGAAAAGAAAGATACCCCAGGAAACAAAGGGTAAAAAGAGAAATCGAAGGGCCGACTTCCTTGAAGGAGCCTCTTTTATGTTCCCTTCTTTTAAACGTCTCTTTTCGTCACCAAATTTGATGTTGGCGATTGAAAAAAGACACAATTCGGGATTTGAAAGAAAAATGTTGTCGCGGTTTTGTAGACAGGAGAGCAAAAATAAAAGAGAAAAGGAAAAGAGGAAAAAAAGAAAAAAAAGATTAAGGAAAAATAACCCATCGACGCGTGTTGAACAAAATGTGGGACATTGAATTCTCCTTGACCTCAAAGCTTAAGGTCGGCGTCTGTGCACACTTCTTATTCTCGAAAGCTTCCTGTCGGAAATGTGCAAGTAATTGTATATATTTACACGCATTTACACGATCAGATGTGTTTCGCAGGGAATTGACACATGCTTGAACATTCTCTTCTGCGGCTTATTTTCTCGCTGCCTGTAATAGTAAAATAGTGCATGGCTTTTCGGTGGTTAGTGAATCACACTGTGATTTGCTACTTCTGCGTGTACCACTGTATAAAACATCTATGAGCTTACAATTTCATTTTGAATTTCTTAGCATCGGGCCTGAATCTCACTACGTATCTGTGCAATCCATTGATCTGGTCGCAGGATTTATTGTTTACTTGTACTTGACTTTAAGAGGGTAAGAGATGGTGATCTTGTCTCAGGCACTGTGCAAAGTCGGCCCATTCTCCCCAGCTCCACCTAGGCATCTAGCACTGGCGCTAAGCAGCCCTGTGCCGGAGTGTACCAACTGAGGGGTTGTGGACGGGTCCCTGTTGAATGCTTGGCTCTATCGGTTTTTATCCCATGCTTACCGAGTGCTCTTATACTCCGTAGTTTATGGCGTATCCTCTATGGATTTTTTTGTTAAAGTCATTTCACCTACACAGTCCACGTTCTATGCCGTTCCATACGTGTAAGCTAGAAATTACTAAATCTCCATTGGCTGATCTCCTTTCTCGCTAGGCCCATTGCGTACATATATAGATGCTTCGCCAAGTTTTTGCTGGAGGCATGACCTATCCCGGTTATCAGTTTGGGGTAGAAGAAACTCTATTGACGAGTATATGCTATAAGATTCTAGATAAGGTCCGACAATTTATGTATCTTTCTCCCTTCGGTACCAACACGGTTTCAGCACGCTTTATAATTCTTGCTGCCCCTTTTTATACTTTCTTTTCTGGGCTAAAACCGACTAGCACGACACGGGCGGTAATAAATAGAACGGCACTACATATTGAGTCCGCAGAAGAACTTCAGGCCCAATTATCTCCTGTCCAGGTCACTGACGATGGCTCCAACAATAGGCGAGCCAGTGAGGGTGGTCACACTTTGGACAGCGTAGACTGTGCCCGTACGTACGCCTATCCGGCGAATGTCGGGGATCTGAGCGATGAGAGCCGTCAGAGTTGAAGCCGAAGATGACGGCAAAGATGATGATGGCGCCAGTTAAGTTTCCGGGGATCCAAAGCGCCCAAGGTAATGATGGCCGACAGAAGTGTGACGAGGATCATGGTGTTGAAGCGGCCCAATCGGTCGGCGGCGATGCCGGGGATGATGCGTACCACGATGCTGTCAGCGTTGATGATTGGTATGAGGTACGGTAGCAGCTTTGCAGGTTGAAAAACATATATAAATTGTAATAATGACGAAGATGTATTCAGGCTCGGCTAAGCCGCGGAAACAGTCGGCGATGATGAGCGGTTGTGGACGTGGTGGCAGACGGGAGCGAACGGTCAGATAGCAGACGGACAACAATGTGAGGGAAAGGAAGGCAAGGCATCCAATGGTCCAGGGAAAGCCGATATGTGCGGTGATTTTGTGAAGCATTAAGGGCAGTACAAAGCCTCCCAGTGACGAGCGCAAACCCATGATGCCAAAGGCAGCTGCACGGCGACGGAAGAACTACGAGGCGATTAAGGCGATGCAGGCATTCTCCCGTACCAGAGTCAGTCTGCCCCAGCTTGCAACCAGCACTCTCTAGGCAGGTTCCGAGCATTTTTGTGGGCTTTAAGATCATCATAGTCTCTGGTTTGTTGTAACAAATGTGGACTTGTATCCAATGTACGGCTTACGAGAAACAGGCAAAGGGATCCTTACGAAATTATGGAGCAAACAGTGGAAGTGGTAGGTAGACCAATAGAATAAATATAAAATACAGTTTTCTGGTCTGGTTTGGCTTATACAATCGACACAACCTAGAACATATATATACATGGTTGTAGGCATATGCTCCTCGGGGATTGGGCTTCATGTCTTGGGCTCAGGCCTGGGACTAGTCTATAAGCCCGAGCCTATTTGTTATGTATTCGAAGCGGAAACTAACACTGGAGACCGATGTTGTCCGTGAGTTGGCCGTTCTTGTTCACTTCTTTCATCATGCCTATTTGGCTAGCACAACTACGAACATGCCGACTTTGCAGTTCTGGTCTTGGAAACCCTTGCTCAAGAAAAAACCAAAACAGAGAATGTGCGGACAGTTCCGTCCTCAGCCTTTCCATAAGTATCCGTTTACTGTTTCTATTCGCCTGGGATGAGCAAGTATTATACAATATGTTCTCAGACTACCACCCAACCGCAACGGCAATGAGACCGGATGGCCTGTACGGCTGGGTTTGCCTACCTACTGAGGAGGTACGTGCTAAAATTATGGCTGACGTAAATGGGAAAATGTACTGTAGACAAGTGCGGAAGGCCCGGGCTCTCTCTTGTAGTTACCCTGAGAATACGCAGGATGTGCGGAAGCCTGGAAATGAGCTTATGCAGGAGAATAAGCAAAGGGAACGGCGTGCTTGGAGGGAAACAATAGAGGCCGAAACGGAGACGATACAAGAATCGTTGGCGAATATAACAACGCATTTAATTTTACTGGCAAATATGTACAGTTTTTCTTGCCTGTCTCCCTTTACCATACTTCCCCGTAGATCTTCGCTGTAGATGGCAAGCCCTGGCAAGCGATCGCTGTCATCTCCGCTAAACTCTGCCGATCATCGACGTCTGCATGGTCGTGGACAATCAGTTTGATAGTCTTATATAGCTCTTATCTTAGCAATATCAATGTATGTACAGTTAAGGTAACATCTACTATTAGTCTTGTGGCATTAGATAGTGCAAACAAAGTTCTGTTAAATTTCTAGTACGTACATGTATCATACTCAACGTTAGATGCTGCCAGCCCTTCGCTTATACATAACCTAGTCTCTACTGTATCTCCTCACCACCACTGACGGGAAATCCTCCTCCGAATCATTACCCAACGGCTTCTGGTAGCCCACCGGTACCACTGGCGTTCCAAACGATTGGATCCAGCGCACCAGGTTGCCCAACTCGCCGGTCCAGAGCAGGCCAAGCAGCACGACGACCAAGGTCACCGGCAGCGCCGTAGCCCAGTACACCCACTGGTTTACCTCCATGTTGCGCACATCGTTGGTGTTCATGCCGAAGACGCTGGCCACAGCACTCAGCGGCAGGAAGATGACGGTCACAATCGTGAACGCGTACAGGGCATTGTCGTGCCGGTCCTTGGTCGTGTCGACTTTGTTTTGGTTCTGCAAATTAGCGCAATGAACACGGAGGCAGACACCTTTCTACAAAAAGCCGTCACACAACTCCAAAACTCACCGATTTCTCTAGGGACGCCGCCCAGTTGCGCAACATGTCAAAGTCTTCAGAGCGGTCATCCAGAAGTCGCTGGCACTCGTGCAGCAGTAGTCTGCGGTAGCCGTATGGGTCTGTTGCCGCCAGTTTGCCGACGTCAGCCAGGGAATCTGCTTTAGCAGTAGCCACGCCGTTGTATGCGTATGTTTCTCTTATGTGAGAATATTGATTACGTCTACCACCATTAGATGATTTCGCCTCTCTGCTAAACTCGCGAGGCTGGTAGCCCCAAGCATAGATTTCTGAAAGTGTCTCGTGACCATTCGACGTATGATCGGTTGCTGTTCCATATCTAAATAGAATCTGGAAGATGGTGCTTTGAGCCGTGACGACACGTTCCACGGCCATGATCTCCTCGACCAGCAGGCTGATGCGGTAGTCGCGCGAACGATCAGGACGCTGCAAAGCAATCTCAGATTTCTAAGCGGTCAGCTTAGATTCCCGTCTATCACATTGCCTCCTCCTACTTGCTGGCCAAAACTCACCATCGACTCCAGCGCCGCCGAGTAACACTCGCAGATATCAGGCAGGCCTCCGGTCACGTCTTGCATAATGGGCATGCTTAGCAACGCTAACAAGTCCATCGGCTGCACGACGACTCGGGCCAGTAGCGGCTGGTCTGACAGCTTCAGGACGGCCGCCGCCATGCCGCTACTCAGCAGTGTATTGCAGTGTTCCAGCAGCTGACTGCACTTTCCCGTATACGCAGGCAGGAGAACAAGAAACATCAGTAGGTCAATCCATGCATCGACAAGTTCGTTGGGCACCGTGGCCAGCTGGACCGGCTCACGCAGGCCAGTCCCGCCAAACAACTCCTGGAACATTTGCACTCTCCTGCTCAACCTGCGCAGGACTATACGCAGAGTTCGTCCGAAAACTTTGAAATTTTCCGATCCGCCCTACAGTTCAAACACAATGTCAGCGTGTTTGGATAGAAATTGGTTCAAAAAAGAAACAATACAAATCCTACCTGGATCATTTGTTCTAGCGCCCCCCAATACTTACGCACCGTTGGCACGTCGACATTTAGAGGAAAGAAGAATTGGAAAACCACGTCGGCAGCGTTGAAAATGTCGAGTCGCATCTCATACTCTGAGATGCCCGTCCGCTGTAGACCCTCTGGGGCTGCTTGTGCGCCCTCGGCCGCAAGCTTCGCGCGCACAGTCTCACGCGTCATAACCGGACATGCCGTGTAAATACGCCGGTCGCTGAAGCATATTTTTGTCTGCAGGTAATTTTCGACCTCACGCAGCCTGTCGTCTAGCACATCTTGGTTGACTGTGCCGCTCTCGAGGTACAGCACGCCAGCCAGACAAGTAAAGACGGCTAACTTTGCCTGGCTCGTAGCTGTAAGTCTGTCCTCAGTTGTAGATGTGGACGGCCTCGCTGGAGCCTCGTGGGTATCTCCCAGTGGCAACAGAACGCCAACCGGAGGCGGTGCGGGTTTAGGCCTAGACGTCAGTGCTGTCGATTGACTCGGGCAAAATAGACTCACCCAATTCGCATCTCTAATGTGATCTTATCGTCAATGTGCCGGGCCTTGTTCCATATTCGCGACCAGTCGTCGGCATTGATGGCCCGGCCGTGACGGAAGAACTGTACACGGCTCGGCCAGAACTCGCGAAAGTGGCCGACAAAGTCCTGAAAGTCAGTCATTGGTAAGCGGGCATCATGAGGAACGGATTTTAGAAAATTGAAACGCCCTGACGCACCAGCCATGAAATGCACTCTTCGAGGGGAATCGACCACAGCACCTTTTCAAAGGTTACTGCAATCACCTTCAAAGGCTGTGTGTGTGTGGTGTCCGAAATCGGCTGCAGCACTAGACTGATGCCATCGCCTCGGAGCTCCTTATCCGTCATGCGGCCATAGGTGAAGAGAAAGGCTGCCCAGGTCAGCGTCTGGATAAGTAAGAGCATACTTCACACCAGCACCTACTATTGTCCACCATCACAATCCACAGCTGTGGCACATGGAAACACATCCCGGATGGTGTTACTGGGCTCTGGCACACGGCTTGTCGCATGTCACGGTCCTGACCGGTCCGTGTGTTCTTATTCTGCAGCAGTGTCGCGACCGGAAAACTCGGTGGGATGACTCCACTGCGAAGACTGCCATCACCGCCGCTCTGCAGCCCTGAGTACTTCTCTAGGGAAAGATATGGCAGACAGACCCACGTCAGAGTACGCCTCTTTTGAGTGCTGGCCTTCTTACCCGGGGCCTCGTGTGACAGTGGATGATAGATTATGCTCGGTGTCATGTATTGAACCCGCATACCGCTGGCTGTCTGCACTGTCTTTACGTATCTACGCTGAACCCGTGGAAGAAGCTCGCGAATACCGGTTTTCTCGGCCGTCGTCAGGCCACTCGCCTGCAGCAATTTTCGCTGTCTTGTCAGAAGGGCCTCTGCCATGCTTTTGGCAATTCGAGAATAAGATCGGCAGAAAAGCCTACCGAAAAATCTTCAAAGTCCATCGGATTCCGCGTACAGTGCCTGAAAAGTTAGTTTTAGCCACAACGGTATTGATATTGGTTTCTGTTGTGGACAGGGATCTCACAGCCATCGGAACAGAGGCTGGTGCTTCGGCCGCCTACTGAGGACCGCCGAGAGCTTGGCCTTGTGCGTCCCTCCCAGGATATAATCGCCCCTGTACTGCGATTCAAATACATTCAGCAACTTCTGATTTTCGCGCAAATTGGCGCCTCCGCTTGCGTCGTTTTTGTTCTCAGATCCGTTTACTGCACCACCGCTGACGTTCTCTTCTTTGTCACCACCGCCACCGTCGTCGCCTTCGTCAAGGTCCAATAGGCTCAGCTGCGACGACGACGTTGTGTTCCACAACTGCGACGGCTTGAACGAGTATACGGCCGCAGGCTCATTGGTATTCGTGTAAAATTCTCGTCCGCCCCGATCACGGTAATGTAGTTCATCGTCATCGTCATCGTCATCGTCATCGTTGGCATCGTCAATGTCTTCATGATTGTCACCGTCCTCATTATACGCTCTCCTAGGCTGGCGTTCTTCATCTGAAGACGTTGGGGACATTACGCGCACGCGTCTGCGCCTGTCAGGCCGGTTGGTTGCATCCATCCATGGCGTAGTCACCGAAATGTCGTCTCGGGACCGGGTCCTTCTGATACGTTCCGGTGACCGTGACCGTGACCGTGACTGTGACCGTGATCGTGATCGTGATCGTGATGGAAAGATAATTTTTACCCGTAAGCCTCGTCTGCTGCTGCTGTCACTTGAGGTAAGCTTCTGCTTGTGGAGGTTGCCCGGCTGCCGCTGTGAAGGCGAGCGAGGACCGGGCCTAAACAACGGGGACGGAGGCCGCTGTTCAGACGCATTTGCACGTGGCTGGGTGGTGCTTTCTGGTGACCACGTGCTGCTCCGCAACGGCCGGGCTATAACATCCTCATCGGCTGAGAACACGGACATCTTTGCGAATGAACAAATGGATGTCGGATAAAGAGTAGAGTGAAGAACAGCCAGAGCTATCCGAAGACAGTGTTCTTATACCCCGCAACACCACGGGTTCGTCTGCTCCCATCCTTCTTACCCCTCTCCCTCTCATTCGCTCTGATATGCAAACACACGATGTGGCCAATCACACGGACATAACCTCCAGACGTTTGCCTGAAACTGTACCAGGAAAGTGTATATTATCTCAAGGTCTTGAACGCTCCACCAAATAGAGGATGGCGATAGGATAAAGGCGATCTTTGTTATCAAAGTATTGGACTAAAGGGAATATATTCCCATTCGTGCCATGAGTTTTGCCTATTTACCTGTTTTTAATTGAAAGATACGTTGCTTTTTCACCATCTTAACTAAAAGTTCGGCCAATAACAATTTAATCACACTTGTTAATAGAAAGTTATCATAGCTTTTAGCCTAAAGTAATTCACTTCTGCCACCTTATCAGCAATGCCTATTTCTTTTAGCTTTTCCCCCTCCTTTATATATCGCTGTTATGTTATTTGTTATACCAGTGTGACTTATAATTACAAGTACACCGTTTTATTAGAGATGTTCACGAACCGTTCTTATGTAACGGTCAAAGCTCATGTCCGAGAAGTAGGTCTGGCCTTGGACAAGGTAAAAGCAAGATTGGAGGAGCTACGGAGTATGATCCCACTTCTGCTGCTAAACTGTTCGGAATCTACGCCGTGTCAAGTACAGTCACTTGCCGCCACTTGCTCTCCTGTGTGCATACTCATAAGCTGTTCACTGCCATTTACGCCTAGACTATGGACGCCCACGTCGACAGACAAAGGAAAGCATTGTAAACAGGCCGCAGCCCTGTCCAAGTCGTCATGTGAGTATCGTACATACAGGTCGCGTAGTGGCGACTGCAGAGATCAGTGCTTTGTATATGTGCAGTTTCTCTCTCTCCTCACCTCACAAACTCCTTGAGGTCCTTGGCGTCGGAGAACTCGACCTTGCCGTCCTGGCGCACGGTAGCCACATGGAGAGCCACGGCCTCGGACGAGGCGGACGGTGCAGCCTTCTCGCTGTCCGTTCCTGTCTTGTCCGCCAGATGCGTCACCCTCTCAATGGCAGCGGGCACGACACCGGCCTCGGTGTCAGCAATTTCGTTGACATCGTTGCGTGTCAGCACATCGGATATGCGCACGCCGCGGCTCGACAGCAGCAGCGTTGTGGGGCCCCGAACATGCACGAACAGACGATCGCCCCAGATGGTCTGCCGCAGAAGAGTGCGGGCAGTGAAGAGGGCGCGTGCGGCCAGCTTGTACGTGGCCGTCTCCCGCGCTGCCTTCCAGAAGCCGGACACAGACTGGGGTACGGCCGGGATGGCCGGTGTCTGCAGGTGGAGCCGGCCGGCCAGGCGAGCAGTAGCTGCGCCCACACCAGCAGCAGTGGTGCTAGCTGCATTCGCAACAGCCGCGGTGGCCGACTTGGTGGCGGCAGCAGCGCCGCCCTCACGCAGCCGGAAGGGCCGAGGGGCGTTCCGGTTGACGGCGTAGGCCACGACGTGGCTGGGGTGTACAGCCAGCTCCTCACCGGCGGCCAGCGTGACGGGGTAGATGTATCCGGGTGCCGACAGGGCGACGAGACCGCGACCGGTCAGGAAAGAGCTGCCCCAGTTGGCCAGGCCGAGGCCGAGGCCGGTGCCACCGTAGGTCTGGCGCTGAGGCGTGACGGTCAGTGTGTGGCCGGTCCAGGCGAGCAGGGCGTCGCGTTGCGCAACGACCCAGTCGGTGGTGCCGTCGAGGTGCAGGGTGAAGAGCGTGGTGGAGGCAGCCTTGGTGCCGATCAGCAGGGTCAAGGGAGTCGGCGATGTGATGCGCTGGTACAGAAAGGGGACACCAAGGAGACCCCGGCGGACGGGAGCCAAGATCGAGAGTGTGGATTGGGCCTGCAGAAGGAGAGGAGAAGGTGGGGTGGGTTAGAAGAGGTGGAGGAGACTTTCGCAAACGTCAAGACTGTCATGGCTGTCTGCCTACATTCTCCAGCTTGCCGGCGACGGAAACAAGCGTGCCCCTCCGCGTGTAGAGCTTCTGTGAGGCTGAGAGGGTGACGGAGAGGAGCGAATAGGGCGAGCCGAGGACCTCGAAGCGGGCGTCTGGTTTCTGTCAGCGATTCGGAACCGTATCGACCCGTATGCCAACTACCGTCTCCACCTCAGCCTGGCCGGTTCCTCACACACCTGATTCATCCCGCACGCTGCCCGCAGCTGTCGATCCGAATGCGTCGCCGCCTGTTTGGCGCGGAAACTCCGTGGCCGGCGCAGAGCTGATCTTGATGCCCCGGGTGCCGATAACGGGTGATGTCGTCGTCGTGATGATGCATTGCCGGCAGACATATCGTGGCGTCGACTGCACCCGCAGACAGCCCGGCAGTGCCGGCGGCGTCCGTACGGAGGATGCACGCATGCTGGGAGATGGGAGGCGGGGAGAGGGGGCAGCGAAGACGAGCTGCGCAATGCTTTCGTTGCGACAGCCAGGATGACGAAAAAAAACCAATTCGGAAACTTTCGAATTACGGGACGGCTGTACGGGGCGCTAAACCAGAACGGGACGATGCACCACCGCCTGCTTCTGGTTGCCGCTGGCAACGAAGACCCGCTTAAATGACACGCTAACAAGCGCTGGCAGCGTGTCGGCCTGACATGGGTGGAGGCGGCCCAATTCTTAGAGCACTCCTGGCGCTACTCCGTATTCTAGCAGAACCCGGCACACCATAAAATCTACCACACCGCTCAAGCTCAAACGCTCAGAGGCTCAAAAGCTCACCAAGCTCACCAAGCGGCCAATCGGTGTTATATGCGTGTCTCCCTTTGTTCCGTTTTTTAATGTCGGGTTGCTCCTTCTGCCGTTTGTCCCTCTCGCCTACCGTCTCTAGCTTCTCCTTGTCGCGCCTTCCCGGTGAAGAACAGGAGCAGCCCCTCTCCTCCAAGACGCGATGTCGGTGCGCGTCGTTGCCCGAATTCGGCCGTTGCTGCCTCGGGAACTTGAGAAAGACATTATTGTGAGGGCGGAGAGTAGCGAGGAAGGCGGCCCAGTGAATGTGGTCAAGATCCCGAGTCCGAAGAACGATTCGGAGTTCTCGTTTGCGTTCAATGGCGTCTATGACCAGTCAACGTCGCAGGAGGCGTTGTTCAACGCCGAAGGTCAGCTTGCCTGCTTCTTCTCTCTCTTGCTCTCACCGTCTGCTGACAAGTTCAGTCGCACCACATGTCAAGGCCCTCTTTCAGGGGCTCGACCTGACCCTGTTCGCGTACGGCGTCACGGGCACCGGCAAGACGCATACGATGCGTGGCGGACTGAAGCTGGCCGATCGCGGTGTGATCCCGCGGCTGCTGAGTCATGTCTTCCGACGCGCCAAGAAGATGAACAAGGATGCCGACGGATCGGCGATCGTCACGGTAGCACTATCTTACTACGAGATCTATAACGACAAGGTGTACGACCTACTGGAGCCACCGGAGAAGCGCACGCCGTCGGGACTGCCGCTGCGCGAAAAGGATAACCGGACATTTGTGATTGGCCTGTCGGAACAGCCGTGTGTCGACCTGCACGACTTTGAGCGCCTGTACATTGCAGCCAACCAGAACCGCGTGACGGCGGCGACGAAGCTGAATGCCCACAGCAGCCGCAGTCACGCGATCCTGCGGGTCAAGGTGACCCAGACGACTCTGGACGATGACGGCGTGACGGTGTTGATGATGCGCGAGAGCACTGCCTCAGCCATCGATCTGGCCGGCTCTGAGGACAACCGACGCACCGAGAATGACCGACAGCGACTGGTCGAGTCTGCAGCCATCAACAAGAGCCTATTTGTGCTGAGCCAGTGCGTTGACGCCATCAGTCGCGGCGAGAAACGCATCCCCTTCCGCGAATCCAAAATGACCCGCATTTTGTCGCTCGGCCAGAATAACGGCATCACGGTCATGATCCTCAACCTAGCCCCCATCCGCAGCTACCACCTCGATACCCTGAGCAGCCTCAACGTCAGCTCGCGTGCCAAGCGCATCGAGGTACGCGAGATTGAGAACGAAGTCGTCTTCAAGCAGCCGCCCCGATCCATGTCCAACCTGACCTCGTCCTCAACTTCCAACGCATCCGCTTCGTCTGCGGCAGGGCTCGCGAGACAGCCGCTTCGCGCCCTCACCAGCAACACCCACAACATCCAGACTGGCGTCGCCGCCGCAGCAAAGGCAACGGCTGAGAAGCCCGACAAGCCCATCAAGGCATTTTCTGTCTACACCGACCGCATCGTGGCAAAGCCCCCTGCTGCTCCAGCCGTGGCCTCTATCCCACCGCCTTCGCATGCAGCCACGGCCCCACGCATGGGGGCGCTGCAGTCCCGACAGCCCAAGTCAAACGACAGCAACGCCAGCAACAAGCGAACAGCCGATGCAGCGGAACACCGGCCATCCAAACTAGCTCGGCCTACCGTCCACGCCTATTCGGCCGCAAGTCTTGCTCGAACAACAGTACAGCAGCCTGCAGCAACACCGGCAGCTCCAGTCATTTCAGCCGCGGACATTGAAAAGATCGTGGAGCGTAAGGTGGCAGAGGCGCTGGCCGCGCGGGCACAAGAAGAAGCGCAGGCTCTCGCACAGAAGCAGCCGGCCGTCGAACAGAGGAAGGCGGAAGAAGCACTGGAGACGCAGCAGCATGCGGATGCCAGTGAATCGATGCAGAAACGACTCGACGCGCTGGAGCGGCGCATTGACAGCACTCACGATGGAGACGAGCGGACTGAGGGTCTGCGGTATTTGCTGCTAGCACGACAGCATAGGGAGGCAGGCGACGACGCAGCGACGTTGCGGTGCTATGAACAGGCGTTGCCGTTCTTCCCGGGACAGGCAAAACTGCTGGGCAAGATTGAGAAGCTGCGCGTGAAGATGGCCATTATCTCTGGCGCGAGCGATGGTTCGTCCGCCTTGTCGCCTCGGAAAACACGTGCTGGTGTTGCTCGTGAGAGCTTACGGAAGCGTGCATCGCACTGTGGCGATAGCACGGGAGTGAGTGACCACAGCGAATACTACCACGAAGCGGAATCTGACGCAGACGCGGAAGATGACGATGCGAAGCGTCTGGGACGAACAGCGCACCGGCGGAGCGGAAACGCTCGATCAAGGGGTGCCACAAGCAGTTGTGGTGGTGCTGGTCGGCGCAAGGCGAAGGATGCCTTGAAGGAGTCGAAGACCGGATCAGCGGTTGCGGGACTCGCCGGGGACGACGCAGACGACGAGGCACCGCTGACGCCGCGCAAAAAGCATCTGCTGGACATTGTCAACTCGCGTGACGTGGCACGGATTCGCAGTCTTGCCGGCGTGGGGGCGAAGAAGGCGCGCGACCTGGTCGCCTACCTGGATGGCCACGAGGACAGAGAGGACGCATCACACGATGTGTTTGAGTGCATAAGCCCTGTAAGCACGCGGCGCATTGGCTCCCTGGCAGAATTGCGGAACGTCCCCGGTATGGGCGGACGGACAGTGGAGCGGGCGTGCGCAGGATTGGTTGTGTAAGAGAGAGAAGCAGAGCATTAGAGGAGAGTGTTGCACAGGCGAGGCGTCTGAGGACAGCTGCTTTTGCGAGGTTTGTGCATCATGTGTCCTGCATGGGTGGGTGTCATGGCGTTTTTCTTGACTTGCACTTATTCTCTTTGAAATTGAATTTTACATAGCAAATCAGCCATCATGCGTGCCACGTGATCAGTACAGAGGCAGTGGGATGGGTGAATTTTGGTTATATTACTAAAGTGAAAGCCTGGGCTGGAAAGTCTGCCTAGAGGTCCGTGTTCTCTGTAAAATACCACCGCGCATCACGAATTCGATATATGTTTCTACAGCCCATCGCCCATCATCAAAAGGGCATGCCAAGACAACATTCTAACACCACTGGTATGGTGACCCAAGGTATAACAATGAGCCACCTCATCAACATCCAGACGGAAAAAGCAGAAGCTTCTCGCTGCTTCAAACGTCTTTGGCCGGTGTCTTTAGCGAGTGATTGTCTTTATCAACGGTGGGACCAGACTCTTATGAGAACGAAGCTCGCTCTTGCCGTTCAATCGGATGAAATGGGAATGCTTGATTGATGTTTCCTGTGCCTGTAACTTCGATCTTTCCGAATTTTGCAAACTTTTGTCCGATTTTTTCATCGATCGGCATTATTCCTGGTTGTTCCTTGTTTTAACCACGTCTAACAATGTAGAACTCGTCTCGTTCCTTCTCTTGATGAAGCCTTTACAACTCTGAAGAGCAGCAACAACGCAATGTCTATGAAGGTCATTGGAATTGCTTTGCCCCTTCCAACTTGGGTTTCCACAATTTTGGTCACTACATCTTCCAGCTCAAGTCATTAATGTGATTTGCATCTAGACACATCAGGAAAAGCAATGCAGCACATCCAGTCTTTCATATCACGTCTTACCAGCCACTTCCTCCCATCCCTGTTTACATTGCCAATCTTTATTACGGCGATACAACGATGAATCGTAGATCTAAGTAATAATAGAACGAAGCTCTACACATTTTCTTCGCTCCGGCGTTGAGCTCGAAGTATATTTGCTTGAACTTGGAGAGAATAATGCAGGATTTCGTGATATTTTTGATCCGTTCTACATCTCAAAATTCAATACCAATCATATATCTTTGTTTTACACTTTTGACGCTTTTCTTTTCCACACTTTGAACGGCAAAGTGAAGACAATGTGTATTTCGAAAGTTTCGAGATTCGCGGTAGATTTTTACTCGCCATGAGACCCTTCTATCCCTTACTTATTACGAGCGGCACATTCAAAAGTTATCCCAAGGCCAATGTGGATGGGTTCACTCCGGATAACTGCCGTCTGTAGCTCGTACAGCCGGGGGACCACGAGGTTAAGATGTACGAGGCCATGATCCATGCCAAACTCAGCTACTCGAAGAAGCTGCAGGTGTGGATCAGCCAGGCAGGTTTACAGCTCCACATTTCACTTAGGAGCCGTCCCGTGTTTTCGGCAGGGTGTCGAACTACGTCATGGCTATAGAGGTTACGAAGACCTGGGGTTTGCTTTGTCATCTTGCTGTGAAAGGAGCACTAAGTGGTATGGGATTGGCTTACTCCGTATAGCACGAGGTATTTTTCCTTTCCCGAGTAGTATCGCCGCACCCTGAGGTCGTGTGATGGATATTTATTTGGAGCTTAAGGACGAGGAAGCCTCAGAAGGGGTAAAGTAGAAATAGTACGAAGAGCTAGGATTAGAGGGCCATAACAAAACGCGGACAGTCTTTTCGCGGTATCATCGCCAAAGTCCATACCAATTGACAAGCCTCTGGAAGCTACCCAGCAGCGGCGGATCCAGAAGGATCTGGCCGCCACCAAACAAACGCTTGGCAGAGACGATAGGCTCCGCAGCTGGTTTGCAAGAGCCAGCGCAAGCGTTCGGCCTAGATACGCTATTGATTGGCTAATCAGCGGACGGCTTTTGGCCTGGGTCTAGCTTATCGTGGCGGAAGGTTTTGGATGCAGCCAGCCTATCTCATATGGACGAGGCCGGACCGGTGCTCACGGGCCGGGTGTCCTTGGCCGGGTATTGTGCCGATGCGTGTACCTAACATGGGGTTGTGTCCTTAGTGACAGATTTGTGTAAGATAGCCGTGGCGGGAACGAGACAACACATAGAGTGTCATCGTGCAGCCTTCTTATCTGTTGTGTGTATTTTTTCCAGTGGAGCAAAGTCCCCAGATTGTCCAAAGGCCAGAAAAGGCAAGGACCCAGTGTAATGGCAGGGCAGGCTGCGATAAGAGGTGGTCCTTCCCAGTTGGGTATATAGGGTGGTGGTGCACACGTTTATGCCTCTTTTTCCGAATTTTGGACACACCAAGCCGACAAGCACGATGGCAACAGACGACAGCAAAGACGTGTCCAAGGTGTCGGCCAACGAGGCGGCGATGGAGACGGTGCAGCGGACGGAGTCCAACACGGACACGCAGGCGATCGACGTGGACCTGGGCTATCTGGCCGGCAGCAAGTGGGCGCGGATATACCGCAGCGTGCTGTTCCAGATGGTGATGATGGGGGCGCTCTCGTTTGTGGGCCCGGCGATGGCGGACGCGATCTCGAACCTGGGGGGCGGCGGGCTGTCGACGCCGTATCTGGCCAACCTAGCGAACTCGGTGGACTATGCGTCGGGCTGTGTGGTGACGCTCTTTGGGGGGCCGCTGATCAACAAGCTGACGATCAAGTGGAGCTGCCTGATTGCGGCGGTGGTGTTTCCGCTGTCGGCATCGGGCTACTACGTCAGCGCGCGGTACTCGATCGACTGGTACCTGCTCTTTGTCAAGATCCTGGGCGGGTTCACGAGCGGGTTCCTGTATGTGGCCGAGACGGCGGCGATGCTGTCGTATCCGCACCAGGACGACCGGGGGCTGTACCTGGGGATCTGGTCGGCGATGCGCAACTCGGGCAGCGTGATCGGGGGAGCGATCAACTTTGGGACCAACTACTCGCGGTCGAGCGCGGGCGGCATCGCGTGGTCGACCTACCTCATCTTTGTGGGGTTCGCCTGCACGGGCTTCATCTGGGCGCTGCTGCTGACGCAGACACGGCAGGTGCGACGCAAGGACGGCACGCGTGTGCCGACGGCCGAGAACGCCAGCTGGAAGGCCGAATTCGCGGCACTCTGGCAGCACATGCGGCGTCCCAAGACCTGGCTCGTCTTTCTGCCGGCCTTTTACTCCTTCTTCTACGGCGGCACGATGGGCACGTACCTGTCGCTGCATTTTTCGGTACGGTCACGGGCGCTCTCGTCGCTCATCACGCCGTCGCTCACGATCGTCATGGTGCTCGCGTACGGCCGACTGCTGGACGCGCGCTCGCTCTCGCAGAAGCGGCGGGCGTGGATCGCGTTTGTGCTTTGGGCGGTGCCGCAAGCGGCCTGCTTCGTCTGGATCGGCGTGGAGTACGGCAAGTTTGGCCGCGGCAAGTACCATCTCGACTACCAACTCGACAGCCGGCGCTGGGCCGAGGCGTACTTGCCATACCTCTTCATCTTCACGACCGGCTACTGGACACAGCTGTCGCTCTACTGGACCCTGGGCACCTTCTCGACCGACGCCAAGTCAGGCGCCCGCACCGGTGGCCTCTTCCGCGCGTTTGAGACGGCCGGCCAGGCGGTCTCGTACGCCATCAACTCACACTACGGCGGCGACCCGCGCAAGCCGTTCTTTGTCAACTGTGCGCTGCTGGCGGTGGCTATGCCGAGCATGGTGTTTCTGATCCGCCTGGTGCCCGAGCAGCCGGCCGAGTTTGATCTGGACGCGATCGCCTTTGAGGAGGAGCACGATAAGCGGGTGGAAGATTGACCTTTTGGGGGGGATAATCAGATACGTTTAGACTAGAGAAATGCAACTTTTTGTAATGCACCGATCGCGAGATTCCGTAATCGGCAGTCGTGGCCGGACCGGCGTATCTTGCTTGCGTAAGCGTGAGTAGCGCGTCTAGGACGCTAAGCCGCTGTGCAGATTCCCGGGCCGGCGATTGAGAAAGAGTATAGCAAGTGAGGCCATTGTCGGACCATTGAGCACATAGCAGTGACGAGTCTGAGCATTTATACAGTATCGTGTCTACTGTTTGTCTGCTGTTTGTCTCTCTTGCGGCCTATATTCTCTCTCACCTTCGCCATGGTTCTCCCGATCGACAACCCGACCAAGTCCTACTGGATTGAGGCGGCGGCGTCACCGCTGCGGAGCTTCCAGTCGGCGGCGACGCTGCCGGCGACGACCGATCTAGTGATTGTCGGCAGCGGCTACACGGGTGCGAGCGCGGCGTACTGGGTGCACAAGCACACGGCCGCCTTGGGAACGACGCCGCAGATGGTGATGCTGGAGGCGCGCGATGTATGTGGCGGGGCGACGGGACGCAACGGCGGCCAGCTGCGGCCGCATGCCTACTCGCGGTACCCGGCGTGGTCTGCGCGGTTTGGAGCGGCGGGGGCGCTGGCCCTGATCCAGCACGAGATGGCGCACCTGGCAGCATTCCGGGCGCTGCTGGACGCCGAAGGCATCGCGGACGAGACCTGTCTGCGGCTGGGCGAGACGTTTGACGCGGCCATGACGGTCGAGGCCTGGACGCGGCTGCGTGGCGCCTTTGACGCCTTTGTGCGCGACCACGGCCGCGATGGCGACATCATCCGCGAATGCCGTCTGATCGACGACCCGACCGAAGCCGAGGCCTTTACCCAGATGAAGGGCTGTCTGGGTGCCATCGTCCACCCGGCCGGCCAGATCTGGCCCTACAAGCTCGTGCACGCGCTGCTGCGCATCGTCCTCGCCACCGGTCGCCTGCAGCTGCACGCCAACACACCCGTCGCGTCTGTCTCGGCACAGCGCGACTCGGACGGCTTCTTGACCGTCACCACGCCTCGAGGCTCCATTCGTGCTAGAGCGGTGCTGCACGCGACCAACCGCTGGGCCTCACATCTGCTGCCCGAGTTCGACCGCCTCGTCTTTCCCTGTCTCTGCACCGTGGCCGCCGTCCAGGCCCCGGCCGGCTTCATCCGCAATACCGGCGCCCAGCATTGGGACGGCGAGGTCAACAACTACCACAACCAGCTGCCACCACCCTACAACGTCATCGTCGTCGGCGGCGCCAAGGCTGTCTGTGCTCACTACCCGCATGCCTGGCTGCGCAGCGACGACGAGTCTCGCCAGCTGCCCGGCGTCCCGTCCTTCTACAAGACCTGGCCCAAGAACGACTTGGTCGACTGGCCTGCTCTCTCAGAGGAGACTCCCCTCGGCCTTCCCGACGATCAGGGTGGCGTCTGGACCGGCGTCGAATCTGCTAGCATCGACTCCTTCCCTTTTGTCGGCCCTCTGCCCCAGAAGCCTGGTCACTTTGTTGCTGCCGGCTTTGCTGGCCATGGAATGCCGCGCATCCTCCTCTCTACCGCTCACATCACCCCCCTCATCCTTGCCGACCTTGGCATCGACAACTGTCCGCCCGATCTCGTCGCTCCCTACCCGCCGCTACCGCCGCCGTTTGTCATCTCCGACGACCGCCTCAGCCGCCTGCAGAGTGCCGATGCTCAGGCCCAGTACGATGCCTCCGTTCGGGCGCACGAGGAGAGCGCAAAGAAGCCGTTCTGCAACGAGCCGCGCTGTCTGGCATGGCAGAAGGTGGAAACAGAACAGAATTAATTAATCACAAGCTTACTGCAGTAACGCTCGTAGGAGCCCATAAAATAAATCCAGACAAACTTTGCATTCTCCGTTCCCAATCCTCCCAGACCAATTGCAACGCCAGACCCGTCGTATCCATACATGTGTGTAGCTGCATAGCGCATAGTTGCATATCCGTAGCGCCCTTTGGTTGCTTACTCATCGTCTCTTCCCTCCTTACCGTCTCTCGTCAGAGATGAACCGACCGGATCGCCGGCTGATCCTGTGGCTGGGGCTGGCCAGACTGCTGGCCGTGCTGCCACTGTTGGCGTGCCGGTGGCTGTAGTGGTAATGGGCTGGGTCTGGCTGCTGCAGCTGTTGTTGTTGCTGTTGCTGCTGCAGCTGGTAGGCCTGGTAGTGATCCTGGCCGGTTGAGGACGAGGCCGAGACCGAACGCTCGTGGCCGTCGAGGCGACCAAGGCTGCGCAGAATCTGTTCAGCGGCGACGCGCTCACGTGTGAGGCCCTGTTGCTGCTGTTGCTGCTGTTGCTGCTGTTGCTGATGGGAGCGCGGTCGCTGGGTCTCGCGCAGGGCGCTGGGATGGGCCTGGATGACGGAAGAAGAAGAGGCAAAAGGCAGCGGACCGGTAGCAGCAGATGTAGGCGACGAGGCCATGGCCCGATCGACAAACACATCGTCCTGGATCTGCTGCAGCCGTCGCTGCTGGCGCTGCTGCTCGGCCCAGATGGTCGACGCAGCCATGGCGCCGGCCGACGAGCCAGCATGCCGTCCCAATCCGAATCCGAGATTGTGATGACGCTGATAGATCGGCCCCGAGATCGTGCTGCCGGCGCCCTCGCCAAAGCCCACCAGGCTGGCCGAGCCGTCGTCGTCGTCGTCCACCGGGTCGTCGTCGTCGCCTTCGTCGCCCAAGCCGCTGCTCATCCGGTCGTCCTCGTCCATCAGCATCAGATCATCCTCCTCGTCGTCGTCACCATCCACCGTTCCCAGCGTGTGGCCGCTCATGACGCTGTTTGTCCGGCTGGCCGTCGCACTGGCTGTGCCGACTGTGCTCATCTTCGTAATCGCCACCGGCTGGCCGTGGGCATCGAAAAAGGCCGGTGTCAACGGTCCCGGCACGGCCGAGAGCGCAAACCCTGGCCCACCCGACAGCGAAGACGCTGAGCCTGGAGGCGTCGCCAGTGGCGCTCCACCGCGTCCGGCACTGCCCATACGGCTTCCTTGGCCGCGCGTTGCCCGTAGCGTCGACACCGTCGACAGGCCCGTCAGACGCGAAATCCGGTCCGCTCGCTCCGCTTCCAGGCTGTTGGCCGATGAGTGGTACTGATGGCCTCGAGGCCCGCCGTGGCTGCCGCTACCGTTATTGATCCCGCCGCCGCGCTGACCATCCTTGATTGCCGTCGTCGACAGTGCAGACAGCGATGTCGTCGTGCTCGTTGGCGTGCCGCTGCGAACATGTATCAGTAAAGACTCTTTCTCGTTTTTTCGCCTTCTCGCTCTCGCTCGCCCTCACTCACGGCATCTCTGACGGCGTGTCCGGATTCGACTGCGGCTGCGGTATGTTGATCAGCGTTGGCTGCACTGCCGCCGCTGCTGCCTGCGTGTGGGACATGGCGCTGCCGCTCGGATGCACAGGCACGCTGTCGTCGTATCGTCGTCGCTCTGTTTGTTGCTCCTTCGATGCCGCGTCGACTGCTTGTTCGTTTGCTGGCAGGAGAGCAGACGCATCGATGGTCGGTCGAATAAAGTCTTGTAAACTGCAAGAGTAATGTCGTCTTTTCCGTCGCACAGTCTTTTCTCTCGCTTGGTCCTTGTCAGCCGCGTCAGAAGAGCTGTATGGCGCTGGGCTGTCGTCGTTACTTATCGCTTGTCGTTCCCCTTTCGGTGGACCGAGAGAAGAGAAAAGAGGGGACTTGGTGGAGCACATGACGTCGAAAGACCGCTAGTCGTCTTCTGCCTAGCGTCTTTAGCACCAGCGCCACGCTACTGAGGTCCGAAGGAAAAGATGCCGGAAGGCACAACGCTCTGCACCTTCCGCTTATTACAACAGCGTCTTGCACGTGCAGCTTTGAACAATACATCAATTTTGCTTTCAACTAGAAGCATCATCTACATCCATGATCGATCGTGAGTATTGCGGCTTGTCGCTGCCAGCCCGTATCGCCGCCACAACTATCAAACCTTTGTCCGCTGCTTCTTCGCCGATGCCGACACCCTCTCGTCCTCGACAAGCCGGTCTGCCGGTCGCCTCCGCTTAGACTGCTGTGATTGCGACTTTCTCGGCGTTGGTTGTGATCCGCTCAGACGGCCCAGCTCCAGTCTTGCCGCTTTGCTCGACCTGTCCGGCGTTGGCTGTGATCCGCCCAGACTGTCCTGCGATGTCGACCCTGATGCTAATGGCCGCCATACAAGCGCCGGGAGCTCCGTCTCCACGCCCAGGTCGATGCTCCCTCGGCGCCCTTTGCTCTTCTGGCTGCTTTCACCTTCTGCCTCCTTGTCGACATCCTCGCTTTCTTCTCCTTGCTCCGCCTTCTCTGCGTCTGCCTCTCCGACCTCGTCCTCTGCCGTCGCTTCTGCCTCGCCCTTGTCTGCTGCCAGCCCTCCATCGCCGTCTTCGTCAAAGAAGTACGGATCGGCTGCTGCTCTTCTCTTTCGGATCCGCCTCGTTGTCTCTCCTTCTGATTCCGGCACGTCCACATCGTTTTCTCGCACGCTGCTGTGTTGCCGGCGTCCAGACAGCGTTGCTGACAGCTCTGCCTGTTCCGACACGTCGTGAACGCCTTCTGTCTCCCCTTCCTCATCATCCTCCACGTCCTCTTCCAGTACCAGCCGATTGCTCTTATACGCCCTGTAAACAGCTCCTCGTTTGCTGTTTGCACGGCCAAATCGTGGCGGTCCTGCTGCCGATTCTCTTGTCGCTCGAGGTCGCTTCCGAGCGCGTTGTATAGCAGTCGGCCCCGCTCTGCTTTCCTCTTCTTCCTTCTCCCCCTCTTTCTCCTCCTCTTTCTCCTCTCTCTCCTCTTCTCCCACTTCCTGTCCCTCCTCTTCCTTATCCTCTCCTTCCTCTTTCTCCTTCCCGTCTCCTCCACCAACAGTCAAGTCCTTGTCGCCAATGCTGTCGAAGTCGTAGTCCCACGCATCGCCCAGCTTTTGATGCTGGTCATACTGGTCCACTAGGTACTTCGCAATCGCCTGCACCGACTTCTTCTCGTAGTCAGGCACTGTCCGCTTCAGTCGGCTCCAGACCAGCTCGCGCGTCGGTCGTCGCCACCGGTTGCGGAATGTCTCGTCCACCAACCGCGTCCACGGGATCTTGCGCTCACTGAGAACATTCGAATGCCGGATCGACTTGATCAGTCGGTATTTGTCTTCCGCACTCATCCGTCGCAGCTGTCGTCGCACCCTGTCCGAGATCTTGCGCGCCGTCTCCGGCACTTGTTCGCCATTCTCGTATCCGTCGCCCGCAAACAGCACCGGCCATTGCTCGTCCTTCTGGTCGTCTCTGCCTTTTCTGCTGCCGTGGCCGCTGCCGTTGCCTCTCTCTGCGTCCAACTTGCTCTTCCCCATCGCCTCAATCGTCGCCGCTCGCTTCTGCGATGGCGTCGGCTCTGCTGGTGCCGGCGGCCCAATCAACTCGCCCCTATCGTTGAAATGGTATGCCGCCTGCACGTCGTTCCACTTCACCCGACACTGCCGTGCCGTTCGTGTGTGTCCCATCCGCTCGCTCACCTGCGTCCACGAAAGGTCCGCCACCGCTTCTGCGTTGACCTCCAACACGTCCTGTCCGCGTGATTGTTGGATCGTCCGCAGCATGTCTCCCACAATCCCCGCCAGTTTCTTCTCCTCCTCAAACTTCCAGTTGAACAGCCGTCCGTCCTGCATGCAGACCACCCGCTCCTCCCATCGCTTGCGCACGTCCTCTCGGTGTCGGTTCAGCAGCCCCGAAATCACTGCCCACTTGTGCCCGTGCTTCTCCACCATCTCTCCCAGCTCCTCGTCCTCCTCGGCCGTCCACCGGTACATTTCCTTGTAGTTATGGAACATGCGCCGGCACCGCAACATCACATTCTTCCGCGCCTGGTTGGGGCACGCCTCCTGCATCGCATTCCACAGCTCCTTGTGCTGAGCCGCCGGCTCTTGCACCATGTCGTTAAACTCGTGCTGCGTCAGGGATCGCTCGTCGATCATTCCCGCTGCCACTTCCTCCAGATGTCGCAAGTTCTCCGCCGAGAATACGCCGGATGAGCCTGGCGTCTTCGCCTGCTGTAATGCCGGTGTCCGCTGCACCTTCTTGGCTGCAGTCTTTGCAACCGGTCCGGCTGGTGTCGACGGCGTGTTTTTTGTCGGCTTGACTGCAGTTGCTTCTTCTTCTGCTGACTCTGCTGGCTTTTCTGATGGCTCTTCTGCTGATTCTGCCGGCTCTTCTGCAGGCTCTTCTGTTGGCTCTTCTGTTGGCTCTGCGTCTGCTGGTTCTGGTTCTGGTACTGCTGAGTCTTCTGCTGGCTCTTCCGCTGGCTCTGCTTCTGTTTCTTTCCCTACTTTTCTCATCCTCGCCAGCTTCGGTGATTTGACCGTATTCTCGATCAAGCCTGCCTCGTGGGGCTGTGTGCTGGGTATCGACGAGGTTTGCGTGCCTGGGACTTCGATGTCTTCTTCGCCATTTCGCTCCAGGATACTCGGCTTCGGGACCTGCTTACGGCCCTTCTTGGCGCTCTTGACCACCGGTTGTCGCTTCGAGTTCGTCACTGCAACGGTTGCCGTCCGGTGGTCCGATTCGGCGTCTGGGCTCTGCGCATCGCTGTCGGCCGGCCATTCGTAGTCCCCGGCATGATCGACCGCGGTGCCTTCCGGCAGCACGTCTGGAATATCCTCCATGCTATCGTCGGAGCTGCTATACGTATCTGCCGCTGTCTCGTCGGACACCTCTTTCGCGCCGGCGCCGCTGTCGTCTCGTGGCGGGTCTTCGGCCGGCTCAGCGTCGTGCATCGCCACATCCTCAACTGCCGCATCCCGCTGCAACTCATGTTGGGCTGCATGCCTGGCCAGGCTGTCGTTTTGTGCGGGCGTTGGCTTGGTTTTCGTACCCAATGACGAGAAGAGCCGTCTGCGCGGCAGTGGAATATCTTCCCCAGAGGATAACTCACCGGCTCCGTCTTCCTCATCACTCTCCACCGCATCCACAACTGCTTCGGAAATAGACGCAGAAGTAGAAGTTCCTGTTCCTTCTTCGCTAGTGCTCTCAGGTTCCTCCGTTTTAACGGCACTTCTTTCGGTATCTTCCCCGTCTTCTTCCTCATTATCCTCCTCTTCATCCTTGTCCTTGTCCTCGTCTTCCTCTCCCTCATCCTCCTCGTCCTCGCCCTCGCCATCGCTCTCTGATGCCTCCAATTTCACAAATGCAGAGGCATCTTCCCGTGCCGCTTCTGAAGAAGCAGAAGATTCGTCTGTTTCGTCTTCGTTCTCCTCGTCCTCGGCCTTTACGGCCGTATCGGCGTCCTCACCCATGTCTTCTGTGTCATCGTCGCTGGTGCTGCTCTCGTTACTGTCCTGCCTTGGCATAGCTGCGGTGCTGATGTGCCGTTGTTTCGGCTTTGGCCGCACCACCTTCTTACGAGCGCCCTCAGGCATACTCTCAACGGTTCCCATAGTCATCTGTACTCTGTCAGACAACACTACCGTGGCCTTTATTTCTGTTCGGTGCCGGCGTTATTGGGAGGGCGCGACTGCGAAGCGAAGCAAGTCGCAAAAATAAAATGTAATTGAAATGCGATCACGTGTCGAGCAAACGCGATTCCACGCGCCGTTTCACAACCTGCTCAAGCAGACCCACTTTTGCGACATCTTTCATTGCTTCCATTCCATATTATATAAACAGTTACTCCGTACAAGAAACCCGATTTCGATGTCTGATATGTCTCCCGTTATTAGGTCGAAATCTGCACATAGCTTCGAGTCCTTACAGGTAAAGGTCCCATCGAAAATCGCGAAACATGCACGCTTCCATCCAAGTCGAAGCTTGGATCCCGCATCCTGTTTGTCGATTCAGCCACAATAGTTCGTACATGGTCTGCCTACGTTACTCTACTCGTCGATGTCCTACATTTTTCTGTCTCCGTGTAGATGGGCTCTTCCGAAATGCAATCTGCATGCTTTCCATATATCGGAATGTCCTTGTCGTTCTTGGCATTTGTGTCGTATTTGTATCTTGATCTCCGATCCTCTCCTGGCTGCTGTCAGTGCTATTGTCAATGCTGTTGTGTCTGCTGAAAACGCTCGGTCGCGGTGTGGGATACTCGTTGTACCCCTCCTGCTACACGCGACTCCGGCGACGAAGCAGCTGTCTCGGACATCTTTGAATACTGCGGAGTATCGGGTCTTGTAAGGCTGGTCTCCACGGGACAGTCCAATGAGGTAGTTTGGTGAGCAGCTGTCTCCTGCGCCACTTGAATCAGCGCAGAGTCCGTCAATGGTTCCTGGTTCCATTTGGCAGATGCTGGAAGAGGAGGAAGTGGTGCACTCGGCGGTGGTGATATCGGCCCCAGCTGCCGCAGCGCCAAAATCGCCGTGCTTTCCTTGCCTCCCTCCTGAATTTCAGGAGACAATGCAAGTCGATCGGTTTTCGACGTTAAATCTTTCTTGGAGTGCCGTTTGAGAGGCGGTCGGATCGAGTAAAGCTCCCAGGCTTCCTCCTTTGTGAGTGGTTTTTTGCCCTTGCGAGCCACACGGTTCTCCAGACCCGACTCGTTCGCCATCTCGGACTCAGTCATAATGGAGTCTGTCTCCGCCTCGCATCCTTCTCCACCTGCTCCTGTTTCCGATGGCTCTTCGTGTTGGTCCATAGACATCTTGCGAGACAGCCGCGTCCTTCCAGGACCTTTCTTCGACGTGAACCATCCCCTGAGTGTCGACATCCCGCCCTGGCTGTCCAACTTCTGCTGTTTCTTTGCCTCGCGAGCTGCTTCTCGCAATACCTCCTTCTCCCGCAAGGCCAGCTTACGCGCTGCCTCCCTTTCGGCGGCCCTTCGCTGCTCCTCCTTGCGATTGCGAATCTCTATCGCGGCCTGTTCCTGAAACCACGCGTCACGTTTTTCTCGATTGACCTTGGATGTTTCGTGGCCTAGCATGTATCCCCCGGCAATGTCCAAAGGCACTTGCGGTAGGCCAAAGTCGGCCATGGTTGCACAAGGACTGCTGTCACCCTTGCTGTCGTCTTGCTTCAAGGAAGCTGCTGCCGGTTCGCTAGCGGAGGATACCTCCCTCCGGCTCGTTCCCATGTTCATGCCTCGGTCTATTGCGGCCTTAAGGCTGGTCGCAGGTTGCGTCACAGAGCGCATTTGCTGATGCCTGCGTGAAGACCGCCGAAGACTATGGAAGAACGGGACGTTTTCCTGCTGTTGGTCGTTGCCACCAAACAGGGAAAATCCAGAAAAGCTCGCTGCAGTGCTTGCAGTGCTGCCATTGCTGCGAATGCTGGAATGAGAAATGCTGGAAGCCGGTCCTGCGACTTTGCCGTCCTCTCCTTGTCCGCTGGCTTGGTGGTTGTTCATTCTTTCCCTGTCTTTTTCGATCTGCGATTTCGCTGCAACAAGAAGGGATTGTCTCTGAAAGAGCTTTACATCAAAATCGAGATTCTTGCGCGACTCCGATGGGGCAATCTCAAAGGCCAGCTTGCCCAGTCGCGGTGACAGGGTCAAGCCGCCACCTTGTCCCCGGTAGCCACTTCCAGCGACAGCGTTTGTCCCAACCTTCAGCGTGGCATTTTTTGAATCTAAGCTTGGATTGGGAACCAAAGCAGACAGGTCTCCCTTTCGGTGATTCTGCTGCAGCGGCTTTGCAAGTTCTGGCAGTCCCAGTGTAGCTGCTGCTTTTGATGCTATGGATGAGCCATTATTTGCATCAGGTGCTTCCTATGCACCGGCTGCTAATGACACCATCGTGTTGGGCTGCATAAAACTGCCAGTCACCGGAGACAGGTCCTTCGTATATTTGGCAAGGTTTGCCGAAACCTCTTCGTCTCCGCCTGGTTTTGGAGACCCTCTTTTCAATAGCTCAGTCCCACCGCTTGAGAACAGCTTAGATAATGCGTCACGATGGGATCGTGCCCAAAACGAGTTCCTGTCACCGCTACCTTCATCCAGAAGCCATTCCGGTGATGGCGGTCGAAGTGTGCATGGACGTCCTTCTCTTTGCGAGTTCACCTTTTCTATCAGGTAATCTCGAGTATACTTCCAGGGATCTGTGCCGGCATGCTCGGTCTGTGGGGCCGGGGTTTTCCCTGGCATACAGGGATCGGTGTTCTGTCTTCCCCTTGCCTCGGTGCTTTTCTCGGTATTTTCCGGCATAGGTGTCGTCGGTGATCCTTCATCTCCGTCTTCCAGGTTCATATACTTGTCAGAAAATCGCACCGCTTTTGATGGGCGTCGTTGGGAGGCAGTAAGTGGAACAGAAGGGATGCCGAGGGCAGCCACTTTGATATCCTCGTCTTGTCCTCTGAATTTGGCGAATATTCCCTCTGTTGATCTCCAAGTTGGCTTGAGCAAGTTCGGGGTCCTCTCTGGCAGTGTGTCGTACTTTCTCTGCTGTCGAAGAGTCACTGAGGACTTGGCAGCTTTCAAAGCAGGATGATTGCGGCCTGGACTTTCAGCATCTTCATCCTGGGTCCCATTTTTGCAATCTTGAGTTGCGGTATCATTTATCTTTATGTCGTGTTCAGGTGCTTCGGCAAGCTTTCTCTCTGCTGAATCTTCAAGGGTATGTGCAACATCATGGCAGTTGAAGGATGCCTGGTCAGGTATGGTTGAAGTTGTTTGAACACCGTCATGTAATTTTTGTGTGAGTGCAGATAATGACGGGTTATCTTCGCGCTGAATTGTGCAAATTGGGAAGGGGGGGTGTGACGATGCTGAACTGTCCAATGAAAGGTGATTGGCATTGGTGGCTGGAAGTCGCAAGCCCTTTTTGAACAAAGACTCTTCACTGAGGCCTAGTTCCCTAAGCAGAGGATGCACCAAGAGTTCTGAATAGGATCCCGAGGAAGAAACGCTCTGGCCAGATGATGACGTTGACGTTTTCAAAATAGACCTGATATATTCCGATTTTGAACTGGTGCTTGCTTTGGTTGCGTCAGGAGGTGCAGCGTGGTGTCTGTCGCCACAGATCTTGATGAATGTTTGCCTGGTTTCTTCGATGATAGCCATGTACGCCATCAGCGCCGGGCGGACCTCCTCTGTCCATCCGGAAGCAACGCCGGCTTCGGAAAACAGCCTTTTCTGAATCCCACAGATGTCCATATCTGTTCTAGTTTCCATGAGAGCATAGTAAACGTGTTCACGGAGGGCTCTGATATCTTGCACCCGAATTGATGGTACCGGATAGGACATAAGGTAGGGTGGAAACAATGCGTTGAGCAATTGCATGACGAATGTTCGCTCGGCTCCGTTCCTAAGATGCCAACAGATCATCTTCTCCAGTCAGCTCTAGCCACGGATTCAGGCAAATGATAGGTCCAACTTACACAGATCCTTGCGCCAAGGAAGACTGTCCGAAAATGAGCCTGCGCCTCAGCATTTGTTTGTATCATGGGCTCAATGTGATTCAAGACAGGATCCATTCGGTGCCGGGCAATGTCAAGTTGTTGGCAGGTGTGAGTGCCCAGCTTCTGGGCGATAGACTCAAGGTCCTGACGACGACGGCATTCCAGGCCTGTGAGCGTATCGATCCCTCTCAGGGTCTCAACATGGCTCCAAGCCACGGCCATCTCTTCGGGCAAAAAGATGTTATCCGCTAGATTCATTCGCACATTTGGAAAATCCTCTCGTTTTACTATTTCAAGCTGTTGTGTTTGCTCCGGGGATACCGTCAAGATATTCTGGTATGGGGAAGTCCTGTTTAAAGATTTGATGGCGGTTACGACAGTGCTGAGGACAGACATGTTGCCATCAAAGGCAACTAGCCGTTGGCTGATGGCCCGGGAGGGTGTTCCCGTAGAATAAGACGCATCGTCTGGTCTGCATGTCTTGAGGTCTAGAAGCTCGGTGACAAGTTTCCGGGTCTCTGAATTGCTTGTCCATGCTTCAAGGAGTAGCGTGGCTGGAGAGGGAAGTCGAGCTGCCGTTTTGGAGTTCCGTTAGACCTCGAAGTTGTGAGAATTTGATTGAAAGGAGACCTACTTAGGCAGGGTCCAAAGATGGACGCCATCTCAAGCCGGGATCTCGGTGATGGCACTCTGAGACCCAGGTCTTGATGCAGAGACAAAGAAAGTAAGAGTAGGTAAATGGTAATGACTTTATGTGGAGGAAAGGTACAAATTGATTTCGATATAAAAGAAGGTGGCCGAGATGCATAAGTAAGAAGGGTCGCTCCAGGAACGTGAAAGCCACCAATATGCGTCACTGGTGAATTAAAGGCTCACAAAAAAGAAATTGAAATTGGAATTTAAGCCATTAATCAAATTTACAATTCTGTATGAGCAGCTCATCGAGCATTGTTCCTGCTGTTCTCGTCATGGTGAGTGAAAAAGGCCGAGACGTTGCCGGTTGCCAACAGCTGGCCAATGTCTTAGATGAGCATCACGTGTAACGAGCGGATGCTATGACGATCAACTTTTTAAAAGTACTTGGCATTTGGCCAGACACAAATGGACAAATATACATGTCTTGGCGACCCGGCGGTGTGTTTAATTTCCATGGCCGCGACAACACCCCCAACGCGTTCCCCTGTCGAAATCTTGCTGCATCGAAGCGATAAAGGCGTGCAGATACGGTGATGGTGGCCACTACGACGTGCAGGGCGTGCCCAACCGGCACTCTTTCAGCATGTTATCTGCGCACGGCATTATCGGCCTCGGCCACTGCGGCCACTGCGACCACTGCGACCACTGCGACGGTCCAGCGCCCGATTTGGCTGCCTGCACGGCGATGGGCTACAGCACGGACGTCATCCTCAGCGCTACAGGCGGGCCCACGAACAGCCAAGGCGCCACGCTCTTCGCGTCGTGCCTATCATTCGACAGCAGCTGGCGATGGCGAAGGCGACAGCCTGGGGAAAAAGATGCTGGAGTCGGCAGCCACGTCGATGGCGTCGATTGTGATGCTGGGCCTGGGCTTTGCGCTGGCCGGCTACGGCTACCACAAATTCTACAAGCACCTCGTGCTGCACAAGATGGAAAAGGCCTTTGATCCAGGCGACCCGGTGCTGGAGCTGGCAGCCATGGGCCGGGGCATGCAGCGGTATCCAGGACGGGCGAGTGCAGCGAGCGAGCCGGATGGACACAGCGAGCAGTACTGGACGCTGCGGCCGGAGCAGCAGGCGGTGGACGCCATCGTCAGTGGCCAGGACGTCGGGCACTACCACCTCTTCCTGGGCGAGAAGGGCACGGGCAAGAGTAGCATGTTGCTGCAGGCGATGGCACGAATCGACGCGCGAGGCGTCTCGATGTTTGACGCACACGCCGACCTGGAGATCTTCCGGATCCGGCTGGGCAAGGCGCTCAAACTTTTGACTTCAACGAGGACTACATTGGCGGCTACTTCAGCGAGCGCGGGCCGCGTGAGAGCACGGCGCTGCTGGACATTGAGCGGGCACTCAACAAGCTGGAAAAGGTGGCGCTGAGGCGGCGACAGAAGCAGAAGCAGGCGACACACCGGCCGCTGATCCTGATCATCAACCAGATGCATCTCGTGCGCGACGACGAGGACGGCCGCGACCTGATCGAGCTGCTGCAACAGCGAGCTGAACAGTGGGCTGCATCGGGCTTGGTGACCATGGTCTTCTGCAGCGACGACTACTGGGTGCACGAGCGGCTGCGTCAGCTGGCGGCCCGTCTCGAGGTCCACAGCATCCAGGACCTGTCGCGAGCCCAGGCCACGGCGACGCTGCAGCGCTTCCGTCAGCGCTACTTTGGCGAGACGCTCTCGGACACGAAGGCCTCGGCCGTGTACGACCGCGTCGGTGGCCGGCTGACCTTTCTCAACCGCGTCGCCCGCAGCCGCGACATGATGGCGACGTGTGACCAGATCACCAAGATGGAGAAGAAGTGGTTTCTCGCCCAATGCTGGATCCTGGGTGCCGACATGGACGACGACGTCATGGATCAGCAGAAGTGGGCTGCTGCCGCCATGGTGCTGGCCCAGGCCCTGGTCGACAAGGAGGCCGCCGTCGGTCTGGCTGCCGGGAACGGCGACGAGGAGCAGGAACGTACGGATGTGGCCGAGGCCTCGTCTGTCGCCAGCACTGCCAACACTGTCTGCACTGCCCGCCCGCCCATGCGGCCGTCGTTTGCCCTCCACGAGGCACAGCAGATCATGACGCGCGCCGACTTTGTGCGCGAGATGGACCGCCGCAACCTGTTTACCATTACCAGCCAGGGCCACGTGCGGGCGGCCTCTGTGCCTATGCAGGCGGCCCTGCGCCAGATCTGCGGCATGCCTGGCTTCCGCGAACATCTCGACGCCACTGTCCAGCGCATCTCCGACATTGAGAGCCTCGGCCGCACCCGCGAACTCGTCGCCAAGGATCTCGTCCTCGGCGGCCGCTACGAGCTGGCCGCGTCCAAGGCCGACAAGAAGCGGACCGAAGTTGTCTTCACCGGCTGGAGCCCTCACCAGAGGCCACCGGACGATTCGCTCTCCCCGACGGAAGATCCATAGACATGCGTGACAGTACACCGCATGTTTCGCCACCTTCTCGTCTTTCTTTTGTCCTTTCTTTTTTTCTTCTCCTTTTGTAAGCCGGCGCAGTGTACGATTTCGGGTGCGGTGAGGCAAAGGAACAGAGTGGGTCCCGCTGTTTCAAGGCGGACGTACTCCTGAGATACGGCTGACGGTCTTGTCCGACGCTGAAGATACAGGGCCTCTATGGGAGGGCCGTTTTCTCGGTCGTCTTCCCCTCTCCGCAAGCAAGACAAGATGTCCACAGGTGAGACAAGATAAGACAGCCCACGAGGGTTCCACCAGCTGGCAGACTGACTACTGCCAATAATAAACGGGAAGTCGACCCAAGGCCGAGAAGAGACATGCATACGTCGTACGTATCACGGTGTGTTCGCAGGATGTGGGCAGGGGGGGGGCGGGATATATACGGAGTACTACGTAACAATTCCTTTTCTCTGTGCCTCAAAAGGGGAAGAGGAAAAACAGCAGTGCAGCTGTGGCATCCCAGCTGGGCTTGACGGGAACAAAGCGAACGGAAATAGCGAGCCACAGACGACGTCTCGGACGAAATGAAGCACGCCTGCATCTGGCCCGGAACCGTGCTCCGCGGAGGAAGAAGCAAAGAAAGCAATTCCAATCCCACCCATCTGTTCTCACCGAAATCCCACCCGGTGTGGGTGGATGGCTTCGTCTGCCCACGTGAAGCTGGCTTGCAGCTGCATGTGTCCAGATGCCCTTCTTACTCACCGAGCGTGACCGAGCACGACAGCCTGTCTACTACGTACGATGTATGTAATTGCAAAATAAAGTGTGTGGGCGCAGAGAACAGGATCGGATAATCTCATACGAGTTTGCGGGGAGAGGGGCCGGCATCTCGCCACAAAGAACACGCACCATGCGCAAGATGCTATCTTGCAATCTGCGGAGTGTGAGCGTGCAAGCGTGCAAGCGTGCAAGCGTGCAAGCAACCGTGCACGGGCAGGATACGAGGAACTGCTGCCGCTGGAAGGGGGGTGTGCCAATCACCACCTTCTCTTGCCTGTCTTAGATGCATAGTAGCGAGAGCGACCGCGAAGTCCGGCTTGGGGGCCGACTGCAGTTGACGATCTCTCTTCGTACATAGTACACAGGCTTCGTAAGATGCTTCGTCTATTGTCCAGTACGAGTAGGATCCTGCGCCGGAGACAGAGCTCCGCCAAGTCCCTGCCGTCAGATATCATATTTGTAGTACTCCGTACGGAGTACGAGTACATCACGGCAGAAAAGGTACGCTGTGCCCCACGCGCTAGCCTCACGTCGTAATGCACTGTAGCAATAGAATGACATCCTGTCATCGCATTATTTGCTGCAAAGTTACCCGTACAAATCTCGTCCAGCACAATACGTGCACGCAGAGGTACGAGTACGAGTGCTCGTTATTATGTATTAGCGCGTCCAGTTGCGTCCTCCTGGCTCCCTTCCCTTCCTTCTTTTGTCTTAAACCCTGGACTATCGGGAAGATGGGCTGAGTACTGCGGTTGGTGCGTGCAAAGGAGGGTGTGGGAGCCATACGGACAGGGGCCCCTGTAAGCCAATCGTATCTTAGGCCCGACCAGAGAAAAGAAAGCCTCGTCGTGTACGGAGTACTCCATATCGTAGAGCACAGAATCGCGAATGGATCAAGTCGCCAGGAATCCGGAGAGGCAGCTTTTACGGGTACTCTGCACTCGTACTCGTACTCGCCCCTTCCGAGCTGTCATGGGTCGAGAGGGCCAAAGAAAGAGAAACGGGGAAGAGGACGGCCCGTCACGATTGCGTCGTATTGCCAACACAAGCAACCAATCTCTGGCTGGCGTGCCCCCAGCTGTTGTTGGCATTAGCTTCATATCGCCTGTTGGACTTGGAGCAGTAATGCCTCGCACACCTCGCACAGAGATTGGACAGCCACCCTCACTTGGTGTGGGGTTGCGACTCTTTCCATGCTATTCGTATTAGTGGCCCCATGCGTGATTCCTTGTACTCCGAATCTTCCATCTGCTCGTGCCATGGAGCAAATTGTCATCCGAGCAAACGAACCAGGGAGCATCGGTCTGCCGAACCAACGAAAGGGCACACCTGGGCAGATGCAAGCCCCCACGCCCAGACAAGTGGCTTGCTCGTGGATTGATTCTTTTGCGAGTCGCATACAAGTACTTTATTCAGTCCGGCAACGAACAATGCGGACAACGGCGTTTCATTCTGATCGAGAAAAGAAAGCAAAAAAAAAAGGGAGGAAAAGGGCGATGCCTCTTCGACGTGCTCCGTAGAATCACGAGCACTCATCTCGGTCCCGTTCCGCCTTCGTTTTGTCATCATTTCCGTTGTTCATCTCCCCGTCTCCTTTACTCGGTATGTCGGCGGGGCCGGCATGGATAGTCCCGATCAGAGAACGTGAAATGTGCTAGATTCCATCACAGCGTTCCTGGCACACATGCACCCAAATACTCCGTACATCGCCAAGCACGAAAGCAAGCAGAGCAGCTGGAAATTGGACTTTTGCTAGGTGCGTGGCATCCACTCATGAGGGGCAAATCCATTTCAGGAAGTGCGTTGATTTAGCGCCCCTGCAAGATTTAGCCTATTGCACGGTGGTGGCCGCTTTGCTGAGCATTGCGCTGCTGACTCCGTATTCCCACTGCTCTGCGCTTTCATAAGCCAACCAGCCGACCAGATGGGCCCAACTAGTGCTCCGACAGAGTGGGGGATGCCGCCGCCGGTAATTCAATTTCGTATTTGTGTGCTGTCGTCATGAGAAGAACGCCCGAACCAGCACACACATCGCCCTGTGAGTGCGCACATTGGCCCGTATGCCAGAGCACCACGGCTGCGAGGCGGGAGGGTCGGAAAGGACGTAAGTATCTTGCTCGTAGTGCTCCTGTCTGTTGAGAACAGGGAAACTAGCAGACAGGGTCTCACATGGCAATGGCACCACGTCCGCTGACTGAACTGGTGAGATGGAATAATGCCGCCATGGTGCAGCGATATCAGGGGGCGTGTGTGTGGGCGGGGTAATGTCGTTCTTCCAAATGTCGAGCGCATCTGTCAACTGCATGTTCTAGCGAGTAGCGTGGACGAAAAAAAGCCATCCTCTCGCCCTCCTATGACGCAGGCAGAGAAGTCGTGCCGCTGCACCGCAAGGTCCTGGCTGCTGATTGGCTGTCGAGGGCGTCGGTGCCATGGGCCGCATAATGATTTCCGATGGAGCGGCGGCCACGATGCACCAGCGGCTGTGCTTCCTCCTTGCTGAGCCGTCGTCTTCATATCCGTGTGCGTGGTACTATGTAATATAGCTTCCAGCTTCGGACCCGGCCAAGTTGCATCACTCGTTCTCGTATTCCAAAAAAACCGGCACTGCTGGAACGCCATAAGCGAGCTACTCCGCCTCGGTCCTCATTTTCGCCGAAACGAGCTGCCGAGACGAACTGCCGCTTTGGCGAAAAGAAGTTCTGGGAACTGCCGTGTCCGTACTCCATAAAACTATGATGATCGGTACTCCAGTGATTGGCCGGTGGGTGCTGTCCGTATACTGAAATCCCCCCCACCTCCTCAGGAGCTGGTGGCGTTCTTCTGCAACGACTTGCTGATGTGCTCTGTGGACTACTGCACGATGCAGTTGTGGCTGGCAGCTTGCTTCTGCGCACAGATGTTTGCGACAGCCCCACAGTATGACCAGAATTGGCTCTTGTCCGGCGATGGAGCCAGTGGCAGCGGAGGCTTGTGTTGCGTATCTCTATTGGCGATATGGCCGGTGAGCATTCGAAATTGCTGTTCCCGTACTCCGTACTCCGTGTTATGAGATGTACGAATCCGTTTGTCAGTGCTTATTCAAGGGAGATCAAACGAGGATTACGAAGGCAGCTAATCGCTCGCATAAGTGGGTAGTCGGCTAGAAAAGGAGGCTACCGCCAACCGGCACAATCAAGAAGGAACGGCCCACCATTGCGACGGCGCTGTCTGTTGGGCAATACCAGCCGGACTGGAGGCTAAGTCGAGTAAGGCGCAATGGCCATTGGAGCTTAGAGTACCCATCCTGGCTTTGATGAAACGTTTGGGGAAACAACCGCCGTGGTCGAGGATGGCGCACCGAGGCATGACCCGTAGACGCGGTCCTACCGCTGAAAGGAGGAGGGACGAAGGCTGTGACACAGGCGCATGAGGAGACCGGTCTGCTTGTGTCCGGAAAACATCCGCTGCGAGCAAAGCCGAGCAGGCGCATACTCCGAATTACAGGCAGCCATTTGTGCGGAGTACGCGAGCACGGAGCATTGCACAGCGGCTGCGCGTCAGCTCCCTCCGAAAATATGGCCTGAATAGGGAAGGCGACCAAGCCTCTAGGCCTCCACAGCGAAAGCACCTGCTGCCAGCGAGCTAAGACGGGATACGTCTAGCTTAAAGCCTAGGGGGACTCTACCCATGCAGACCCTGGTCAGTGTCTCATACTCCGTACCAGTAGGTCTTTTCTGGCCCATCACTGAGATGCTCACAAGCTGTGGATCGGCAGTGCTGCCATCTCATCATGGCCTCGTGTGGACGATAATCCTACGCGCGTGGTGTACGGAGTACGAGTACTCGGAATATTTCTCATATACGGAGTAGTAGGGTCGAACGAGCGCTTGTTCTCTCCGTCCCGGAACACTCTCCACTATCGCTGGCTGGAAGCGCAAAAGCGAGAGCGATTCCCCATATTACATAGTACCAATACGTCCGTCTGGCTACGCTGTCCTGCTGCTGTCCGTCTGTCTGGTTGTCTGTTGTCTATCTTTTCAAGACCTACTTCGTACTCCGTAGGACCTTCTTCCTCTAGCGCCCCACCCCTCCACCAGCCCATCGCCCTGCACCCCTCCTTCACAGGAGCTGTCATAACCCGGAAACTGAATATTATTCTATTCTCCCCCGACAGGCCTGCTGTTTCCGCCTCTTGTCCGCCTCTCCTCGTGGACTTTCTCGGCCATCCTGCCCCTCGGTCCTGCTTTTCTCTCCCCCAGCCCATGCAGGCTGCCCGCACCTACGGAGTATGCACATCTGCATGTACAGTCCTAACTTTCTCCTCTCGCTGCTCCCTCTCTCCGCTGGAACGCCTCCTGCATGGGACCATGGCGAACAGCCAAATAAGACATATTTTATATCGGTCCTGCCAGCAGCTGCAGCACACCCTTGGACCTCCGTTTTCGCCGCCTAATCTGCTTGCACCCCTCCTTCCTTGTTCAACTCTAATTCTCCTCTGCCACACCCGTTCAGAGGGCCAATCACTCCAATAAGGTTGCCACTGGCCAGGTCACGCCAGCTTTTTCGTCGGACAAGGCCACGCCCATTTACCTCCGTTCGCGTAAGGCCTCTCACCTCCTAGCTCTCGCATTTCACAGCAGCCCGCAGCCCGCAGCCCCCATCTCTTGGTTCGCCTCGATCGCCTTACCGCTTTCTACGACGTATTCTCCATCATCTTCCTTCTGCCAATACCTTTTTCGCCCTTCTTACACCCCTACATAGTACCCCCCTCCCCGACCTAACTCTGTTTCCGCTCCCCTCTTGGATGTCTTCTCCACAATCCATTCACAAGCCATTGGCCAACGCTACGCTGTCTAGTTTAGTGGTGAAGATATCTGATCGTCGAGCCAACCAACGTCGCCGCTCGTGAGACATCTACCCTTTCCTCTCCTGTCGAGCTACGATTGGTCGTGCTGTATCGGCCCCGGGCTGGCTGCTCTCACTTGCTACTTATTACCCAACCTCGTCGCCACGTCCGCCCGCCTCTTACTCCCCTTACATATCTTGCGATTGGCATGCCGTCGTTAATGACGAGCAATGGATCACTCAAACTCAGTCACATCTGGCAACACCGACTCCTCGTGGCCTTGCCGTCCTGCCATGAATTTCGATGATGGCCATCACTCGTCTGTCCCGCTCCAGTGGGGTATGTCTTCGAGCTCAAACCACCGCTCTTCTTTTTCTTCCGACTTCTCTGTCGCTACCTCGCAGATCAGCAATGGCCCTCTGTCGCCCATCAGCACGGGCATCGACATACCCATTTCTGCCTCCACAAATGCTGAAACCTATCTGCTCACCGCGCCCAGCAGCCTGTCCTCTGCGCCACCATTGGATACCTCGACATCGTCATCCTCTGCCACCCCAGAGAACTCCACATCGCCAGTTTCGCATGGCTCGCATGCGTATGGGACCAATGATCTCGTTGATTCAGACGTAGGGCCGGACAGCCCTCTCGGACATATGAGTGATATGCATTGGGAGACCGCCGAGATCGACCATTTGCATATTCCCAAGCTGGAACCCATCGATGAGGACGACTTCCGCCTAGAAGACCTGAAAGAGGCACCTGCGCACCCCGAAGCACGTGGCGAGACTGAGATTCTTCCTCAGTCCAAAGTCAAACGACCTCGAGGACGACCTCGGAAAATTGGCGCTATTCCCACTTCGGCCTCTGTGAGCAAGATGAACAAGGGCCGGTCCAAGACTGGCTGCATCACCTGTCGCAAGCGGAAAAAGAAGTGCGATGAAGCCAAGCCAAGATGTAAGAGGCAAAATTCACCCAACTGTTGCGGTCTGCCCACTGCAACACAACGCTGACCAGTAACCTGCTGTCCCTTGTAGGCTTGAATTGTGAGAAGAACGCCGTGATATGCGAAGGCTATCCCGAAAAGCAGATCTGGAAGAGCGGCAAGGAGAAGGCCGAAGAAGGTGAGAGCTCTACTTACACGTTTGTGTTATCATTATCGCTTGCCGTCAGTATCGCTTACCAGCGCGCTTGCAGAGCTTCTCAAGAACCACAGCCTGCCGATTATCACCATGCAGCCCATCTTCACCGGCTTGGAAACATCAGAGGACCGTATCTTCTGGAAGCACTACAACGACCATCTTAGTGCCGTGTTCACCGTCGAAGGAGAGCAAAAGAACGCATTTCGAGACAAGCTCGTGCCCCTGGCCACGAGGCATCAGGGCATGATGCACTCGCTCTTGTCCCTCTCCAGCAAGCACCTCGACTATGACACGCCCTACGGCGCCAAGATCCTTCAGAGAACCACCAAAGTTACTGCCGATTCTCTACAACGACGTGGAAGCCACCATAACAGTATGGCCGTGAAGTCTCTTTACGACGCCATCAGTGAGGACCGGAATAACAACGTCGACCCGAACGTGATGCTTGCTGCCCGCTATGGCCAGATGCTGTGCCTGGTGCTGGAGTCCCTGGCCGAGGGAGTAGGCATCGGGGGAAGCGGTCCGCGCTGTCACTACGACGCGTTCCTGTTATTCTGATTGCGAAATCTCCGCCCGGAGACTCGGATTTTTACGCCTTCATTGTCGAGATTTTCTTCTATCACATCTTTGCCGATGACCTCCTGAGCTTCCCACCACACACAAATCGCGCCTATGTTGGTGGCAGTGACTGGACTCCGCCTACACCAATTCATGCACCACGACTCATCGGCGTGGCTGATGGCCTTTTCAACCACATTAGTGAAATCACCAACATTCGAATTCGCATCCGTGAAAGAATCGAAAACAACACTGATCCGAGAGTAGACTATGACAGCCTGTATCGTGCATCTGATATCGAGTCTAGCATTCTCGACTGGTCGCCACAATGGCCAATTGGCGATAGCCGGGAAAGTGTTACGCTGCTTTATAAACAGATGACCTGGCTGTATCTGAAGATGACGATATGTCCGCCATCTTCGAGCCCGGATTCAGCACCGACTATCTTGACGCGGGCTGGGGCTACCTTGACCGACACGCCCCCGCGGTCAGCCTCGTCTAGCCCGGCTTCTTCACCGTCTCCAGGAATAGATGCAAGGGTATGTGATTACGACAACATGGACGACTCGCGTCGCCCTTCGTTAGCCGACAACGGGGCTAAAAGCGACGCCTCCCCCAGTTCGCAAATCGACGAAAATGTGCAAACAATCAGACAAAACGGTAGCAGCGATTTGCGTGCATCTCCACCACCAATCCGCCGTCCAACGAACTACGAGCCGGTGGTAAACGTGGCCGTGGACGAAACCCTGGCGCTTCTCGAATCCTTCCAACCAAGCGACCCAGCCCAGACCCTTCTGCTGCTTCCTTGTGTTGTCGTGGGTACCGCCTGCTATGCACCAGCTGAGCAGGCTCGGATCTGTGAAGCCATCCACACCATCCACGGCTACACCGGACTCCGAAACACGAATCAGGCCCTAGAGGTCTTGAACGAGGTGTGGAGGCTCATGGATGCGGGTGAATATCTTCTCGCATGGGACTGGCAAGCCGTGGCATACAAGCTGGGGCATGGATCTCTTTTTTGACATCCCCAGTCGATATACCTCCAGACTGGTGCCATTACCAACAGCCTGCTGCCTTTCCTTACGTCGATCGTTTTGCGGATAGGATTGTCCGCACTTATACCCCATTTGCTTTTATCTCCTAGGTGGTAGCGAACTGGCTGCCTTTGCTTGTTTAGTTTGGCTCCGCAACGTCATGTGTGTTTTTCAACTTGCTTTTGTAGGTGGCCATATTTGTACCTAATAAGTTTTGTTGTGGAGCAGTTCTGTGCCCGAACTCAATGAATGGGTCGGTGATTTAGGAACAGACTGGCTTGATGCATGTGAAAGAAGAGGGCTCGGGTGGGCATGGTTGATAAGGCGGGCGGGTAGGACGCTGGAGTTTGTGCTGTGATGATTGAATGTTTTGGGTACAGCATGCCCGTTGCGTTGTCATCTGGGATTTAGGGGTTCCCTTTGGTTATAAGGGCTTGGCAATTTAGCCGGAGTCTTGATGCAGTCTGTGTGCCAGTTTTAGGAAGTTGCGTTGATGGATTACGAGATTACTGAAAGCGGACCTTCCCAATATAGCATTTGCATTGCACTAACGGAAACCACTACTGATTCAGTATCATATCTTACGTCATGGGACAACATAATTAAGAAAGCGAGCTCTGGAAGAAAGACAGGACAACATAAGGACAGCAGAAGAAGATGCAATTGGAGTCTCATGATTTCGTCTTCTGATCGCATGCTATTCCACCTAAAACACTCCATACCGATGCGGATATCAATAGCGCTAAGCCTCCCTGGCAGCCTCCAATCAGTGAACAAAGGAAAGAGAAAACAGAAGATGGGGCGACATCATAGCCTGAGCGTTCTGAAGGCTATGCAGCCAGCGCTGCGGGCAGTCGCTTCTCCAAAATAGCCTCGCCGACGGGTGGTGCAGTGCCGAAGCCGCCGTTTGAAGCGCTGAGCTCAAAGACAGGCTGGCCGCGCAGCCATGTCGCCCGCACGCGACCCTGGAATGTGTGGCCCTCCCAAGGCGAACAGCGGTTCTTCCAGCGCATGTCACCCGGACACAGGGTCCAACTGAGGGCGTCATCAAACACACACACGTCGGCGTCCATGCCGGCTCGCAGACCACCCTTGCGGTGAGCCAGGCCGACCTGTTGCGCAGTGGCTTGGCAGCAGAGGCGGACGATGTCCAGGATGGTGGGAACCGAGCTATGCGTCGAATCATGTTGGCCAGTACAGCTGCTGTGACAAGACTGCTTGTCCTTGGCCGCGGCTCTTGCCAGCGAGGCCGTGTGCATGACAGACAGGCCCAGGCCGACGGATGCAATGCCACCCCAGGCGGCCATGAAGTCGCCGCGCTCCTCAACAGCGATGACCTTGGTTGCCGTTACTGCCGATGTCGCGGCCTTGATCTCGTCGCTGGGCAGGGTCATATCGATACCGGAGTCGGAGTGACGCATGGGGGCTGGACCATCGATTTCTTCGGCAGACAGACTCGGAGACCCAGGAGCTGGCTCGAGATGGCCCGGCAAAAGCTTCAGATCCGGGGTGCAGGGCGAGTGGTCGGACACGACGGTGCGAATAACACTGTCGGGCCGGCCAAGCTCTTCCCACAGACCATCCTGGTTGATCTGGTTGCGGATGGGCGGACAGCACTTGTGGCGCGTGTCGCCATCGGGGATGTCGTCTGCAGCGAGGCCCAGGTAGTGGTAGCACGTCTCGGCCGTGATGTGGATGCCGTTGGCTCGGGCCTGGCGCAGGATAGGGATGCACTCGGTGGCCGACAGGTGGACAATGTGCAGGTGCAGTTTGGGTGCGAGCGGCGCCAGTGTGACGATCTGCTCGACTGCTGTGGTCTCGAACAAGGGCGGCCTGGACGCCAGGAAGGTGTCGTAGGCATCAGGTCTGCCGTCTTGGGCGGCTGTCAGGGCTGCTGCTGTGGCATCGGCTGCCGAGGTTTCGACGGTGCCGCACGGCAGCATCTCGGCGTGGAACATGAGGGTGGTGTCGGCATCTCGCAGTGTTTGCAAGGCGGTGGCGATGTCTTCGGGTCCGACGGCCGGGAACTCGTCGACGCCCGAGTGGATGAGGAAGCCCTTGAAGCCGCGCACGCCGGCCTCGACCAGCGGCAGCAGTTCGTGGGCGTTGCCGGGGACAAGGCCGCCATAGAAGCCCACGTCGACCCAACACTGGCCACGGCTGGCATCGAGCTTGGCGCGGAAGCCGGCCAAGGTCGTGGTGGGCGGGATGGCGTTGAGCGGCATGTCGACGACGGTGGTCACGCCACCGGCAGCAGCAGCACGCGTGCCCGTGTGGAAACCCTCCCACTCTGTGCGGCCGGGCTCGTTGAGGTGCACGTGAGCGTCGACGAGGCCGGGCATGAGCAGCTGTGGCGAGTAGTCCACATAGCGGGTGGCGGCCAGGTCAAAGGCCGAGGGAGGCAGCACCTGCGGTGTGATGGACACGATCTTGCCGGTCTGGGGGCTGATCAAGATGGTGGCAGGCGAGAGGACAAGAGAATCGTCCGGCAGCGTGAGGACGGCCCTGGAGGACGCAAGGGCCACCAGGGCTGGCTGCTCGTCGGCCGGGGGGCAGACAACCGTGGTCACCATCCTGTCTGAGGACTAGAATGGATGGGGGCCAGAAAAAAGTAGAGGTGAAGTCTGGGGGAAAAGCCGGGGTAGACCAGGGTATGTATTGCCGATAAGACGGACAGGGACAGAAACAGAGGAGGAAAGAGCAAGAGAAAGTAAGAGGTCGGTCTGGCAAGTTGCTCTGTGTGGAAATGCAGGCCTTATCAGTTCCGGGTGAGTGCGGAAGCCAAGCGAGGCGTGCCACAGATAAGACGGATGCGCCAGATTTGGGCGAGGGAGGGTCAACAAAGGGGCAGGACACAGGACAGACAGGCTTCAGCTGGGCCAGAGGAAAAAGAAAGACGGCGCCATCAATCAAAACGTGTTCTCCCGGAGGAGACGGCCGAAGAGAGAGCGAGGCTAACACGGAAGACCCGCCAAGATGGAGTCGTGAACGGCTGTCAGAGACAGGCCTGCCCACTCCTTCTTTGGCTCGATTACGGAGTACTATGTTTTTCTTTCGATCCAGCATTCTGTCTACTTCATACGTTTTGCCCATCCATTTTGCCAGCCTCCTATTTACGATAGGGGCAAAAATCGGCGGCCAATGAAAGGATGCTCACATCTGTGTGGTTCATTCGTCTTTGCTGTCCGCCTTATCTTGGGCCGGGTGGAAGGGGCAGTGCTTGTCTCTGGAACGCGGTTTTTGTCTAGATTCCTTATCAAGACCGCTTCTCTCACTACCGGAGCCGGAACGTAGGGAAAAGGCATGGAAGGCGCTGATTGGTCGTCCAGGAAGACCCCCCCGCCTCAGAATCGGGCAAGCCCGACCTCTGGCCAGTCGTTTTTAGGCAGTTGGTGCCGTGTATCTGCCAGTTGGTTCACGTGCCCAAAGCGCGCTAGGAGTTCGCCGCTCTGTGGGTTATTTTTGCCCAGCTTGTTCGTATTCAGCTGGTCTTTCTCCCCTTGCGAGTTTCCATCGAGTAACAATCGAGTAATGGTCGAGTAAAGGGTCGAGTAACGTCGAATAAGACGATCCTCTAGCCCAGCCCTCGAGTTGTTTGTCTAGTCTCCAGGCTCTTTTGAATTCTGCAATTTTACAAATTCTGCAGAAAATTACAGTAATACGGAGTATTACAGATAAGACCCGCCAAGCTTGATTCTTTTTCCATTACTCGATTTCTTCACCGTACTCTTGTCACTTATCTAGCCGACACGTCTATACTCGCTAAAGTTCTTTATTATCCTTCACATCAACAAACACACGATGCTTCATTGGCACACTTGAGGTATTCACGCTAGCTGCAAACAAAGGCACCAAGAGGCTTCACGTCTGGGCCAGTACGTAAAATGTAGAGGGGCTCGGTCTACAAGTAGCAAAAGCCGCGTATGGGTCTTCAAGCAGATGTAATATGTACTTCGTATTTGGCGCCAGGTCAGACCGCCAGGTATCAGTACCCGCTGGAAGCTGCATCGAACAAAGGCGTCTTGGGCAGACAGGCAGCTCAGTGGAGGTCAACGCCAAAGGCCAACGTTGTGTGCAAGCGGACCAACAGTGGCCCCAGTGGACTCCAGCGTTTACTGTGTATATGTGCGAGCGGTGTGCATGAAGAAGCAATCGCAATTAGCCAATGTTGCCAGGCGTCGTGATCTTCCTCTCCATATTTGTCTATATGACCCAATCCCCATGCATAGTATCGTACACGCCCGTCTATTTCTGGCGCTTCAGCGTCTTGATGGCCATCTCGACCAGGCCGTTCTTGGCATCGCTTTCGGGGAACGCGCTAATGGCCGCAATGGCCTGTTCGGCATAGTCCTGAGCGAGCGCGCGGGTCTGCTCGACGCCGTCGCTAGCAAGGACGATTTCACGCGCCTAGAGAGGATAGGGTCAGCGAGAGGACAGAAGTGGCAGAGGAGGGTATTCTGGGGAGCGTGAGCGTACTCTTGCAACGTCTCCTGGCTGGGCAAACTTGCGGCCAACCAGGGCACCGAGCTCCGGGTTCTCGCGCCAGGCGAACAGCAGCGGAGCGGTGGCCAGGCCGAGCTCGAGGTCGGCACCGGCCGGCTTGCCGAGATCCTTGGCTGAGCGGGTGTAATCGAGCATGTCGTCGACCAGCTGGAAGGCGAGGCCGAGATTCTTGCCGTACGCATAGGCAGCATCGACGGTCTGGGCATCAGCCCCGCCGAGAAGGGCAGCAGCACGGCAGCTCTTGCTGATCAGCGATGCCGTCTTGAGGTAGGTCTTCTGCAGGTAGTACTGCAGAGTGGCCTCGCTCCAGACCGGGTTAGTCTCGTCACGGGCCGTGTTTTTGAGCTGCATGAACTCGCCCTCGACCAGGTTGGCGATCACGGTCGATAGCAGCTCGACGACTTCAGCGTTGCGCAGGCGGGCGAGTGCCACAGAGGCGCGGCCGAGCAGAAAGTCACCGGCCAGCACGGCCATCTTGTTGCCAAACTCGAGGTTGGCTGAGGGCGCGCCGCGCCGCGACTCCGAGTGGTCGATGACGTCGTCATGCAGCAGCGATGCCGTGTGGATCAGCTCGGTGATCTCGGCCAGCCGCCGCTGCGATGGCAGGATATCGGGGATATTGGTGTCGACAGCAGCGTCTGATTCGGCAGCAGCAGCAGCAGCACTGGAGGGCGATGATGGCGTGAAGGATGACGGGATCGTGATGGACGTGGAGTCGACGAGGGGCGACTTGCCGCCCCAGGCCGGGTTGAAGTCGGAGAGGACATTGAGCGGAGAGATGGAGGCATCGACGCCGGCGGCTGCCTGCAGCGGTGGTGTTGCTGACGGCGACAGCGGCCAGTCAGCTTGTGCCTCTGACAACTGCGCCTGTGATGGCGGTGCCTTGGGGCATTGGAAGGTGGCGCGCGACATCAGTAGCACGATCAGCGGCCGCATGTGCTTGCCCTCGGCCTGGGTGTAGTATTTGGCCGCGCGATCCAGCGATGGATGGCCAGAGCCGAGGAGCTTGCGCACGTCGCCGATCAGATACTTCATCTCCTTGGCCACAACCCGCAGCGGATCAATGGCCATCTCGTTCTTCTTGGCCCGGCTGATGGCATTGGACACGATGTTGCCGGCCACCGACACGGCTGCCGACCATGCCGACGACTGTCGCCGGCCGGCCGGCCAACCGTGCGCCGTATACAGCGCTGAGGCTGCTGCTGCCGAAAGAGATGACGTCGTCGTTGATGCTGGCAATGGCCGTCGCAACAGACTTGTCGGAGCTCGACCAGAGCACAGTGCCGTTTGCGCACCACCGCCGAAACGCGCCGCCATGACTCTGTTCTGCTGCTGTCTGAGTCGTCGGCGAGGTCGGCGAGGTGTCCCCGCGGTCAATTGGTCCACTCACTGGCACGAGAGGAGTCGATGTCGGAGGGGCCGAGGCGATCGATGGCTCACGGCTGCGCAGGTTCACGGCGCTTGTTCTGTGAGCATCCGACGAGGCAGAAGAGGGAATGGCCCGACAGCTTGTCCCCGGTGTAGATTGCGAGACTGGAAGGCGTCGGAGCATACGTCGTGGGCCCGTGAAGATGGCCCGATCTGACAGAATACTTTTTCCATTCTGCCTTTTCTACCCAGTACTCCGTACTTTGTACATTGAGAATTTTCGAGCTGCCTTGGCCAATCACCGCTCGCCGCTTGTCCCGCCTGCTCCCGGCACTCTCAGCGCCTGTGGCCCGCTTTTCTGGTGCTGTAGGATAAGATGCTCTGGCAGCAAAATACCTGGCATCGCACCGAGGAGTCGACCGACTGCCGTTGCCCGCCATGGTGCTTCTAACAATGACGAATTCGATGGTGAGGGGCCTGGAGCGGATTCATGCGTGGCGACAAAAGAATTCTGACGACAGCGAAAACGACGGAAATGAAAGCGAAGCAGCAGCAATAGCAATAGCAACAGCAAGCAGCAGCGAACCAAGCCTCGATGCCCCTGCCGTCGGCAAGCCCATATCCCATGGGCAGGTGGTGGACTTGTGGGAGATACTGAAGCGAAACGAGTCCACTGACGAGGCCACCGATGCTGCTGCAGCCCCGACAACCCTGGAGGCCCTTCTGGTCGGTGCCAAGGTCTACGTGCCACCACCATCGCCGAAGCCGGAGCCAGTGCGTGTCTCCTTCCATTGCCATGAATTTAGCTTGTTGCAGCTGTCTGACCGTTTCTTCGCTTCGCGCAGTCCGACGAGTACAAGGCCCTGATGGCCCGGCTGCGCCACGACGAAGAGGCCCGAGCCTACGAGCGCATGGTCAACCCGCCCGAATACCACGCCGCCAACGAGGCCTTTGCCCGGGTCAACCGGCCGGTCTATTCTGCCGATGCGGGCGACGACGAGGTCACGCTCAACGATGTGCACCGCCAGGTCATGCTGATTCTCAACTTTGTCCTCACCATGGGCGGCGTCGCCTACACGCTGTGGGTGCTGGCCCGCTGGTGGCCTACGCCGTCGCGGCTGTTCTTGTCTATGGGAGGCAGCGTGCTGGTCGGCCTGGCCGAATACGGTCTCTATGCCGGCTACGTCTGGCATCTGTCCGAGGCTAAGAGCAAGGACGAGAAGGAAAAGGAGATGGAGACGAAGCAGGTGCTGCGGACCTGGCTCGTCGGCGCCGCCGGTGTGGAGGAGAAGACGGCAGACACTGCGTCCGCACTACCTTTTGATTCAAAGCTCTCGTCCGGTGCTGCAACAGCGTCAACAGGAATGGCAGGCGACGAGTTGGGCGTACGGAGACGGAAACCGGAGCTGCCAGCATCATAGAACTGGGCCCTCTCTGTACACCACACGTCCAGCATGTCTACTCGAACAGTGATAGCGCTCGGATCTGCCCGATCACACCATGCTTCCATCTTCGCATTGGGACTGCCGAAGGATGAATAAAGTTTTACGCATCGTCACGTGACGCACATGAAAACGCGACCCTGTCTACGCGTCTTGGACCGTGTCTCAAAGCGGGGCACTAACTACGACACGACGATGCAAGTTCCATGTTTCCACCTCTGCCAATTGCCCCTTACACAGTCGAATGCATCATTCTTAATTCCCCCGATCGGACGTGTGTGTTTGCGCAGTCGTGTCTCATCAAGCCAGAAAAGCGATCTGACGCTGTATCGACACGCTGCCGAGCCATCAGCTACGATGGGACTCATGACGCCCGACACGCCGAGCTCACGTTCACCCACAAACCCAAAGACCATGGCAGCATCAGCAGCATCATCACCATCGTCATCCCCTACACCCACAACGCCATCGACAGACATACCCCCGCCGCGGAGACGCACGATCCGGACATACGGCAAGAAACGTCCGCTCGCAGACAGTGCAGATGAGGATGGCCGCCATCCAGCACCTTCGGTGAGAACGGCCAATGCGGCTTCTGACAGCGCCGAGACGGTGAAGCCGACCTCTTCCAAAGTGCCCTCGCCGCCGTCGACGACGGCAAGCGATGGCAGCTCCAAAAAGCACAAGCGGTCCGGCATCCTGCGATACTTCCAGCCGGCACCACTGCCCCGAAGCTGCACCCACACAACATCGTCCTCGTCATCACAATGCTCTGCCGGCGAGTCGGACCGGTCTGCCGCCCCAGAAAGCACATCACAGACGGCAGCAGTCACCGGTACACCGCCACCATCGCCGCCGCGGAGTCCTCCAACAGCACGGCCTCGTCAGAAGCGACGGTTGAACATACGGCCGGACATCCCTGATGTGTCCGAGAAGAAGGCAGAGAGCGACACGAAGACGGCAAGACCGGAGGAGGATGCAAAAGGCGACGGTCAAGACCGGCAAAGCCAGACCGGCAGCGGCACCACAGCATCGAGCGTCCGGATGCGAGCACGTATGCGAGCGAGGATGCTCGGCATGTGTGGACTGGTCGACCAGGAACAACAGGCATCGGCACGGAAGAAAACTCCCACGCCGGCAGCATCAACGCAGACAACGCTGAGCCTCACGATCGGCGGCGACGCCATGAAGGAGTGCACCGAGTGCAACATCCTCTACAACCCGCTGCATGAGAAGGACGCCAAGTTTCATGCACGATACCACGCGTCCCTGCGGCGGAAACGGGCGCGACAGGAAGCTGCAGCTGCGGCAAGGACAAACTAGCGAAGAGGACCAATTGGTCAGACCGGAATACGGAGTACAATTCTTAATCATTATCATTTTAGATATGGCAGGCACCAACTCCTACAGATGCAGAGGAAAAACACATGATACCCTATTGCTTTGACTTTCCACAGCTCCATACGGCTTTCACGTTGTCGGCTTACAACCTCGCCGCCTCGTCCTTGGGGTTCTTGACCTCGAGGAGAAGCTTGCCCTTGTTCTTGCCCTCAAACAGGTCCAGCAGGGCCCGGTCGGCCACCTCAAGGCCGCCGGTAAGGATGGTCTCGGACCGCTTAAGCTTGCCCTCGAGCAGCCACTGGGCGAGGTCCTTGAGCGCCCTCTCGTACTCGGTGGCGTAGTCCATGACGATGAAGCCCTGTAGCCTGCGTCGAGAGTCAGCATGTGTCGGGCAGAAGAAAGCGAGGGGTGGTTGGAGATGCTTACTTGATGCGCTGAGTAACGACCTTGAGGATGTTCTTGGGGCCCTGGACATTGCCAGAGTTGTACTGGCTAATGCCGCCGCACATGACGTAGCGGGAGTGAGGAGCAGCCAGACTGAGGGCCAAGTCGAGGATCTCGCCGCCGACATTGTCCCAGTAGACGTCGATAAAGTCGGGGACGGCGTCTCGGAGCTTCTTGGCAAAGTCGGGGTCCTTGTAGTTGAGGCCGACGTCGAGCTTGAGGTCGTCCTCGAGCCAGCGGACCTTTTCTTCGGAGCCGGCGATGCCGATGACGCGCTTGGCACCCTTGAGCTTAGCGATCTGGGCAACGATGCTGCCGGTGGCGCCGGCGGCTCCGGACACGACCACGGTGTCGGTCGGCTTGAAGGGGCCGGCGATCTTGTCGAGCCCAAAGTAGGCGGTCAGGCCGGTCATGCCGAGAGTGCCCATCAGGTCGGTCATGCTGAGCTGGCTGCGGGCTTCAGCTGGCAGCGCCGCAAACAGGTTGTTCACCGTCGCCTCCTCGGCCACGGCCACTTCGGTCCAGCCGGAAAAGGATGTGACGATGTCGCCGACGGCCGCCTTGGCCGAGCGCGTTGCCAGCACGCGGCAGATGGCGCCGGCGCGCATGATGGCGCCGATGGCCACGGGCGGGATGTACGACCGCTCTGTGCTGAGCCAGCCGCGCATGGCCGGGTCCAGGCTGACGTAGAGCGTCTCCAGCAGCAGCTGGCCGTCCTTGAGGTCGGCCTCGGTCGGTGCGGCCACCTTCTCGACCCGGAACGTCTCGCCCGGCACGACGACGGTCTTGGGCCGCTCGGCCAGCACCACAGTCGTGATCTCGCGGCTCATGATGGCGGGTGGAGAGGGGAGGTGGATGTGGGTAGGATATGGTTGAGATGTGTATAGTGTTGGGATTGGGGCAATATTTTGATTGACTTTTGAGAGCCTGGTCTTTGTTCCCACACATTTGTCTGGCTTCTGCAGGAACACGACACTGCCTTATATCTCGTCCATGGCGCCAAGCGGCGTGACTGAATCCCTGTCCCATCGCCGTCGGGGCAGCGCTGCTGTTTTCGGATGGCGCCCGTTGAGGTGGTCAAGAGAGGGGCGAAGAAGACATAATCGGGAGCTATGACGTTTCGGCCACGGCCCGGGCTACTGCTTTCAGCAGGCGGTCAGACGAACGCGACAGAACCCCCGATCTGGGAGGGGCAAATGGGGAAAAGAACCAGGGAAGGGAAGCTGCGTTTTGCCGAGGCTCGACGTGATACGAGTATGGAGTGCCAGGACACTTGTTGCATTAGTAAGAAACTGGAAATTTCCATGCCAGCTGGCCATTTATTGATTACACTACATGCCGAGTGATGGGATGTGCCGGTACATCCATGGCCACGCCGGTGAGAATAATTACACTTTGCGTGCATGTATTGCACGTGGATTCGTGGGATTTGTGACAGCCGCATAGCCAAGCAGTCTTTCTTTGTAAGAAACCTTGTTTCTTGTTCTGATGATTTTCCTGTTCCTGATTTTTATGACGAAGTACCCATTTATTTCCAACTTGATCTCTCTAAACTGCCCTTCCTTTTCCATTCTCACTACCTCTCAACCCTTTGACACCGATGAGCGCACCTTGGCCAGATGTCCACGAACCGGCACGTTGACCTCGCCGCCCGGTTGCGGGAAACCGTCGACCTTGACACCCTTGCGGAACAGCAGGACGTGTGACGAGCCGCCAAAGTGGAACATGCCGATCTGATCGCCCTTGGTGACATGCTGGCCCTCGCGCACGGTGATCTCGCAGGTGCTGACCTCGTCCATGCCGACACCGATAAAAGCCATCAGGCCAATGTCAGCGTTGTCGGCTTCAAAGAACACGACCGCCCGCGTGGCCAGCGCAGTCAGATAGCCCTGGGCGACGGTGATGCCTTTCGGATCGATCGCTTTGTCCTCGTCTGCCGTGCCCTCTTTGCGCGCGTTTTCCGGGTCGCCGACGCCCTCAAAGAGCGGCTCGCTAAAGTACGTGCCGTCCTGCACAAATGCCCGCCTCACGGTGCCTGACAGAGGCGCGTGCCAGCGATGGTACGACAGCGCCGACAAGAAGGCCTGGTACACCGTGGCGCCGCCAAACTGCTGCGCCAGCGGGTCGTGGGCCAGCATGTCCAGCACGCTGTACGGCTGTCCCTTGATCCAGAACTTGTCGCGCAGCTGGGCTCCGCGCACCACCGCAAACACCCGGCTCTCACACGCGTTGGCGATCACACTGTCGTCGTTCGGCGCCGCCACCGGCCGCGCCTCGTCGCGCAGCTGCCGCGTGAAGAAGTCGTCCCACGACTTGTAGCCGTAGTACTCGGCCGTCGGGTCGCACACAAACATGTCCTCGAACCGGTGGCTCGTCTTGTAGGGCGCATTGGCCACGGCCATCACGTCCTTGTAGCCCACCTCGCCGAACCAGCCGGTTTTGTGGCTGCCCAGCACCTTGGCAGACGCCGGTGTCTTCAGGAACTGGCCCCATGCGTTCAGCACCTTCTTCAGCATCCGGTTCACGTCCGGGTCCAGAAAGGCGGCATGTCCGCTCGGCGTGCCCATCACGTAGTCGAAGATCGCACACAAAGGAACCCCCACCATGCCGACGCTCTCAGCCGCGTCCGTCCACTCGGGCGCGCTGCTGAAGCTATGGTTCATCACATCCAACATGTGTCCGTGGTCGCGGATTTGTCGGCTTCCTGTCGGGTCGCGGTTGTAAACTTGCGTGTGCGGCACCTCGTCCCACATTTCCGTAAAGTACATGTAAATCCGCGGGTTCGTCTCGATCAACGCCCGGAACTCCTGCAGCACCGGGATCAGATCCTGCTTGGGATTGTTGTCAACGTGTTCCACTCGCCGGTGCAACCATTCGTGCTGCACCCGGTGATCGGCCGGCAGCCAACGCCCAGGACTGATCGACAAGTCAGCAGGGTCCACGTATTAGACATAGACACAGAGAGTCTGAAACAACATACTGGTTCCGTCGGTGCTCCGCCGGGATGTTGTGCTCGTCGCCGTGCTGCCAAACCATGATTGAGATGTGAAGGTGGTAGTCCGGTCAATTTGGGCGAAGAAAGAAACAGTGTAGCTCCGGAGGTGAACAGCACAATATAAAATGTTGAAAAGAGCAGCAGACGCAGCATAAAAGTCCTCTGTCCCGTGCGGAGAAGCAGTGGCGACTTATTGTTGCGCACTGCTATTGACGTCATGGCGCCAATATATCATGATATTTCCATTGCTCGATCCTGCTGCTGAATTGAACCGACGTCATGGATGCAGCTAAAGCATTATATTATCAACAGGTTGCCGTAATACACTTTGCCGCACCTGCCGTTTGCAAGACAAAGACGTCATGTGCACCTCTTTTCTATTTTGTATGGGAGCTGGATTGCAACGACAACCAGCCCTAAAGTGATGAAGTTTCACCCATATTTTGAAAAGAGACGACCAGACAGGATAGCAATATGGTCCGCGGCGGGGTGGTCGGCGCGATTCTATGGCACCAATCACCTGCACGAATCTACGCACGAAGTTGCAGGCACACAGTATCTTTTTGTCATGTTTCAAATTGTCGCTGCACAGGCTCAAACACAGGTTTCATGCCACATCTCCAATTCAAGTCAACTCCCACAAATATCTCTGTGTCTGTTTGTCCCTGCGTATGCGATTCACATGAACTTGTTAACCTCGTTGTTGACCAGGTTGTTGATCTCCGGGTCAAAGGCGGATGACACGCCCTCCTTGGAGGCGAAAGAATCGACAGCTAGATGTGTCAGTATTTGTTAATGAAAGGGGAGCGGAGAGCTGGGCTGAATCTCACCACTGTCGATGACGGTGTCGTATCCGGAGTCGGAAGTGTTGGACGACTGCTGCTGGGCAGAGCTTAATGACAAAAGTGATTAGCTCGCGGCCTAATGAAACAAACAAGCACGCTGGCGGCATAAGTGGCACTCACTCCTGGCCGTCAACGGCGCTCTCAAACTTTTCGATCTCGTCGCCAAAGCCCATTTTGACTGATTTGGAGTGGGAGTTGTTGGTATTGATGAGAGTTCTTTGGTAAGTGTTCTTGATGAAGAAAGAAAGAGAAAGAAAAGGAGGACCAGCAGGAGAGGCAGATCTGACGCCCATATTTATACATAGGCACACACCAGGCCGATAGGGGGTCAACGATTGGCCCTCCTTCTCCCCCTCTTGCCTTGGTCTATCCAAGCTCCCGAACCGGCGAAGAGGTCTACTCAATCATGCACGACCTCCATACCCCCCCTTCTCGTCTTCCCCCCAATCACCCCTCCAAGGAGAGGAGAGATTCGATACATAGTAGCAGTTCAATCCAGACCGGGCCTTTCCTAACTAGGCATGAGACAGAGACAGCCGTGGCCAAGCGGCTTGCTTGATTCTCGGTGCTGGAAGCTTGTTTCCTGGCTCAGCTGTTCATGGCACACCGGCAGGTCCACAGCAGTTCAGCCATTGGACTGTTGAACTGTCCGGCTCATGCAGGAGGGTCTCGTTCCCTCCCTTTGCTGATAACGAGAGGCCGGCTACTCCGTACATACACATGTATCGTACATATCGGCGGGGCCATCAAAGGAGCAGAAACACCGGCGCCGCTCACTTCTTCTCCTTTTCCTGGTCTCTCTTCCCTCCCACTCTACTCGTACAGGTAAACCCTCTCTCTACTCCAACTCCGACAAGCGGATTGTGGTAAAATGGCGCAGGCTAGGACAAGGTGAGGAAGATTGGAACAGTGTGCAGCACTCGCATGTGGTAATCAAATGCTTGACCTGTTTGTTGCGTACTCGCATCTGCACGTCTGTTGTTCTATGTGCTCTGGATCCTATTCTCAAGGCGGACAAAAGTGTATCGCCACCATTCCAGTCGCTCGGTCCAGCTTGTGTCGACTCAATCTGTGATGACAGTGAGCAGTCGCCATAAAAACACTCTACCGACCGAGCTAAGACCTGAGGCTGATAGGAGACGGAAGTCTTGGCTCTCTTGGCCAGAAAGCTTGTGTTTGTATTGCGGGTCTGCCCCACTGCCAGTCCGCTTGAAATCTGTTGGAATGTGTGGATGGAAAATAGCACGACATAAGTATGGAGTACGGAGTAATATGAGCTGGACATTTATTATCAATTTAGAAGCTGCTCGTCTCATGGGGAGAAATCAGCCGGCCGAAAAGGACTTGAGATACAACGACGCAACATTTGCGCCCTCTTTCTAATATCGAAACATCTCCGGATATGGTTTCACCGTTGATTGCATTCAATACTCCGTACTCTGACCTCTGAGGGACTGCTCTGACTGCCTGTTTCCCCAATTTCTTGGATGACTGAGAAAAGAGGAGGATGCCCACCTCGTCGCCTTCCTCAGGCGGTAAGCGTCTCCAATTCTCAGCTCTACCACTTGAAGTCTCGGCTTCTTATTTTGCTCCTCTTCTATCTCGGCTTTATAGGTCGCCTTAATTCACAGGCTTGTTAACTTCTGTTATTCCTTCCGGCAATACCAGTTTTTATGCGTATTAAGCACATGCAGTATGACGACAAATAAAATGACACAGATAATGGAAGATGATGGTACATGGTTATGCTGACGAATCGCTGCGCCAGGACGTTCAAAAAGCATCGCTTGCTTGAAAATAGGAAAAGGAACGAATCGACTCTGACCTGGCAGCCGGTAGCCTATTCCAACGCTTCGTCCCACGGTCGAAAGCTCTGCTCCTCATACGAGGGGATGCACTTGACCATTGCTGGTGGCTCTGCCTTCCAGTCAATCTTGTCATTGGGCGCGTCAACGGTGGCAAACTGTGACGTGTAGCCCTTGAGCTCCTTGATCTGCTTGGCCCGGTCGTCCGAATACTCAAAGTTGACGGTCGGCACGACGGCGATCTTGCCGTAGCCGTGGTACCACATGTCCTTGCAAAACAGCTGCGGCTCGCCCTGCTTGCACTCGCCCTCGGAAGGCCCTCGGAAGCGGATGGTGCCGTCGACAATGGGCGCAGCTGTGAACACGGCCCCACCGTTCCAGCACGAGAACACCTGGAAGGGATGATGCTCAAAGTAGCCCGACCGGCCGTCATCGTCATTCCAGAACAGGTTCCAGGCTGAGTTCCAATTGCCGTCTGGCGGGATCTCAAAGAACGAGTCCCCACCCATTCCACGGGCCACCCACACGTCATAAAAGGTCGGGTCCCGCCCGACATAGACCCAGTCGAGCCCACAGACCATGTCGGCGCCAAGCACCTGCCTCTGGTGCACCAGCTCGAGTATGTCCTCCGGACAGGCCGCCACGTCGTTGAGGAAAATCACCGTGGTCTTGGCCGAGTATCGTTGCCCGCCCTCGTCCCGCAGCGGCTGCAGCGCCATGTCGCGCAGCTCGGCTAGCCTGGTGATACGGTCGCCCTTTAGTGGGTCGACGTCGCTCGATTGCAGGTAGTATGTCGTCGCCAACGCGTCCAGGCTCGGCCGCAGCGCCTCCAGCACCTCTAGAGTCCCATCGCGTGAATTGCCCTCGACGATGGACAATGCGCATTTTTCTGGGCCGAGAAAGCGGACTACCTCGACGACGCTTCCAAGCAGACGCGGAAGAAGGCCCACGACTTCTCGGAGGTCAATGGCGAAAAAATATATTACTTCAGTCTGCTTGTCGTCTCTCGTCCAAGATTCTGATCGTTTCTGCAAAGAGGCGTACCGCGAGGATCCGGCTATTTTGGGGCATTCGAGTCGCGGCAGCACCTTGCTTTCAGGATCGAGGATTGCGTTCACGTAGCTCGTGAGGCTCTCGGCAGAGAAGACACCCGTGCCAGCTGCATCTGTTAGCATATGTCTTCCGCCTCCAATCCACATACTTCATCCAGCGGCAAGGCACATACTAGGCTGAAAGGCTACCGGCGCGCTGGGCGTAGGTTGAGTCGAGACCGCGTCTGCAGAAGCATTGTTGCCGGCAGTGGAAAATGGTCGTACTGGACGAAGCCGTGCCAGTTTATGCCCCTCAAAGTAGAGGGTTGTGACAATGATCAACAGGAAGCCAACTTGCCCAGCAAAGAGATATTTACGGCGCATGGCGAAAGAGACTGCTGGTGGCGGCAAAAACGAAGAGAGTGAAGAGTCAAGGAGGTCGTGAAATCATGTTCAAAGGGTCACGACGACGTGGGCAATTGAGCAACGAAGAGTGGTGTAATTGACTATTACCGTTGCGACAAAATAGAGGACGATCGGAACACAAAAGAAAGGGGGGCCTAATCTTTAGCGCCGCAGTGGGCCATCGAATCAATTCCTGGTGTAGCGCAGAAGTAGGCGGGAGAAATGCCCCACTAAACAAACAGGTTGTGCTGATGTCCTATTATTTCGCCCCACTCCGAATGCTGGCGTAATATTTGACACATCAGATATGCTTCCGTGCTCCCTTTTAATTTCTGTTTCAGGGCAATGCGCCATCTGCCGCCACCACTTTCACCACATCCACCTATTCAGTCCATCGCGGGCGGTTAACTCGCGCTGGTGAATGGCTGGCTTAAGCGTTTAATTGACATGGAACGTCTCTGCTGCTATAGCTTTTCTTCTCAGACGCGCCAACACGACATGCAGGCGTGAAACCAGGAGGTTGGATGGAGATGACTCGCTTTGGGGTGGCTTATCTCGACTCCCTGATCCCACCGGGAGCGTACTACGTAGTACATCATTTGACTCGCGTTGGGCAGCGGTGAAATAGTACGCAGCCAATGAAAAGGGAACTTACTGAGTGAAATAATTCATGATAGGCAGCATGGGCAGGCAGGCAATGCTGAGAATTGCAGAGAGCACGGACACAGATGTCTATGAATAGTAAGTAATAGGTCAGCCTGCATATTTGCACTTTTACACCTCTGCGATCTGTGTCAGCCGTCGCCTGGAAGGATTGCCAATAGTAACTTAGGCGCCGGCCGTCTTTCTGGCCACCAGCCTACACATTCCCGCTTCAGATACCACGCCATGGATGCGTCTCGTCCGCCCGGCCGAGTTGTACGGACTTGCCTGGGGCTCTGCTGTGCTCTCGTATATATGTACGGCCGTATCGAAGCACCGGGAGGGTGATCGGGACATGTGCTTACTTTTCCTGTCTGTCGTTATCGTTGATTCTTCGATCCTGTTTTCTGCTGCACATAATGTTCCTCGCTTTGTTGTGGCTGTTTGCCCTCTCCCACGCAATCCATCATGTCTCTGCCAGTCCAGCCGTCACAGCGGCGCCGTTTTTCTCCCCCAGACGGCCAAGAGATCGGCTCTTGGAGCTCGAACGACGCGACTCAACAACGGAGTTGAGCACATGTGGCTACCTCAACGGTAACATCGACAGCCCACGCACAGCCCAACCAGGGTTTGACTGCCGTATAGATACGGCACACGGGATCTGGGGCTTCTGTCCGACCACTGTTATTTCCGCTACAGACTGCGGTCTTGCGGCGGCTTGCAAGGACAGCGGTACGTGCACAAGCATCTGTCGCTTCAACACGAACACTGCTTTGACAACATTCACATGGTGCGTATAGATCTGTCTTGTGAGCTTTTTTCTAGCTGACACATGTCTGGGTTTACAGTGCGAATTCGGGTACTCTTACCAACTACTGCTCTACGGCTCTGTTGACTTTTGGCGTGGACCAAACCTACGGCTATCTAGCCTGTGGTGCAAGTTCAGAAACGCAGCATTACGATGTTTCAGCGACGGTCACGCCCTCTACCTCTTTAACAGCATCATCTTCGACAAAAACGTCTTCGGCCTCCTCCGGTTCCTCGTCCTCGACAGGACCATCCTCCGGAACAACCAGCTCCGTTCCGCTACCAACTACCTCAACAGCTGATTCCAACAGCAGTAAAGGAAACAGCGGGAGTAGTGTCGGACCCATCGTCGGTGGTGTTGTCGGCGGCCTGGCGCTTGTGTGTGCATCTGTGGTTGCGGTCATCTACATTGTCAAGCGAAACCGATCCAGGACACCAACTGATCAGGACCCACGACATGCACCAGAGACGCCACTTGCACCGCCACAACCGCCAGCTCAGAGCCTGTACGAGGTGGCTGCATCAAACGAGGAGGCAAAGTATCCGTTTGTGCATGCTTCCCAGCAAGACTACTCTTACGCAGTTGAACTGCCTTCAAATACGCATAACTAGGAGAAAGGGATCGCTTGTCTGGTTTTATTTGCTATGTCATATACCACTTATTTTCTCTGTATAATTTCTGTTTCATCTTACCCGAGTTACTATTTAGGGTTGCAAAGCAATCATTGGTCGATTTAGCCACAGCGATATTAGTCTGACTATGGAACTGCCGAGTCCTTGCTCTCAAAAGTGGGTGTTGATTTAACGGGCAACCGTGCAGATTTATCGTAAATAAATCGGCCTCTCGGTCAGATCGCGGCCAGGTTCACCCTCAAAGCTTTAATTTTTTCATATTCTTTATTAGCCCTCAAACCAAATTTGACTTAAACAGATCTTTGTTCTCCTAGCGAGGCTATCGACACGGCATACACAAGCACCAAACTACGCACCATGCTCTAAAATACTTACCATGCTTCAGCAACTTCACGACACTGTCGTTTCGATATCCTGCCATCATTTTTACATCCTTATTTCAAGTTGAAACCCGGCTGTTATTGACCGGGGCATCTAGATTCGAGGTTGTGCCTTAATGCTCTGCTGTAGCAAGTTTTTCCAAGTCTAGTATGCTGACTGCGAAGTAGCTTAGGTGTTCTGATGCAAACCCGCATTTGAATATACACAGTTCTACTGATCAGCACCGTTTTGCCCTCCGATATATTGTAGATCGTCTAACTCGACTATAACAGGTCATCTTCAACCACCGTTCAAGATAAAAACTACATCGACGTGGGCTTTCGATATCCTTGTGCTCATTGACGGCTTGTTGCTCGTCTACTCAAGCGATCATTCCTGTTCTACCCAGAATCCAACACGACCACTTGGATGACTACAAACAAGTGGGAACATACCAAGGCGTCACGCAGAATAAACGGGAAAGGCGCATGTTTTTTAAAATCAAGATACCAGAGAACGTTCGGATCAACAACGCGAGCACTACTTTATAAAGAGGATACTACCAGTGTCACTGGTCAGCACTCAGTAGTCAGTTCTTTGTACTTTGTGTGCGCGGGAGCTTCGTATACCAGAAAATAGCAGCCTTACAGCTGGTGCAGATCGCATGTTTTTGGCTTAGGTTATATAAGTGGTGCTCTAGGAATCTCTAGTGTATGACCGTGTATCAAGTGCATCTATACATCGAACCTGTATGCAGCCATATTCGTCTGGCGGCAGAAATCTTCAGGCCCTCACGCGGTCGGCATCGTAGGTTCCGCGGAGAAAGCGCTCGACATTCTCCTGAGCGGTGCGCCGGTAGTTTTCACGGGTGCTGGCAGCGACCCAAGCCGTGTGTGGGGTGATGATGAGGTTGAGATCCGCGGCAGCGGCAGCTGCGACGAGGGGGCTGGACTGGGAGGAGGCTGGCTCATGGTCAAAAACATCGACTCCAGCACCAGAGAGGCGGCCTTCACGCAGGGCAGAGACCAAGTCGGCCTCACAAACAATGCCACCACGGGAAACGTTGATGAGGATGGCGTCAGGGCGCATGCGGGCAAGCTCGCTGCTGCCGATGAGCTTCATGGTGTCAGGAAGACGAGGACAGCAGACGACAAGAACTGTGGCTCGTTGGAGGGCCTCGTCAAAGGCGATCCGGGGGGGAGAAGAAGAGGCCGAAGTAGCTGAAGTGGATGTGGACTCTGGCGCTGGATCGCCTCCTTTCCTGGCGGCCACGACAACCTGCATGCCGAGTCCGCCGAGCAACTGGCAGACAGCCTGGCCGACACCACCGTAGCCAACAATGGCGAGGGTCTCGTCACGACAGCTGGGCGGAGGCACACCACAGGTGTAGACGTGGGACATCAGAGTGCCCTCGCGAGGCCAGTCGTCGCGCGCGGTGGCACGCATCACGGGCAAAAGGCCGCGGCGCAGCGACAGATACATGGCAGCCACGTGCTCGGAAAGTGAGGTGGTGTTGCAGTTGGGGCTGTTGAGCACACGGATGCCTCGTGCAGCACAGAAGTCGAGGTCGACTGAGTCGGTGCCTGAGGCCATGACGGAGATCAGCCGCAGTCGTGGAGCCGCAGCCAGAGCCTCTGAACGGAGAGGCACCACCATGGAGATCACAATGTCTGCGTCTGCGATGCGCTCAGCGATCTCCTTGCCGGCCGACCGCTCGTACGCCGTCAACGTGAACGTGTACGGCTTGGGCACAACTATCGGCGGCAGCGTGGTGAGATACGTCTCCAGCGCTACAATGTGCAGATGCTGCGGCAGCGGCGGTGAGTGTACAAAGTCTGTTTCTATCGGCATGGTGGCAGTCATTGGTGTTGATGATGGTGGATGTTGGGCGATGACTGACGATTGAGGGGCTAATGAAATAATAAGAGCAGCCGGCGATAGCGATTAGGTTGAGACTACATCTGCAGCTTGTCCTCTTCTGCCCTTCTGGGCTTGGCAGATGAGTCGCGGTGGTCACAGATTAGTAAAGATGCAGCAGGGATGCAGTGAGAGCCCGGACTTGACAATGGCTTGGTGATGAGCACTGTATGTAGCATTGCTCGAGATCCGACGGGCTGGCGAGTGGTGTCCGAAGCATCCGAAGCAAGTTTTGGTTCCAATGCTACGCTGGTGAGCTAACCAGTGGACCTAGAAAAACCCGTGTATCGCAGTCTCGAAACCATGCTCACAGTTCCGTGTCAGCATCAAATCAGTATGGGAGTGACTGAGGCCGCCGTGTGATTGTGTGGGCTGTCGGCTTTCCACAAAACTTCCTGGTGGGAAAATATCATGACCAGATGCCCGACAGCCTGATTCCGACAATGAGCTTGAGACGAGTCTTGTCGTTATAACCGAAACAGCTTGTTGGCATATACTTCAATGCGCCTTTATAGGATGGTCGTCCACCGTTGGCAGTTGAGATCGTCTCGACTGACTAGGATGTTTTATTTTTTTAGCATGTACCCTTGTGTTGCAAAGCCGAACATGGAACCGGTTATCTTGGAGTGTATCGCTGTCAATGATAGAGTCTCCGTAGAGACAGTTTGGAGGATGGAATAGGTGCTGCAACTATTTCTTCTTCGCAGGCAGCTCCTGAAATCGTGCGGTTAGCGAAAGCTTCAACGAACGCAAATTGCCAAGACAACTTATAAGGAAGACTCTTCTGGCGATCCTATTCTAGTACGTTGACTGGTTGAAAGTTACTCCTTTGGTGGTATATTTTTAAATGTCGAGGTTGCATCTTGTACAGGCCCTTCTGCGAGATATTGGCTGCTCCGTGGTCCTCTATCGTAGACGTCAGGCTGTGACAAGAGGGCTTTGTCTTCGCGTCTTGGCTCTCGAGGGTCCATCTTTCAGTTAATCGTCGCGTGCAGTGGATGTAAAGAAGGGTCTCCGAGACTAAAGCAAATATATCAGGAAGTGCGGTTTGCTTTAGGCTTAGTATAGATTTGGGAAAGACAGTGTCATGACAACGATCTAGTAAAAGTCCACAGGCAAAATAAAAGTTGGTAGCCCTTGTGGGACAATGATGATTATAGGAAGTCGCGTTAGCGACAAACAAATACTGTTTAGAGAAAAATATTATACTACATTTAGAGACTATCCTACATAAGAAACAATGACTGTTCGAATCTCAACCCTACGGTGCTTTGCACTTCAGGGCTCTTAGAAGCGGAAAAGCAAAGACTTGTAACTTGCTTGTGGTGTTGGTTTAATGCCAAGTTTTAATTGCGTAGCATTTGTCGGGTCTGTTACCGAAAACTATGTACCCGAACAATGATAACGGGAGGAATGGCTAATCCTCAAAGCATCAGGAGCGAACTATAGTGACACGACAAGGCGGGCATTCATATGCGAAAAATAGAAAAGTGGGAACCTCTTCTTTGCAAGAAGTAACAATGTCAGCTGCGCGCAGCCGTCTGAATCTGAGCCTTACAATGGCAAGACCCTACACGCAAAACCGAGGATAGTGAAAAAGAGCAAATCAGGAAAAGTGGAAATCAGAAAGGAAACCCGAGTGAGATGGTTGGAAGCAAAACAGCCATTTTCAGTCGTTACGTCTCAGTCATGACCAGCACCTCTATCTCTAGGTAGTCTAAGGGGTGGAAGCTGGACATCGTCAAGCATCGAGGGCCATCCACCCAAGGCCTCGCTGAGAGGAGGCAGTCGGATCAACGATGGTTGGAAAGTAAACTGACTAAGAGCAGGCGGGGTCTCTCTGTCAGCTTCAACGTGCTGGTTTCCTCCGAAATCATTATGACCCGAGTTTTCGTCCGTGCCATTGACTTGTCTGCGAGGATCGGTGATCGTCATGGGCCATGCGTATCGAGCAGGCGGATGTCTGGGTGCGCAAAGAAAGGGGGTGTATGTATAGGTCAAGACTCCCGGGGCGAGCCAGTCCTGGAAGATGCTTCCTGCTTCGCCGCTTACCTAGGTGGCGAAGTTTACAGCGACCTCCTGCTGTGTGCAAATGAGCGTACTGTCGGCAACACGTATATCCATCGGGTCAGGCCCCAGAATTTTGTCTAGTTCCATACTGATATCTCTGTCGCTGTACCCAGTGGCGTTTCCAACGGCATTCGGCCATAGAGAGATATCCCCGTTGAGTCGGCCGATAACGTCCAGGTCATTCATCTTCAGAGTGGGAACACAGGGAATTCGAAGCGGGGAGAAATCTGCGTGGCCAAGCTCCAATCGAATCCAGGCAATCCAGTAGGTGACCATCCAAGTGAACTTCTTCGTGCTGTTGTCAAGGTTGCCAAGGACTGGGACTGGATAGCTGTACTGGTGAGACGCAGCCCAGTCAATCGGCCCAATCGTCTCATTGAGCGACGGGTTTCCGAAAAAAGAACGGACACAGTCGAGAATGTACAACCCAGACTCCCAGTGGTAGAGCTGCTGGCTCACGGGTATGATCTGGTGATGGTAAGCGGTTCCAGAGGGTGTTAAACCAGTGCTCGCAAGCCAAGCAGTCAGCTTCATAGGCACGTCCGGATCAGTAAATTCTTCCCGGCTGTTGTACCAGAAGACCGTCTCTTGCACCCGATCAACTATGGCAAGCATCCAGTGCCTATGCATCTCCAAATAGATCGGAATTATAAGGAAACGTTTATCGGATGAGTCTTCGTCCTGAGTCTCCGTGATCTTTCCGATCTGACGAGTTGTCCAGGCATCGAAGGTGGGAAACCAGACCAGGGGCAGGAAATCGTACAACACGAGGATAAGACCCGCTGTCACTTCCTCGGATGTGAATCTTGTGCACAGCTGCAGGAGACCTTCCATATTGAATAGCGATGCCACAAACTTCTTATAGCGAAAGCCGTAGATCGAAAGCGACGGTCTAAGCCAGCCGTTACGCGCCCACACCCCAGGGAAATGATCGTCCAGCGTGGCATCAATGTCGAACTCGAAAACGTGGGTTGTGTAAAAGGCAGGTCTGAGACGGATGGCAGAGATCGATAATCCACTCGGAAAATCAGTACGCAAAGTCAGCCCTGTGTGAGAGCGTTCACGGAGTTGGCCCGTTGACAAGTCTACATCAGAGGACTCTTGATGATCCCAAAACTCTGGGTTATCCATGCTGGTGGATCGTTCTCGATGCAGATAGAGGGGCCAAGTAGAAAAAAGCAGAAAGAGTTATTGTTGGATGGGAAGAAAAAGTTGTTTGAAAAAGGAGGGGCGGAACTCGAATGTAGTAGAAAAGTAAAGAAAGGGGCCGAGAACTAATAGACAGGCTCCGACATCAGTTGGCGGCCTTGTCGTAACTGACGAGTGCCTAGCAAAACAGGGAGAAATGTGACCACACCTGACGCGAAAAGACACGGTAAGAAAGAGCGTGAAAACAAAACAAAAAAATCAGACGAACTCGCTTTTTGCTCAGCCTACACTTGTAGTTAACAGACCTTCTACAGCCACGGCATATTAGACAGACAGATTAGTGCACTGAGTGATATTAAGTTCAGTCCTACGATAAGAAAGTTATAACATAGTTGCGGAACTGGCCCGAGTCCAGGGGCAACTGCTGATATCGATCTCGCCATGGGTTTCCCTTCTGACAAAGAATCAGAAAACTCCGGCTACGGCGAAGTAACACCAAATATGAAAAGATGTGAAGAACCTAGCTACGTGATAATGAAAAGTTTCAATAGCCAACTTCCAAGCATGGCTAGTCGAAGCATTCGTTAAAAAGTGCCAGGGGTGGTCTCTGACTTTATCTCAAGACATCCGAGGAACTTTGTGCAAGCCACATTTGTCATGGTTTTGCCAGTATCATAAAGTCCGAAAGACTAACAGATTATTCCAAGGTAAAATTCAAATTCAAAATGCCCCATACGAGCAGCCCATCGAAGCTTTGGTGGAGCGTTGAAAGTTATTGGTTCCAAACGCTTTCTTATGCGTATATATAGAGAACAAAGGACTCCATTGGGGGTACATGACACAGGTGATACAACAAACGCCAGATCAAAGGCTTCATTCTGTCGTCTGTGCCTATCTCTTTCGCAGCTCGTGCTCTATTTGCATGTATGGATATAGACATCGCCGGGATCTTAAATCAAATCGGGGCCTGTCGCACGCCATGGCCAGTTCTCGTCGTTGCCGCCGGACATATCGCTGAGGTTCCTTGTATTGCTTGTATTATCCCGTTCATCAAGAGCAACCTGTGTGTTCACCACTTGGTGCGTTCACCAACTGACATCTCGTAGACTGGACCAAAGTATATTTTTCAACGAGGAGCAGGGGATCGCAATGGCCGCTGAGCGCGAGGTTCGCTTCCTGTGGGCGCCGGGGGGGATTTTCCGAGAGCGTTTAGAATGGAAGTCGCCTGCAAGGTTGGGGTCAGAACTAATAGAAAATGAGAGGATGATGTTTTACGGGCCTTGCCTCAAACGTAGGTGCATAGACGTAGCACCTGAAGATGCAATAGCAAACTAGCTGACGATCCAATCATTCCCAAGAGGTGATCTCGTGGGAGTTGACGAAGCAGGGTGTTTGCATAAGTGAACAAAAGATTGTTTAGTTGGATGACTTCGCGTTCGCACCTGGTATGTTGCATAGGACATACCTGTTGCACCTGCCTGTTACGTCTACACTGCACCTGCCTGTACACATTGATTCGTGCTAGTCCACGTTCATCTGCCTCGGTCTTTCCGCCTATCTTTCAGCATGTCCGCAATGCAGCTCAGATCTGATTAGGCGGCAGCACGATGTTTCGCTTCTGGTCCAGACGATCCATGGCGCCCGACACGGCTCGCTTGGTGCTGCTTTGGGGCTGCGATATGCCGCTCTCACATGTCTATTCCTGGGCATCGCCGTGCCGGCTCATCCGGTGAAGTGCTCTCAGGTGGCCGACAGCAGCATGACACTGGTGGCAGCGGGTGAGAGCAGGCCGACACGATCGCCCAACACGGCCGTCCGCTGGCGGATCGTCAGCATGGGCCCCATCACCGGCCTCAGTCTTGTAGTGCCACAGGCGACCATGACGCCCATACACGTGGATGGAGGCCACCCAGTGGCCGCCGTGTCTGGAGACGGCATCGGAATTCTCTATCCGGGAAAACGCGTCGACCTGCTGGTCACAGAACCGGCAGACATACCGTTGCGGTTGTACAATGACATGGACTCAGAGTAGGCAATTCGGTCATTTCTGTACGCACGGAGAGACAATTGAACTATAGCTTACGGCAATGGGACAGGGATTTGCGATACTAGATTTCGACCCTCCGGCCCAACCAATCGTTCCCGATCACTAGATAAGCCAGCCAGAGTGTGAAGGAGGAAGACGAAAAGACACGACCGTTACCGGAAGCCCCTACAGCCGAAAGCACAACGCCGACGGACTGGCCGATGCAGCAGGCGGACCAAACATTGGTGGAATACGCCAAGGTGCAGCTGCTAGCCAAGTTTGGCAACAGGCCGATGGGATTCATGAACCACTCGTCGTGGAACAAGGACCAACTGGTGCCATTTGTGGCGGGGAGCAGCAGCGGCGCCTGGGTCGACCTGGTGATCAACAGCCTCGATGATGGCGGCCACCCGTTCCGCCTGCACGGCCACGCCATTTACGTGCTTTTGCGCTACCAGACTAGCAGCCGCGTCTGCTGGTGCTCCTGCAACCCGTTTGACAGGCACAAGACGCCGCCGGAAAGCGTCGACATGACGGCACCGCTACTCAAGCACACGGTGTTGGTGCCGCAGCGTGGTCACGTGATGTTGCGGTTCCGTGCCGACAACGTAGGCAATTAGATGCTGCACTGCCACATCGCTGTGCATCTGGGCAGAAGACTGTCAATGGCTTTGCAGGTCGGCAGGCCCGATAGGAAACGGCCAAGCCAGCACTTGTGTGGGCGAGGATAGCTGCTGGGGGTACGGCGTAATAATACTGGGTGGGCTATATTAGCGGGGATTATTCGCCAGGCTTACGGAGTAGAAACGTGCCACGGAGAATTATAATCATTAAGTCTACAGGTGGATGTCACTGCCCAAATATGCCAGTTGTGTGGGAACGTGCCGATGCGCAGACCCATGTAGGGATCAGCAAGCTTGACACGGGGCCGTCTGTTTGAGTGTGATTGGTCCGGCCTCTACCCCATGTTGTATAATGCGTCGATGGAACGTAGAATTACTATACCGCAAGCACGTGGGACCAGGGTGAGAGAAGGGCGCCGTGTGGACGGTTGCACATACAACGACTGCTGTCGTAGTGGTTAATGTTTAGTGACAAGGCAGTGTCCAAAATGACCGTGTTCTCGAAACTCGCAAGTGCAGCCGCGGTCGTCCTGCCACTGGCGGAGCTTGTGCTGACCGACTCGCTGGCCGACATTGAGCATGTGGTGCTGTTCATACAGCATGCGTATGGCTGCGGCCTGACTGCCAGCTCGGTGGCTGGTGATGATGTCGACTGACGTGGTGCAGAAAACCGGACGTTTGACCACTACTTTGGCATGATGGCAGGAGTGCGCGGGTTTGCAGACCCGAACGTGCAGGTGGACGGCAGCACGGCGGTATGGACGCAGCCAATCAACAACACGACGACGCTCAACCCGTGATACATCAACTACCCAGGCAGCAGCTGGCACAACGCGACACAATGCATGGCTGGTGGCAGCAAGGGCTGGAGGGCGAACCAGCAGGCGCTGACGCACGGGGCCAACAACGCATGGGCGGTGCGCAACACGCTGTACAACTGGGGACACATCCGCCGCAACGAAATCCCGACGCAGTTTGCCATTGCCGATGGCTAGACAGTCGGAGACATGTATCCGGTGGGCGTTTGGACGGCATCGTATCGTATCGTCTCGATATCACGTGACTGACAAACACAGGAACCACAACTCACAGATCCTCTTCATCGAGTAATGGCAGGCAGCTCGAGGCAAGAACGTCACTATGCCCGAGATGGGCCCTGGCGCCGCGCCCACATGTACGATTTCACGGCCGCCTTTGACTTTTCCGCCCCCGACTACAACCTGCCCGAGCTGCCCTACGCCGTTCCCCCAAACAGGACTGCTGCTGGTGCCTACGATGGCGCTGCCTACTGCGAGGCCTCCTACCCGACCTAGCGTCCACCTGTGCCCTACAATGGCTTCGTCAGTGCCGTCTCCCTCGAGGACGTTCCCGCTCTCGCTGAGGAGGGCTACAGAGCTGTCCGCGGCCGCATCACCGAAAGCTGCTACCTCGTGTTCGAGTCCAGCTCCAGTGTGCTGACTAATCATGCCTCCGCCGAGCGAGTCGCTGCCTCGGCTGCCACCGCCAGCCACGAGTCTGTTAGTCAGCGCAGGGCTGTCCACGTGCTCGAGCTTGGCACCAACAGTTTCCAGATCGGCAGCGCCCTCGATGGCCGTTGGCTCACGGGTAGCGGCACCCTTGCCAGCGACGCTGCCAGTGCCGGCAACTTTACCGTCTCTTTTGCTGCCGGCCAAGGCTACGGCCTCCAGAACGGCTGTGGCCGTTGGCTGACGGCGGCCGGCATGGGCGCCCAGGTCTTCTTTGGCCCCGACGTTGCCTACTGGAAGGCGTACAGTGTTACATACCATGATTAGGTTTCGCCTGTAGTAGACATTTTATAGAAGCCTCTCGAAATAAAAAAGAAAGACCAGTTGTCCAAGAATGGGCTCTTACAGCTACTTGTACCGTCACCGTTTTAGTTGCTGTCGATCAGCTCATGTTGCTGCATGTTTTTCTTCCTAGACAGATTAGCTTTTTCATTATTTTCCCAATTTTAATAATGTAACTTACAACATGGTGCCGTATCACGATCTTTCTGTTATGGCTACTTATGCTACTGTTCCTCCTTCTACAGCTGCTGCTGCACTGGCTACTGCCTAAACAGGAGCCGTAAAGATCGTAAAGATCGTAGAAGGTCGCAAAGAGATATGCTTGATAAATGTAGTTTCATGTAGAATCGAATAAGGAGCTTCACTGCTTGCTATGACGGCGTAGCTTCGGATATGCTGTTCCAGGATAGAGCTGTTACACGCACCTTCCGACTAAGCCATTTGCATTGTATTCGACGGGCAGTAGTACTTAGATATCCTATACAAGGCTTAAGTTCTCAACTGACGAGAAGGAGTACACTGCCTTGAATTCGAAATGAGATATTCAGCGAGGATGGCGGGGCGCAACTCAAACGAGAATCATTCCAACCCAAACACCTACAATCGTTATCAACCCTCTGGGTCAATCCCAGTAACGAAGTAAGATACCAACATGTCGCATTCTCACCAATTTGGGTCTGCCGCATTTGCTGATCCCGGTCACATGGTCAGGGATACGCAATTACATTGGACAGTACTGAACTGCCACTACCAAAGATCTTTCCGCTATCATTACAGTCAATACACCGACTAATCATCATGTTCCGTTTGCTTCAGGTCTGTTTGCACGCGGATTGAATGCAGCGGGATCTCGTCCGCGCTGCCAGAGCTATCCCGCCATGTCGCCACTGTGAACTTGGTCCCGTGCGCCGGCCGCAGGCCCTCGTCCACCGGGCTCTCGTTCGACCCGTCGTCTAGCCGGTAGAAGGCATCCTTGGCCTTCTGCTTCTGCGCATGTGTCGATGCGCTGAGCAGCTCCGAATTGTTTGTTTTGATCACCCGGCCCTGCGAGTCCTGGTTGGCGCCTCGGGAATGATTGGTTGACTGCCCGCTGCGGGTCGAGAACAGTCTGAGGCCCAGGGTCTTGGACACGAACACGAGTGTCGGCCGCAGCGTCGGCAGGCAAGCCGAGATGATGCCGGCAGACATCTCAATCGCCGTCCAGCCGACAGTGGGCGCGAGCGTATAGGACGGGTCTGAGTTGCTGTAGGAGAAGAGTACGGAGAAGCGGTAGGCTGACGCGGCGACGACGCTGTTGAGCGGAGTGTAAGCAGAAAGTCGACTATGAACGAAGCAAAAAGCGAACGCTGGCTGCACTTACAAGGATCCGAGGCCAAAGGCGACGGTCAGTGCCAGTTTTTCGGCCCGCCGCAGCTGCAGCTTCCAGATCTGCGGGATCGGCAGGACCAAGATGGCCAGGTCCGTCAGGATGGTCGAGGTCGCGTTGGCGATCCAGGTGCCGACCTGGTCGATGCAGTGGCCCGGCAGGTCGGGGTACCAGAGCTTCGCCACCGGCACGCATATGAAGACGAAGAGAAAGGTCACGGTGACGCCCCAGCAAAGGACGAAGCCGCCGATGCAAAAGGCCATGTTCTTGAAGAACCGGATGTGGAAGATGCGGTAGTACATGAGCAGCAGCGAGATCTTGGTCCAGCAGAGGTTCCATGCATACAGAATCTCTGCCACCAGAAGCCATTTGGCCATCATGACGATCTTGTCCGTCGACACCTTGTCTGCATGGATTCCCATTCCCTCGGCGTACATGGCAAATATGAAGCCGACGACGACGTAATTCCAGCACTGTCCTTCGTCAACAAATGCTTTCGCGAAATTCGGATACTCCGGATTGGGGCTGTCCGACGGCCTACTCACCAAGGAGAATATGATCGCGTAATCGTCCCACCATAACGACTGCCCCTTGAGGTACCGGCTGACAAGTCGCAGAACCACCGACAGCGTGGCCAGCACTGTCATCGCCGTCACCACGCCCACCGTCCAGTGCTGCAGGTTGTCGGGGTCATATCCCCGAAGGCCGGGGAATGCTGGATCCGTCATGTTGCGCTTGTGTCCTCAGACGCGGTGACTCCTTCTGCGAGTGCAGAAAGGGCACCTTGGGTAGACCGTCTGGAGTAGACAGTCTGGGGGAGAAGGGAAAGGACGAAAAGCTGGGGAAGAGTGAGAATGCGATATAAAAAGAAAAAAGAAAAAAGAAAAAGAAAGGCCGGAAGGGTATCCGGGAAGCTGAAGCTGAAGGTCAACTAGCTCGACATTGACCGGAAGGTTCCAAATCTGCACAAAACAGCAGGCTGTGTTCTAAATGTAATCTTGGGCCGTCAGACTCACTAACTGACGCCGCAGGCATCACGGTTACATGCCTGAGCATGTCCAAGTCCCCGGCAGGCCTCTTACTTCGGAGCGTTGGGGTCCAACATGGTTGCACGCAAACCGGGGCTTCATCTACCGGTCCCAGGGTGATCGTTCCCTCTTCCAATGAGAAAATATTATCAGCACGAGGAAACCATGCCTGGACGGTTTTGCAATCCTTGGGTCCAGGAGAAGCCTAAAGTCTGACTAGATCCGGCCGAAGCCCTTTCCGGCCGAAGCCCCTGTGGCAAAGAGGGCCTCTCTGCAACGGTGCCGTCGAGCAGTAAACTCTAAGCAGCTAGCGCTTCTGCGCAACCAGGGAACGGCTCCTACTCCGTAAGCCGAAGTATCGTATCACTCGCCCTCGTAGTCTAGGTAGCTCCCGTGATGATCCGCCTCTAAAGTACCGTTTTCTGCATAGTATCTTACCTGTTCGCAGGGTGGATCAGAAATAGTGTAGTAGTACACTTCGCACTCCGTACTTCGCACGAAGTAGGAAGCACATTATTACATATCTATGCATGCCGCCCCGCTTTTTCCTGCCAAATTGTCAATACCCCTGCTAGCCCCTTTGTTTGCTTGGTTCCGTTCTCTCGCTATAACTACGACCAGTGCGGAAATTCGGCCGGTAATGCCAGTCGACTGAGAAGGTAGTGGGTCGGTCAATGTGACGACAACTCATCTCGTACATGAACCGATTCTGCTGCATATACGACGTATGGTCAGATGCTACATAGCACTACGGAGTACGTTGTGGCGGGGGCGAAGACATGCAGCATGGCATCTTTGGGGGCCTGTGCCGTCGTATGCGTGCTGGAGCTGCCCTGGTCGTATACTCTGTATGCTATATGCAATACGACAGCTCACCAGTCCTTTGCATATGACGTGACCCATTCTGTCGTCTGCAAGGGACATCCCAGCACAATGACGAAGCCCGAAAGAGGAAACAGACGCAAAGCCTGAAACACGGCGCTCCTTTCAGTAGGCGATGTACCGTTAAATATTACAAAATGGTTACGACAAATTTGGAATCCGTGCGGATTCCTCCTGGCGTCTGCTCCTATCTGTGGTTGAACCTCGGCTCGGCGACCAAGGGACGTGGCTCTAAATAGCTGCCCGTTTTCCAACTCACTGGCAAGAAGCAATACACTCGTACTCGACCGTCTCGGGAAGGAAAAAAAAGGACCTGAAACAAGATCTGCGCAAAGAAGCAACAACTGTCACCTGTTGTAACCTCCCCCAGAATCACACACAGTACCATGGCAGCCACTACGACGGTCGAGGTCCCCCACCTGGGCGGCATCAAGGCGGGCTACCGGCTCTCCAATGGCGCAGTCGACCCTACGAAGCCGACTGTAGTGCTCATCAACTCCATGTGCACCACATCAGCGCTCTACAACGACCAGTTCGACAGCAAAACGCTGACCGATGCCGCCAACCTGCTCGCTATCGAGCCCCTGGGCCACGGTGCCACCAGCTGTGCGGTCGACCACTTTACCTACTGGGACTCGGCCATCATGGCACTGCAGGTCATGGATAAGCTGGGCGTGTCAAAGGCCTTTGCGCTGGGGACCAGCCAGGGAGGCTGGGTCGTCGTGCGCATGGCTCTGCTGGCTCCGGACCGGGTATGTTCCATTCCTGTTAGGTTGTCTGACGTTTATCGTACATAGTACTTGCTGACACGCTCAGATCCTCGGCCTCTTCACCCTCGGCACCTCGATGGACAGCGAGTCCGAAGAGTCACGTGCCAAGGGCGCATGGAATCCTCATGCGCAGCTCGGCAGCTTTTACGAAAAGTGGTGCTCGCTCGAGCCCACACCCGATTTTGTCATCGACGACGTCTGGTGCGGCGCCGTCGGCTCACTCGGCTTCGGCACCGCGGTCTCGCCAGAGACTATTCAGTTCTGGGTCCGCACTGTCAAGTCTGTCTACGTCGGCGACGAGGGCCGCCGCAAGGTCAAGGGCGCCCTGCTCAACCTGATGGAGCGCGACAGTCTGCTGTTGCGGCTGAGGGACATCCGCTGCCCCGTATACTGGCTGCAAGTAAGAAGCTTCGTCGTCTTGTTTCCATTTTTCTGCGGGGCCTCTGCTTTGACCCCTTTCTGCCCTGCGTTTCCATTTCAAGTTTTGGAGTCCTGACCATGGACTGACATTTCAGGGAACCGACGATGTCGTCTACGGCGTGCAGATCCCCAAGGACCAGATCGAGTTGTTCACCGGCGCAAAGGAAAAGAAGGTCCGGTACCTGGAGCAGGGAGGACACTACCTGAATGCTACGAACCCCAAAGAGGTGGAGGAGGAGATCCTGGAGATGATTAACAAGTACAATTAGAAGAGGCCGCCAGGTTGTTTCTACTGTTTTCGTATACTGCATAGATTGCGCTCATAATCATACATTTGAACTACTTCACCACGTTGAAGCCAGGCAATGGCGGTCAGTCTTACACGCATGCTGTCTGTGGTACCGCATGGCCAACTGCGTTTTGACGTTTCGGTGCCCTTCTATAATCCGTGCATAGTAAGATACATACGATGTACAGGGCAACGCTCAACAATTTGGTTCGCCTTTCGACCGTCGTTCATGGCGTGCTTCATGGAGAATTAATTACCCCTGTTTTCGAACGATCTGCTCAAGCTAGAGAAATGGCCGGCAGACCACGACCAAGTTGGAATAATGCGACGTAGACAGGCACGAAACGGGTCATAGTCCGAGGGTTGATTGTGACTGCTGTCGCTACATAGTATCTGCAGGGGCTCGACCGCCAAAGGACGCAAACCAGCATTGAGGATCATGTCTTTTTTTTGTATCCGTCGGTATGTAACAGAAAAAAAAAAGATAAGAACTGACGATTATGTTGATGAGGGCATTTTGTAGACTTTAGGGTGTCACCTGACCTTCCGAAGAGCCCACCACGAGATAAGACTGAGCCCTATTACGGAGTACCTACGAATCATCATTGATGGTTTTGAAGGCTTTGACGTGCAACTGGTCCGTCGTAGTTCGCAGAGATCAACGTATGGGTCTTACTCTGGTATTAAGCGCAGCCAAAAAGCCGCGCGTTAGGTGCAATGAGTAAAAACCACCAAATGTATGCCCAGACAAAACATGGGAGCATAATATTCAGAGAGAGAACTTCGGCACTAGAAGGTGAACATGTAGAGAGGTGGCGCATGCACAACGAGGCAGCTTGCTTATTACGTAACTTACTCCGTACTCCGTACCTGGCGGTGATGCGCTCGTCCACGACAGATAAAAAGAGACCGGACGTACGGAGTTAGTATACGGGTATGATACGAGCACTCGTACTTGTACAAATAGTCGTTTGTGCACAAACCGCTCGACAGATATCGTGGAGCATCGCTCTGACCTCTAATATGCCGGCTTGTACGGAGTACGGAGTATGTATGCCACGGTACGTAAAGCGAAATAGTTAAATATCTTACCCTCAGCGACAAGTGTAATACTACTCTGTAAAATCTGTTTATTAGCTAGACTTGCGCAGACTGTGGTTCTGGCCATTATTGGCCAAAGCAACACGAGTGGATATCTGCCACAAGAATGAGCTTCAGGGAATAAGACACTCTCCACCAGCCTCATATTACGGAGAACTCCGTACATCGCCCTTGCGATCAAAGTCATTTGCACGATCGGCAAAGGACTCCATCCATCCGTCCTCTGTCCCATTTCAAATTTGCAAAGTGATCAAATACTTGCATAGTACGGAGTACAGCAAAATACGGAGTAGCTACCAAAGAATATTCCGTGCTGGTGACAGTAGCAGACCGGAAGCTAAGACACGTGATGATGGAGAAAAAAGGGGGGCCGCCACACTGTAAGATACGCAAACTCCCAACACGTCATACGGAAAACAATCACAGCATCGACGAATGACAAGACTGCTCCGTAAATGCTTGGCTCAGGCAAGATCTGAAAGGGGGATTGGGGGATTGGGGGCCAGGCAACGAGACGTTTCATCTGCATGCGTCCACATGCTGCAGGTGCATGTTGGCTACTATTAGTAAGATAGTATTACGTGCGCCACTTTGGAGAGCACAGCGCCTGTCGTTGTATCGTGGCGTTCCATTACGAGGACTCTTGGTCTGTAAAGTGGAAGGAAGGCACAATGCAAAATTACGGCCTCATCTGTGTCCCGTAGATGACCATCACATCACTCTGCCAGCGACGCATTGTCACCATTCTATTGCTGCAATAATACGAAATACAGTACTCCATACATGTCTATTTGCCATTCAGGGGGATGCATACTTTAGGAACAGGACGATCGTCTGAGAAGTGGTCCTTGCAACCTCGCCATTACCTGCCCTTTTCTTTCTTTTTTCTTTTTGCCCTGTGAAGTCGAACAGCTCATCGAACTAAACGAACCACGACACGACACTACGGACTACCGACTTCTCCTACCTTGCCGTCCATTAGCTTACGAGCCTACGACGCGACTGCTGCACGCCGGCTTGTTGCGATACCTAGAGTATCTATGCCTATTTTCGTCCTCCCGCCTTTGCTTCGATAGCACGTCCACTGCCCTTCCCGCCCGTCGAGCCCCCAAACTTACCATCGACGAACCACCGATCTCTTCCCTGGCAAATCGAGGCGCCGTTGGATCTAGGAGCGCCTATTCGCTACTCGTACTCCGTGCATACAGCTGGCCTTATCACCCCTGCACTAAGGTCCCCTTCCCCCTGGGCCTAGCACCTTTAGCGCCGAGCGGATCAGCCCAACAAAGGGGGTCGAAGGGGGAAAGGGAGGTTTGGTGAGAGGATCTGTGACGAGCCGGCGCGGTCTCGCCCAAGAGCCCGTCCTGGAGTCAAGCCCATACGCGAGGTCCGCTGTCTTGCGATTCTAACGACGCCGACGACAGCGACGACGACGACGTATGCCTCTTTTTCGCGTATGCACATGCACCACCGGCAGGCATTGCAGCTGAAATGCACACCGATTGAGGAATAGGCACTTCCTTTTTGGAATTGGGCTGCCACTCGTCCAGCACAGAAACACGGCCATTTGCGTTCTAGCGCACAGCCAGGGCCCTGGCTAGCCTTTTTCAGAGACCTCCTTTCTTTTTTTTTGCCCTCGGGACGGCTTTCTCTCCTCTCTCAGGCCATGCACCCCGATCACTCCCGCCCTTCCCAGAGGAGGCGGCCAGATCTCACTATCAACACATCACGGGCTACAGCCAAATCCACAGGATCTGTCCCCCCGTCGCCGCCAACCCGAAAAGCCGCAGTTTCTGGCGCCAGGGGTGGCAGTCCCAATTTCGCCTCTACCGCGACGGCAGCCACTGCTACTGCCGCTGCCACGACTGCCCCGACGCGTGCTATTACCGCCCGAAGAAGCAGTCACGCGCCAAAGCCGGCCTCGTCAGACGCCACAGCGGCCGAAAGCGGGACCTATCACGATTACCACCCACACGTCAACATGGCTGCCAGCAGAGAGAATGGCCGGACCACGGCTGACATGCCCCATATGCCGGGACAGCGCGATTCGCACGACCTTTCGCTGCCGTCGCGCCACGTCCGCGACTCGCTCGTGTCCAACATGCTGCTCTCGCTCGACCAGTTTTCCATGGGACAGCTGGGCGACCCATTGAGCTCTGCCGGTCCGTCGCGCACTGGCAATTCGTTTGACGACCGCCTCTACTCCATCTCCACCTCGGGCACCGGGGAGGATCTGTCCAGGATCAACACGATTCCACCGTCTGTTGCGCGTGGGGCCGCCCGCCACGGCTACTCGTACAGCTCCGACTACGAGGTCGCCGATGACGCTAGCCGTGTTTCCGGCAGCATCCATTCACGAGGCCATCGCAGCAACAGCAGCTCGGGCTTCCAGTCCAGCCTAGGCCGCATCAATAGCATGCGCGAATCGCTGCATCGCGGCAGCCAGCCGGGCACGCCCCGGATGATGCACTCACGGGGAGGCAAGGCTAGCAAGAGCAGTAGCACCAATAGCATCGATGCCGGCGGCTATGTGCAGGTGTTGGGCAGCCAGCGCTGGGCTCACGGCTTCGGTCGCCGCTCGTCCAGTTTCGACATGGGCCAGCAGCGGCCAGCCCGCAGCATGTTGGGCAATGGTCCTCCGCCGAGCTTGATTCCGGGCTCGGGCCCCATTGAAGGCTCTTCCTCCGGCGGCGGCGGTGTCAGTGGCCTACAGCCATGGCATATTGACTTCTCCAATGCCTTTTTCAACGAGAACTACGACGATGCCGCTCCGACACCAACTGTTCCTGGCGGTCCTCGCAAGCTCAACTCCGTGCCGTCCATGCCTTCGATACCGTTCTACCAATCCGCCTCGAGCGACTCAATGGGCGACCCGCGAGCCTCGATGCGACCACCTGAGCGCCGACGTAGTGTGCGGTCGTCAAAAAGTGCCACCGTTGGCCGCCAGCCCCCAGCGAAATTCGCCTCTACCGCTCCGCCGCTCCCCGTCTACGATATCGATTCGGCGCCGGCACCACACATTGGCTACGAGAAGACCAAGGACGCCGCGTCCCCTGCCATGACTCCTGCCCAGCAGCAATTGCTGCAGCAGCAGCAACAACAGCAACAACAACAATATTTGCAGTTACAGCAGCAACAGCAGCAACAACAACAGCATCAAAAGCCTGGGTTCTTCAGGAGAGTATTTGGCTCTTTCCGCGATACCGTCGCCGGCTCCGAGCAGAGCTCTTCTAATACAGCCGCCCCAGCCAACTCGGCCAACTCAGCCTTTGCTCTTATGACAGCCGAAGCCGCAGGCAGTCGGGTTCCGGCCGGCAAGTCGCAAAGCACACCGCCATCGCGCGACAGCCACCATTCGACACATGCAACGATACAGAAAAAGCCGTCCGGCTTCTTCCGACGGCGAAAGAAGAGCGTCTCGGAAATCGATGGCCCGCCCCCGCTACCAGCTGCCTTTGTGCAGCAAGCAAGCCCACAGCCACCCCCTCCACCACCCCCATCTAAGACGCAACCGGCAGTCCCACCGGCCCCGCCACTGAAGCCCCCCGCATTGCGGGACGACCGTCTGCTTGACGGCCAGGCTGACAGCCCTGCCACGAGTCTGCGCCGGGCTATGAGCCCTTACTTGAAATACAGCTCGTCCTTCCCGAACACGTTGGCGGGAAAGACTGGCAGCCCTCTGATGTTGCAGAGCGACGATCTGTACGACGCAGAGCCGGAGCAGACAGCCGCCCAGGGCGCAGAGGCGGACGATATGGCGGCGCGTGCCGTGAGAGGCTTTTCGCCTGACTATGAACCATCCCCGGACGCGACGATCCGGTCAGTCGAGCCCGAGCCGACTGATCCTCACCACCGTCTGGCTACGCCGTTGCGGGAGCAACCAAATGCGCCTCACCCGGCGCGGTCGGGCTCTTTCCTGAGCGACAACAGCGACGACGAGGACAGCCCTCGCCGTGTTGCGAAGAAGACGCTGGCGGAACAAGGAGTGAAGAAGCGGGGCAGTCGAAGCTCACTGGTGGCGTCGATCATGGGCGATTTCAGTCTTTTGTCTCCGACGACAGCACACCAACGCAGCAAGGAGCGTACCGGCAGCAGGGCGACACAGGACGACGCCGAGTCGCGTGGCTCCCGCCTGAGCCTTCCGGTCGAAGGGCCGATTGCGCCCCGTAGCAGCACACGTGGCTCGGACACGGCAATTCCACGCATGCCGAGCCTGCAGTTCGATGCACCACCCAAGAGCAAGCCCGTTCCTGCACCCATCGCCACTGGAACGGCCAAGGAGCTGATTGACGAGCCGGAGTTTGTCATTGGCGACCCGACCGAAGACGACCGGAACAAGGCGTTGAACATCTTTGAGGGCAACGAAGACTTCATCCAGAGGGGAAAGGCTGCGGCTTGGATGGGCGAGGAGGGACCGGTGCGCCAGCGAACGCTACAGGCCTACATGGACCTGTACAACTTCCAGAACCAGAGCATCGTTAAGGCTCTGCGCGAAGTCTGCCGACGGCTGATCCTGCGCGCCGAAACGCAACAGGTTGACCGCATCCTGGTGTCGTTTTCGAAGAGATGGTGTACCTGCAACCCCAATCATGGCTTCAAGTCCATGGGTACGTTCTCTGGCTGATCTGCGGCTCTGTTTTCTTGTGACTAACTATTTGGCACGCAGATGTTGTCCACACGGCCTGCTACTCAATCATGCTTTTGAACACGGATCTGCATATGGCGGACATCGAGTCGAAAATGACCAAAAGCCAGTTCATCAAAAACACAATGACCTCTATCCGGCAAACGGCGGGAGAATGCTCGCCCACGGTGTCGAAGCGGCCGAGTATCTTGCCTGGCAGAGGCTCTGCCTTCTCGAGCAGCAATGAGGGGAGCGGCAAGCAGTCGGCCATGAGCCAAGCGAAAGAGTACACAACCGGCTTGGGGCTGTCGGCGTCCTCCTTCCTGCCGCCGCGGTCGGGATCGTCGCAGGGCCACCACCACGATGAGATTGGTCCGTTGATCAGCACTCCGTTTGACGGCACGATGCACGCATGGGAGGCCCAGATGGAGCTTGTGTTGAGGGATATTTACTCGTCCATCCGCGACGAGCGGCTGCCCCTGTTCGGAGCGGATAACAGCCAGGCAAGCAACCAGAACGGGCTGTCGGTCAAAGGCATGTTGAAGCGTACGCCGAGCGTGCTGAGCAAGACGCCGTCGGAGAGCCAAATGTCGACGCGCGGGCGAGTGACAGACCAGAATGGGCGGGCCAGCTCGTCCCGCTGGACGTCCAAGAGCCGGTCGAGGGCGCGGGTGACGACAAGCAGCGGCGGCAACAACGGATTCAACTCGAGCCGGACGAGCTTTGACGATGCGAACTCGATGTGGAGTCCGACGGCGTCGTCAGCGACGTGGAGCCGGCAGTCACTGGGTCGGACACAGGCGTCGATGTCTATGGAATCGTTCAATTCGTCGTGGGGCCGGGGAGACTACCAGCAGTCGATCGGGTTTGCCAACGCTCTCAGCCAGGCGATCATCCGGGAAGACGGGCTGAGCGCGGGCGACGAGCAGTCGGTGCACCAGAAGGACCACCCGCTGCTGGATGACGAATCGCTGGAGCTAGCAGGGCCACCATGGGTGAAGGAGGGGCTGGTGGTGCACAAGCATCACCTAGGCGGGACGGACAAGAAGGCCAAGGACCGGACGTGGAACGAGGTTTTTGTGGTGGTGCAGAAGGGCCAGATCAGCCTCTTTTCCTTTACGCCGAACAAGTCGATGCGCAGCAAGAACCGCGGCCGCGGCAATGGGGCCCTGGCGCCGGGAGCCGTCGTTGGCGGCGGCAACTGGCAGGACAACGCAACGAATCTGGGGACGTTTGGGCTGAAGCAGTCGCTGGCATCGGCGCTGCCGCCACCAGGTTACTCGCGACAGCGGCCCAACGTGTGGGCGCTGAGCCTGCCGACAGGGGCGGTGCATCTGTTCCAAGTGGGCACGCCGGAGATCTGCAAGGAGTTTGTGACGACGGCGAACTACTGGAGTGCACGTCTCAGCACCCATCCGCTCGTGGGGGGCATCTCGAACATGGAGTTTGGCTGGAGCGATGCGGTCGTGAACAATTCGCTTGTCAGTGCGATCAACCACAACGGGTCGAATTCGGCGCTTCCAGCTCCACCGGCAAGCAGCAGCGGCGTCAGTCTCGCCGGAGGCGGCAGCAGTGGCAGCGGCCTCGGGCATGGACTCGGGCTTGGGGCTAACAACAACAGCAGCACGGGACTTGCACAGGTTTCGCGGCCGGGATCGGCAGCGGCTGGTCGGACAAGCCTGCAGTCACGTGGCTCGTTCCGGTCGAGCTCCTTCGACTTTGGTCACGTGCGTAACGGCTCGGCTTCGAGTGCTAACGGGACGTCAGCGCTGCATGGCGGCGGTTCCAGCAGCCGGCACGGCAAGCTGCCGGGCGACCGGATCCATATTGCGGACTGGGCGCCGCCGACACAGTCGATGCGGCCGTCACACGCGGCCGAGGCGCAGCAGCTGCAGACGCTGCTGGCCTATGTGAAGAGCATCGAGGACGAGCTGCAAGTGCACAACGGGCTGCGGTCGCCGATGCTGCTGGCCTTTTCGCCGCGCGGCCAGAACGCGCAAAAGGCCCTGGCCAATTGGGAGCGCAAGAGCGCGTATCTGCTGCGCGAGATTGTCAAGTACCACACGTATGTCGACTGTCTGTCGGAGGCGGCGCGGCGGCGTGGCGAGATCTACCACGAGCGCGACATTGCCCGGCGAGCTGCCCGGGGCGAAGACGGCGAGCCGACGGACGTCGAGGACGACGGCATGGCTAGCGACGAAGACGACAGCGGGCTCGAGTCGGAAGACGAAGACTATGCCGACCATGCCGACGAAACGTTGCGGGCGTGATTATTACTGTTTTTTTGTCATTTTTGCCTCATTTTTGTCTGTTTCTTGGCCTGTTCCGTCCTTTGCTCATTCTGTTTGCTTCCTGTCTCGGCTCTGCGACCTCGTTGCTCGTTGTCCTGCCTCCTCTTCTCCACTGTTCTTTCTGAGCGCTTCTTTTTCTTCGAGCTTGTATTATTCCGGGAAGCCGTTTTTTGGAGTACCACGTCGTTTCATTGGATGCATCTTCTTCGCGTTGGGTTACGGATGAGGTCAGGGTTAGATAGATGGAAAATGACCTTAATGGATGCCATCGAGAATCTGCATCAATTTTTCTCTTTTACTGTTTGGACTATCATCCTGTCTCTGCATTCAAGAGTCTCACGTGATGTGTTCTGGCAATCCAGATTGAGGAACAGCCAAAAGGGCTCTCGCAAGCGTTGTGCACTGCGATGCACATCAAACGCCCGCGCACAGTCTTTCCCCGTCCCGTCCCCACCGCGTTTTGAAATGCAAACGGCAAGTGGCCGAGCGTCCGTGTGAACGAGGCGGTCGAGAGAGCCTGGTTGCCGATCATCAGCTGATCGTTCGAGTAGTCGAAACAGGCAGAGTCGGTGTCGACTTCGGCTTGTTCTGCCATTATTTCTATACTCATCTGGTCCTGTTGTCACCCATGCTTTCCTCTCGGCTCACCAATGTTCAATGTCATCCATCGCCTCCTCCCAGGATGGGGCCGTTTTGCGGCTGGCAAGCTGGATATCCGACCAGCTGTCGGCCTCGAGAATCGCCGCTGTTGGGGCTGTTCTCTTCCTGACAACGTTTCTGATCGGCTGCACCCGGCAGCCTCGCTACCCCAAATCGTTGCCGCGCATGGGCTATGGTGATGGCCCGTTGGCAACGCTGCGCAACTGGGTCGCCTACACCTTTCACTTCCACGAGTGGACCGAGGAGGGCTACCGGAAGGTGTGTTTGTGTTTGTCGTCTTCGTCTCCGTCTTCGGCTCCTGCTGACTGTCTGCCCAGCATTCCAAGCACGGCCGCACATTCATCGTTTCCTCAGGCCCGTCGTTGCCGCAGGAGATGGTCGTCCCTCGGTCGCAGACTGCGTGGATGCTCGACCTACCCGACAACATCCTCTCCACGGATGAGGCTCATGATGTCGTGCTGCACAGCAAGTACAATCTACTGCTGGGGGTCAACAGCAGCCACCAGCACCACGACGGCTCCTTCCACAACCGCATTATTCACCGCAATCTGGCCCGCCACCTGCCCGGCCTTCTGCCGGCCATCGAACAGGAGGTCGCGGCAGCAGTCGACTGTGCCTTTGGTACCGGCAGCGATGGCGAGACCGGCGACTGGCACACGGTCAACCTCTGGGATGCCTGGCTGGCAATGGTGTCGCGCGTGACGAACCGCATGCTCGTGGGCGAGAACGTGTGTCGAGGGCCACACCTGCTGCAGCACATGATCCGCTTCGCCGACGTCGTCGTGGCCAACAGCTTTGTGCTGGGTATGTTTCCGAAGCTGCTGCATCCGCTCGTCGGCCGGCTACTCTGTCTGTCCAACTGGCGCCACTGGCGTGCTGCGCACAAGATGCTGGAGCCGCTGATCCAGGACCGGCTGCGGCAACTTGCTGCCGGCGACGAGGCCGTGTCCGAGGACTACATCACGTGGCACATCCGCACAGCCATGGCCGAGGGCCGTGTCGAAGAGCTGACGCCGGCTGCTGTGTCCCGGAGCCTGATGCCGCTCGAGTTCGCCGCCATCCACACAACCGTATTAACGGGTCATTCGCTGCTGTTGGACCTGCTGTCATCGGACCCGTCTCGCGGCTTCATCGATGCCATCCGGAACGAGGTCGGGGTCGTGCAGTCGGCAGACGCTCCCTGGACAAAGGCCCAGCTCGGCCGTCTGTGGCGAACCGACAGCGCCATTCGCGAGAGCATGCGCATCAGCAACTTCGCCACGTCGCTGACCAAGCGAAAGGTCGTCGCGCCTGGCGGCCTCACCAATGTCGCCGAGGGCTGGCATGCTCCGTACGGCAGCTTTCTCGTCCTCAATCTCAGCGACATGCACCACGATCAGGACCTGTATGTGGACCCGGACTACTACGACGCCTTTCGCTATTCCCGCATGCGTGAAGAGGCCACAGCTGGCCCTGCCGTTGACGGTGGACCGGCCAGAGGCAGTCAGCTGGGCATGGTCACCACGAGCGACCGACATCTCGCCTTTGGCCATGGTCGACATGCTTGGTGAGTTGAGTTGAGCTTGCCTCCCTATTTTCTCTTGGCTGACAAACAGTCCCGGCCGCTTCTTTGTCGCCCACGAGCTGAAGATGATCCTTGCATACCTGCTGGCCAACTACGACGTCAAGCCGCTGGCAGAACGCCCGAAGCCCCGCTGGATCGGACAGACCATCATTCCCCCGCTAGATGCCAAGATTGAGGTGCGCAGGAGGACGCCGGTGTGATGGCATAGGACGACACAGTACCCCGAGACACGCCCGTTCACGTCTTTCACCTTTCACCATATACTCCGTAGACAAATTGCGCTTTGCCCAAGTCTTTCTGCGGTTGTGATGTGCTCGTCGCTATGCACGATACCTGGAAGCTGGTCTTTCTGGATTGCCGTTGAATTTTTTGGGTATTCGTAGTCGACAAACAGCCTGACTTTCAAAAGTACGACTGTGTCGCAAGTACGAAGGACGTGCCTGCCTGTTTGACCAGATATGGACTAGTTTCGGGAAGCTGCGACTGGACCGCCGAGTGCAGATGCAACGCCTCTGGCTTCAAATACTTCGATCACGGCTGCATCTGCAGTTGAAGATTTCGTCCAAATCCCCTCGCCGTTGTATTTTGTTCTGTTCAGCTCGACGCAGCCAACGGGTTACAAAGGTAGATTAAAGGCAAACGCGGATCCCCACCGAAACACCGTGCATCCTCCGTCCTGCATGCCAGAAACCCATGGTTGCGGAATCTAAGAAAGGGGAACGAAGCAACAAGAAAACGCTCCATCATGTCTCCACCATCATGCAGTCGCCAGCTTCGCTCTCGTCGCCGTCCTCATCCTCGCGCGTCAGCTCGAGCACGCGCGCATACTGCACTGTAAGACGCTGCAGTTCGCGGAATTTGCCTGTCAAAGTTAGCGAGAGGAAAAAACAGAGAACAGAAGCAAAAATAGAGGAACCTACCCAAAATCATGACGACACCCTTGAGCAGCTCCCGACGGTCCCAGCCGCAGATGTCACCGGTCCGGCTGAACCAGCCCCAGCTGTCACTCTCGCTGGCGACGGCGACGGCAGCGGCAGACCCGGGCACGGCTTCCTGTAAAAACCCCCACCCAGCAGGCTGTTCAGCAGCTCCTCGACCTTGCCGCGCAGGCCTTCGGCACCCAGACGCTTGGCGTACATGAACAGGTACAGGCGAAACTCGTCGCGGGCGTGCAGCTGCAGGGCGGCGGCGATACGGTTCTCCAGGTGGGCGATGCTGACACTAGCCTCAAAGTCCTCAAAGCCGTCGCGGACGAGGAGGGCCTTGACCATGCGCTGCAGCGTGTAGGCACGGCCCTTGAGCAGGAACTCGCCGGTGGTGTGCCGCTCGAGGAATGGGATGATGCCGGCCGAGACGGTGGCCTCGGTAATGGTGGTATCTGCCGGGTCGGAAGCCGGATTGGAGGCCGAAGCGGACGCTGAAGCAGCTAAGCCCAGGCCCGGAACATCGGCCGTTGGTCCGACGGCCGTCGTCTGCAGGGCGCTCACGGCGCTGTCGTTGCTGTTCCAGTACTGGCTTCCAACAGCCCACCACGACTCTGACAGACGCTGCCAGCTGTGCAGATTCGTCGCATAGCAGTAGCCATCGCCGTTGCTCAGCGTTACCACCACCTGGCCGTTTGTGTTGAGGTGTGCCGACGTGACGCCTGGCCCGGCCGTTGCCGTCTGTGCGTTTGCGTGCAGCGAGTGGATGGCAATTTCCAGGATTGGCGCCAGCGACACTGGTGGATGTGGTGACGCCATCGTCTGCACATTCCATACGTGCACCAGACCGACGGCTGTGATGCACAGCAGCCAGTGCTCTCGACTCTCAAAGATCACCGGCTGCGCCTCTACCACCATCGCGCTCACCAGCCGCCGTCCGGCCGGCGTCCAGATGCACACGGTGCCGTCTTCGCATGCTGCAGCCCAAAAGTACCGGCTTCCTGTCACCAGCAGCACTGCTCGCGGCAGAAAGTCCTGCCACACCACGTTGCCTCGCTTAGTCACCGTCACGTGAGCCGGCTCCCGCACGGCACGCGTCTCCGGGTTGCGGGCTTCGAGCACCAAATTGCCCTCAGCAGCGCTGTTGCCCTGTGCCTGCAACACGCCTCGTTCCAGCGCCCGCAGAATGTGTGTGCGCACTTTGGGCACTGCGAGCCGCACCTGCGAGATCGCTATCGACGGGTTGATTACCGCTGGCCGCAGGAACTCGGGCGTCGCCACTGCTCCTCGGACTGCTGGCTGCAGCGTTGCCGGTTCAGCCCCATCGACTCCGTTGACCAGGATGGCCGTTCCAGTGCCTGCGAGCGCTCCACCGACCCCACCGCCGCTTGTTGACGAAGACCGCTTGGCCGTCCCGTCTTCTTCGCCCTCCAGTGCGACCACCTTCCGCTTCGTTCCCAGCAGCATCGAGGCGATCCCGCCATTCGGCAGTCTGTCTACTGGCCGCGACAGGTCCAGGATCGTCTGCGGCGCCTCGTTCTGTGCCGTCCTGCTCGAGCTGCTCGTCCCGACAAACTGTGACTGTGGCAGCAATGACTGTCCCGTCCCGGACGACGACACCAGCAGTGGTGCAACCCGCTTCTTACCGTCCTTAGTAATGGTTACACGTGACTTGAGTGTCTGGATCCGTTCTGCTCGCTGTGCTGCTGCCTCTTTCTCCTCCTTCTTGTCGGTGCTGTCGTTCGCATTTGCGTGTTCCGAGCTGCCCGTGCTACCGTTTGTCTCACCTGCCTTGCTGCTCGCCGTCTTCGTGCTCCCGTTCGCTGCCGTACTGCCGTTCTGTGGCGTGCTGGTTCCACTGCCATCCTTTTCCCGATCCTTGTCCTTGTCCTTGTCTTTGGCCTTGGCTAGCTGTCCGTCACCCATGAGGGCGCCCATCCGCGACTCGGCACCGCGCAGCTCGCCTGCCTTGCTGTGCTTCTCGAGGTTCAGACCCTCGACATCTTCAGCGATGCCGACGCCCCGACGCGAGGCGCCAAACTTCTGCAGCGCCTTGTCAATTTCTTCCACCTGGGCGACCCAGCCTAGCTCGCCCTCCTCGAACTTGACGACGACCACGCTGCCGTCGAGGCTGGACGCAAACACGGTCTGGCCGTCGGGTGCCCAGGCGAGGTCCGAGATGGACTTGGCCGCGAGATCCTGCAGGATGACAACGGGCCGTGACGTGTTGGTGTTCCAGATACTCAGCGTCTTGTCCTGGCCAGCCGAGGCGATGACGGTGACCAGGCTCTCGGCCTCGCGGTCGTGCGTCCCGTTGGCCTCGTTGGCCGATGGCGGCTTCTTGGTGTAGAAGAGACGCGGTGAGAACATACAGACCTCGGTGGGACCCTCGTGGCCGATCAGGTTGATCTCGCTATCCCAGCGGGTGCGCTCGATAATAGCGACAGAGCTGACAGGACCGTTGACGGCGTTGGGAGCGGCGATGTGGTTCCCGTCGGGCGACCAGGAGCAGCGGCGGAAGTACGTGGTCAGCGGCGAGCTCTTGAAGGGTGCGCTGATGGTGGTCTCAAGCACAAAGTTGTTGAGCAGGTCATGCTGGGTGGCGTGGGGTGGCGGCGGGGTGAACTTGAAGATCTTGATGGTGCGGTCGTCGCTGGCCGTAGCAAAGAACTTGTTGGCCGGGTCAAAGGTGACGCCCTTGACGTGGCTCTGGTGCACTGACAGCGTCTTGAGCTTCTCAAACGTGTGTGCCGACCAGACGACGACCTTGGAGTCCAGGCCGACCGAGACGAGAATGGACGAGTCGTAGGACCAGGCGAGATCCTGCACGTCGTTCTCGTGGCCGACCAGCCGGCGGTGCGTCTTCCAGTTCTCGACCGGTGGCGGCTCGGACGTGCCAAACGACGCCGCGTGCGACGGCGGACTCGGGTCCAGCTGGTAGATGCAGATGATCTTGTCGTCGGCGCCTGACGCGAGGTAGCGGCCGCTGGGCGAAAACCGCACCGCGTGAATCGTGCCCAGATGGTGGCTCATGTGGCAGAGCTGTCGCGGCTTCGTGTACGTCGGGTCGTCGGATCGGTAGATGGACTCGGTCGACCACACCCGAACGTGGCCGTCTGACCGTCAGCGAGGCACAAGAACGGGAGTGGAATTCGAGGAAGAGATTCGACAAAAAAGACATACCTCCACCGGCTGTTGCCAGCCGCTTGCCATCGGAAGAGACGTGACAGCTGTAGACCTCAAAGTCTTTTTGTTCGCCTGCCACACGGTCCTGTCAGCAGTCCGCACCAGATGCATTCACCTGGCATCGTCATTGTCTGCTCAAGCGAATGGCTCACGCCCAGATCTCACTCACCACTATGGCTCAGCCACGACGGTTTGATAACATGCATGGTGGGCGGTGTCGGCAGCCTCGTTTACCATGTCTTTGAGCGCCTGTCGCTGAAGCGTGCGTGGTGGTGCGTGGTGGTGGAGACGCGATGGCCGTTTGGGCGAGCAGCGATCCCTTTGTTTGACATTGTATCTTGATTTATTTGTCGCCGGTCGCCGGTCGCGCAAAACACAGATGGTGCGAGGCCTGATTGGCCAGGGGCGGGCGATCAGCCATTAGGGCCCGTCAGAGCTCCTGGAAAGCTGCCAGAGTGCCCTGCCAGCTTGCTGATTGGCTGGGCAGAGGGGGGCCGTTATAGGGGACCTGCCCCTATAACTGCAACAATTCCACAAGGCTGCACTGGCGATTTAGTGCAGCATCGCAACATGGGATGGATGGCGAGACGAGACGGGAGGCATGGCAAGATATGGATATTGAACGCGGCTGCATACGAAAAACAAAAGCAAGATACATTGGTCGGGTAGCACGTCCAGCTGCCCTTCGTACAGAATCTGCGACCAGATATCACGCTGCCAGATCACCCAAGTAAGAATACCAGCGCAACATCGACCTATCAGCCAGACAACCGGTCGGACATGCACGCCGGACAGGCCATCCCTCTCTCTGCTATTTCTTGGGCTTCTGGTACGGTCAGTGATGGGTTGCACGGCCGATTTCCAGGGACAGCTGCTCACCTTTTCAACCTTGGCAGCTTTGTCCACCACCTTTTTGGCGGCTGTTTTGACCTGCAGTTGGGGTCAGCGAGGATCAGAGACAGCAGCATAGTCTGCCGGTAACCAGGTTCGTGGTATCTTATCTTACCTTATTGGCGACAGGGCCGGGCTCCTTCTTGAGGGCCTTCTTCTTGGTGACGCCGGTGGGCTTCGCCGTGGCTGCTTTGGCGGCCCTTTTGCGCACGATGCTGGGCGCCGTGTCGATGGCGTGAAAGACACGCGGTGTCGCACTGCCGGTCTGCGACCTGGTGCCTTCGCGTGCCATTCTGCCTCGTATACAGAGACGGTTCAGCAAAGGGGCGGTGAGGAAGAGAAGGGCGAACAGAAAAGGAGAAGAGAATGCGGGTGGTACTCGGGATTGGCGATAAGGATGACGACTATGAGCTGGCAAAGACGATCTCTGGCTCCGATGACAAAGGTAACAGACAGGAAGGAGTCCAAGGCAAGCGGGCAGTCAGAAGAGACGGTCGGCAGCCCAGCGATGCAGGGTCCGAGTTGTGTGCCTCGACCGCCTGCCGCGATTGGCTGTGCCTGTGGTTACCAGCAACGAGCGCGTGCCGGTCTGCAGCAGGTTCCCCTCCTGTCACTGGCCAAACGGGAGAGATCCGCCGAGCCGTTGCAACAGGCCAGACAGCGAAAAGAAAATGGAGATGGAGGTCTGCATTGGCGGCAGTGCCAAAAACGGGGCATAAGTCAGCAATAATCCCCTACGGCCCCAGCTTCCATTCTTTGTCGTCGAAATAAAACCCAAGGAAGATTTCAAGCTCATCAGCCCCACCCTACATCGTATATATGCCGAGATGATCCCCGTAGGACGAGTCGTATTAAGCTTCTGATCATCCGCTACCACGTTCCGACATCTCGTATTCTGGGTGCTGGCACTTCTGCCGACACGCGTCTCGCTGCTTGGGCTACGAAAGAACCAGTGACATGCTCTGTTTGCCTGCTGCCTGCTGGCCGATCCACTCGTACCTGAAGAAAGAACGTTCTCAGGCCTGGGCCGCACGGTGGGCCATCCGGTAGACGGAGGCTGTGCAGCAATGCCCCGGCGCCGATGGAACTGAATCCGATTCCGAGCATCGTGTGGCGCAGCTCCAGCCGTTTTGGCAGGAGCGGCCAAGCAGACGCGGTACAGGTCGCGGCTTCTGAAAGAAGGAGAGATGCTGACCTGCCGCCTTCCTGAATACAAGAAGTGTAGCTGTACGTCTGCTGTGTAGCCATGCTGCCAGCCAAAGTCGGCAGCCCATGTCTTCTCCCTGCATCTTGTCTGCGGCGCGTTTCCGTGACCTTTTGCTGTCCTTGATTGCTTCATCGCCATGACGGCAGACATGCGTCTCTTTGAAGACGAACGTGCTGCATTTCTGCACAGCAACACGTCGTCGTCGTCGGCCCGTCTGTCGTCGTCCTTTTCGTCCCTTTTCGACTTTGAGGACGAGTCGCTCGACGACTCTCACGATCCTCATGATACCCTCCTCCACGAGAAGCCCGACGTGTCCAGTCTCCGTCGCAAGGCCCAACACATCCTGTGGTGGATTCGCTGGCACCGTCGTCCCGTCCGCCAGCTGGCCGTCTTCTTCCTCAAATACACGCTCATCCTCATCGTCGCTCTCCTGGTCTTGACTCCCATCATCTGTCCGTCCTACCAACATCCTCCATCCCATTACCACGACCTCGAGGAGCACTGCCGCGATCTCGGCTGGCAGGGCCACAACCCGGCGGCCAGCGGTTGCGCCAATGCGTTCAACGAGACCGTCTTCATCGCCGTCAGCCTGTACGACGAGGGTGGCCAGCTGGCCGGAGGCCGATGGGGTCAGGCCGTGCTGGACCTCATTCACCTGATCGGCCCCGGACCCACGTCTTCCTCAGCATATACGAGAACGACAGCGGCGTGGAGGGGGCGGCTGCGCTTCAGGAGCTGCGCAAACGCGTGCCCTGCCGCAGCGAGATCGTCTACGACGAACACGTCGCAATGGACACCATTCCCAACATCACGATGCCCGATGGCACGGTGCGAACGAAGCGGCTGGCGTACCTGACCGAGATCCGCAATCGGTCATTGCGGCCACTGGACACGCTGGACGGCGTCGGCGCCACACGCTTCGACAAGATCTTCTTCCTCAACGACGTCGCCTTTCGTCCACTAGACGCCGCCCATCTGCTCTTCAGCACCAACGTCGGCTCCGACGGCCGCACCGAATACTTGTCCGTCTGCTCGGTCGACTGGAAGATCCCGTGGATCTTCTATGACGCCTTTGCTCTGCGGGACGCCGAGGGTTACGCCGACGGCATGCCGCTCTTCCCTATCTTCTCCGGCGCTGGCGCCGGCCTGTCGCGTTCAGACATGCTCCACGAAAAGGACGCCGTGCGTGTGACTGGCTGTTGGGGCGGCATGGTCGCCATGCAGGCAGCATACGTGCAGAACACGGATCTGGCCCTGCCACGCCCAGACTTCCAGGACATTGGCAGCCATGTGATCGATCCCGATCGGCCGACAGCCATTTCCAGTCCCGTGCGCTTCCGCTACGAGCCCGAGATCTTTGTGGACGCCTGCGAATGCTGCCTCTTCCTGGCCGACGTGTCGCAGGCGGCCCGCGTCAGTGGTGCCCCCGAGACGAGCACGGGTGTCTTTGTCAACCCCTACGTGCGTGTGACATACGACTGGGGCACGTTGCTGATGGCGCGCGCCATCCAGCGCTGGGAGCGGCTCTTTATCGTGCCGCAGTTCTTCCTCACGCCCTACCATAAGATGCCGGCGAACAACCCGCACCGGACGGTCCAGGAGGGCGACACGTTTGTCGAGGAGGTGTGGGATGCCACGACGTCCGCCTGGAAGCTGGTGCACCGCACCGGGCGCAGCGGCATGTTTTGTGTTGTGCGCGAAATGCTGCTGATGCGAGACAAGCGCAAAGGCGACCGCAACTGGGAACGAGCGGCGGTTCCGGGAGGCCGGACATTAGATTTTCCGGCCCCTTACTAAGCAAACCGAAGGAGATCAGCTCGGACAGTACTCCGTATCTCATCATACATAATACAAGCCGGCTAATGCGGCGCACTTCTTCCCGGGACCTTTCAAACGGATGTGGCACTTGTGGCGTCTGCATTCCTTCAAGATGAAACTTGCGGCTAGTGAGTCACCGGCAATAGCCTTCTGGAGCGAGGAGGAATTCCTGTATGACTACTCGTACATAGAACGTTGTATCTCCATAGAATATAATCACATCTTGACCAAAGCATCGCCACACGAAACGACACACGAACATAATGACATCCTTTGTCGCCTCTAAGCCTCAGAGCTGGCGTCTCACGGCTGACTCAGCCAATGCCGTCCAAGAACACTTTCTCTGCTCCAACGACCCGTCCCTAATTCAGCTCGACGCTCTCCACGAGGCCATGTCATCTGAGGTTCTCTGGTGGGCCACGCCCCTGACGCCTGACGCCCTCGCGGCCGTGGTGACCACTAGTGTCTGTCTGGGCGTCTATCACCAGACAAGCACCAGCGAGGAAGCCGGCCTCGGTCCCATGATTGGTTTTGCACGCCTCATCACGGACCGGGCCACGTTTGCCTACCTCACGGACGTCTACATCCTGCCGGCATACCAGCGCCGCGGCCTTGGCACGTGGCTGATGCGTTGTTTGCGAGACATGCTTATGGGAGACGGCGAAGTCGCGGCCAAGCCTGGCTGGAAGAACCTCCGCAGCCTCTGGCTGGTTGCTAGCACGCCAGCAGCCGCCCGCATGTACGAGACCACACTCAAAGCCCACACTGTTGCGCGCTACCGTGCCATACCGGGCAAGCCGGACAGCGGTATGATCATGCTGGAGATGAGTGGCCCGGGGAATGCGTTTGAGCGGAAAAAGAACGGACAGCGACAGCACGCAGTCGTGGAAGCATAGATAAGGCGTTCAGTTGGGTTTCCCGGACGAGTGACGACACCCGTGTCAAGTTTGCATATGAAAAGTAGCCAAGGAGAATCTGATATGGGTATAATTGAAAGCAGGGTGGTCTCCTGGTATAGCCTAGGCGCGTGCCATTGTCTTTCCGTAGGCGCCACCGGCTGCCTTGCGCATCTCCAGCGCCCTCTTGTACGGGGGAGCTGTGGGTGGCTGGACGGGATCAAGAGACACGTGATCTTCGGGCAGCTTGTAGGAAGCGTCCGAGTCAAAGGCCGATAGATCGCCACAGGCCACAAAGGGGGCGATCCAGCGGGCGTCGCGGCCACTGGTATTGGTGGTGAGGTCCTCGTACTCGATTTCATCGACCTTGCTACTAACGGCAGGCGAAGGGCCAAGATCGACGGTCGGGTCGGCGGTGATATGGTTGTCGTAGCCGATGCCGAGTGGACGTTCAAGGCTGGCGCGAAAGCCGGCAGGCGGACAGAAGTCGAGGCAGACGATGAAAGCCTCGACGCTGCTGGCGCGCGAAGAGCGCGGTTTGGCGACGACGACGCGGCGGAAGAAGAGCTTGAGCTGGGCGAAGAGCAGGTCGACGTTGCGACCGCGGAAGATCTTGGCGACGAACTTGCCACCAGGCCGCAGGACACAGAGAGCGAGGTTGAGGGCGGCGAAGAGCAGCTGCGACTGCACGTACATGTCGAGATCGTGAAGGCCGGTGACATCGGGGGCGCCGTCGCTGAGCACGAGATCGACCGGGTTGTCGGCGACGATGGCGGCCGTGCTGTCGGACGTGTCCTCGCTGTCGGGCTGTTGCCTCTCAGGATCCAGAGCTTGAAGCAGCAGAGGCACGGTGGCCGGATGGGTGATGTCGGCGCGCAGGGTCACGATGCCCGGCAGCGGGCTGATGGGCTGCAGGTCGATGGACACGATCTTGACGTCTGAGCGGATGGTGGACGGGAGGGAAGTCGTGCTCGCAGCCCGGCTGTCTTCCCTCTCTTTTCCGCCGTCCATCCGCAGCACGCCCAGCATCTGTTGCCGCAGCTCGGCCTCGCGGTCTTGCCAGGCGGCGCGGCCAAACTTCTCGCCTTTGATCAGCACCCGCGACAGCACCTGCGACCAGCTGCCAGGCGCCGCACACAGGTCCACCACGCGGGTCACGCCCGAGAAGAGGTCGAACTCTGCCGGTGATGTCAGCGAGGGGATCTGCAGGCGAAAAAGGCATCCCGATCATCAGAGACGTACCCTCGTCGAGCTGCAGCAGTTTAAAGGCGCTGCGGGCGCGCCAGCCCTGCTCCTTGGCCAGCCGGTAGTACGCATCGCGCTTGTCCTTGGACGACTTGCCCATGTCTGCTGTCTGCACGTCGGACGGCGTGGATGAATCTGGATGGCTTGGATGAAATTTTATTTTGGTGTTGATGCACGTGACTGACCGGAAGGATCACGTGTTGCAGCGGCTTTGGCATCAACTTGACCAGCAATTATGACCAGAATATCTCGTTACAGCTTGAGACCATTACGAGTTTCGGAGGAGCCTAATCGACATGGGAACCTCGTGTGCACGACATAGATCTCTTTATTGCAATACACAGAGAGGAAAGACAAGTACACCTGATACACCTGCCGTGCATCATTCCAAGGCAGGCTCTTCGCTGGCGACATCGCTGTCGCCGGTCTTGGGCGTGACTGTTCGCGGCGGTGCCTTTGGTGGGGGGGCGATGGGCGTGGCATAAGGGCTGGGGGCGTTGTCGAGCTGCTGGCTCTTTTGCTCCTCCTCCTTGAAGTAGTCGTCCATGGAGAGACCGGCATTGCTGGCGTGATGGCGATCCTTCTTCTTGGTGCGCAGCACGGCAGCAGCAGTGCCAGCAGGCGGTGGCGGTGGCGGTGGCGGGACGACGAGCTGTGCAGGAACGAGGAAGTGATCTGGCTGGTCGGACGAGGCAGGCGGTGAGGTAGGCGGGGGGGCGAAAGCGGCCGGCTCGAACAGGTCTGTGGACGGGATCACGGCCGCGTGCAGGTGGTGTTTGTCGGCATCGCCATCGAACATGGTCTCGCCCGGGCCGTTGACGGGCTCGCTCAGCGGTGCTGGCAGGCGGTGCAGGGCACCATAGCCGAGAACGCAGCCGAGAGCACCCTCGCCGCCCCAATCGCGGCTCGGCTGGATGGTCACCTCGCGGGTCACGTCGTACTCGTGGTTGTAGACCCAGAGCCGCAGCGGGCGGCCGATGTGGTCCTCGACCAGCTCGCCCAGACCGCTCTCGCCGTGTAGCACACCCTCGGGCGTGCCCAGAATATAGTCGCTATAGGGCAGCAGGCCGGCTGTCTCGGCGGGCGAGCGCGACGGCACGTCGAGCACGTGCCAGATGTTGGACACCACGGACAACGGCGTCCACTGGAGCGCGAGTCCGAGAGAGGCCGTGTCGGGGGGAACCGGGACGTGCATGGAGCGCGCACGTTGACCCTGGCCGTCAGTGGACGCTGCAGACAGACGCAGATCACACACAAACACACAAACACACCTTGGCGCTCCAGAGGCCGAGAAGGACGCTGCTGCCGGCGCAGTTGCGCACCTCCTGGGCAAACAGGTGCGGGTCCGAGTCGTCCTGCTCGCTGTCAGCCACGCCAGGCCCGATCAGACCAGACCGGCCGGGCTGCGCTTACAATCATGCGGCCATTGATGCCGATGACAAAGTCGAACCAGGGCTCGATGGCCAGTTGCAGGTTCGTGTTCCGCAGGACCTGGAAGCCAAAGGTGCTCTGGCTTTCGTCGCGGTGTGCGGCGGGCCCATCGCCGTCAAGGCGCGAGATGAACCGATTGAGCGCGTTGAACATGGCCGGCTGGTGCTGTCGAGCTTGTTGATCTGGCCATCTGTCTTTGGCCCTTCCGACTGCTGGCATTTGGACTGGAGTAGACGGACTAATTGGGGACTAGCGGCCAGAGCTGTCTGCCAGTGCGGAGAAGTGGGACCACCTTATGCTTTCCTGCTGTATCTGAGCTATGGACAATTTGCCAAAAATTCCCAATTTCAACACTACACTCTGCGTCGACAGTTCAACAGCAACACAGCCAACATGGACGAGGACAACGAGATGAGGGACGACATGATGATCCCGGCGCCATACATGGACATGACGGAAGAGTGCCATCACTACACGGCGATTGAGGAGGTGCCGTGGGACCTGCAAAAGTACTGGCACCAACGGTATTCCATCTTTCCCAACTACGACGACGAGGTCTACCTGACGGACGATGCGTGGTTTGGCGTGACGCCACAGCCGGTGGCCGAGTGAGTAGCACTGGTTTTATCTTTCCTTCTTTCGTCTTCTTTCTCCTCTCCTGACTGTTCAGCAAAATCGCCCAGGATATTCCATCTGCCCGCCGGCGTGGTCCCGGCCGACGCCATCTTGGTCGACATGTTTGCCGGTGTAGGCGGCAACACGATCGCGTTTGCCCGATCGAAGCGATGGGGTCGGGTCATCGGGATCGAGCGCGACGCCGCGACGTTGGCCTGCGCCCAGAACAACGCGGCGCTGTTTGAGCTGGCCGACGACGCCATCACATGGGTGCACGGCGACTGCTTCGATCTCGTCGACCGGCTGCGTCACCGGCCTGAGACCCTGGACCCGGCTTTGCGCGTCGACCCGGCCGTGATTGTTCTGTTCGCGTCGCCGCCATGGGGCGGCGTCAGCTACCGCGACCAGCCGGTCTTTGACCTCGCCACGATGCAGCCGTACAATCTGCAGACGCTGCACGATGCCTGCGGACCCTTGGCACACGCGCTCTACCTACCGCGCACCAGCGACCTGCGGCAGATCGCGGCTCTGGCACTGCCTGACGGCCGACCCCGCCTCGAGGTGGTGCAGTACTGCATGCATCGGGCCAGCAAGGCCATGGTGGTGTACTTTCCGGCGGAGGGGGGAGAGACTGGCAGCAATGGCAGCAGTGAGAGCAGTGAGAGCAGTGAGAGTAGTGAGAGCAGTGAGAGCAGTGAGAGCAGTGAGAGTAGTGAGAGCAGTGAGGACAGCAGTGACAGCAGCAGTGAGGACGAAGAGGAAGATGAAGATATGGACGAGGATGAGGAAGAAGACGATGAGGAGAATGATGACGTGGACGACGACGACGAGGTTGAAGACGATGACGATGACAAGCCAGAAGAACTCGTGACGGTTTCAACAAAAAACTCCAAGATCTGACCATACAAGCGCATCCTCCTTACAAGCCAGAATCACGACGAAAACAACAAAAATTCAAGGTCTGATATCATTCATCTATATACCGCGTCCTCCTACAACCCCCGGGCAATGCCCCGGTCGTCAAACAGGTCCTTGAGCACGCCATCGACACAGGCCTGCAGATCGACCGGGCCCATGGCATACGTGGCCTCAAAGGCGTAGATGCTGAGCTGGCTAAAGAAGGGCCGGAGCACCTTGGAGACGAGCTCGTCTTTGCGCTCAAGGCTGACATCATCGCTAAGGCCGGCGCCAACGGCAGCGAGCAGCGGGCGGCGACGATAAGTTGTGGTGGCCAGGGCGGTGACGTCTTCGATAGCAGGACCGGGCGCGGCTCCCGAACCAAGAGCCTCGGCGAGCTCGTCGGCCAGGGCGACAGGCAGACAGGCGGGCGGACGATAGATGGCGTCGATGGTGTCGGAGACGAAGAGCCACTCGCGCAGCTGAAAATCGTCGGGCGCGAGACAGACGACGAGATCGAGCAGCTTGCAGGCCTGCAGCAGGGCGGCATTGCCAAACGTGTCAGCGGCCGGGCTGCTGTCAGGCGCGACGGTCGAGGCGATGGCAGCGTGCAGCTCAGCATCAACGACGGGCCAGAGTCCGGCGAGATGGACGGACGACACGCGGAGAACGAGGGCGCGCAGCACGAGGTAGACGTCGGGCCGTGTGGCCGATGAGGGCGACGACGTGGGCGAGGCAGTCAGCAACTCGACCAGCTTGTCCGTAATGGTCGGCAGATCGGCGACAAAGGCATCGGACGCAGCAGCCAGCAGCAGCACGGCGACGCGACGGAGGTTGAGTTGGGTACGACGATCAGCGTCAAGGCGAGCTGACGTGGCACCGACGCCAAACACGATGCCGGCCGTGGTCGGTGCCGTGATGCGGCCCAACAGCTCTGGCATGCGGTCCTTGTCGCTGACGGCCCAGAGTCGCAGCAGGCCGAGCCAGTGGTCGCGCACCAGGACCAGGTTCGAGCCGAAGAAGCGGGCGTCGTTGAAGGCCTCGGCCACGTCGCGCTTCCAGACCTTTTGGTTGTTGGGCAGCTGTGCAAGGCCCTGCAGCAGCACCAGCGTCGTGGCCGACATGGTGTCGGGGAATGTCTTGGCACGCAGAGTCGGACCGATCACGCTGGCCGAGATGGCCGTGGCCGCTGCCAGGACCCGGTCGTTTTCCGTCACGATCTTGGGCAGGTTCGGCACGATGGCTGCGAGGATGCCGACAATGTCGTCAGCCCGGTCGGCGGCCGAGGGCGTCGATGCTGTTGGCGTCGTCTTTTCGGACCCGTCGGGGAAGATGACCGGTCGGGTGGTGAAGAGGGCGGTGAGGAGTCGTAGGAAGAGGTCCTAGGAGGTTAGTACAGAGAGAGAGGGATGAAGAGAAGAATATAAGAAGGAAATACGAGAATAAGGGAAAAAGGAATCCAAAACTCACCCCCAACTCTCTTCGCATCTTCCGCTGCTCCCCAAAGTTTGTATTGTCCACCTTCTCGCCCAGGATGGCGGCAAACTCGAGCAGACTCGGCAGCGACTGCCGGTGTGGAAACGGGTTGGCCAGCAGGTCCTTGAGAAAGGTGGTGCAGTCCTGCCAGATCTCATCCATCGCGTCGTCCTCGAGCGAGCGCGCATAGTCGACCAGAAAGACGACAATGTCGGCATCCTGCAGCGAGACGGTCAGCGTCGACTTGCGCGACCGTTCGAGCGCTGTCGGGTTTGTCCGGCTGTAGATGGCGTTGAAGACGGCCGGGATCGTGTGCTTCGGTCGCGATCCGTCCAGCGTCGGCAGCAGGTCCAGCACGCTGCTGCTGAGTGCCGGGTCACGCCAGAGCGCCATGGCCGTCTCGAGGCACTCGAGCGTCTCGGCCGCGAAGAGGTGCTCGAGCAGACGTCGTGCCCGGTTGCGCGTCCGGAGAGAGGTGTATGCGAACGAGGACCCGGACGATGCTCCGCCCGACGAAGACGACCCCTTGCCCCAGCACCAGATCCGGAAACAGATCCGCACCGCGTCCTGGAACGCCAGCAGCACCGTCAGCCGGTCGTTGGCTGTCGCGCTTCGCGTCTGTGGCGCATCGGACGCAAAAATCGTCCCAAAGAAGCCCTGTGGCGCGTCCGGGCCCTTGACCGTCTGTGTTCGCGCCTCCTCGGCCAGCAGCTGCTGGTGACCCGTCGCCAGCAGCTGCTCCAGTGCGTTGAGCAGACACACGAGCGTAGCCTCTGGTGCATCTGTCTGTTTCCGAACCGTTGCTGCTGCTGCTGCTGTCGTCGTCGTCGTCGTTGTCGTCGTCCCTCCAAATACCTCCTGCAGCTCCCCAAACGTGCTCGCAATCTGTCCACACAGCGTCTCCACCAGCGGAATCAGCACCTGGAAGATCGACTCCGCATACAGCGGCAGACACGCTGCCAGAAACCCGACCCAGCTGTCCAACACTGCCCGGCTGCAAGGCGCTGAGAGCCCGTCTCGGATGCAGCGCAGCAGTCCGGCCGGTGGCGATACCGTGTTGTTCCCACCCGCCACCGCCAATGTGCTGCCCGTGCTCGCTGCTCCGTCCACTTGGCTTCCCTGCATCTGTCCCTGGCTTTGTCCTCCCGCATTCGTCAACCTGCCTTCGTCACCTGTGGCTGAAGTTGGCCGCTCGCCTGCCACTGCTTCCCGCAGCTTCAGCGACGCAAACAGCACGTCCAGCAGAAGAACCTGAATGAACGGGTCCGCACCCTCCAGCGACGGCTGTAGCCGCTCTAGCAGCGCCTCCTCCAGGTGCAGCTGCCCCAGCAGCGCCGCGTGTGGGTTCAGCAGGATCTGGTGCAGCACCGTCAGCGCCTGCCGGCATAGCTGCGCCGTCTGCGTGTCCTCTGTCTTTCCGCCTGACAGGCCTGACGATTGGATGCACCGCATGCACACGTGCACCAGCATCTCCTGCAGGCTGACCTCGTCGGCTGACGGCACTGTGGATTGGCTCGTTAGTGCACCCGGACAGATCACGTGAAGTGCTGACTAATGTGCTTACCTAAGCTCCCTGCTGTACTGCGCACATCCTCGGGGACCATCCGCCGTGCCAGCACCGTCCACATGCTGCCGGGCGCCCAGCGGAACACGTTGGCTAGCGTGCGGAGGTAGTAGAGGCACATGTCGAGATCCCGGTCGTCCTCGTCGTCTTGGTCGTCCTTCTTGCCCTTCTTGTCCTCGCCTTCGCCGTCGTCGCCCACAAACACCAGCAGCTTTTCCAGCAGGATGCCAAAGAGCCGGTCGATCCCGACCATCGTGTTCAGCCAGGCTTTGACCGTCATGAACAGCTGCGTGCGCTCATCCAGCAGCGCGTCCAACATAAGCAGCAGCGGCCGCGTCAGCATCACGCCGCAGTGGTCCACGCCCGCAAGCCGTGGAAACGACCGCAGATTGCCGTTGGGCGTCTTGGGTGTCCGCGGCGTCCGCCGTTCCGCCACCTGCGGGCTGTCCTGCAGCGTGTGCAGCCAGAGCACCGCAAATGTCCGTCCGGCCGCCGCGCTGCGCGTCGCAAACGTCCCGCGCACGTCGTCCTGCACCACCAGCCTCGCCACTGCTGCCTCCACGTCGCGGCTCTCCACCCCCAGCGCCGTCTGCAGCAGCCACAGCCGCCGGACTGTCTCGACGTGGTGCCGCGGCTCCGATGCCGCCAGGAAGCCCCATGCGGCAGCCACCAGTCCCGGCACCATCGACGACAGCGCTGCCGTCGAGATCCGCTCGCTGATGTGCAGGTGTACCGCCAGCGAAAGCACCTCTGAGAAGACTGAGAACACCCGCACACCCCGACCCAGACACCCGTTCAGCCCCGCCAACAGCCCGGCCACGTCGAACCGGCACGACGGCCGGATCTTGTCCAGCAGCAGCAGAAGCACCTGGCTGTTCAGCGACAGCTCGCCCGCTCCCATGTCGCCTTTTCCTTCCGCCAGCAGCGACTGGCAGCTCAGATGACTTGCCTTCTGCAGCAGCAGCTCTGCCACTGTTCTTGTTCCGTATGGTGGCGATGCCGTGTCTAGGCTGCCCTGTTCGTTGACGTAAAAGTCGTGGATCTGCTTCAGAATCTCCGAATTCTCAACATTTCCAAAATTCCCCGAATTCCCCGAATCCTTCTCTTCTGTCACGTGGAATGCCCGCTCGGGCACCAGCTCCAGCAACTCGACCGCTATGCCCAGTGCCTGTGCCGCAATCCCGTCTGCTGCTGCTGGCCGCTGCTGCTGCTGCTTCGTGTTCTCCAGCATGCAGAGCACCGACAGTGCCGACAGTGGCGCGTGGATCGTAATCATCTCTTCCTCCCGCACGTTGAAGTGCTCCAGGATAAACTTGATCAGGTCCAGCTTGTCGGCCCGCTCAGCCGCCGAGAGAGGCCCTGGCCCGATGGCCTGGGCTACCAGGCTCAGCATCTCCCCGTAGATCAGCCCGCTCTCCACTCCGTCAAAGAAGACGCTGGCGCTGCGCAGCACCTCGTTGAAGTCTGTCTTGGTCGGCGCCCCGTCCTTGTACCGTCGCACGCTGTCGACTACCGGAAGGAACACTTCGGGCACGACCAGCCCGCCAATCTCCCACCGGTCCATCAGCGAGAGGCAGATCCGGTACGGCCGTGCCCTCTCAGCCGGCGTCGTGCTCGCGTTCGACTGCACCATGCTGAGGAGAGCCCGCGTCAGCGGCTGCAGCCCGTACTCTTCAAAGTAGCTCGGCTTCTGTCCGCCGTGGTGCCGGTCGGCGTGCGTGGCCGCCATGGGCGACTCCGGATGCGCGCTGTCGTTCTCGCCGGCCGGTGGGTCGGGACCGATCAGCCAGGCCGATAGCCGCCGATTGAGGCTCATCTCGCGACGCGTCACCACACCGCAGGCTGCACGGATCAGCAGCTCCAGATCGGCTGCCTTGACCCGGGTCTGCAGCACGCTCGTGTGCAGCGGCAGATGGGCCACGAGCAGGTCGAGAAAGCCGCGCTGTATGAGCAGCTGCTCGTCCGCCAGCCCGGCCGCAAAGCATCGCAGCAGAAGCCCCGGCTCCGGCGAGACCACCAGCTGCGACAGTTTGGCCAGTAACGCTGGGTCGGCCTGCCCATCCTTGTCCTTGCTCGGTGCCGCTGACCCCTCTGCTGACGTAAGCGGTTGTCCCAGCTTCGGCAGATAGCGCCCGAGGTAGGCCAGCGCGCCCGGCCGCCGGCTCTGGCTCGTGATGGCCGCGAGGAAGAAACACTGCCAGAAGAAGGCGTCGCCGGTCGCGTGGTCGGCCGTGAGGTCCTGGCTGTCGGGCGGCCGCACCGCCACCTTGAAGCGGTTCAGCAGCTTCAGCGTGCGGTCAAAGTCCTCGGCCGTCTCGTCCTCGAGCCCAGGCAGGAGCGCCAGGATGAGCGACTTGAGCGCCGGACGCATCGATCGCGGGTCCAGGTCGAGAAAGTAGCGCTCCAGGAGGTCGAAGAAGTGCGCCCGCGCTGAGAGCGACGCAAACGACAGCGTGGGTGCTAGCCCGGGCAGATAGACGGGCAGGTCCTTGGAGAGGCCGTCCCTGCCAATGATCGCAAAGACGTGACTGTATACCTCGAGCGCCTTTTGGTGCACGCCCGACGGCAGCGTCGGGTTCAGGCACTGCGACAGCCGCTTGGCCACGCGCGCCTTGGCCGGAATCGTTGTCATCTGCGGCTGTCGAGCTTGAAGGGCCTGGGGGAGAGATGGCCGGTTAGAGTGGGGCAAGGTGCGACCGGGAGACAAGGAGCAGCGTGTGTACACACCTTGAGAAGCCGGTTCAGAAACGAGATGTAGTCAGCCCATTCTTGCAGGGCCGTCTCGAAGAGAGACAAGGCGCGATCGATGCCAGATGCATACTTGCGGTAAGCCTTGTCCTTGATCAAGGGTTCGTCTGCAGTTGTTGGCACAGTGAAAGAGGAAAGGGGATATAAAGAGTGGCCAGACTCTGCCAACGTCTGGCAGTTTGTCGCAACTCACCTCCTCCGAGCTGGTTTCTCCACTGTCGTGGAATGGGCGAGTCCCGGCCGGAGCTGTCCGGCGAAATGGACCGACGCCCCGGCGGAAGCTCGCGGGCCATGGAACCAAAGTCTGAGACAGGGTGCTGTAGTGGATGGGACGCAGAGTGAGCGCACGTCGGTACTGTAACATCTGGCTTGTCGTGATCATCGTGCTCTTCTGGCAAGCCACGACAGCTTGAAGCCAAGCTGGCAGAATTATAGGGCCGCATTACGTCTCACGGGCGGTGTGCTTAGTGCAATTTCAGCGTGCTTATCTTATCTGGGACGCCATACTTAAGACGTCAACTCTTCAAGTCCTCCGTACTCCGTCTTGAGAGCATAGCTAAGCGTTGAACAGCGTCACTCAGCGGAGAAAGTGCCGTCATCCGGTCGAAGACGATGCGAGGCTCGGGAAGCAGGACACGCGATGGTTGGCCCCGGCGAAGACGAGGCGCCAAAGCCCACAACCCATGATGAGATGGATGCAGCAGCAACAACAGAAAGAGAAATAGAAACAGCAACAGCAACGGCCCCAATCGTGGCAGCACCGCAGCACGCGCCGATAAAGGGACCGGGGGCCCAGTCGACGGCATCGGCGCCGCTACAGGCGAAGCCGACGACGGCGATATCGTCGATCGACATCCAGACGCTCTCCTTTCCGGACGGCTCGCGGGGGACGTTTACGACGACACCGTCGGCACCGTCGCCGCCAACGCTGCGACCGACGACCGCGGTGTCGACGGACGTGATGAGCATTGCCAGCTGTGCGCCGACGATGCGGGCGCCAGGCGACCTGGCCAGTCTGGCGACGTACACGAACGCGTCGCAGCGCCGAAGTCGGGCCTGGTCGCTGCTGCGGACGCAGGCGGCGAGCGTGCAGCCATTTGAGAGCACGCGGACGGGGCGGGTGCCGTACGCGCTGTCAGCGTTTGCGCGCGAGTTCAGCGACGTGCGTGGCGCCACCCACAACGAGGATGAGGACGCAGGCGAGACGGACGAGGTACGGCTGGCGCGCTGGCGGGCAAAACTCAAACACTACATGATCCTGTCGTCGGCCGGAAAGCCGATCTGGAGCCGCCATGGCGATCTCGGCCTGGTCAACTCGTACATGGGTGTGGCACAGACGATCCTCTCCTTCTTCGAGCGCGCCGAGAACCCGCTGCAGGGCTTCACGGCTGGGTCTGCTCGCTTTGTCATCGTCACCGAAGGCCCGCTCTATCTCGTCGCCGTCAGTCGGCTTGGCGAGTCGGACGGACAGCTGCGCGATCAGCTGCGTGCTCTCTACATGCAGATCCTCTCGACCCTCACGCTGCCGACGCTCACCAGCATCTTTGCCCACAGGCCCTCAACCGACCTGCGCAAGCCGCTGCAGGGTACCGAGGGTCTGCTCGCCTCGCTTGCCGACTGCTTCACCAAGGGCTCGCCGTCCGCCCTTCTCGGCGCCCTCGAGTGCCTTCGCCTCCGCAAGGCCCAGCGCCAGGCCATCACCTCCGCCTTTCTCCGCCAGAAGACCGCATCGCTGCTCTACGGCCTCATCGTTGCCGGCGGCCGCCTCGTCAGCGTCATCCGCCCCCGCAAGCATTCTCTCCACCCCAGCGACCTGCAGCTCATCTTCAACATGCTCTTCGAGTCCGGTAGTGTCAAGGCCGGCGGCGGTGAAAGCTGGATCCCCCTCTGTCTGCCCGCCTTTAATAGCACCGGCTACCTCTACATGTATGTGAGCTTCTTCGATCCTGACGCCGAAGATCCGGAAAGTCCAGCCACCACCACCACCACCAACAGCACTACTCCCTCCTCTGCTTCTCGGCCCCCTGACGATGAGGCCATCGCTATCATCCTCATCAGTCCCGACAAGGAGAGCTTCTTCGATCTGCAGGAGATGCGCGAAAAGGTCGCCCAGAGCCTCGCCCGGAACGGCAGCCTCGCCATCATTCGCGCAGCCGTTGCCGCTGGCCGGCCACAGGTCGCCGACCTCGTCCGCCGCCCTGGCGCCGCTGTGCAGATCAGTCACTTTCTTTACAAGTCACGTGCCAACGTCCAGTTTGCCATGTCGTCGCTGACGCCCGAGTTTGGCGGCGCAGACGAGAACCGCCGCCTCGAATCCCGTCGTCGTCTTATGACGCTCTACCACCAGTTGCATGCCGCCGTGCATGCCCGCAACTCCCATCTCAAGGTGCTTCACTGCATCGGCGAAGACGCCACGAGCCTCGGCTGGGTCACGCCTGTCTTTGAGTTTTACTGCGTCGCCGGCCCGAACGCGTCTCGCAGCGTCGTCACCCAGGACGCCAACCGCATCGTCCAATGGGCCAAGCGCGAGGAAGAGCGACTGTTCATCACCGGTGGCGGCGGCTTCTAGGGGAAGAGACCGCTGTGGTCGCGAGCACGGGGCACACCCGGATATAAGCATATACGGATATTAGACTTAGACATAGCTGACACATGATTGCTATTTGCCTCATTGCTCAGCCCGTGCCTGGACGACTAGCGCAGGCCCTGGCGCATACCCGCTTCAGCAGCCTTTCTCACCCCACAGCTGCAATTGTGAACACCTGTCGTCTTCTGCGCCGCTGGTTGCTTAGCCGCCTGCCACCCCAGCTTAGAAATACACTACTGTGCTCTTACCCCATGACTGCACTGCCTCGCTGTTAAAAGGCTGTGGTGTCCTCTATTCCTACAAACCCTCCCATTGCTTAAAAATCCCTTCGCCCTTTTTCTGTCCCCCCATTTCTTCTTATCCCGCCATCTCTGATCGCGGTGTCTGTCTATTCCTGCCGGCTCTGCATCTCGCTTGAGCACCTCTTACACTGCACAGACTAAACTGCCATGCCTAGCCTCCGGAAGTTGGCCTTCGCCCTGCTGGCGAGCGGCATCACCCAGGCTGCCGCCTCCGATGTTACCCAGCTCAAGACCGACACGTTTGCCGACTTTGTCAAGACAAATGATGTCGTCCTCGCAGAGTTTTTTGCTCCGTGGTGGTAAGTACACGCCGATCCTGCTCCACTCAGCGTCCCCATCTCTCCCCTCCCTAACACGTCTTTAGTGGCCACTGTAAGGCTCTGGCTCCCGAGTACGAGGAGGCTGCTACCACGTTGAAGGAGAAGAACATTATGCTCGCCAAGGTCGACTGCACAGAAGAGGCCGATCTCTGCTCGACCTACGGCGTCGAGGGCTACCCCACCCTCAAGATCTTCCGTGGCCTCGACAACATCAGCGCCTACAAGGGCCAGCGGAAAGCGGGAGCGTAAGTCCAACTACTGCCCTCTGTCCTGTCTCGGTACTGACCCTCGACAGCATCACGTCGTACATGATCAAGCAGTCGCTCCCGGCCGTGTCTACGGTGACCAAGGACAACTTGGAGGAGTTCAAGAAGGCCGACAAGGTCGTGCTGGTGGCCTTCTTCAAGGCTGACGATAAGGCGTCCAACGAGACATTTACCAGCGTGGCCGAGAAGCTGCGCGACAACTACCCGTTCGCTGCCAGCAGCGATGCGGCGCTGGCCGAGGCCGAGGGCGTGACCGCCCCGGCTGTCGTGCTGTACAAGGACTTTGACGAGGGCAAGTCAGTCTTCACCGACAAGTTTGACGAGGAGGCGATCCAGAAGTTTGCCAAGTTGGCGTCAACGCCGCTGATCGGCGAGGTCGGTCCCGAGACGTACTCGGACTACATGTCGGCCGGCCTGCCGCTCGCGTACATCTTTGCCGACACGGCCGAGGAGCGCAAGCAGCTGGGCGACGAGCTCAAGCCCATTGCCGAGAAGCACCGCGGCGTCATCAACTTTGCCACCATCGACGCCAAGACGTTTGGCGCCCATGCGGCCAACCTGAACCTGCCGACCGACAAGTTCCCGTCGTTTGCCATCCAGGAGACGGTCAAGAACCAGAAGTTCCCTTTTGACATTGAGGAGAAGATCACGCTCGCGTCCATCCAGCCGTTTGTCGACGACTTTGTCGCTGGCAAGATCGAGCCCAGCATCAAGTCCGAGCCCATCCCGGAGACCCAGGTGGGTCCGGTGACCGTGGTGGTGGCCAAGAGCTACGAGAGCATCGTGCTGGACGATGCCAAGGACGTGCTGATCGAGTTCTACGCCCCCTGGTGCGGTCACTGCAAGGCCCTGGCTCCCAAGTACGAGGACCTGGCCGCGCAGTTTGCCGGCTCGGCCTACAAGGACAAGGTCGTCATTGCCAAGATCGACGCCACCGTCAACGATGTCCCGGATGAGATCCAGGGCTTCCCTACCATTAAGCTGTACCCGGCCGGTGCCAAGAACGAGCCGGTGACGTACAGCGGCCCACGCACAGTCGAGGACCTGATCAAGTTCATCAAGGAGAATGGCAAGTACGCGGCCGACCCGGAGGAGCTCCTGGAGGAGACTGCTGCCGAGTCGACCACCGTGTCTGCCGGCACGACCGCCACAGCGACCGAAGAGGCCGCGACCGAGGAGTCGGTGCATGATGAGTTGTAAATTATATCAGAAAGGCAGTCCTTGTCGGACTGGGAGCAAATTCAGTCTCTCAGAGGGGTGGTGCTTAAAATAGCAGCCATTGGTTGGGACCCCGTTTTAACCATTTGGATGACATCAATGGGTCTTTATGGCTATAGTTTCTTTTATGATTTCCCTTACTTTTTACATCCACGTCTCCGTGCTCCCGTCGTAGTGAACGAGTGAGATACATTTCCCAGCATAGATCGTTGGGCATTACCGAGGTAGCCAATTCTGCCAGGCGACACCGCTCCAGCAGAGCTTGGAAACAAGCTAGCTGCTCTCTTGCAAGCGCGTCATCCGGTTTCCGATCTGTTACGACGGACGACAGATTCCTGCAATCGCAACGAACCAGCAAGTCGCCATTCTCCGTCGACAAAATCTATCACTGCTCCAAACACATCTCATCTCCATGGCTTCAAGGCAAGCACTTCTGCGCTCTGCGCGCACGGCATCTTGGGCTGCCGCATCGCCAGCTTTCGCCCGGAGCTTCCAGACCTCTGCCCGGTTCCTGTCGGAGGCAGCCGCACCGCTGCCAGCGCGCAAGCCTGTTGGTGCCTTTCGCGGAGGGTACGGCTCTTCTCTTCTGTCTGCGGTCAGCCGCCCCCCTTGACTCGTCGCCGGACTGACAATGCTGCAGTCTCTTTGGCTTCCTGCTGGGCACCACGCTCTCTGGCTCGGCCGTCTACTACTACGTGCTGCAGGAGTACAAGGCCTCCAACGACCAGCTGACCGATGACATCTACGTATGTTTCTCGTCCGTGGGATTGGTCCAGTAGTGCAGCGTCACTCTCTCTGTGCCGAACATGGCATGGACAGACGGCTATGCGGCCCTGTGGAAAAGCCCTCCTACCTCCCAGACTCACATCCTCTTGGCTAACAATTGTCTCTCTCTTCGCTTAGACCCTGCAGCGGACGACACAGCAACTGAGCAACCACCTGTCGACACTCGAGGACAAGTTGCAGACCGACCACAAGAAATAGGCAGGAGGACATGAAAATCTGTGGCCGAGAAGAGCAGGATCAAGCACGGTCCCCAGACCGCTCTCGGGGCCTTGCGGACAGACTCTGACCGACGTATAAAGGTGACGAGCACATGATCAGGGGGGGCAGGAAGAGCACAGTGCTGTGCTTGTACACAATAGTCGTGCTTGCTACGTTTCTTTTTGTATATCGATCGGCCATGCAACAATGGCTATTTCGACTGATTTCATTCTGCACTGTCTTTGTAGTACCATATGTAGAGCCAATTGCATCATGACTGATCAACCTGAGGCCCTCGAAGAAAACGAAGAAAAAAACGCAGGGTGTGGTTGTCCGCTGACTAATACGCGGGGATAATGGCCGGTTGCGGATTGGCTGAAAGTTCTAGGGGGTTTGATGGTGCCTAAGCTGCTGCAAGGCTGCTGTAGATAGTCGGTGAAAATCCTTATCGCGTACAGACTCATTGGAGCTCTACAACGAATCTTCCCACAACGACAGCCATCAGCGATTAACAACTTTGGCGTCCTCGAGGTAGCCAGCGCGCGGCGGTCGGTGGCACCTGGCTGGGCGTATGTGCCAGACACGCCGATGGGCTTTGGCGCGTTTGCGTCGGCGGCGCCCAAGACGGGCACGTCCAACCGCAAGCGAGCGGCGCGCAGTCAAGCCGGCACCGGGTTTGCGAGCTACTCGGACCTGACGTCGCGACAGGAGGCCAAGCTGCGGAAGGAGCTGGAGGTGCTGGAGCGTGACAGTGGTGCGGGCGTGGGGCCTCGTGACGCGGCGATTCCCATCCCGGCAAAAGCCGTCAAAGGTGAGAGGGAAAGAGAGAGACAGAAGGGTCAAGGTCTTGCGAATTCTGACAAGAGCAGCCCAGAACAAGCACACGCCGACGGTGCGCAAGATCCTGGCGTCGCAAAAGACGTTTGCCAACCACCTCGACGATTTTCTGGCCATGACGGCGCTTCACGAGAACAGCCACAATGAGGGGACACCGAGCGGACGAGGAGCAGCAGCAGCAGCAGCAGTGCCATCGACAGCAACGTCAGAAGCGGAGACGGCGCCTGCTAGCGGAAGGGGCAAGCGGACAGCCAAGAAGGAGGCAGCTAAGCGGGAGAGCAAGAAGCGGCAATCGATATCAACGACGGCAAAAGTCGCTCCGACTGACGACACGCCCATGCCAGAAGCATCCGCTGCCGCTTCTTCGACGCCAGAAACACCAGCGCCGCCGTCATCGGCCATCCTCCGGCCGTACGCGGGACCACGGCCGGCACCCCAGACGTCCGACGGCGACCCGCTGCTCGTCAGCTACGTGCCACCGCTACCAACGGACGACGAGCTGCGCGCGCTGCTGGCAGCCCCACCGCTGTCGTACGCCGAGGCGCGGGCGACGTGGCCGACAGAGAGCGCGGCCGGCGGCAGCGCGCCCGAGCGACGTTATCCGGCGCGGGTGTTTTGCGAGATCTGTGGTTATTGGGGACGGATCAAGTGCACCAAGTGCGGGACGCCGCTCTGTGCGTTGGACTGTCTGGAGATGCACCGAGAAGACTGTATCACGCGGTATGGGCTGTAAGAGGAAGGTGGATGAATATCAAAGGAAAGAGAGAGATTGTTGGGAGAGAGAATTGGGCGTTTTAGCGGATTTCTAATAGGACAATGATACCCATATTCGCGGAACATGCGCAAGTCTGCTACTCTGGGGAACACATTAAACACGGAAGCACAACATGTACTTCGTGACCACTCCTTTGGATCTGCTCCTCCCCTGCTTATCCACCCGGCTTGCTCTCCCTCCGCTGGCCGCATACGCCGCATAGGCCACAGTCGCCCGCGTTTCTGTAGCGGTTGTCCGCACTGCTGCTGCAAACAGCACTGTGGCACTGCCATGCGGCCGGGTCAGCCTCGAAGAGCAGGACATGGGCGCACATGGCGCAGGTGACGGACAGCGGCCCGTTGGCCAGAGAGCAGACGGGACAGACAGAGGTGATTGTGGCAGGGGCATGGGCAGGAGCCAGAGGAATCCCCATCAGCGTCCGTTCTCTGGTCTCCTGTTTCGGCTCCGACTTGACGGTTGGCGTCTGTCTCTGGCCATCTCGACACTGCTGCTTCTGCTGCTGTTGTTGTTGTTGCTTGTCGCCTTCTGGCTCTTCCTCTACTTTCGGACTTCTCTCCCACGTCGATCCCTGCAGCAGTTCGCGCAACTCCCTCTTGGTATCGGCCTCGTCGTCGTCGTCGTCCAGACCGTTGATCTCGCATACCCGCACCATTCCTCGTCCCTGGCCGTCCACCATGCGCGTGCCGTCAATATCTACAGCATCGGGTGCGTCCCGGTCTTTTGTGTCGTCGTCGGACGACTCTTCGTCTGCGTCCCGCTTGATGGAAGCGATATCGTCACCTTCTCCCTCCTTCACCTCCTTCTCCGTGGCATTCTGCTCAAACCGGGCCAGTGCTGCTGCTGCCCGCAAGTCCCGGCCGCGCTTGCTCTTGGCCACCCGCGGCTTCACGGCCACGCTTTTGGCCGTCTTTTCCTCCAGTCGTGCCCGTGCTGCAATGTCTCCTCCCAGCGACATCCCATTCTCGCCAAACTTGCGCCGGATCCGCCGCTCCTGCTGCTCGCGGTACGTCAGGGCCGGCTTCCGCTTCTTGGCTCGGCCACGCGACCGAAACGTCCCGCCGCAGAGGTGCTCCAGCAGCACGCCGTCATCGTCGCCGTCCGGTCGCGCCGTGTTTCGCTCGCCAAACGCATCGTCCAGCCGCGCGCCGCGCCCCCAGAGACCCTCGCCCGTGTAGTGCTGCTCCCACAGGCCGCGCATGTGGGCGGCATAGGTGTCGCGCACGGCCCAGAAGGCGCGCGCGTGATTCATGTGGCGGCAGTGGGCCAGCTCGTGCATCATGACCATCTGGACGTACGGAAAGGGCAGCCAGCGGCCAGAAAAACGCGCCTTGAGCACCAGCTGGATCACCTCGCCGCCGTTGAAGTTGCGCCCGACAAACGACGCGTTCGGCTCGTACTCCTCCAGCGTGACCACGCTGAGGTGGTTCTCCCGCATGATCGGCACTGCGCCAGTCCGGGTCAGCCAAGACCACTCTTCTCCATCTCGCTCTCTCTCTGCCTCTTTGGCCTACCACATTGCGCTGCTATTCGCTCGAGAAAGTCGCGGGCTGCCTCCTCATCCGGTCCCTTGAGCGGCTTGATGAACACAATGTGTGGATTCGGCTGCGACTTCCGCGCATTCAACCTCTGGATTCCAACAGGCATGGTGATGTGACGGACCGTATGTCTGTCAACGAAAACGACGATCGCGGTGGCAAGCAAGATCCCCGCAACGCCAAGTCACGTGATATCCTTAACCATGTGTGCATCCATTGCTCTGTACTCTGTACTCGTACAGCATGTACTCCATATCCCCTCTTCTCCATTCTCACCTCCTGCGTTGGGCTCCACCACCACTGCTGCCTCCACCGCCTCCGCTTCCGCCTCCTGCACGGTCGGCCAGCGACACGACCTCGCCGATGCCGGCAGCTTCCTGTTCGTCCTCGAGCGCGTTGATCTCTTCGCGGCAGTCCCACCACTTCTCCTCGCTCATCTCAAACGCCTTGGTCTTGATTTCCTTGATGGCTAGTGACTCCGGCTGGATGCCCTTCCAGCGCAGGCTCGTCATGAGGATCTCCTGCCACTCGTTGGACGTGCGGTTGAAGAAGTCGCGACGGGATTCAAATGGCTGAGAAGTTAGGAAGGAAAGAAAAAGAGAAGAAGAAAGAAGAGAAAAAAGAACGAAAACGAAATCTCACCCTTGGGTATGGCAGACCGTCGTCGGACGTGGCCGCAGTGTCAGCCTCGGTTTCGGTGTCCATGTCGTCTGTGCTGGCCACTGACGGCGCCGTCGAGTCCGAGCCAGCCTCAGAGGCTGTCTTGCCCTTCTTGCGCAAGCTCGGTGAGATCTTCTTGGGCCCGGTCGCCTGCACGTCCTCCATCGCATCAGCAGCATCGTCCTCTTCGTCCTCGTCTTCCTCGTCGTCTTCCTCATCGTCGTCCTCGTCCTCGTCCTCCGATTCCTGCAACACAGTCAGCAACCAAACAGGCACACAAAGAGGCCAGAAACAGCAACGTACAATCCAGGTGTCGTCCAGAGCCCGACTGAAAATCTCTTTGCAGCCGTCCAGCTTGCCGAGATCGACGACGTACATATCGTCAAACGTAAACTCGCGGTCGTCCTTCTCGTACGTGCCGCCATAGATGTACAGCACGTCACCCTGCACGGCCAGCAGCGAGTTGAAGCGTACGTGTGGTAGCTCCATCGACACAGGCTTCTGCCGCACCACAACCGCTGCCTCCTCTTCGGCTTTCGCAGCAGCAGCAGCAACATCAGCACCATCCACATCCATGGCATCGTCTTCCTCATTACCGCCACTGCCTTTCTTCTTGTCCGTCGCTTCGAGCGCGGCCAGCTGGCGCAACAGCTCCTCTTCGTTGGCTGCAGCACGATTCCGCCTGCCGACCCGCTGACCGTCTGCTCCTCCACCGAATCCGGCCGTTTTTTTGGGTGCAGTCCGCGGCTTGCGTAGCGCCATGGGGAAGAACCGGTTCCGCTCAATGTTCCAGGCAAAAAGGCCGTTAAAGAACTCACTGTCGAGACCCTCCTCGCTCTCCTCAACGTCGTGCACGCCGCCAAAGAGGATGCCCCGGCCGCGATGAAAGGCCATGGTGGTGCCAGCCCGCACGGGGACAGGCGTGTTGGCCGGCTTCTTTCGTCGTTCCCAGCGCACTTGGGGCGGTGCTCCTGGTGCGGCCCCGGCTGCCGGTGGCGTGATGCGCAGGAAGAAGCAGTCCTGGTGCACGACGGCCTTCATGGCCATGCGCTGGCCGCCACCGCCCTGTCTGTTGCCCACGGCTGTCTTGACGCGCGAGTAGCCGCCGTACAGCACAGCACCCTGTTCGTGCGGTAGCAGCGTGAAGGATGAGCGGGCGTCAGGCTTCAGCTGGGCTGGCGGCAGTGTAGGGCAGTGCCACATGAAATTAGCCGTGTCGTAGATCCAGAGATCTGCCAGGTAGCGTGTCTGGTTGGCCGTGTCCTGAAAGCCGCCAAACAGGATGATGTAGTTCTTGTAGTATGTCATCCGATGACCGCTGCGTGCTGGCGGCGACTTTCCCTTTCCACCACCTCCGCTACCGCTGTCCAACCGTGTCCATTCACGCGAGGCTGCGTCCAGTCGCCAGAAATCATTGTAGTGGTAAAACGTCCCCTGCTTCGGCGAGCTAAACTCCCCCCCAAACAGAAACACGCTGCCGCTCTGGTTGCCACCCCGACACCACGCATGGCCCGACCGCGGCAGCGGTGTGTTTGGCGACGTCACCGTCCGCCACTCGTCCCGGTCAATGTAGTACACGTGCAGGTCGTTGAAGAAGGTCGCCAGCGCCCCATTGAAGTATTCCCCTCCAAACAGCAGCAGCTGGTTGCTGTTGCCCGGCGACGCCAGGAAACTCGCCGCTGCCCGCGCCCTTGGCGGCTCCACGGCCACCACCTCGGTGATCTTTAGGAACTGCTCCTGCTGCCGCTTGTACTCTTCCAGAACCGCATCCAGGTCCACGTCCTCGGCATCGCTGCCTTCTTGCTTGGCATTCTTGACCTTAGCCTTCTTCGCCGCCTTCTTCTCCGCCTTCTGCTTCTTCTCTGCCGCCTTGGCCTTCTTGCCCTCGCTCTTTCCTCCCTTCTTCTCCTTAGCCATCAGGTGGGAGAATGGTGGGACGGCAGATGAGGAGACGAGGGGTTGGCGATGCCGGAATTGCTGTCTGCGGCACTCCTACAGTGCAGCTCAGTATATCCAAGCCAGAAGAACTGCTGAAAAGTAATACTGCTATTGTGACCCCGTATCACTTGCAGAAGCTCTTCATAATGACGTCTGAATCCAGCTGTTGTGGATTTTTACGGCGCTCACGTGAATTTCGCCAAACGTCGGATTTTAAGTTTACGATCGCCACTTTTTCCTTTTCCAGTTGTAAGCCTTTCAAGCTTGGCGCCTCGTCGTAATAGGTATAGCGTCGTCTTCAAAGCCGCCGCCTTAGCTCTTCGTATAAAATAACGGCCTGTCTCCTTATTTGCTTAGTATTCTACAAAATCAAATCTTACTTCTGTAAGACCAGAAATCTTCCAGGACATCCTTGCGAGATGCCCGACTTTTACCCAGCCTGTCAGGCAATGAATGTGAAAGAAGATGAATTATCCCCCTGCCGTAGCGATGGTGGGGTTGTGCGAGGGTCTATACCCTCGCCGCTGACTAACTACTATGACTAAGCCTAGCACAGCCAGAGACACTCAGTCAGCTTACGCAAAGAAGCTACTATACCCTATTTAACGCAAAAAGATTGGGGAGATGAGTGGACACGCAGGGACAGGGCAATAATGGAACCAAGTACAGCTCAGATTTGATGGAGACAGCTATTCTTGAACAGGAAGTCTTTGAATAACATGGTTGGATTTCGTCTGATCGTATCATCGATGATTTTCATCCAGGAGCCCATGTTTTTCGGATCGCAAAACTTCTGTCAGCAGAAACATCGCAGCGTCTTCAATAATTCTACAGGCTAGTCAACACAAAGTCTACTTGAGCGTTTTCACTATCCTTGATATTTTGGGTCAAATGTTGTAAAATAGGCGTTGCCGGCTTTGTATAATACTTTTGTGCGCCGAGTTTTCCGTTTTCAACCTCGTCTGATTGAATAAGTTCTGCCAGGGAGGCTTCGGCAGCGGTCTCAAGATAGTGTTGGCGATCGCCCTCTTGTTCTCCAATGCACACCAAGTTTCCACCGTATTCGAGCAGTAGGGAGTTTAGAATCAGCTGACACATACGGCCAATGCAGTCCATAAATGGGTGAAGCTTCGCCCTTAAATATTGCATGACAGAGTTCCCAAATTACATCGAGTGACGCCCGGCATTCTCGATGGCGTTGGATCCGAAAATCATCTTTACGAGAAGGTCTAGCAGTTGCTCTTCTACGGCGGCATACTTGGCCGCATCTCTGCTATACTAGCAGTCATCTCGTCGAATAAATCATCTGGGTCAACATCATCCTCGACTATATCATGGTCGTATGCATCTTCCACGGATATGCTAAATGTGGCTTGCTTGTTACGCAGAATCGAACCATCTGGCTGCATCGTCGACTGCAACATCTGGCAGATACTCCGCCCGAGGTCGACGTGTTTCGACATTGAAGTGTGGTGGTATAAAGAGCGGATGAAAGCTCAGCGAAGTTGGATAGATTGAAAGGCCATAACGCACATTTAAATATCTGGAATAATCGAAGTGCCAGAAAGTGCATGCTTTTAGTCAGCCAGAAGCAAATAGTTATCGTGTCACCTGCCCCTTCTTTGATTATTTCATTGAAATACGCTAAAATTAGGACGGCTATATTACTTCTCACTCAAGGTGAAGGATCGTTCATGCAGAGTTTTTCTGCGTCCATGCCAACAGTTGCCATTCAGCAATTATGGTGGTGTTACAAAGGTACTGCTAAGTCATCTTAAGTCTTCTAAGGGCAAAGTACTGCTATCGTCTTCAACCTTAAGGCTTAATGCATTGCGCCCGGTACTTTGAGCCATCTTCCACTTCTCGAATTATGCGGTCAGATCCGCAATGATCGAGTCGAGGTCAGTGTTGGGGTCTTACTCGTTCTCGCCAGAACTCGCAGTACTGCCCACAGAGGCCAGCATAGTTTCCAGGCGGTCGAGTCGGGAATGTATGCTTTCAAACTTAGAGTCGCTCTCATCTGCCCTTGCAACAAGACAGGCATTTGTGGAGAACAATATTTGGGCTCGTCTCTGTTGTGTGTCGAGTTTCGCACTGAGAGTGTTCACAAAATCCGCCAGCGAAGACAATCTAAAATTGTCTCGAGATTCTTTGTCAAATAGCCGCTCCCTTGCAAAAAGTTCGTAGCGCTCGGTGTAGTCGTAGGAGCTACTGAAGACGGGGCAGGCGTAATGTCACAATTTTCTATGGGCCAATCTTCAGCGCACAGGCTGATGCTATTTTCTGTCACCTGGTCGGCCTCCTCGTCCTCGTCAGAGAAGTATGCGCGGTACCGCTCCATGCACTTGCTGAGGTGTGTCCACAAGAATGCGTGCGGCCAGTAAGAATCGGGTAAACCGAATCTCTTCTCGCGACGGCACTCTGTCTTACCAATCGGCGCCGTTCCTTGCTGCCTCGATCGCAGCGGTCGTCATGGCCGCTCTTATATGGAAGAATAATTCAACGCGCCATATTGGTTTTGTGGCAACGTTACGAAAGGCATATGAACCAAAATATTTGAGTCGCCCGATTGACGCGGTCGGAGTGGTCATCCCTGACAACGGGGAAAACTCAAAAGACGATATAGAAGTTTCTGATACGGAGGGTCAAGGCTGGCTGTGGAGTTGGTCTGTCTCGGAAAATTCGATATGTGTAGCCATATTGGCCAAGTAATGTGAGAGTTGTGTTTCTGTGAAGCTTTTGTTTTTATTTTGAATGGTTCGTATCAAAGAGGAATTTGAGAGAGTATATAACTATTGAAAGAAACGCCGAAGTGAATACGATGTGAAAGCGAGTTGAGCCGAGCAAAGCAGAATTATCACAAGGACATAACCAATTATCAAAAGAGATGTTGCCTGTGCGTATTGAGTGCTCTATAAATTTGTTTGCTTGTCTAGTCTGACAAGTTGACTCTCTAGTTTTAAGATTCACTTCCAAAAGTCCCATTCGTCATATCTACCATCTAACGAGCACAGCTTCCGCGCGCAATGGTCCAGTCGGCTGAAGGATTCGCTGAGTGAATGCTTTGTAAGGCTTCAAACCTTCAGGACCGCCAATGAGGCTACCGTCACCACCACTTGAAGCTACTGCAAAGACAACGGTCCAGTCCACCTGATCCAATGGCCGTCTATATACAAGTGACGACAACGAAAAAAAGACCAGTATTAAGACGACCCAGCTGGAAGGCTCGTATATCTCGGAAACGCGACTAATTATAATAATAACCGTGAACATTGCGCTACTTGACCGCGTGTCGATAAATACTCGTAATCCTCCTCCGTCCGGAAACATTCTCTCGCCTATTCTTTTTCCTCATCCTGATGGTGACACCCCGATATGACGATCCTAACGAACGACAGCCATAATTAACGTACCATCAAACTCAAGCAATTAAGCTCCCATTGACCGAGCTTACGGCCATGGACGACGACGATCGTGAACCGCTATCCATATTAGCCATCTCCGTATTCATGCTAGAAATCTGGCTTATCGCACATCCGCACAGCCCAACTGAGCCTACCAGCCTCGATTCCGTATTGCGATCATTTGCCCGCGTACAAGGTATTCACATCGTAGCATAGATCTTCGATGTCTTTGCTATCTGAGCCTTGCAAAAAGAAGCACTTGAATTCACCAGCCAAAATCCTGCCGCTATCGTGATCCTGGCCCACTATGCTGCCTTGGTCAAGTACACTGAGGGTCCGTTGTGGCTGTGGGATGGATGGAACGAGCGTGTTCTAGAGATGGCAGAGCGGGAATTGATGAGGAGTGGCGAGACTGGCTTCAGTGGCCGCTGCGGTGCGTCGTAATGAGTCGGACGAGGACATGTGCGATTGATTATGAACACCTAAGGATAGGGCTTCTGGTATTACTTGGTTGTTTGCGGTCGACCGTGGATACTCTTTCAAGTTCCTTTCAGCCTATTCAGTTTTACCTCAAGCCACTACGTTTGAGTATGAAAGCAACCACAAGATTATGTCTGTTAATTGCGCTCAAGCAGTGGTCAATATAACTGACGGACCCTTCACGGGTCACCACGTGTCCACCGAAGGAACGAGGTAAGTGGGAAATCGGTTTACATCTATGTAGACTATCATATGTTTGCGTGATTTCCGATTATCCCAAAATGGACTAGGAAGCGTGCGGGAATCAAATTGTTCAGAATGTTGCTTTGACTAAGTGTAAATATTGCATTATCTCATACAATTGGGCAATCGATGGAAAAAGGCACTCAACCAGCTCGGTGCAGTTGCCAGATCTACGCTTTCAAGCTGCGATTTTGGCGCGTTGCCGCTAACTAGCGGAGTTTAGGAAGGTTGTTGCCAATTACATAAGGCATCGACCCACCGACTGACTTTTTTCGCCCCGAAGAAGCAGGAGCCAGAACTGAGATTTCGCGTGTCGTGTCTTTTCTGAAGCCAGCAAGCTGCCGTTTAAGGGTGCACCTTGGCGCCTGCGTGTTTCCAGTGGTGTTCTCTCACCGCCCATCGCTGTTTCCTCCTCGTCCGTCCCTTGTCCGCGCGGCATGCAGCTTCCTTGTTCACGCTCTTTGGGCCGAGCAGCTCGGTCGTCGCTCCCCTCGCCGTTATTAGGAATCCGTCCCCGCCTCCACTGCTATCGGTCCCTGGCTGCTGTTGGTGCCCCGCTGTCGTCACTGCCAGCCGCCTATTCTTCATCTCGGTGAGCTATCCCCCCTCCCCGCCTGCCCTACTTCACGAGCCTGCCTTACCGCCCCTCCGTCTACTATCCTCCCCTTTCCCATTTCTTCTTCCCCCTGATTTCGTGCATCGTCTTCCACAAACAATTGGCCGGGAAAACGTGCTTCTGCAACGCAACCTCCCCCACACCGTCTCTTGCAACCCAGCGTACGGCTGACCGTCCGTCCACATTCGTCTGCTCCGTGCATCATTGCTTCACATTGCTGACTCTTTCTTGGCTCGTGTCTCAAACAGTCTTCACTCGGCAGCCTCGTTGCACATTGCTGCTTCTCCGCCGATACGCCGTCCCAACCAGCCCGCTCTGTTGTCTTCGGTACCGTCCCCAGCCCTTCGACCATCTCGACGCTATCAGCCGACCTGGAACCGCTCCCCTGCGTCTCTGAGACACTGCTCGCACCGCAGACACGCCATGTGTCGCCACGCTCGAGCCGATGGCGATGGCAGTGCCACCATCGTGAATGCTGGCCGTGAGCTTCTGCCGGCCGATGTAGTGCCCCAGCACTACGACCTCACGCTCGAGACGGACTTCGAGAAGCTTACTTTTGAGGGTTCCGTCGTCATCGATCTCGACGTGGTCAAGGACACCAACTCGGTCTCTCTCCACACCGTCGACCTCGAAGTCCACAGCGTAAAGGTGTTGGGCGATGGGGCTCTCGTCAGCGATGCTCCCACTGTCTCCTACACGGCCGACACCCAAACCACCAAGATTGATTTTGATGGCGGCCTGACTAAGGGCACCAAGGCCCAGCTCGCAATCGTTTTCACCGGCCAGCTCAACGACAAGATGGCTGGCTTCTACCGCTCGACCTTTAAGAAGGCCGACGGCACGGATGGCATCATGGCTGTCTCTCAGATGGAGCCTACTGATGCCCGCCGTGCCTTTCCCTGCTTTGACGAGCCCTCGCTCAAGGCCGCCTTCACCGTCACTTTGATTGCTGACAAGCACCTGACCTGCTTGAGTAACATGGACGTCGCGTCCGAGACCGAGATCACGTCTACCGTCACCGGCACCACCAAGAAGGCTGTCAAGTTCAACGTCTCGCCGCGCATGTCTACTTACCTCGTTGCCTTTATTGTCGGCGAGCTGAACTACATCGAGACGAACTCGTTCCGCGTCCCCGTGCGCGTCTACGCCCCGACCGGCCAGAACATCGAGAACGGCCGGTTCTCGCTCGAGCTTGCTGCCCGCACGCTTGCGTTCTACGAGAAGGTCTTTGGCATCGACTTTCCCCTACCCAAGATGGACCAGATCGCCATCCCCGACTTTGCTCAGGGCGCCATGGAGAACTGGGGTCTCGTGACCTACCGTGTCGTTGATCTGCTGCTGGACGAAAAGACCAGCGGTGCTGCCACAAAGGAGCGTGTCGCCGAGGTCGTCCAGCACGAGCTTGCCCACCAGTGGTTCGGCAACCTGGTCACCATGGATTGGTGGGACGGCCTCTGGCTGAACGAGGGCTTTGCCACCTGGGCGTCTTGGGTTCGTTCTGCCTTCTCCCTTGTCTCTACTGTTCGAATGCACGGAACTAACGAAAAAAGTACTCCTGCAACGTCTTCTTCCCCGAATGGAAGGTGTGGGAGTCGTACGTCACCGATACCCTCCAGGGTGCGCTGTCGCTTGACTCCCTTCGCAGCAGCCACCCGATCGAGGTGCCGGTCAAGCGCGCCGATGAGATCAACCAGATCTTTGACGCCATCTCCTACTCCAAGGGCTCGTGTGTCCTGCGCATGATTTCGACATACATTGGCGAAGATGCCTTCTTGGAGGGCGTCCGCCGCTACCTGAAGAAACACGCGTATGGCAACACGCAGACGGGCGATCTATGGGCTTCTCTGGCCGAGGCCAGCGGCAAGCCTGTAGACGAGGTCATGACCGTGTGGACGAAGAATGTTGGCTACCCTGTCGTGACTGTGACTGAGGGCGACAACAAGGTGCACCTGAAGCAGAACCGGTTCCTCCGCACGGGTGATGTGAAGCCGGAAGAGGACGACGTACTATACCCGGTCCTTTTGGGCGTTCGGACCAAGGACGGCGTGGACGAGGCGCCGATACTGGACAAGCGCGAGGATGTGCTCGAGCTGTCGAGCCTGGATTTCTTCAAGCTCAACGCAAACCACACGGGCCTTTACCGCACTGCCTACTCGCCCGACCGTCTGGCAAAGCTTGGCCAAGCGGCAAAGGACGGCCTCCTGTCGGTGGAGGATCGTGCAGGCATGGTTGCTGACGCTGGCGCCCTGGCCATCTCGGGCTATCAAAAGACGTCGGGCGTTTTGAGCCTGCTCAAGTCGTTCACCGCCGAGACGGAGTTTGTTGTCTGGAATGAGCTGATCTCGCGCTTGTCGGCCATCCAGGGTGCGTGGATCTTCGAGGACGAGGCAACGCGCAACAGTCTGGAGGCGTTCCAGCGCGACCTTGTGAGCGCCAAGGCCCACACACTGGGCTGGACGTTCTCCGACTCGGACGGCCACATCGAGCAGCAGTTCAAGGCAATGCTGTTCGGCAGCGCCGGACTGAACGGCGACAAGACCATCATCGCAGCGGCCAAGGACATGTTCAAGCGGTTCTTCGCCGGCGACAGCCTGGCCATCCACCCCAACATCCGTGGCAGCGTGTTTGGCATGGCCTTGAAGTACGGCGGCAAGGAAGAGGTAAGTGCTTCGTGTTTCCTCCTATCTTAGAGGCGAGCCTGTGCTGACTAAGTGCCATCGACAGTATGATACTATTATCAACTTTTACCGCACCTCGAAGAACAGCGACGAGCGGAACACGGCTCTGCGGTCTCTGGGCCGGGCCACGGACCCGGAGCTCATTAAGCGCACATTGGAGCTTCTGAACGGCACAGAGATCAAGGACCAGGACATCTACATGCCTGCGTCAGGCCTGCGTGGCCACCCCGCCGGAATCGAGGCGTTGTTCGGCTGGCTGACGGAGAATTGGGACGAGGTGTACAAGCGCTTCCCGCCCGGCTTGTCGATGCTCGGCTCGCTGGTCAGCATCATGACGTCGAGCTTCTCGCAGCCGGAACAGATTGCCCGTGTCGAGGCCTTTTTTGCCGACAAGAACACCAAGGGTTACGATCAGGCCCTGGCCCAGAGCCTGGATGCCATCCGCTCGAAGATTGCATGGATCAAGCGGGACGGCGACGACGTCTCTGGCTGGTTGCATGAGAACGGCTACTAATCGTTGGCCGGGTAGACTGGTAGACCGGAGGGTTACAGAATGAGTTTAGACACAAGCACACAGCTTGTCTTGAGCGACATGTATGTATATCTCGACCAAGTACCACCAAGCAAAACAAAAGACAAAAGACAAACGAGGCTGTTGATATTACAGCACTCGAAAACTTTAGTGTTCCTCGTGAAAAGTGCCTGACAATGATTGGACGGTAAAAGTAACGCGTCTTAGCTCTATATCAAGTGCTTTACTCCGTACTGTGAGATCAAAAAGTGACCAGCTATATGGGGTAATACTTGCGGAACCTCAATTTGAACAAGCAATTTCGTACGGAGTAGACAATTCTACAACCACGGCACTCGTACATTTTGTACACACACCCCAGTTCTGCTACAGTCTCGCCAATGGGAAAAGGCCAAGACACAGCCCACAGCAATTGGCACCCAGAATGTGTCAGTACCGGGGAAAGGGGGTGTCAAGTTAGGCAACAAAGCCGAGATAAATGTGACAGAGGGTTGTAGAGGTAAGGTTGGGCCTTTGCCGTTCGCCGAGCCGGCGTCCGCTTTTCTTTAGCTGCAATAGGCGCCCGGAGCTGAGCGGCACGCCCTTGCAAGGACGGAAAAGGTCGTCTGTTGTTGGCATGCACATGCAGGGTTCCACTTGCCTGAGCGATTATATTACTCATGGGTTGCCCCTCACCAGCCGCCAGCCGAATATCCCACCCTCCTCACTTTGGGCAGGCACTACTCAGATTGTGATTAGGAGCACTGCCGTATTTGGCTTAGTCAAGCAGGCAGGGTCTTGAATTACTGAACATGTTAAAAAAAACATTGACCCTTCTCTGTAAAAGACTAGCTTTTACCTACCTCATCCCCATCAGCGCAAGCCACAAAGGATTATTGCTCATCCATAAGACAGCTATCTCGCTTCAGCAACGCGCAGCGGGGAAGTATGACTCGATATCGGTCACGTTTCGTCCACGTTCGGGCCTACCACCATCGCCCCTGTTAGTCCCAACATCTCCCAAGCTTCAACGCTCTTTACCGAGCCCAACGGACAGGCCATCATGCTTTACGATAGATCGTATGATCAGACCACTTTGGTATATGGCAAATATGCCAAGCTGTTCGAGCGCGGCCGCCTTCGTCGGGTAGCCGTGACATTTGGCCTTAACACTCCGAGTTTGAAATGTTAATTAATATGGGGCGATGTCTAAAGCCTTTGATGTAATAACCGGAAGGCTCATTGCCGTCAAGATCCTAGGATCGCAGGGGGCGCCTGGCAGCGGAATAAATGGCAATAGAAGGTGGAGACTTTTGTTCCCTTCTTGGAATGTTTTGGGATTGTCATTCAGAGAAGGTCACGGTCAGCGGCCATGAAACAGTGAATATCTTGCCGTACGTCCGGATGCTCATTACCTTTGGGGTGGGTCCTCTTTTCGAAATACGGCCTGTTTGAGATGCTGGAAACCCCCAGAAGATCTTCCTTCAAATGGAATGGCTACAGTTCTATAGAAAGCACAGGAACACAAACAACATGAATCACGCTGATTTCGGTACCATTGTGGACTTCCACCAAGCCTGAATAGGCGCTTTCTCCAGTAGTAACCGGGGACCTCGACGAAATTCACTTGAGACTCCGAGAAGTGCCCGTTGCCTTGTATCAACTCCTGTAGATACAATACGCAGTACACAATATCATTTTGGCTTGAAAGCTGCCGTCTCGCCTAAGATAAATTTCCACGACTATTTGCGGGGCGTGGGTTCTCTTGGCGTCTGGTACGACTGCCATCTCTGAAGACTGGACTTTCCTTATAGACGATGCAGTGGAAGCCAGAGTGATGGATACTACTACGGCAAAATAGTGGTCTGCCACGTTTTCTGAAACATGCAATTCGATGCGATGTATGCTAGAACAGTCTAGCCATCCAAACAATTCAGCCATCCAAAAGCACCTAGTGTTCTGAAGAGAGCCCGTTGGTGCCCCTCCTCCTCTCCTTATACTGCATTCGCATCGCCTTTCCTAATCTCAAGAAGGAAAGTCTAGCTCTAATAGAACAGTTGATCGCGATTTATCATTATCGGATCTATTGTGTGGACAACAAGTTGTGTGGAAAAAAAAGCTACGCCGTCTCTTACGAAGCTTTATTAAAAGCTCTGCTGTAGTATTTCAAGCTAGTTCTTAAAACTACTGGCATGAAGACCCGCGAGCTCTCTGCAAACTATTTTCAATTATCCAAGAAGCGTTTAATGGAAGAGTTTGTTTTTATGTTAACTGCCTTGCTACGTACGTGGCTTAAATCCCTTATTTTTAAATAAATAAAAAATTTAAGAGGAGGCGACGCGGTCGGTACATCTTCGGTACATCCAGACATAAGATCTAAGTACTAGGACACTCTTTAGTATAGTACGTCGGTGATGTCCCGACGTATATTCCCAGCGTAGTACACAATGTACCATCATACTCTTCAAGATACATAGTAAGGCTAGACTCAGTCTCTGCAGTATATGTGCCCGAAACTAGGACGCATAACAAATGGCAAGGTTTCCATTTTCGGTTGAAAGCAACTCAAGCCAAAATCTAGGCCCGTGGTTGTGGCAGGCAAAAGCTCATTATGGGCTCACTCTAAGACAGTGCCAGCTAATGCATAGTGCCGCTGTCGCCGACCTGGCCTGCCGTCCTGCCAATTAGTATCGAGGACGGTCTCAAGTCGGGCTCCAATATGTCTAGACCTGGCCATTTATCTTACTGACTCCTATGTCATGCACGGTTACATTCCCCCTCCAGGAAAAATGCTGGTGGTTTAATTTCCCCCAGCGATGCAGCTTGGCGGCTCGCAGCGGCATGAGTTCATTTTGTCGGCGCTGTGTTTCCACGTTATTGGTGGCGTTGAGCGCTGGCTTCTAGCCATATGTGACAAGTCAGATACGAGATACGAAAACGGTCGAGGGAAATGGCGCCTCCAAGAGCACACATGACGTTTGGGATAAAATGCCGGGATTCTCAGTTGGAGTTATGTACAAGCAGTAATGCGTGGTGTAGGCATGATCGCTGCTTTAGTCGTGTTCCGTTGTGGCAGAGCGATGACGCGATGAAAGCTCAAGGTCGCATTGCAGTGTCTGCAGTGCGCCAAGCCATTATAGTACTTCGTATTTCGTTGCCTTCAGCTGAGCATTAATATAGTCAGGAGGTTATATCGATAGCCCCAGTCCGTAGATGACCTTTTAAGCGTATATTTAAGCATAGCTTGACTATAGCCGCCGAAAATCCTGTCGGCCTTCTTATGTTCTTATATGTGCTGTTGACTGGCTGGACAAAAGTAAGAAAGCGGGAGATGCCAAAGAGGGAAAGGAAGATTCCCAATTATTTCCAAGTGCGAGGCGTTCACAAGTAAACGCATCTTCTGCGGTTGCTATCCAACTGCCAGCTCTTTACATTTAAATTGCGTCTTCGGCACCTTGATATGACGCAGCGAACATGTGGAATTTCAAACAAGTCAAACAATTCAGTCGAGGCCTCTATTCTTGCAGATGCTGCTGGAGATAGTCCGCGAGTCCCGATAACCCCGGCGCACAGATGGTGGCGGATGTTCGGAAGCTGATATCACATAGGCGTGGCATGATTACCGCTCACTAAGTCTTGGACCTTGTGCCATTCCCCCGACTCGTTTCCGACCTGCCTATCCCGGTTGAGATCACAAGAAGTTTCACACCATTGTCTCGAGGCAAACTCCGATCTTAGCGGCTCGTGCCGTGTAGTATAGCAGTGCTGAACTCGAACGTCCCGGCTGATATTTGCTCCCAGTGTAGTGAAATCTTCGGGTGGACATCTATGAGGTCCTGATAAGCTATTGGACTTCATCTCATGACCTCAGCACTTGCGATGACCCAGATACGAAGCAAACATGAGAGCTCCCAAGCCGATTTATAATCGGATCGTGGCCCACTCTAAACCGAAAGATGTACTTCACTGGACTCGCCCGAAACCCTACAAACTCGTGGTTTAAACTAGCTGGAGTGGATTCTATTCGGTCCAATGTTGACCCGAATTCCGCATCTAGAACTCCCTCTTAAAGCAAGACGTGGCAGACTCGGAAGCAAGATATTCTGATCCCCATTCTCTTCAGACTCACACGACCTCTCATATCGACAGTGTCTTGCATTTCCTCTTCAACTTGTCTCTCCATATTGTTCCAAATTCCAACGTCAACATGGGTCTCATTATCCACCACCTGCAAGTGTCGCAATCGGAGCGCCTCCCTTGGATTTGCGAAGAGCTTGGCATTGATTATGAGCTCAAACTGTACAAGAGAGCACCACTTCTGGCTCCACCGGAGTACAAGGCCCTCCATCCCATGGGATCGGCACCTGTCATCCAGGATGGCGACGTGACCTTGGCTGAGAGCTGCGCCTGCATCGAGGACATATGCCACAAGTACGGCCAGGGAAGACTCTTCTTGCACAGTTCCGACCCTGAATACGCAGACTTCTTGTACTGGTGGCACTGGGTTGATGGCTCCTTTACTTCCACTCTCAGCCAAGCTGTCGTGCCGAAGTCAGACAAGCCTGTAGATAACAGCCTCTTGGCTCGTTATAAGACGGAACGTTACAAGAACGCCATACAAATGCTGGAAGACAGGCTCGGCAAAAATACATGGCTGGCAGGATCACAGTTCACCGCGGCGGACGTTATGCTCGTTTTTCACCTCACAACTCTTCGCTACTTTTACCCATTTGAGTTGGGCGCCTATCCCAATATTCTTAGCTATCTGGCGAGAATCGGAGCAAGGCCTGCGTATCAAGCCGCAATGAAGAAATGCGACCCGGAGATGGAACTTGTTCTGGGGGCAAGCCCACCGAAAAGTGATAAGGTGCTTTGAGATTTTGAAAACACATTTGCTCTCGACTCATGCATAAACGGTCTCGTGGCACATTCGTTGGATGTTATAGGGACTGTAGGCTCTCAACTCATTTACTATATAAATATCAATCTCTTCATGTTTCCAAAGGAGATACAGAATAACTACATGCTATCAACAGTTTGGTTATCGCACCGCATAAATCCCCGATTTCTTTGTGGCTAAACACGAGTATATCCCGTTTAAATCGCTATTATATCAATAAGTACGGACTGCACAACAGTCTCATCACGTGTACGAAATTCCCGGCATATATCAGGAACGTTCGCCTGTCTGACTGTTTCTTTCTTCGTGTCTACCGGGATCTACCCCCGCCTTCTTTCGCCCATGGGGCCTGTAGAACTAGTTTGCGAGAAGGGTGGCCTGCTGGTTTGGCGTAAACGAGCGCTGCCGAAGCCCGCATCTGTCCGGTGTGACAGTCCACGCTTGACGACTGCCAGCTCCGTGTGCTTTACAAACAGAAACTCGTCTTCTGGGCCAACGCACATGAGAAAGGCCGGCCCAACACTGACCCAGTCACTCGGCAAGAAGAAGTGCCGCTGGAGTGATATAGATGCGGGCTGTGATGAAACAGACAGTTCGTCTATCTCCGATGCTAGGTGTGCGATACGATCTGGTTGGGACAGATCAATCGATGCGATCCAATGGTCTGATGTGGAAACAATCAGACGATTGTCTGTAACACAACCGACAATGGCTTCTGCGCTGGTCGATTGCCTCTCCTGGCTATTTCCGTCCTTGACCCCACGCTGAAGTTTTCTCACGGATTGTCTCACAGAAGAACTTGTCTCATCGCTAAACATATCCGCATCCCAAATCTGGATGCACGTACTGTTCTTGCTAGCGTCGGGGGTCTTCCCATGCTGGGGGGATGAATTCTTTTGCACTGTAACAAAGAAGCGGGAGTGCTGAAGAGATAAAATACGGTCAAAGCCTGTAAGAACCGGAACAGGCACAGACCGAACAGTGCTGAGATCATCCCAGCGCACAAGATCAAAGCTTGAATCCAAGACTATCGACGATGCCACGACTTCGGGAACACGGATGAGCAGTGCCGGGTCCTGTGGATGTGGCACCCAGTGAGGACGCGCCCAGCCATCTATCTTGGCCTTCCAGGACGCCTCGCCCTGTTTCGGCGTAGGCCACAGCACGTCATACTGGTCCGTAGAGACCAGCAGCCGCTGCTGATTTGCCGAGGCCACGATCTGTCTCACTATGCCGAGGGCTGGCGAGCGCGTCACGACGATGGGCTCCTGCACATCCCAGACTCGCTGGCGGGCCACGTTGTTTCGCGTAATATGGCGCACGGTCACACATCCGGACAGGTCCCCAGTTGCGATCAGCAGACTGAGCGATGTCGCTCTCGATAACACTGAGGGCATCTCGTCTACATACAACAGGTCAATCGCCAACCCGATCGCCTGTGTGAACAAGTGGACAGGTGTACGGGAGCTGTCGGTTGTGTCGTAGGCGTAGACCGATCCACCTGCTGTGGCTGTGAAAGCCGTTCTGAAAAGACGACTGACGGCCAGCGCGGTGATATTCTCGCCTGCTGCCGGCGAGTAGTCGTATTCCTGCGGCCCACTGGACACCGATACCGTGTCGCTGTTCTCCTCGCCGGGCATGTCCGTTCGCAGCAGCACTGTCGGACCCCATACACGACACTGGTTGCCGCGAATTTCCACAAAGTGTCTGTCGTCTGTGGTGAACGTCAAGCCTTTGGGCAGAATCCTAGTGTCGAACTGGACACGATAGAGCAGTCGCAGGGTGTTAAACTCAAACAGCGAAAGGTTGCCGGACGAGTCCACCGCGGCCAATGTTCTTCCGTCAAATGATGCTGCCACCAGCATGGTGTTGACACCTTTGATAATATTTGCAGGCCGGCCGTCGTCCAGATTGAACACGACAAGGTCACCGTCGTTGTAGACGATTGCTAGTCGGTTCGTGTTGACGTCTTTACCCACACACATGGCTCGGATCGATTCGGATCCTTCGGGGATGCCAGACTGTCCGAAGAGTTCGACGCATCCCCTCGACTTCTCATACGTGGCTATCGTGTCTTCTTCAAAGTTCCAGATGCGTGCATTCTTGCCCCGGTATACCATGCACAGTTGGCTCTCCGACGGCAGGAAAGTAGCAATGTAGGGGGCCAGCGACTGGACCGCTTCAGGGCGGCTGGTCCACGTTTGCTGGTTGAGTTCGCAGCTGCCGACGAAATATTCGTACAGTTCGTTTCGCCGTGTTGCCACGCGAAGTATACAGCCTTCGTCCTCGAACTCTGAAAAGTCAAGTGCTATGCAAACGGACCTGATACCAAAGCTTGCCTTTTCCTCCCCGTCAGCCGTAGACCAAATTCGCACAGTTGTTGCTCCGGCAGATGCCAGCAGCTGCCCTGTTTCCAGAAAGGCAACATGTAGAACCGGCTCTCCATGTTGGAGCGTGTGCACCTGCTGGAAGATGGAATCGTCGTAAACGACGACTCTGCCCACTTTCACCTCCGTCGTGCCAACAGCGATGAACCCTTGGCCTGCTGCCACGGCACTGGGCTTCACGTCGGCCGCGTAGGTGATCGTCGTCAAGCAGTCGTCCCATCCTTCGTTCGAGAGGCCTTGCACACTCATTCCTCGCAGTGGATGTGTGAACTGCTGACGGATAGCTGACTTGGCCGGACAGAACGGCGGAATCAAGCTGTGGATCGACACCGGCAATGTCTCCATCCAATGCGAGAATTTTGTCACCAGGTGAATAAGATCATCGCCCCATTTCTCCAGCATGACAACCTGTTCTTGACTTTTTCCACGTGCTAACCCTAGAGGTGGTGAGTGTTTGCCGCGTCGACGAAGCAGCGAGTTGATGATGTGTCCTGCTTCGTAGATGATGTGTAGATTTCTTGTCGTGGCCACATACTCAATCCAACGGAGGCAGCTTTGCTGTCCCAGAAACGTCGACAGCACGGTAAAAATGCTGTCATCGTTGGTATGAACCAACTCGAGGTGTTTGAACACAAACGTGGACGCATAGTCTGTGAATGCACCAGCGACGTCCGTTGTTGGAGAGGTGCGATATTGTGCAACAAAGATAGGTGAAGATGCCGAAGAGCCAGAACCTTCGGAGCCTGCAGTAACGATGCTATTGCGCGTCCTCCTCCTCCTAGCTAACGGCACTGTTGTCCCCCACGCTTGCATCGACGCGGTTCTGGAATCGCGAGAGCTCTTCATATTGTGCTGTACCCTACCTCTATCCATCAGATAACGAAGACAAGTCAAGGCTAGCTTCTGGTGGCCATTGGCCTTGTGCACGTAAAAGTCTGGTTCAACGAGCTCACTTTGCTGAAGAAACTCCCGTGCCGTCGAGTGGACAAAGCGAATTTCACGCTGCGCGTTGACGTGAAGCATGTTTCCACAGCACCGCTTGATCGCACTATCAATATCCCCTATTGTGTCATTAATGCCAATCTCGATGGGCTCTTGGAGTTCTGCTGTTTTCAGCGGCCGAAAGGCGTACGTCGCCCACGTCAAAAGGTCCTTGGCCAAGCCCTTTCCATACTGTGCGTTGTTGATATCTCGCAGAATCTGAGAATACAGAGCATCCATGTCCGGTGGTATGCTCTTCAGTACCAGCTCGATCTCTCCCCTGCTCGTCACTTGCTGGATCTTCGTAAACACAATCGACGCCCACAAAAACGACCCGTCAGAACGGTTTACAATTTCCAAAGCGATATCTTCTGGCTCTTCGCCCTGCATGAGAGGCAGGCGCCGCAGCTTCTCTGAGTCGTGCTTCAGAAACAGGCCAATATCTTGCTTGCTGTCCTCCTCAGAGATGGTGTATGATTCCACATCAAGGCGCGTATTCACGTTGATGGGATACCGCTCGAAGGGATTGCGGCATGTTATCATTACTGACACATTCCACTGCTCTTGAATCCGAGCTATGAAGTTGATCAGTTCCGTGCTGTTTTTACACTCATCGACCGCATCGATCACCCAGAACTGTGGCCGGTTAGGCCGTTCTTTCAGAATTCCAGATGAGTATATATTCCGCCATACTGGGCCGTGGTCGACTCTGTCTACTGGGTCGTAATCCAGATCCATCATTATCTGTTTCAGCCTGATCATGATGTTCCTGTGTAGCATGGCCATCTGCCATGCCATGGATCGCAGGCATGCATTTGTGGTGGCTTTTGAACTGTCGGTGGACTGGAAGAAGAAGTAGCAGCAATCGACGTTGCCTTCCAACTGCAGGTCTTCGATAATGTAACTGGAAAGAACGCTCTTCCCGGTGCCAGGACGGCCGTGGAGCCAGAGAAGGCGTGGATGCTGTACGTTTCTCCACGAGGAGTACGATCTTGCGCGGCTGATCCACTGGCACGACCCAGGCACACGGCGGGAGTTGTTCGTCTCAAAGTCGTCTTCCGGTGGGCCAGACACATTAAGAAACCTGTTTAAGGCAAGTCTGTCCTCCTGTGCCACGGCATGCCCGTAAGCCTGGGATCTGTTGCGCTGCTCGGTTATAATCGTGGCTAGTGCATTGCGAATGGCGATATAGGAGGGGTCGTTCTGCGAGCTAAACATGGCCACGTTGCGATGATTTGCCGGGAGCAGTGTTATTCGTTCGTTTTGCAGATTCATAACGGCGTTTTCCTTGTCCACAATCATCTTGCTGATGCTTCCTATTTTCATAGGCTCTGTCTCAAAGAAAGAAAACAACTGGAGACTTCCACACACTTTGGGAAAATCTGCGTTTATAGATTGAAGCATCGGAGACTGTGGCAGGAGATCGTTTAGGAATGGACGCTGTCCTATGAACTCGAGCAGTCGGGCAAGTGTTTGTGCTACCACTGCTCCGCGATGTGGCGTTGCAAGGAACAAGATGGAGTGTATCCGTTTAACGAATGTGTTGAATTCGGTATCGTCTTGGCCAATAATGAAAGCTTTCTTGACCACGAGGCCACCCATACTATGGGCGATGAAAATCAGATTTGTCTGTACCGTTAGTTGAAGAAGGCGCGAGGTAGACTATGAGGACACTGATTGCAGCAAAGCATCAGTGACTCACTGCGACGTCATTGCTAATGTCAGGCGAATCACGGATGGCGGCCAAGAGAGACCGAGAAAAATCGTGTATGTTAACGATAGAGCCATGGCTCAGGGACGATGGGTATCCAAAGGTGTGTATACCGACATCCCGGAAGGCTTCATCGTTGGAAAGCCAATCCTTTGGCCAGAATATGCCATCTTTTGTCCAAGTACTCTGTGATCCTCCATTCAAGCCGTGGACAAATATCAAATCTGCGACAACGGCATCCTTATTCTCAGGCCGGTGCAACTTGCTAAGTCCCATCTGTCCCTTTGGAGAGTCGGAATGATTTTGCCCGGACCTAGTTACGACGCGGGAAAGGAATGACCCTATGTGAGATACTGTTCGGCTGGGTGTTGAGAGAAACGGCGCGCCTGGAGAGGCATGATTAGCGTCCATATTGACCAATATCGCACACCCTGCAGACCGCAAACACCGGATTGCTCTGTTTAGTAGAAACCTGAGACTATGAAGACTAGGACTGTATGTTTTCGTAGTCTATTAGCGAAAATGAAAGCCGTCTCGGGCGAAGATCAGGAAGATGGGGAAGTGGGGTAATAGCGATGGCAAAAGAAAGTGAGGCTCGCTTGTGCTGTCGTGGAAAGATGGACCTTTCCTATGTCGTGTTTGCAATGCCCCTGCTACTTTTGGGGGGCCTTTTCGAGCCCGTACATAGTAAGATCATTACGGGGGTTTTCATTCAGAGCAACATGAGAAGAGGCTCTGCCTCCATAGTACGGGACCCCATGTGACGAAAACACGCCCAGCTGAAGAGGGAGATGACCGAAGGATTTCAATATCCATGAGGCGTATGATAGATATCCAATAGGAAGTCAACGCGGCAGCGTTCTGCATGCACTGCGCCTTCCAATGTGACAGTGATATAAATGGAGGCGTAAGCAAACGGCTTGGCTCCCGGTCCGTTTCATCGGATTAGGACAAGCAAACTTGGGCGATTAGTAAGCAAAGCCTTTGTTGTTATATTCTGTTGGTCCAACTTACCCCGACATTCCAAAGGACCGAGCTGACTAGCTGGTGATGGTGTAGAGCTGCCTGCGGGGACGATATTCGGAGAAATCTATCCAAGCGGTACCTCATACTGGGCGCGGACAGCAAAGATCGAAGCCACAGACAAGAACGGAAAGCCGAGCCCATTCTTCATCAAGGTTAGTGACGAAAACAGCCATGCTAAAGTCAACGCTCATATCGCTTCCTAGGTGCACCAAAAATATCACGGCCGGAAAATGGTGTCGGCGGAGTTCGAGGCCATGACAACGCTCTATCAGGTCATGCCGGAGATTGTCGCAGAGCCTCTGGCATGGGGTGGATATGAGATGGAAAATGATACGTGGTTCTACATTTGTCGTTTTCACGAACTTTCTGAAGATATCCCCGACGTCTCCGACTTTCCCGCCCTTTTGGCCGAGCTGCACAAGAGAGGAGGAGCAAACGAAACTGAGTTCGGGTTTCCTATCACAACATATGGAGGCCGTAATCGACGCACGTTTCCGGTCTCCAAGAGTTGGGAAGAAACTTTCTCGAAGGGGCTGCATAATACGTTTGATATTGAGGAAGAAACGCAGGGAAAACCCGAGGAGATGACGTCCCTGCGCAAGGAGTTTGTGGCTAAAATCGTGCCTCGTCTTCTGCGTCCTCTGGAAACAGAGGGCCGGAAGCTGACGCCGGCACTCGTGCATGGCGATATCTGGGATGGAAATGCGTCTGTCGATGTGCAGACAGGTTTGCCCCTGATATTTGATGCAACGCCAATGTATGCCCACAACGAATGTATGTCGACTAGGTCTTGGTGCCTCATTGTTTGACCATCCGCGATTTAGACTGACGATACTTCTTAGACGATTTAGCCCCATGGTGAATACCACGCCACAAAATGACCGAAGCGTACATCGACGAATACGTCAAACACTACCCGATATCTGCTCAACAAATATCCTCTCGGGTATAACGGATATCAAAAAGAAAAATTGGTGGACACGCTCACCAACGCGTCTGTTGTGGCGAGCCAGGAAGAGTCGAGTGTTGCAAAGCAAGACACGGGCCCATCTGCTATAATAGCTTCCACCCCTGTCTGACATTAGGCCAACACACACAAAACTTCTGCGGGGATATTCTCAGTAGTCATGTTATAGCCATCTATTATACGATCTTAAACCGAAGCCACCCTCCCTTTCTGCCGGAAATAATTCTGGAGTTTCAAAGCCAAAAGCCAAAAATAAAAGTAGTCAGCTTGCTACCAACAGGGTGTAGGGACTCGCAATAAAGAAGTCCAGTTCTGCGTACAATACTTACATTGGCGTACATGCAGGGACAAATATCCGCGCTACTCATTCGGCAGTTTTCACGAGCCAGCGACGTAACATTATAAACCAGGCGCTTCCGCTGTCACGCATCTCCTGCCTCTGCCGAGCATAATTCACCTGCAACCATATCAATCCGAGTCGCAGCATTCGAGTTCTCAAGCCGGATTCGGTGCCAACTATCGCACATAGCATACGATGGCCACTAAAAACAGTGGCCCAGTCGTGGCCTCTGTGGCATTAGAAGAGGGGGATGCAGAAAAGGTGGCCAGCCACACCGCTGATCTGACCTCCGTCTCAGCCGATGCAGGGCCACCATACACCGTTTTCAGCCTGCGCACCCGCTGGCTAATCGTGGTCCTTCTCGGCTATTTGGGCCTGGCCTCGACGCTGACGGCCAACATCTACTTCCCGCTGCTAGACCTCTTGGCGGCCCGTTACGCCGTCTCGCCCCAGGCCATCAACCTGACGATCACGCTCTACTTTGTCGTCCAGGGCATCGCGCCGTCTTTCTGGTCGCCGCTGTCGGACCGCGTCGGCCGCCGGCCCATCTTCCTGGCCACCTTTATCGTCTACACGCTGGCATCAGCCGGCCTTTCTGCCGCCCCCAGCAACAGCTACGCGGTCCTGCTCCTGTTGCGGGCCATGCAGAGTGTTGGCGCATCCGCGGTGCTGTCCATGGCATACGCAGCCGTGGCCGACGTGACCGTGCACACCGGCCGCGGGTGCTTCCTGGCGCCCATGATGACGGCCGTCAACATCGGCACCTGCGTCGGGCCCGTGGTCGGTGGCGCGGCCGTGTTGCGCTCGGGCGACCCGCGCTGGTGCTTTCGCACGCTGCTGGCGTTTGGCGCCTCAGGCTTTCTCCTCATCGGTCTGGCGCTGCCCGAGACGGCACGGTCTGTCGTCGGCAACGGCTCGACGGCTGCACGGGGCCTGTGTCGGACCTGGTGGTCTATGGCACACATACACGCGAGGCCGTCCCGAATCAAGGCCACCTCCAAAGGCCAGACGAGGCGCTGCACTGTCCCTCATCCCTTTGGTGCTCTGCGGATGCTGTTCTATCCGGACATGTTGCTGACACTGTAGCTAGCCAGCTCTTCCTATGCTCTGTAGTTCTGCGTTCAGACGTCCATCTCGCCCGCCTTTTCGCGCATCTACGGCTTCGACCCGCTGCAGGTCGGCCTCTGCTTCCTAGCTGGTGGTGCTGGAATTCTGGCCGGTGGCCTCATCGCCAGTCGGCTGCTCGACCACAACTACCGCCACATGGCACGCAACTGTGGCCTGCCGGTCGATCGTGTCCGCGGCCTCGACAGCGTCGCGCACTTTCCGCTGGAACATGCTCGCACGCACGGATCTGTGCGCATCCTGACGATCTCGCTGGCCGCCGTCGTCGGCTACGGCTGGGTTCTCGACCAGCCGCATGGCCACATCCATCCAGCCGTACCGCTGCTCCTGCAGGCCTTTCTCGCCTGCAAGTGCACCATACTGCTACAGACCTACAGCGCACTCGCCGTCGACGTGTTCCCCAAGAGAACCGGCACCGCCGCTGCCGCCAATAATATCACCCGCTGCCTGCTGGCGGCTGGCGCTGTCGCTGCGCTCGATCCGCTGGCACAGGCACTCGGCTACGGCTGGGTCTTCACGCTTCTGGGACTGCTAGATGCCGTCGCCGGCGTGGCTGCCGTTCTGGCGCTGCGCCGCTGGGGACCGTTGTAGCGAGAGAAGCGAGAGAAGCGGACAGCAAGCAGTCCATCGTAGCATGTTGTTCATATCGGACGTAAGTTGACTATGCACTTGGCTAGACCCTCCTAGAACCTTGAACTCTGTATACCGCCATTACGAGCGATCTCCCAGTCTGCTATAGCCTCGTGCCAAAGCGAGCTTACTATGACAAGTCGATCTTACCCTCTCTGTCTTATGTAATGCTGGGGGTGTCTGGTATATTTAGAGAATATTACTTTATTTTTGTTTGTAACGGTTTGTTAGACATAAGGCAAGTCAGCGCTAGTGTATGCTTGAAGATGGCTAAACCCTATTTCGAAGCTCCACAGTACCCCGCTGACTTAGATCGTTATATACGGATCACTCGCAAGCGTTTCCATCAACGCCAATTTGCTCACTACCCACCAACGGATGTCCAGTCATGATAAGTACTATCTTACCTTTTCGGACGGCCTAAGCAGCACATTTCTCAGGAATTGATAATACTAACGTGTCTGCACTTTCATGCCTTCTTTAGTCGGACTTGAAGTTGGATGCAGGTGTTGTAGAAGAAAGCCAAGCAAACAGCTTACGCTTATCCCCTAAAACCTTATAACCCTAGAATATAAAATTATAGCCTTGTATAAGGAAGGCTTGCCTAAGACCAGCGATGATCTAAGACGCCTGTTTATTGTCCACTCGGAATCCTAAATAGAGTTGCAAAAAACAAAAAAACCCTCAGCATAGCTACCACCACTGCCAGAAGGCTTTCCGGTCAGAGGCATGACGCAGGCTTGGTTCGTAAAATCCTTTTGGCTTATTGTCAAAGCATCTAGGAGACATCCACACACTGAATGAGAAACCGCTAGCCCACTAGACAATCTAATGTTAGCCATGGAATCAAATGAAGCCAAAAGTGAAGAAGGACTTACGAGAGAATTTGAGCAGAAAATCGAGAAAAGACACCTGAATTCCACCATCACCGTCCTCCACAGAAGTTGGCGCCATGACATTGTCTTGCGTGATAGCGGATCCAAAGCCAAGTAGATAATCAAGACAATCGACACAAGTATATAACCCGTCATGAATATATTCAGTTCAGGGAAGTAAGGTGCTTGCACAAGTCCGAGCCAGTTCAGCAAGCCAATCCATTTCGCGAATGCGTAGATGCCATTGCCTATATGAGCAAGGAAACAGGCTGTGACTTGGTCTACGACAGGTGGACGAGATGGGTCACAGAACATTATCGGAATTGTATCAGTCGTGCTAATATGCTCGATGATGTTTGAGTTGTTGCCGGTGTACACGTTTTTTTTTGTCATGAGGGTTAGATTAAACAGACACGATCTCGCGGTGAAATCTCACTTACTCAACCCATATACTCATTAAGCATCACGTGTGATCACAGTATTAGTAGTATGCCTCGACGCTCAACTCTGAATCAGCAATCAAACATCGTCTTTTGTAAAGGGGTAAGCTTTGTACAAACTTAACAGGTCTTCTCATCTATCACCTTACAAGCTTAAAAGTACATCACCTCTTGCTTTTACCCTGACGGCAATGAAAAGCTTTGAGCCGGGACTTTCAGTCGATCTCAAAAATTGTTGACTGTCAAACTAGGTTCGAACAATCGGGTACCCCGGCCGCGGGATGCTAAGCCGGTGACCCCATCCGTAGAAACCAGGACGGGGTCATGACCTACTCGACACATTTGATAATCAGGTGGAGGTTAAGCGCCGCCAAAACGATCATCCTCCCGAATTTGAGCAACCATAGTCGATCTGGAGAACAGTCGGAGACATTATCTTTCTAAAAACTCCAGCAAAGGAAGCGATCCAGAGTGTAGGTCAGCACAGGGCACAGCAGCCAGGTGTAGAGAATAAGAAGTGACTTTTCGGTAGTCATGATGAATGATCGTGTCTGCGAATTCCGGCGAGCATAAGGAAAAAAGAAGAAAAAGGAAGCAAGCAGAACAGAACGCCATGGTTTTGACGACTGTATTTGTCAGTGCTCAATTCACTGTAAAGGAAGGCGCGATGAGCACGCGAGATCGGACTTCACACTTGTACGACGAATTTGAGTACTTTAAAATGGAAGGAGCAAAGGGAAGGGAAGGCATCCATACAATCGAGGCATTGGTGAAATATGTAGATCGATAGCAAATTAGTAACAATGCAGGGAAACAGCTCTTAGCAAATTTGTTACATTGGACAGGAAGAGAGATTGGGAATGGTTGAAAGCAGAACTGCCTTATATGAGCTTCCCATTTGGAATATCTTCGCTTGAACGGACGCCATATCGCTCGCTACAAATAAAACCCAATTTTGTGTCAAAAAGCTCGTGGCAAAACAAGTTACTGTTACAGTAAGAATAAAAGCGCAAGCAAAAAAGAGAAGGGAGAACAGAAAGAGAAAGAAAGAAGAAGAATCGCCCATCGCTAATTAAATTACTTGACTACGGAGTATTTGGGAAGGATATGCAGATTCGCCTGTCTACCTGCACAGATACAGAAACGGACTCCGCTAGCGCGCTAGGCTTCCTGTGCTGTTTATTGTTTCTTGGCCAGCTTGGCAAAACGGGTTCATACTATTATTGATGAGCTCGCCAGGGGCGGAGACGCGGTAAATCCCGCTTTTTATATTTACATACTCGTACTCCATACTCCGTTTTATGGAGTCCTTGCGAGATGCTAACCAGAAATGCAAGCCTCATGTGGTGGGGCTCGGAGCATTGCCCAGGTTGGCCTGCAGCGACGCAGAGTCCGAGCAAGCGCTGTGCTCAGCCTGCCGCGCGACACAGACGAAGCATGTCGGCTGCAGGCCAATCTTTCAGCCCCCAACGAGCCGATTGTCAGTGTGTCTGGTCCGACAGACTGCCGCAGTCACCGAGGCAGATATGCACAGGTGCCAAAGTGCAGAAAGGCAAAGGCAGACGCGCAGAGACAAAGCGACGTGACCGAGACCCAAGCAAGCCAAGGAAGGCGAACGGCATTTCACCGGTGCAGAAGAGCAGCCGATTGGCCCGCGAACAACAAGGCAGGAAGAACAAGGCAGAAGGGAAGACAAGAGCAAGGAGAAGGATTTAGGGGCCACCCTTAGGCCCTCCTTAGCTCTGCGGCTGCCCAGCGACCGCCAAAAACCGACGCTGTCCGTCTTTAGACGGGCGGGAGAACAGATGGGGAATAGTGACTGGCGAAAACGGGACGAGAACAATACGAGACAGGAGGCAAAAGAACAGGTGGGAGGGGGGGTGGGAAGAGGGGAAGGCAGAGACAGAACAGCAGAACCCGTAAAAAAAAGGAACCCGGAAGGGGTCCCGATGCAAGGCGGTCGAGAAAGAGGGAAATGATAGACACGAGTCGGACAAACATTGGAGCACTGTCTTACGTTTCCGCGGCTTGTCCTGCCTTGTCTGCCTTGCCTCTGCGCCTTCTGGCTTCCGTGCTGTCTCGAACGGGTTGCAGAGCAGATTGCCTTCATTCCGGCTATGAGTCTGGTGTGGAAAAAAAGAGGAAAATGAGTAGATTGGTTATTCTCAATGCGCCAGAGCTCCTACTTCCATCCGCCCTTTGCCTTTCCTTATGAATTCCCTTTTCTCTTGCCCACCAGTCTGGATCGAATACAGAATGGACAATCACAGTTGTCCGCCCGCTAAACGTAAAAAGAATAAATAAAAGAAAAAGAAAACATGCTCCCATAAGATTCGTCGCAAATATTCGTCATAGAAACCCGGCAAGTCGGCCAGACAAGAAGAGTCCAATAGAAAGCTCGCGGCCAACGCACGCACACACCCAAGACATACATAACTCAAAGCAGTCCAAATTCGGATAGATCAGAAAACAGAGGCCAGCCCATGTAAAGAGAAAAACAAAAGAGTGGATACGCCATTATTGTATGGTCAAAAGGACCCAAGCCATCGCAGTCGGTCGCCTCGCTCAGGCCACGACTCCGGGTGATGCCATGGACAATGGTGTCGTGGGATATTCGTAGTCGGCGTCGGAGCAGCTGGTCGAGTGGTCGTACGAGTGTGCCAGCGGAGGGGTCTGTGCCGAGAGCGAGCCAGGTCAGGATGTTTTTCTTTTTTCTTTTTTTGCTAGTTCTCTTTCATCTTCCTTCTCCCCGGAGAGGCAAAGAAAGAAGACAAGAGACAAAGAAGATCTACAGAAGAGCAGGTCTTCAGGATCGCTGCAAACTCACATGAGGGTTCGAGTCGAAGGGGTTGGCCGTATCCATGCCGGCCGTTGGCATGAAGTGATAGCTCATGTAGGGGGGGATTGTGGTAGCAGCTACAGCTGCAGCAACAGCTGCGGCGTCATCGTCGACGCCTACCTCCCGCTTGATGTGGCTACCACCAAACTGGTGGTGGCCGTGTTGACTGTGGTGGCCCATTGACGGCAGCGGGACGGGAACCTCGTTCGCCAAGATCCAGTCGTAGCTATATGCCGCAGTCGTGTCCGTGCGGTAGGACTGGGCAGAAGCGGCTGTGCTGTGCGCGTTGCCGACCAACATGTCTTCTGGCGGCGCCGGGTAGGTGGAATAGTTTGAGAACATGTTGGGGGGCGTGTGCGAGCGCGAGCGGTCGTCGTAGGTTGTGGGCGCAAACAGCAGGTCGTCGTCGTGGTTCAGTGGAGGCGTGAAGTGGCTTTGCGCGACGGCCTGTTTTGGACGTGGGATCATGACCGGGTGCAGGTGTTCTTGCTGTTGGAATGGGGATGTGCGTCTCTGTTGTTGTTGTTGCTGCTGCTGTTGCTGCCGTTGCTGCCGCTGTTGGTGGGCGGCCTCTGCGGCAGAAAGGGACGAGAGCGTGGGCTGCTGCTTCTTGGGCCGGTGTACTTTGCCTGAGGAGCTGGCGCTATTGCTCCGGCTCCCGCTGGTGGTCTTGCTGCCAGTGCTGCCGTTGCTGCCAGAGCTGCCGGAAGGCGACGGTGATTTGCCGTCGGATGAGCTGGCACGCCGCTCCAGGTCCTCCAAACGCCGCTTAAGCTTCTTGCCTGTTCTTGTGTCAGCAGCGGAGAGGGAGAAGAGGAGAGAGGGAGGGCAGGAGTTGAAAGGGGTTAAACGGCAGGATGGCAGGAAGAGCCTACGGTAATTGCGCTGGGCAATCCGGTTCTGTATCCGGCGCCGCTCGGCCAGATCGGAGATCTTGGTCCAGTCCTCGTCCGGGTTGGCTGAGCTGCTGAAGGCGCTGCTGTTGCTGTGGTTCGCGTACTGTCGAGTGGGAGCTGTGGCCACGGGTGCGGCTGTCTGCACCATGGATGCTGGTACTGGCGCCGGGTAGCCGTACATCTGGTGTTGTGGTACGCTGAACATTGTGTGAGAGAAGAGAGGAGAGAGAGGGTAGAGAAAGAGTCTGCGAGAGCAGGGCTGTCTCTGGGAGAGGACAGGTTGTGGAAGAAAAGGAGAGAGCGAGAGCAACAGAGCAGAGTGGAACAGGCACAATGGATGAACAGTGCACGGGCAAGAAACTAGATGGGATGACTTTAGTGTGAAGACAATGGCTTTTTGATCCGACTTGTGTTTTCGCGTGGGAAGCTTGAAAGGCCGTTGTGCAGATTGTATAATAAGATGATGTGAACCCGAGGTGGTGGATGGGGAGGAAGCCGTATTTAATATTTTCAAGCCTTGCACGCCTTTGCATCGAATGTGCGTGTGTACTCGTAGAAGAGAGTGGTGGTAGATATTAATACTCGTACAGCGAGAAAAGAGAAGAGCAGCTCTGTGCGGGCCTTCCTTAGAATCATTTTAGGTAGGAAAGGAGGGGGGGTACAAGGAAGGTTTCTAAGCTCACCCCCTTGTTATTTTCACCCCCCTCCATCAGTTTGACCCTTAAACTCCTCCGCCTTTAGGTGTTACTACCACGTACTCCGTACAAGGATAGGCCTTTGCCAGTCTTTCCTCTGTAACTCAGTGCTATCTACAGGGGTCCTGCTTCTTCTTGCAGCGCTCGAGCTCGCGCTCGCACTCATTACCCCATCAGCTTGCCCCATGCTTTACTCCATGCTCTTTTTCCCCGTCTTCCAACACGCTTGCACAAGACAAATGCTACGGGATACTCGGAATTTCACAGGGCGCCCGTCCGCCGTTTGGACATCTCGGGCAAGAATCAGTTCGTCGTGTCCGGAAGTTGGAAGCATCGTCGTATGGCTACCCACCCATGCATATGTGACTCAGGTTCTCCGCAGGAACAACCATCTTCTCTTACCGCAAGACTGACCAGTTTTCTCCTCCAAATCGAGCCTACAGGCTGTCAAATGTGGCGGGATGGGAGACGAGACGTACAGGTACGGTGCATATGAAAGGGTGTGTCGGGTGGGGTCTCTTTCGACCGGCTGGGACCTCTCGACCGGCTGGGATAGAAGAGATGCATAGTACGGAGTACAAGCATGGGCAGTGCTAGGGGGGAGGAGAAGAGGGGAGGCAGTCCTGTGTCGATCGCTGTACAGACTGCGAGTACTCCATACGGGCAAGATACTCCGTACTTGGTCAGAGCACAGAATTGCAATAAGGCACCAGAAGCGGAAAGACCTCTTACCAAGACATGCGGCCGAGCTCTCTGGGCTGCATACGGGGCTCCTGCCAGGGGGGGGGGGGAGAGAGAGGAGAGAGGAGAAAGTGTAGGTGAGATATGAATGGTCCAAAGTACGACATGAAGAGACGAGTCGGGGAAGACAGGGGGTGTGTCTACGGGGGTGTGGATACGCTGTAGCTTAGAGGACGGGAACGGAGAGTAAGGCTGGTAAAACGGTGCGACGGCGAAACGATAACGAGAAATAGGCCGGTGGAGCACAGAGAACGGACGCCGCGCAAATGGACGAATCAGCAGAGACGGCGGCGAGAACGGAGCGCTGCCATTTTGGGAAGAGGATTTGTGGTGTGTGCGATACAGCTCTGTGGTTCGCTAGCAGGCCATTTCGCGCTATTGGCCGCTGCAAGTGGGCAAATTTAGACGCAGCAAGCAAGCGCATCCCACTTTTAGCAACACACAGGTGCAGAAGATTTGGACTCATCTGGTGGTGTACTGCCCCAATTCTTCCCTTCTTCTCTAAGAATAAACTGCAAATGAATGGTCTGGCACCTCTAGGCTCGTACGATGCAGATTCATCCTGTCGCCGCGCACCCAGCCTTTTGGATATATAGAAGACGGACGATGGCTTCGTGCATGTGCTCTGTGCTGTGGCCAGAAGCGAATCTATTTACGACCTCGTCAGGCTAAGGTGCGAAAAAGCGCAAAGGCGGGGCAGGGAGACGTGCGACCCTCTCCTGGCTAGCTCCCCCTCTTGCTCCCCCTCTTTCTTCTTCTCAATAAGCCTTGCAAGAGGGCAGCCTGGCGGCAGACGTGCACATGACTACGCAGATACAAAGTTCTACATACGATATCAGACCCACAGGACCCCTCGAACAGCACTCTGCTACCCGGGGTCGATTCCAAATCGGCGGATGAGCCGTTGGGGGCGAAGGGTGCCTGCCCCCGAGATGCCTGCCGGCCGGTCAGGAGGGGGCTGAGGATTAAGAGAGGCGCAAGACCACTTGGTGGCACCAGGAGTTTGTGACGATGCCCTTGTTCTCCCTTGACCGAGATCCGGGATTCTGATTAAGAGCAGGATCGGCGAAAGGATTGCTGTGTGCCCGACTGGCTGTGTTGCATTGTAAGAACCCAGGCAAATACAGACACATCCATGTCGAGAAAGTGCAGCCGATAAGGAGTCACAGCAGGCGAACAGCAGAGTTCGAGTTCTCGCAAGTAAAAGCACGGCCACACATCTCAGAGGTCCGTACCGAGCCCAGAACAGCAAGTGAATGCGAGCTTAAGTACGAGCTTGTCGTGTCATAACCTTTGTGCAGACGCCGATTGTCTTCGTTCCCCATCCTCTCGGCCTCTGTCGATCCTTTTCCGTTTCCTTCTTGTTCCTTGCCGGTCATACCTATCCTTGCCGTAACGTTGCCTTTCTTACTTCGCTCTAAATAGGCACAGCCAGATTTATCAGCGTGCGTACACGATACGGATTACTATGTAGGCCTTTTGGTTAACTACAGCCTTCGTCCATACTCGTATATCGATCTCGGGGCGGGGCAACTCACCCCTGCAGTGACTTGTTTCCTGCCTTTCAATTTATCGTCTGCCCCAGTTTTTCCCTTCGGCTGCGCTTCCGCAAGCTTTCCTCTTTCCGTAGCATTGCTGCTCTGCCATTCTGGACACGACCACACGTCAGCACGTGCCCAACTCTCTGCTACTCTACCGATGCACCCGTGAGTTTTGGCCCAAACAATGGTGCATTAAACCCTAACGCCTATTGTTGCTATGGCGGTCTCCCAGAACGCAGCGAGTGGTGAGCAGGTCGTTCCCGCACTCAAAGAGAGCAGTTGCCCTTTAGAAGGCAGTAGCGCTCCGAGGAGGACGGTGTGTAGCGCATGGGGTTTCTGTGCTCCGGCTCCACTGGGCCCCTGTATTTGCTTCCTCCGCCAAAACCTCTGCGCACCCCGACGTGGTAACAGGGAAGATGCCTTTTAGGTCCTAGACTACTCCGTACGACGACTAAATTGGCCGCTGGGAAATTGCAGTGCAGGGATCAGGTGGGCTCTTTGCACATCTCAAACACTTGGCTGTCCCTGTTTTTTAGCACCTGTAAATGCCCGACCAGAGTTACGGAGCGGCATGTGAAGTACACAGGATTTCCGCGTATTCCGTACATAGTACGAGTGGTAAACCACGGTTGTAGTGGCAGTGGCTCCGGACTCCACTACTCGCAACCCGTCTTCTCACTGTAACGCTCTCGGTCTGGCATCATATCTTACTCACAGAACCCCGGTCGCGGCTCCCACATCGCACGTGCTTTGTAAGTGCCTATTTTTGATTTTGACCATTACCAATACGCTGTCTCGCCTTCCCATTGGCCAGGTCAGTGACTGGCGGCAGACGGAACCTTAAAAGGGGACTTGCCCAATATTCGACACATAAGATACGACGTAACTTACGACGTGCCAGCATCGTCTCCTTGCCCGGAAGAAGGAGCTAGACAAGGGCGTGATTGCGCATTAATACGACAAGCCCGTGGGGTGCAACGACCATAGCCACGGTCCATCGAACTGTTGCGCCTGCCTTCGGCTGCGAGGACTCGTATCTCACTTCATATCTTACGAGTGCATCACACACTCCTCCATTGTGCAGCCATATCCTGATTTGCCTAGATCCGGGAGGAATGAGCATCTCCTCGGCGTTACCCGTCAGTGTGCGCTGTCATCATTTTGTCCCGGTTGCCACCGTCCCCGGACACTCCTTCTGTGGCCGTGCTTTCCTACCACGAGCGGCGAGTTTGGGCCGTCGGTTGATCAATAACCCTATCGTAGACAGTTGCTCCCCTTCCACACCAGGCCTCTCCGGACTTGCCCCAAGCTCCTCCGCTCGGGGCAAGATTCCAGTAGTCCCCCGCTGCTGCGGATCACTATTTCACTTCTCTGCTCTCTAGATAACTATCACCAAAATCAGATGCTACGCATAGAAATCCTTACTCACACCTCTGCGCCTGCCGGAAGCCGACAGAGAAATCGCCTATGGGCAGAGTTGTAGCGGCGGTACTGGCCAGCGGGCCTAGTCCATCCGCCAGTGACGGCGCCAGCTAACTAATTGGCTTGATACTACAGTGAGACGAATTTGCTAAAAGGGCGGCCGCTTGGAAGCGTGTGATTCGAGAACTTTCCCACAAAATGGGACTTGTCTGACAGTGAATGATAAGCTGCCGTATTCTTGAATCTGCCTTGTTTCCCAAATTTCTCCTTGCCCGTCTGATAGCCGTTTTATTAGTAGATATGCCATGTAAGATACAAACGCCGATATGCTGGCATAGCCTGGGATTGGTGGGGGTTCCTGCTCGATATACCAATCCCCCCCTGTAATATTCTCGTCATACAGGGGCTCAGCCCTACCTATTTCAATAGCCACAGCACCGTGCAGCTCCCCCCCCCGAGGCAAATGGACAATGCAAGCATTAGTTGATATGCCGATTCTGGTAGAATCTATTTCAAAGCAACCGACCTCCCTTGGTAGCTAGCAGTTCCATGCAACGCTGCTCTCACCGCCACCCTTTCCATATCTTCCGCCACATACGCCATTGCTTAGTGCTTGAATGGCTGCATCTCTCAGAATCAGCGGTAGTATGTCAGACAGCGCAAAATTCGCTCCAGACTGTCGGGTCGGACAGTCTGGCTGCCTATTGCGGACATCTTGTCTTTTGCATGTGCCACTGCTTTCCGTGCCGTCTGCTTCCCCAAGAACACTTATGGGCCCCAACATGTGCTAAAGCTCAAGCAAACCTTCCCAGTTGGGCACTATCAGCCTTATCATCCCAAGGTCTGTCAGATCAAATTCCTTACACCCTCCACTGACCGTTTTGCCCCTGAACCATACTCCCTCTGCCGGCCCCCTTCTCATTTCCTTTTGGTCAATATTAGCTGTACTATGTACCGTGCCAGTGGTCTCATCGCAGAAGGGGCACGAGTGTGGTGCTTGGCTTTTACATGGGTTGGGCGGCAACTGACAAAACAGATAAGACAGATAAAAAACAAAGCCTAACGGAGAGGGTAAGATGGCCGGAAAAAAGGCGGCTCTAGCTTGCCATTGGCCATTCGCGGGAATTTGTAATTGTCATCAAAGGCTTGGCACTCTGCGGGCTAAAATAGAACTGCTGAGCCAAAAGTCCTACGGAGAACATAGTATGAGGATCTTCCGCTTGGTGATCTCCCCGCTCCTGTGCTTTCTGTCTTGCGGGGCGTGGTCAGGTCAAGGTAAGTCAGCAAGGGAACATCAATGCGCTTCTGGGGAAATATGAGGCAAGGGTTCGAATACGCTATTTTTCTGACCCCTGCTAGTATAGCGATCCGGAGTTTTAGTTTAACCCCGGATCCGAGCACTGATGGGGAAGACCAGAGTTCAGGCCATACGACTACGTGTGGCAGAGCGTTTTGGTTGATACGAGCATGCAAATGAGTCGCTACCGTAGCGATACGAGACAATCATGGCGCAAGCACTGGGGGTCAACGGTTGGACGGTTGGTCGGAGGGAGAGATTCCAGCAAAACGTTTAGGTTCTCACACGGCTCGCTTAAATGGGAGGCTATAGTTTTAGGATCTTCTTGGCCTTCCTGATTTCGTGTTCCCTCTTGTGGACGGAGTAGGGGAAAGGGATGGAAGGTGGGGAGTGGAAGCGCGCTAGTCTTTCGGTCCTTGGAGACAGGCTCGTACTCGTATACTCGTATACCGTATACGGGTGCTTGTGCTTCTGAGCAGGTAAGTACATAGTATCATGGCGGCGTTCTCCGTCACCAAAACCAGCCCCCAATAGACTTGCTGGAGTTTGTGATATACCCGTTGTAAATGCGGGCTTAGCGGTTTTTGCGGGTGTATGACGGGAATGCAACGAGGGCCTGAGAGTGGAAGGTGTGGATAATATAAAAAAGGTGGGAAAGGTGGAAAGGTGGAAATGGCAGTTTCGACAAGCCCCCCTGGTTGACATTTCTGTGTCAGACACACGCCCTTTCCATATGAGGCGGAGGGCGTTAGCTGTCTTTAATGGGGTTTAAGCCAAAAGTGACAATGACTGGTGATTGGGCCGTATGTAGTAGCGGCGACGGCCGTTGAATCCTTCCTCTTCCAGTATAACCGATCCTTGCACACGGGATCTGTCCTTTCGGCCCTTTGCATTTTGCTTGCTGTATCGGCCGGATGACGATGTCCTGCGTTGGCCATCGGCAGCCATCGGGGACCGTCGGTCGGTGCTGTGCCGTCGAGCAGAAGAGCATGCGTCCTTTCGTTTCTCTCCACAATTCGCGGGTCCGCTGTTGCTGGGGAAAACGGAGTGGCCCCATGTATATTACGTAAGCATTCCCGTTCCGACGACGGAGGATTTGGGACACAATTTCCTGATAGGGAAGTAGGTCTCGATTGGGTGGAACAACGAGCAGATGGATGGTGTCCTCCCTGGCGAGAGTTTCAGTATCAAAGACACCCGCAATGCGTTTCAGCCCTACACGTGTCTGTTTCTGCCAAGGCATTCCTCCCAGAGTCGGTTCTCCCTGCGAGTGGGACGACCTGTTCTCAGTGATGCAGAGATGGGCTGTTGACGCATTACATAGTACGGTTCCCAGTTCTCCCCCATATCTGTTCGCTCTATTCGATTTCTGTGCGTTAGGCCTTCGGACATCAATGTGTGTCGTAGGGCTGGAAAAGAGGGGGGAGGGGAAGAGGATGCCGGGCTTGTCTCCACTGTAAGCTTGGCAACAGAAGCAGACGGACGCGGAGAAGGGCTTAGTAAAGACGGGTTCTCGCCGGAAGATTCCACAGAGATTCCACAGAAGGGACAAAGGGGGCTGTGTGCGGACAGTCCGCTTCCTTTGGTTGTTTCGCGAGCCGAAAGCAAGTCGGAGGGCTGTTGGACGGCTGCGATCGGTTGCTCATGTTGGTAAGCATCGGCAGCCAGGACGAGGACAAAAGCAGGACAGGATTGAGAGGGTTGCAGTCGGTACCAGATACAGAGTACCAGAGTACCAGACGGTATCCGTTGTCCATGGGCTCTGGGAGAAGTCTGGCGGTGAGGCTACCAATTTATTTGGGATATGCGCCTAAAAGAAGTGTGGTAAGACGGGAGCCAGTCGGACTCGCCGCAAAGGCGGCTTTTCGGCGTACGGCGATGATTGGCTGGGTAGCGAGCGCAGTGAAGGAACGTTGCGTGTGTGCCAATCTTGAACATGCACTGTCAAAGTGTTTTGGTGCCGTAGGGCTGAAGGACAACAACAAGGGCCGGGGGGAAAAGGGGGTGTGCTGCGTGTGTGTGTAAGCAGGGACATGTCTGCCTCGCTACATAGTACACATGTGTACGAGTATGTAAGTAGGGTGGGATTTTGTGGTAGGACCTTGGGTTTCTTGCTCGCATCTTACGATGCCAATCCCGGACGTGATTTGAAAGCAGACTCCCGGTGGCCTGGACATCGTGCCGTACAGAGTAACAGTCGTGCAAGTACGAGTCATGGCCGCGCCAGAGGGGGGGGGTGATCTGGGGCCTTTTTGGAAGGATTCGTTCCTCTTTTTTTTTCTCTTTTTTTCCCCTTTGTTCGCATGTTCCTTTCTGGCTTCCTTCCTTCTCTCTGATAGGAAACGGTGACGGTGGTCGGCCGACGACCGTTGGCTATTTGTCATCGGAGAGAACATTCCGTTGGTAGCGGCAGGCGGGGAAGGGAGCACTAGACAAGAGGAAAAACAGGCCAAACGTTAGCGTTAGGGGCAAGCCGCCGCGACCTTGTGGCCACGAAAAGCTTGGCCAGGTGCTAGGGTCGCTTGTTAGGGGTTGTGAAAGGGGCAAGTCAGTCGCGCTTTAGCCTTGGTGAGCGACGGGGTTTAGAGTCCGTTTTGGTCCGTTTTGTGTACGGGTACGGAAGGTGTAAAAACAAACAAACAAAAACAAAAAAACGTCAGCCGTCGGCGATGATTTGCCCCGCTTCCGCATTGGCTTGCAGCGTGCAGCACGTCTCAGCCACCCGCTGCGCCGCAGTCGAGAGGGCATGTGTCCTGGTCGAAGCCCCTCTGACCGAAGCGCTGTGCAGGGCCTAGACTGTTGCCGCAAGCCGGCTTCCTTCAACGACACCGACACAGAAGCGAAACGAGACGTTGTGGGCTGGCCGGCGACGTCATGGACCCGCTTTTGTCGCCAGGGGCAACCATGTATTGACACGCAGTTTTTGGGAGGGGGCGAGCATCGTCACCAAGAAGCAGAAGCATCCAGATCGATTGTCCGTGACCCTCAATTGCCCGCCATCCAGACAGACACGATGCGATTGCGCGTACGCCCTGCCTGGCGACGACAGCCGGCTGGCATGTGGCTCTTGCCGGCAGCCGCATTCCTGTGCGTGACGACGACGACGGCGGCGACGACGACAACGACGACGGCCGCCGCCTCTGCCGGGCTCTGTGTGGCCGGATACCACAGCTGCGCGGTCCTGGGCGCCAGCTTTGCGGACTTGTGCTGTCCACTGGTGCAGAGCTGCATGCTGGACGAAGCCGACGAGCCGGCCTGCTGTCCGGCCGGATATGCCTGCACGGGGACGGCGCCGGCGGCAGCCACGACGGCTTCGCTGTCGTACGTGCCCGACTACTACTACGGGTACTTTCCATACGTCGTGCCGGCCGGCGCGGCCGCATCAACGGCGCTCGCAGACATCGGCAGTTGCGACGCCGCTGTGCAGCAGTGCCGCGCCAACTTTGCGCTCTGCACGACAGTGTTAGGGGGTGCCATGGTCACAACTGACACTACGGCTGCTACAGCTGCCACTGCTGCTGCCACTGCTACAACACCCACAACCACTCCCACTTTCGGCGTCACCGTCGTCGTCTCAAGCCAGACCACAATCCAACTGCACAAAAGAGCTGCTGCCACCATATCTGCACTCGTTCTCACGGTGCCCACCACATTGGCTGCTGCGTCGGCTGCCAGCATCTGCAGCCTCCTCAGTAGCCAGGCCTGTGGAGGGCTGCCGGCCAGTTGCTCCGTCCTCTTCGCTACCAAAACGGCTACGGTCTCAGCTTCGAGCAGCACAAGATCATCCACCATCAGCAGTGCTGGCCGCAACGCTCAGCTGGCACCGCTGCACAGACATGTCGCCCTGCTCGCTGCAACTGTTGCCGTTGTGGTTCTTGTGCTATGACAAAGACGTGCTCTAATGCTTTACAATCAAATGAACCTATGTTAAACAATAAATGAAATTACTAGTACAATGGCCGAGCCTCCATGTGATCACGTGACATTGTCATCTCTCTCATTCCTCCTTCTCGGTCCTCGTTTCTCTTTCCCTCTCCCTCTCTCCCTCTCTCCCTCAATGATTCGGTCCTCCTCCGCGCATCCGCTTGCCTCCTCCAACTGGTCCACCAGCAGCCTCTCCCTCGTTCCTCAGCCGCTTGTTGTTGGGATTGAACGGCTCAGCGCCGGCATTCATCTGTCCGGCCGCACCAGCATTGCTGCCGCCACGACCCTGTCCACCGCCTCCGCGTCCGCCTCCCCGACCGCCACGCGGCGCTTGATACACGCCGCCGCCGCGACCGCCTGCTCCACCGCCGCGGTTGCCCGTGTTGGCACCGCCACGGCCGCCGCCTGGAACCGGAATGGCGCTTCGCACAGTCTGTTGGTTCTGGGCCTGTTGGCCTGCTTGGTTTGGTTGGCCTGCTTGGTTTGGTTGGCCTGGCTGGTTTGGTTGTGCCTGCTGGTTTGGTTGTGCCTGCTGGTTCTGCTGTCCTAAAGCCGCTGGCTGCTGTTGCTTCTGGAAAGGATTGGGCAGTGACGACGGAGGCGCTGGCTTGCCGCTGAACGGGTTGATGTTTGTAGCATTGACTGCTGCAGGCAGAGACTTTGGCTGCTGTTGCTGTTGTTGCTGCCGTTGCTGTTGTCCTGGAGCGACTGGCTTGGCTGGCAGGTTCGAGTTGGCCGGCCGAGCTGCCTGCACAATGACCGGCTTGGATTCCTGTCCAGGAGTTGACGGAGCTGCTGTCTGGACTGGAGTCATCGGGGCTGCTTGTGCTGTCGCAGCTGCTGGAGTCGCCGGAGTCGCCGGAGTCGCCGGAGTCGCTGGGACAACTTGTGCTGGAACTGCTACCACAACAGGCGCTGGCCGAGCATCTTTGGCCACAGCCCAAACTTCGACAACCGGTCGCTGAGGCGTCTGCACAGCCGCTGTCGACACTACTTCCAGCTTCGCGTTGGCCGTCTTCAGCTTGTTCTCCGCCATGTTGATGCGGATCGATGACTTCTTCTCGGCCATCATCTGACCCGTCTCCCGTGCCGACGCAATCTTGCCCTCGAACTCTGCTCGCACCACCAGCTCCAATTCTTCCCGCACTCGCCGGCTCTCCTGGTCCATCTTCTTCTTGATGTTGGACGCCACAATGCTGCGGATTGTCGCGTTGCTCGCCAGCAGGTCGCGTGTCTCCGCGTCGCCCAGCTTCGACAGGTCCATCATTGGTGTCTGAGGCTCTGATTTGACTGGAACTTGCGGCTGTGGTGCTCCTGGTGCTTCTCCTGCTCCCGCTCCTGCTCCTGCTCCCTCACTCGTCCATGTCTTCTTCTCCTGCTCCAGCCGCTGCTCCAGCTCAGCCTGCAGCTTCTCGCGAGCTTCCCGCAGCTCCTGCTCGCCCTTCTCCTTCGACTCCTTCAGCCGCCGGTTCAGCGCGTCCTTCATCTTGTCCGACCGCTCCTTGAGGATCGCCTGGATGTTGTCTTCCACCTCTTTGGCCTTTTGCTCAAACACCGCCGCGTTGGCCTCGGCGGCCGCCACCCGCTGCTCCAGAACTGCCCTCTCGTCTGCTGATACGGTCGCTGCTGTTGCTGTTGCTGTTGGTGCTGCTCCCTCGCCGCCGACCTCCAATGCCTGATCCCGCTCGCGCACCACTGCCTCCAGCTGGCTGCGCACGTCTGCCAGCTCCTGCTCCACCGCTGCCTTTTCGGCCTGCATCGTCTGCAGCTCCGTCTGCAGCCGGTCCACCTCGTCTTGCCGCTGGCTGACCTGCCCTCCTGATCCGCCCATCTCGACGTCTTCTGGTGAGGAGGATTCGACGCCGTCTGTTGCTTCGGCTGCCGACACCTTTGGCATCTCGTCTGTCGGCATCGTCGTCGTTGTCGTTGTCGCACTCGCCTCCACCACGGCCACCTCCAGCTCCCGGATCCGACTTTCGAGCGCCTCTCTCTCTGCTCGAGCTCCCGTCAGCTCTCCCTCCAGCACCTCCATCGCTGCCAGCCGTGAGCTCGTTGCCGTCAGCTGCTCCTGTAGCTCGTTCTTCTGTCCTATCAGCTCGCGGATCTGTGCTCCCTGCTGTCGTGCCTTCTCCTTGGCCTGCTCGATCAGCTTCTGTCGGCTCTCCCGCCACTGGCCTCGTTCCGTCTCTACCGTCGCCTCTAGCTCCTGCACCTTCTGTCGCTGTGCTGCCTCGGCTTCCTGCAGTGTCGCCCGCTCTGCCTCCACCTGTGCCATCGCCTGTCGCAGCTGCTCCATCTCCGTCGCATCCGCCACCTGTCCGTACTTGCTGAGGATGCTCTCCGTCCGCTTCTGCCACCGGTCTCGGTCCTCGCCGATCTGCCGCATCTCTTCCTCCAAGAACTGCTTCTGGTTCTCTAGCTCCGATACCCGCTGGCTCAGCGGCTCTAGCTGTGCCTGCAGCTCCTGCAGCCGCACCTCCTTCTGCCCTAGCTGTGCCTGTGCCTTCTGGTTGTCGTTCCGCAGCGTCACGTTGCTCTCCCGGATCAAGTTCAGCTCGTTCAGCTTCTCCATCAGCTCCTTGTGCGTCTGTGACGATCGGCTGACGTCGGCCTGCGACCGCCTCTCCTGCTCCAGCTTTAGCCGCGCCTCGTCCAGCTGCGCCTGTCCGTACTCCACCTTTTGCTGCAGCCGCTGCGTCTCCTGCAGCTTGAGGTTGTACTGCACCTCCAGGATCTCCTTCTCGCGCCGCAGGTAGCTGTTGAGCTCGCGCAGTCCTTCTGTTGCCGTGTCTGCGAGCGCTGCCGGCGTTGATCCGCCTGCTCCCTCGCCGTCTGCCTCTCCCATCGACACCCGGCTGTGCTGTAGGCTCGCAATCTGTGCCGTCACGCTCTCCAGCTGCTGTCCTAGTAGCTTGTTCTGCGCGTTGGTGTCTTCGCGTCGTGCCCGCATCTCCGACACCTCCTGTTCAAACTGTTGTCGTCGCTCCTCCCATGACGACTCGCTCTGGCTCAGCGCCACCTTGGCCGACTCCGCTTCCGCCCTCCACGACGCCGCCTCCGTCCGCAGATGGTTGTGTTCCGCCCGCAGCACCTGCAGCTGCTTTGCCGCGTCCGCGTGCTTCACCAGCTCCTGCTCGTAGTCCCGCTGCGCCTTGCTTGCAATCTCCGCCTGCGCCCGCAGGTCTGACTGGTGGTACTTCTTCTCGTCCTTTGCTCGCTCCTCCACCTCCTTGAGTCGCCCGATCTCCGACTCTAGGATTCGCTTTTCGTCCTCCAGCTTCCGTCCCAGCTCCGCTTGCGAGTCCCGTAGCGTGTTGAGCTCGCCGTTAGACTTGGTAAGCTCTGCCGACAGCCCCTCGACCGCTTGCTCCAGCTCCTGGATCCGCGTGTCCTTGGCCGCCAGCGCCGCATCCATCTCCTGTCGGTACTGCTCCTGCGACTCGTTGATGCTGTTCAGGTCTTCCTCCGCCGACTGCGCAATGTCCTTGTACGATGCCGTCTCCGCCTTGGTGCTTTCCAGCTCCGACTGCGTCAGCTCCAGCTCCCGTCGGAGCTCGGCCACCTCGGCCTCCAGCTCCTGCAGTTGTGTCGCCGCCTGCTCGTCCGCGTCCGCGTTCGCATCGTCCTGTGCCTGTTTCTGCACCCTCGACGTCGGCCGTGGCTGCAGCCTCTGCGTCCGCTCTTCTGCGCTCCGCAGCTCGATCGTCAGCTCGTTGACCCGTGCCTGGAGGTGATCTCGGCTCGTCTTGGTTGCCACCAACTCCTCCTTGCTCTGGCTGATCGTCGCCATCAGATCGTCGATCCGCTTCTGCGCCTCCTGGCCCTCGTACTCCTTGCGCAGCTGCAGCTTCTTCGCCTCTTCCGTCTCTTCCGAGAGCTTCCTCTTCGTCGTCGTGAGCTCCGCCTCCGCCTTGTCGATCTGCGCCTGCAGCCGCCGCCGCATCTCCGACTCCGACAGCTCGCGTTCGTTGAGCAAGCTCTGCTGCGATGCCAGCAGACTGTTTAATCGCGCCTTATCCTCGCCCAGGCTCTCGTTGTCTTGGCTCAGCCGGTCTTGGATGCCCTTCCAGAGCGTCTTCTCCGCCTTGAGGTTCGCGTTCTCGTTGCGCATGCTCTCCAGCAGGCTGCGCACCTCCACCAGGTCCATCGCCACCTGCTGCGTCCGGATGTCCTGCTTGGCGTACGACTCCGACAGGCTCTGGTTCTTCTCCTGCAGCGCCCGGTTGTCTGTCTCCAGCGCCGCGTAGTTGGACTGGAGCATCTCGTAGCGCTCAGATGCAAGCGTTAGCTGGCTGCTGACCCGCGCAATCTCCGCGTGCAAGCTGCTTCTCTCCATCGACAGCTTCTCCACCTGGCTGCGCATCGTCTTCCGGTCCACGCCCTGCTCGCTGCGGTACGAATCAAAGTTATTCTGCAGCTCGCGGAGCGCCACAGTCAGCTCTCCTTCATCCGCTGTCGAGTGGCGCTCGACACTAGCGAGCACCTCGCGCTGGCTGCCGTCGACCGACCCGCCGAGAACAGAGCTGATTTCGGCAAGGCTGGCCTTCTGCTGCAGCATGCGACGGAACATATCGCGCTCTGTCATATAACTCTTCATCCGGATCGTCACCGACTTAGACTCATCTTGAAGCCGAGATACAGTGTCGCGGAGCGTCTTCAGCTCCACCTGGTCACGCTCTGCCTGGCGCTTGGCCTCCGAGGCTTCGTCGTTCTCCATCTTGTTGGCTAGCTCGCGTGTGACGCGCAGCAGCTCCGCGTTCTTCTCCTGCAGCTCCCGGATGTCCTTGAACACCACAAACCGCTCTGATATGAACTGGTGCGTGTCCGACAGGTCGTCTAGGGCACCCTCGGTGACCCGGCCTTTCTGGAGGCGCTCGAACTGCTGCACTTCTTCTTCCGAAAGCTCGCCGAGGCCCTTTTCGCGGGCCTGCAGGTTAAAGACGAGCAGCTGGATCTGCGTGCTGAGGTCGCGGAGTTGGGTGCGCAGGATCTCGATCTCCGCCTGTGCCGTGATGCTGCTAGCTTCTGCCTTCTTCGCGGCCTTCTTGGCCACGTCACGCTCACCGAAGCTCTCCTCGCACAGCCGCGAAATTTGCACATTCTCGGTCCGTAGGCGCTCAGCCTCTTCCTGCAGATCAGCGATCTCGGGGCTCTTCGCCTCCAGGGCGCTCATGATCTCGTCCAGCTCCCGGGACAGTTCCTGCGTACGTCTCCTCTCGCGCGTGAGCTCGCCCTTAGTCTTGTAGAGCTCTTCCATCGCCTGTGCCGCCGTGATGCTGGATTTGCCGCGAAGAATGGAGCCGGGCGTACCAAATGGCGACGCAGCCCATCCGGCATTACCGTTCCCGGTTCCGTTGGCGCGGGGTGTCTGGGGCGCCGAACCGGGCGGCACTCTGGAAGCAGCAACGGGAGACGCCAAGACAGCCTGGAGCCGATCGACTTCGGCCTCGAGCTGCTGGGCGCGCTGTTCCGCCTGCTGTAGGTCTTCCTTGATCTGCTCCATCTCCTGGCGGACCCTCCGCACTTCGTCGGCCGACTCGTCCTTGACCTGCTCGAGGCGTAGCTCCACTTCGCGTAACCGATTGCGATGCGTCTCGGTCTGCTGCTCCTTCAGCTCGACGAGGCGGTTGGACGACTCCAGCTCGGCGCGGAAGCCTTCCTCGTTGCGTGCGGCGGCTTCCTGAAGCTGTTGCACCTTGGACAGAGCCTCGTCGGCTTTCCGTTGGGCATCTTCCAGGCGCGTGCGCAGCTGCTTCTCAGTGCGGCTCAGCGATTCGATGTTCGACTGTGTCTCTTCATTCTGGCGCTGGAGCTCGGCAATGCGGGCGGCCTTCTCCTTGCGGAACTTGAGCGACTCTTCGGCCTTGGTCTTCAGCTCGGTCTCGAACCACTGGTTGTTCTTTCGGGCGAACTCGAGCTCCTGCTGCAGCGACTGCTCGCGAAACTTGGCGCTGCTGACACCGGACTGCGCATTCTGGACAGATTGCTGGAGTGCGGTAATTTCTTGGCCCAGCTTGAGGTTCTTCTGGTGTTGGGCCTGCAACTCCTCGGCGAGCTCGGCGTTGGCTGACGTCTTGGACTCGAGAATAGACAGGGTGTCGCGGTTAGAAGCCTCCAGGGACGCGTTGCGGCTGGCGAGGCGCTCGATATCTGCCTGAGAATTGGCCCCGGATGACTTGAGAGCCTGAAGCTCGTTTTCGATGGCACGTCGCGCGTTCTCTGGAAGAGGAAAACATTAGATTCCGCAATGGCCCGAAATTACACCTATCCTGTGTTTTGGAATTTGTACACACCTTCGTCCTGGAGCTTTCGCCTGAGGTCTTCGACTTCCTTACGGCTGCCTTCGGCAGCAGCCTTGAAAGAGTCACTTCGAGCCTCGGAGCTGCGCACCACGCTTTCATACTCTATCTCGATCTTGAGCTTGTCGGCGTATAGGCTGTCAAGCTCGTGAGCCTTGGTCGCTACGGCGTCGAGGATACCCTGGATCAGATCAACGGTCGGCTCGGTCAGGGCGGTGGAGAGGCTCGTTTGGGGCACGCCGAGGTGCGAGGACAAGTAGCCCACGTCCACGGCTGCCGCAGCCATCATGAGAAATCCAAACAAATACTAAAGCAGAATATGAAAGTCCGGTGGGAAATAGGGGTGGGGTGAGAAAGAAAGAAAGGAGAGGCGGTTGGGAGCAATCAACAGAAAAAGCTGTCACGCCGCTGACCTTCCATTAAGAAGACGTCGCGTGCAGCAGTCCTCGACGGGGTGAAAGCAAATCAGATGAGACACAGAAGGTACAGTCGACAGCGGCGTTGATGAAGGTTGGCGATCGGATGTCGACGTGCCGTGGCGTAATTATTGGCGATGCTCTCTGGCCGTCGTAGTTTTTGATGCCTTTGTGTTTGTCCTTTTTTAGCTGTCACTGTTTCCAGTAGCTGAGAGGGAAGTGATGCTAGTGAAGGCGCAAATCTTTTGGCCAATGATAGCGCGTTATTACAATGGGTCTGTGACTGCAGCTTCCCGCTAGCGTTCTGGCGCTTACACAATTGGCAGGAACAACTCAAACTGAAGCAGATCGCGAAGGACGCAATCACGTGACATTTACAAACAGATCTTGCCTGCGATACCACTGCCATCATACTTCATGAACATTGACGTGGAAACCACCGGTGGGAGACGGCTCGGACAGCGCCCAAATTATTCCCTGCTCCAGCACGTCGTCCCAGTCCTGATGCAGCGCCAAGTTGCCGTAGCGCCGGTAGCTGTGAGGGACACCCTTGAAAAGATGGACATCGGTGGAAACACTAACAGGTTGTCAGTATGGAAAACCTGGGGTGTTCCAGAGGAAGCGCAGCAGTCCCGCGCAACGTACCCTTGCTCGACCAGCAGCTTTGCGTACAGAAGGCCCTCATCGCGCAGTGGATCGAAGCCGCAGATGCCGAAGACAGCGGGCGGTAAGCCGCGCACCTGGCTGGGATGAGCGAGTCCAGGATTGAGCATGATGTCGGAGGGGTCGGGGCGGTCGACTTGCAGCAGGTCTGTGAAGAGCCGGAGGGTGATGGACGGGATGCCGGGCGCCTCAGCGTTCTCGACGCGCGACGACACGGCCGGGCTGGCGAGGCGGGACTGTAGCACGCCGTAGCAGTCCTGGTGTACGAGAGCGGGGACCATGAGTACCTGGCCAGCGATGCGCGGCAGGCGGTGGCCGGCCACGTTGTCGCCCGGCAGTCGGCCGAGATGCTGTTCGAGGACGAGCGATGCGGCGAGATGGCCGCCAGCCGAGATGCCACCAACGACGACACGACGTGGATCGATGCCGAGGTCAGTGGCCCTGTCGTGTAGCCAGAGGAAGGCGTCCTGGCAGTCGAGCCAAGCTGTCGGATAGGGATGCTCTGGTGTGTGGCGGTAGTTGACGCTGAGAACGACGACGCCGGCGCCAACGGCAATCCGGGCAGCCGTGGCATCTTCGGTAGCCAGAGAGCCGTACATATAGCCGCCGCCATGCATGTAGAGAAAGATGGCCGGTCGAGGGTTACGCGGGACCGTCTTGGGCCAGTAGGAGCGCGCCCCGATGGTGCCAGAGCCGTCGCGGGTCGCAATGTGGTAGTCGGCTGTGTCGACGAGATTGGCCAGCGCCTGGAACTCGGTGGCAGTGATCTTCTCGCGCTCTCTGTTGATGGCATCCCGGTGTTCCGTTGCCGACTGGTGTTGCATCTGGGGCGGCAGCACGGCCTTAATGGCCTGCCATTCCTTGCTGGCACCCCCGTAGCAGGAGAAGTCGCTCATAGTGCAGAGAGTTTTTGCCAGGGAATGAATGGTATGAGAGATGTGAGGGGACTGGCGCAAGAGGAAGAATAATTAGATAAGCACTTCGGGGCGGATATTACGGAAGGTGGGAGCTGGTATTCGATTGGGCGACTCTGAGACAATGCAGTCTTACAGCAGGCTGTGGTGAGGTTGTGCTTCATTGTGCCGAAGACAGGTCAGAAATACGGGCTGCTGTTGAAGAAAAAGGGCGAGTTTGTTTACAGCTAACTAGTAAATTACAAAGACGTAGCCATTTCATGAAACTGTCAGACCCTTGCAAACCCAAAACTGAGATGGTATTGATTCGACACATGTTTGCATTGCCAGATTTTATCTGAATGATGTGTATGCAATATTGAACTCACGGTGTACCATCTTACAACTTAGCAGTGTGCGCCGTTCTCCGTATAGGCACTGAATCAAATCTACTTCACCAGTGACAAAACGGATGTCAAGTGGTAAGCAGGCAATTCGATTTGTCAATAGGTAATCATTACTAGCCGTAGTGCAGAGAGGCATATGGCAGAATTCGACAGGGCATGAGTGTAGCCCCTAATATTAGGCATAAAAGAGTCCATCCAATCCCTCTCTCCGACAGATTTCATCTCACCATTGAATCCAGTTTAAGAATAGACAACGTTTTCCGTCACAGCTCCTCTTCTCGCATCAAAGACAGCAATACCTTAATCAACCACTGTTTTCAAACCAAGGCCTGCTCTTTCAATGAAATTCTCATATCGCTGCCGTTGTGTTTGTTGCCAAGCTGTCCATCGAACCTAGGTAATATCCCCCAAGTTGTTGCTGTCATTCATCTGCCAGTGGCATGCCGAGTGGCTATCATCAAGAGTCTGTCGCAATTGGCGTCATCTTTGGAGAAATCGAAGAGGAGTTGTCGGACCGGGATCAAATACTCGTCGGAAGCGGCGGACTCGTCATGGGGCGAAAATAAGAAACGTCAGCTGTATGGATCAAAAACTGGCAGATGGGAACGATGAAGAAAATGCTATACCTGAGTTCCCAAGGTGTTGCCATTGGACAAAAAAGGAGAAACTGTGCCCTCAGGGGTCCCTCATCGGGCTCTGCCTCGATCATGGAGCCCGCTCGTTTGACGACGTGCAGGCTCAATCATCAGTTGGAAAAGAGGGAAAAGAAATCAAAAATTGTTGTCTCCGCGCCGGTATCAGAAAGGCCATAGGGGGGGCCAGTCCGATGTTCCAGCGCTGACAGTGTTCTGGCACTTTGGCAGTGCGAGAGCTTGGGTAGACGACCGTCATTGGCGCAAGCGCCTACGGCATCCAATCGTGCTAAGCACAGTTAGTTTGGGGAGAAAGGAGAGACGGAGAAATGAAAACCGGGGGAGACCTTTGCATTTATATCCTTCTCCCCGTTGACGTCGCTTTCTGACGAGGCAAGAGACATGGCGGTTGTTTCCTTGACTATCCCACCAGACCATCACACGATGTTGGCTATTGTGGGGAAGGAACAATGAAGTCTCTGGCTCTGTTTGGGGGTCATATATTTGGTTAGTTTTGGAGAAGGGAGGGGCGATCCAAGCTCTGGCTTCGTCGATACATGATGAAAGCAGCGTCTTCTTACAAGAGGAAAAGGGTCAGAAAGTCTATGACTGGTTGACCTTATTTCACGGAAGATAGCCATATCTGATATCATAAGTCACAAAGCAAGACGGTTTGGATCGTAGGTTTTTGAGACCGTGACCGAAGGCTGCGAGTAACGCCGACCCATTACTTTTCTTGGTCCTGTGGTGGCATAGGTAACGTGTCGCCCGATTGGGAAAGCAACTGTCACGAATTCGGTAAGTTGATGTCGACACCCGATTTGCGTTCTGCTAGCGATGCTGTACTCCTCTCTCTATTGTTGTGTCCACGTCCAAACAAACAGGAAGCGCGACCGTTGATGGTGTCCGTCTAATGGGAAAGCGGGCTTACGACAACGGCAAGTAGGAAACGGACATCGGCTGTTAACAGCCCTCAGATAAGTCCCCTTTTCTGTGGTTTTGATGTTGTGGCTCTTTCGGGAAAGATAGCACTATGATTGCAATAAGCAGGTGTCAACGCGAGCAGTTCGCTGTTTCTATCGAGGTGCCTGTTCCTATCAGGGAAGTTATTATCAAGCACATGACAGCCGGTTGCAAAATGATGATATGCCAGCTTTGTTACGATTGCTGTTTACAAATACGGGACAATGAGAATTGCTTTCCTAAGGATCAGCTTTGTGGAAAGAAAATTCCGCAAGAACGGTAAGTGGACGTCACCTGTACTTCCCCTTGTTGCTCTCTTGATACATCGGACACCAGTTTGGTGAACACGAAAAGGGGCAGCCAATGATCCGTACAGAGTGCTCTTACTACAAAGATAAATATATGATATCTCCATCTTTTAAGTGTACGAGCGACGAGCGCACCACAATGAATATAATTGCACCCCAGTGGCCGGCTACTGCCAGCCGTGATCTTTTCAGTCGAGATCAACTCCCCTATAGCGAAGTCTGTTTCTGCGCAAAGAAAAAAGGAGCAGGCGCGATGTATATTACATTGGGATAGCTGTTACTTGGATCAGCCGATAGTCTACGTTTGACGCTTGCCGGCGGGTTCTCAAAGGAGAATGGCTAAATCGAGAAGTTGTTCTTCTAATGGAATGGTTGCTGTTGCTGGCTATCTTTTTACCCGGATGGCTGCTGCTTCTGGACAGCGTCTCCTAGGACTTTCCTGAAGTGCTTGCTCATCAGCACCATGGACACGATACTATTGATAGTGATGCTATAGTTCTTGTTTTAGATTCTTTGATTGATTCCAGGTCCAGTTGGGTCTTATACTCAGCGAGCCCAAAACATATTCCCATGGTTGTGTAGAAAGAATCTCGTCCTTGATCAGTGCCAGGTCGGGGCCATGGGAAATTGTCGTTATATTAGAGGTCAATTTATCCACCTTTGTATCTTCTGAGACTTGCATCTTGCATCGAAGAAATGTCATTGTGCCACGAAGTTATGCAAGTCGAACAAGAAACGTAAATACAAACGCCTAGCTAAATGAACAGTCTCTTTCGCTCTCCCTTCTTTTTCGCCCATCGCATAGCACATGCACAGGCACATGTGCATATCTGACTGCACACGCAGCTGCCCGTTGTCGTGATTGCTGTGCAGCTCAGCATACGACTGCGTCACCGGTTCTGACTGCCAACAAATAGCGGTTCTTTATTGCAAGGTCATGGCATCAATCACGCTGCCGGAAATCTATGTGGTCTGAAGTTTCCTAGATCTTCTCGGTTATTTTTGTGTTTTGTGTGTGTTTTTCTTGTTTCTCCTGTGCATCGACGTTGAGCCAAAAGTACTTTGTTCATTGCCACGCTTCGATCCTGCTCGGCAGGAAATGAGGCCGTGTCTTGGCTCTGCCGACATCATGCAGTGTCTCTCCGGCCATGAGAAAGTCAAGGTCCTGCGCTCTTCTTATTCACACCCCCCCCTTGATCGCATAGCGTTGCAGACGGCCAGTCAGCTTCACCAAAAATTATTGGCCGCGACTTGCAAGTACCTCCACTCGGATTCCTCTGCTTCGTTCTCTCGTGCCTCAGCCTCTGGTTCATCCTCGACCGTAGGTTGCCATCGAACGGGCGGCTGGCGAGGTGGTATCTCGCCGAGCTCTGGTGAGGGCATGGGGGCGGGGAATGGGGACGGGTGGCGGTAGGTGTTTCTAGGTGAGCCTGTCTGAGTGCCGAAATCACGATAGTCGGAGCCGAAGCCCAGCCTTTCGAAGGCAGAGGAGCCGTCGGTCTGGGTGAGAATACCGCGCCGTTGAAGACGGATCCGGAGAAGCTCCCGTCTCGTCTCCAGGTATTCCTTCTGCTCCAGCTCTGTCAGTTCCTCCTCAGTGAGCGAGTTCTGGGTCAGCTGCTGATGGTGGTACTGGTGTTGCCAGCCATGATGATCGTGCCAAGGCTGATGCAGCTCGCTGCCAAGGTCGTGGTTTCGGTAGTGGTGGCGCCGCAAAACACAGTCGTGGAGGTGGTCTCCCAGATGCCGGTGCGGACAGCCACAGTCATGCAGCAAGAGATCCTCGTCATGACGATGCAGCCGTTCTTCCTGGTGCCGGCGGTGTCGTCGCTCCCAGCCAAACACCGTGCGCAATCCCCACGCCCAGTTGAAACGAATGAGGAGCCGCCACAGCCACCGGACCAATGTTCTCACTGTTGCCAGGTCGATGCCGAGTATGCCGGACCGGGCTGCAGTGGCAATGCCCACGTGGCCGATGCCGTAGAGCACGATGCCGACGGACGTGGTGAGCACCAGCGTGACTCCAAAGATAAAGGGCGCGATAGTATCGACGATCCAGTCGACGGTGGGCCGTGTTTTATCGCGCAACTTCCTGACTGCTCCCCGGAGCCACGCACGCAGACGGGCGCGATCACCGAGGACACAGCCAATAGCACGCAACGGGGGAGAAGTGCAGATGACACATAGACACACCAAGAGTGGCACGCCCACAAAAACGGTCATCCTGGGCCAGACACAACGGACCAGACTGTCCCTGGCGCTGTCAGACACACTGTTCTAGAGCGGACGCAGCGAGGAGGACGCGTATAGCTGTGCTGGTGGCCAGCTGAAGCGCAGGCGGTAGCCCTGGTCGAACGCCATGCTGACGACATGTTGGGCAAAGCTGACCAGTGGCGAGGCGGCATCCATGTGCGGGATCGTGTTGCTGGTGGTTGTCGATAGAGCCGTGGATGTCTTTCCGGCCACGAGTGAGAGCATCATGCCGCTTAGGAAAGCGTAGTTGGCAACAACTGCGGCCATCGTGGTTGTCCCCTCGCACATGCTATAGGTTAGAAGCCTGCACAGGGTGTTTCGAAACAGCCGGTCACCATCGACAGGGAAGAAGGTACCGACGGCCAGCGGCATCAATAGAACGACCAGACATGTAAATGAAAGTGCGACAAGCGGGAGCAGAAGGCCGGGTGGCATTCTAAAGAAGTATATGGCTGCTGAGAACAAGAAGGGTAGGAAGGGGATAAGGAGAACAGTGATAAGAATATTGAAAAAATAATTTGTAGGAAGAGGATATGGTAAGAAATGGAAGGAATTGTTGAAGTGAATGTATCTTCTATGTAGTACTTTGTAGGCAAGATATATTTATTAAATAAAAAATATATTGTTTTAAACTTAAGCTACTCCGTAAAGTTCAAGTAAAGGCTAGTGGCAGTCTATGCTAATAAATAATTTTGGTTAGTATGCTAGCGCATCTGTCTGCCACTTGTTTAAAGTACTCCGTACGGAGTAATCTGTACTATATCGCTGTTACTACGGAGTATAACTGGTATAGCGCCAGCAACAGCATGCGCCAGCGACAGTGCTATTATTGCGCTTGCTGCAGTATTACGCTGGTGATTATGCTACTATTACACAGTAAGGAGTACACTGGCGCAGCGCCAGCAGTACCTGTTATGTAGACTTTAGGCGGTAAGCCTAGACGCCCCACCCAATGTACTGTTTTTTTTATCTGAATAATTATCGTACCGATAGCAAAAAGTTTATCGTACAATTAGCAACTTTTTTTTTCTTAGGATTTAGAAATTATCACGACTTCTTTTGTTATTATAAATTCAATGATGTTTACAGCTTCAGTCACTTGAAAAGCTGTATTCTGTTTATATAATCACCAAAAAAGGCCCGTTTATTGCGCAAAAACCATTCCGATTTTTTTCATCGCTCGCGAATGCAAGTGGGCCTCTTGCCTGTACTTATATGCGGTTATCAACCGACGTCGACGAAATGGCGCCTCTAGACTCGTCCAAGGCGAACAAGAAGAGGAAGTACGGAAAGGCGGCAGGCGGCCAGCCGCAGAAGCGTCGCAAGGGCAACTTTGCCAAGGCCAAGCAGCCAGCTGCACCTCTGCCGCGACGTGTCGTGGCCCCAGGCGAAATACAATGGAAGGCCGTGGCGGTTCCGGAGATGTTCGCCGATGCAGAGGGCTTCTTTGGGCTGGAGGAGGTTGAGGGGGTGGATGTCGTGCGATCCGGCAACACATTTCAGTTTGTCCGTTCTGCTCTCTTCCTGGCTGTCAATCGCTATATGGGCTACTGACACGCTTCATGCAAACAGGTAACAGCTGGTCCTCCGCCCGCTGCCGACGATGATGAGTTTGAGGGGTTCGGTGACGACAGCTCCGTCAAGCCTACCGGCGAGTCGAATGCGACCCAGACAGACGAGACAGACGAGACTGCCAAGGATGCCAAGCTGGCCAAGAAGACGAAGCCAAAGACGACCGACAAAGCCAATGGGAAGAAGAAGGGCAAGGCCGCGGCTGTCACTGCTGATCCAGAGCTGGTTGGGGGTGGATTTGCGATGCTGGCCGACATGGACGACGATGCAGAGGACGCGACGACGGACGTGTCGGCCTGGGTGCCGCTGGACATTGTGCCCCCATTGCTGTCATGTCTTGCACGGCTCAAGTTCTCGAAGCCGTCGGCGATTCAGGCGGCAACAATTCCGGAGATCCTGGCTGGCCACGATGTCATTGGCAAGGCCTCGACTGGATCCGGCAAGACGCTGGCGTTTGCCATCCCCATCGTGCAGCGCTGGCTGGCCGAAGGCGGTGCAGAGCGGCGGCAGAAGAAGACGGAGGCAGACGGCGACAAGGACGCAGACGGAGACACGCCCAAGAAGCGCCCTGTATGCCGTCCGACAGCGCTGGTGCTCTCGCCGACAGGCGAGCTGGCCCACCAGATCACCACCCATATCAAAGAGCTGTGCGCGGCCCTGCCGTCGTACCCGTACGTGTGTGCTGTCACCGGCGGCCTGTCAGTGTTTAAGCAGCAGCGACAACTGGAAAAGGCCGACATTGTCGTCGGCACGCCAGGTCGGCTGTGGGAGGTACTGAGCACGAGCAAGCCGCTGCTGGAGGCGTTCCGGTCCATTGACTTTCTCGTCGTCGACGAGGCCGACCGGTTGCTGTCCGACGGCCATTTCAAGGAGGCCGAAGAGATTCTCGAGGCACTCGACAGAACGGAGGTCGACGAGGGCGAGGGAAAGGGCGAGGACGAGGCCGAGGATGAGAACGAGGCCGAACTAGAGACTCCCCCACCAAAACCCAGACAGACACTTGTCTTCTCAGCCACCTTCAACCGGGGGCTGCAGCAAAAGCTGGCCGGCAAGAGCCGGTACGACCTGATGGACCAGAAGCAGTCGATGGACCACCTGATGAAGCGGCTCAACTTTCGCGAGGAAAGCCCGCAATTCATCGACGTCAACCCAGTCTCGCAGATGGCCGAACGGCTGCGGGAGGGCATGGTCGAGTGCGGTGCCATGGAAAAGGACCTGTATCTGTACTCGCTGCTGCTGCTGCAGCCGACACGCCGGACGCTCGTGTTTGCCAACTCTATCAGCACCGTTCGCCGCCTGGCGCCGCTGCTGCAGAACCTAAACCTGCCGGCCATTGCGCTACATTCGCAAATGCCCCAGAAGGCTCGGCTGCGGGCTGTCGAGCGCTTCAAGGCTGCCCAGGGTAGCCGCGGTGCCGTGCTGATTGCCACCGACGTGGCCGCTCGCGGTCTTGATATTCCCGGCATCGACGTCGTCATCCACTACCACGTGCCACGCTCAGCCGACAACTATGTTCATCGGTCCGGCCGCACGGCGCGTGCTGCCAGTGCTGGTCTGAGTATTCTGCTGTGTGGGCCGGAAGAGGTGGTGCCGACACGGCGTTTGGTAGCCAAGATCCACGCGGCGGTATCGTTGCGGGAGGAGGGAGAGGGAGGGGAAGAAGAGATCAAGGAGGAAGAGGAAGAAGAAGAGAAAGAAGAGGAAGAAGGGGTGAAGAAGGGAAAGGGAAAGAACAAGAAAAACAAGGGAAAGAAGGACAAGAAGGACGAAAAAGACAAGAAGGATGCAAAAGACAAGGATGGCAGAGGCAAAAAGGACGGCACAGACATGACAGCCTCCAAATCCCGGCCAAACCACAACAGCAAGAATTTGAGCTTCTACATCCGAACCATCGATCTGGACCGGCGGCTGGTCTCACGTCTGAAGGAGCGGCTGGTGCTGGCCAAGAAGCTAGCCGACGCCGCGCTAGCCAGGGAAAAGGGCAGCAAGGATGACAGCTGGATGCGCGAAGCGGCCGAAGAGCTCGGCGTAGAATACGACTCGCAGGACGACGATCTCGAGCGCGCCAGCTCGTGGAGCGGCCGTGGCAGTGGTCGCCGCACCCGCGAGAAGGAGTCACGCGACCTCTCCAAGGCCGATCTGGGCGCCCTGCGCGCCGAGCTGCGCGACCTGCTCGCCCGCCGCGTCAATGTCGGCGTCAGCGAGCGCTACCTCACCTCAGGCGGCATCAACGTCGACGAGATGCTGCGCTCGTCCCAGGGCGACTTTCTCGGTCGCACCGACAGCCTTGGCATGGAGGCGTAGGGAGCGGGACGTGGTGATGGGTGTGTGTGTTGTGGATCCTTGTAGCAGCAGACGAGGTTGAAGCCGAAAAGACATTCCAAGCATCCAGATTAAGTAAAGCCACAATACTTTTAGACAGTAGTCGTTAAGACAGCGCATTCACATCTTTATTCAAAAGGAGATCTCGTCCCGATGCTGCCCTCTATCGCTCCTTCCTGTCCAAGCACCTGTCATGTCCAGCAACAGAACATGTCTTACTTGCTGCATTCACTTCAACGTGACAATAGTACTCCGTACTCCGTACACAACACAGGCGCACACTTTTTACCCCATTTAGCCTCCTGCTCCTTCGCACTGCAATATCATCTTTATGAACCCAGCGCCTTAGCTGTATTCTTACGCTTGACAGCTTTCTTTGGTCTCTAATTAGTAAGATACCAAGCTGATTGTCATAATAAGGCGATGCTCCAAGAAACTCTTTCTCGACGCAGGATCCTCGACGCAGGATAAACGAGAAGGCAGTTACAATCGTGCGACACAATTAGCTGTTTTGGGAAGAGCAGATAAAACAAGATGGCAAATTAACCGAGAGAACGAATACCTACCACCGCGACATATACTTGAAAGTTATCAATACGCCAAAATGCCAAGAAGCTTGGGAGACTAGCGACCATTTCCACACAACGTACAGTATGAACTGTTCTGACTTCGCTTTATGCATTTGTAAAGTGGTGGTACCATGCAATTTAAATTGCGTAAAGCGAGCCCCTCAGAGCTCGACGATTAGCAGAGCACTTGCCCGAGCTACAATAGAAGTCACAAAGATCATGGAAGCTAGAGAAACAGAGCGCATGCGCCTTGCAGTGTCATGCCGTGCTGAGAGCGAGACAAGCATACTTGGGATTGCTGCTGAAGCGTTATAAGTGTGCTCATGGAAAGTGGGAAGACTGCAGATTGTGCAGGTATCGCGCAAGAGCCGATATTTTGCTGAGAAGCGCAGCTGGCATGCAGTAACGGCTGGAAATACGGCGATTGCTATTTGTACGGGTATTGTCGAATGGACCAAGCCCAAATGGGAGGGGCGTGCACGATTATGCCGTGTGATGGAAGAATACATGTACTGTGTGGCTCATGGGGCTATTTGGTACGTGTTTTGATGCACGTCGGCATACCTCGGAAGTACCTAACCATAGCAATACCACACGCTCACTGGGCACCCATAATTTGACAATAACAACGGGGGATAGCGTCATTTAAATTTATGTAGATTCACAGCCAGTCTCTAACGCGAGCAAGTATATTTTCCTTGCATCCTCTTCTTCGACTCAGTGTTTGTACAGATGCGGATGCGCTCCTATCGAAGCAACATGTGGCAGGAAAAGGCGGGACCAGCACCGGCCTCTTCGAGCCAACAACTCCAGCTCGTCCCTCTTTAGTTGATAAAGTTGACGCAGAAAAAGTGCAGTATCAGGCTGCACACAATGTAGTCCGCAAAAGCTCTGTTCGAGGGTCAGCGTTGCAATCGACCGTCTTTCCGTCACCAAGCAGTCCTACCTCTCCGGAGACACAGACGGGAAGTCCGTCTTGTTGGCCTCTGTTGTCTGGATGCGCAGCGACACTGTCGGTCTGTCAGTAAGGTACTGGATCAAGGAAAAACGCAGGCCGCTTCGTACCGGTCAGGACAAACTGGCCGACCGTCGAGGAGAAGCCGGACAGGAAGGCGTTAAAGGGCTGTGAGAACGCCGGTTAGCACAGTCTTCTTCCGGCAGCCGTGTCGCATCTCCCGCTCCGTCGCCGCCGACATACGTAGTTGCCCGCCAGGACGCAGTACACAAACTGCAGCCCGCCCACGACGACGAGGAAGGCCAAAAAGGCATCCAGCATTTTCGTCCGCTGCGGCGTGTCCTTTTGGTAGTAGTTGACCACATTGGCGAGCACGGCATTCCACGTCGTCGCTGAAGACGCTGACGACGGCCCGCTGTTAGCCTTGGGCGTTGTCGTGGTGGCCGTACTCGTCGTAGTTGTCGTCGTCGTCGTTGTCGATGTCAAAGTCGTGGCTGCGCTGGTCGTCGCCGTTGTCGAACCGGCCGCTGCCGTCGTTGCGCTGCGTCGTGCCATTGTAATGTTGCGTCGAGTCGATCGATCGAGCGGAGACAGAGTCGCTGTTGACAAAACTAAATGACGGGACCGGTGTTCTCCTGCTGGCGCTTTTCCTTGTGGACACTTGTTTCTTGCAGCCAGGCCGCCGAAGCTCACAAGAGCTCTCGTTTCGGCATTAGCAGCCAAGGACACGCAGCCTTCTTCGCCGCAGCTCGTTTATGTGGGGCTTTCGCTTGCTTATGTAATATACACTCTCTTGCATCTTCACCCTCTGTTTTCCTGGTTGGTTATATATTAGATACATGCCTGTGTATCCTATCAAATAACTTCAGAAACGGAAAGGCGCTCTAAACGCGCGAACTCAATTTCGCACAAAGCCCTCATTAACATATTTACCTCCTTTTGTACTCCGTATATATCCCACAATGGCTGCCATTCTTCTAATTTACAAATATGTAACATATGTCTTGCAATAATCTCAATCGTGACAGAACGTCTTTACCGTCGTTATTGTTGGTAATGCCATGTCGGCTAAGTTCGGCGAGGGCTACAATTGTCCAGAGTAACACAGAATTAAAATCTTCCATAGCAATTTACAAATTAGTTACCACGTCTCAAATAAATCGGCAGTGAGAAGGTGCCACTGCCGTTTGCCGTCTTGTCTCCTTCCTTTCATCAGAAATCGGATCGTTAAGAACATATGTTGCCCTTTCCTTTCTCACAACTTCTTCAGCCTGCCCTGAACACAATCCAACACACTTCGGTCTACACCGGGCCATATATCTTGAGCTTTGCTTCATCTTTCCAAAAATCTTATCTTTCCGCTTCGCATCGCTTCCGGAAGCCTGCCTCGAAATGCGTGCCTCTATCCTGCTCTCGGCCATCTTCATTGCTATTGCTGCGGCTCGGGTTGCAATTTCAGAAGATGGCCCAATAACGGGTGTACGTGCTATACTCCCCGCAAAGGATATTGCTTTATTTTCTATACCATCGTATGTTGTGCTCTAGACTGACAGAAGCCGTAATAGGCTCTAGGAAGCGCTACGGTGACCGCAGACAACCCGCCCGGCCAAGTTTATATCGCCACTCTCCCAAAAACAGCCTTTGACAAGGCAGCATACCCGTCTGGAGGCAATGTGGAGGGTCGCATCTCTGCCGAAGCACATCCTGGTGGCATTGGCGTTGACTTTGATATCAACTTCTGGAATCTACCCGAGACTGATGGTCCTTTCAGTATGTCTAAGCGTTGTCTATGCTTCTATTGTAAGAGAGAGTCTGCTAACCTGCCACAGCCTATCACATTCATGAGTTTCCTGTGCCAATCGACGGCAATTGCATCGCTACTGGAGGCCATCTCGATCCTTTTAGGCGAGAGGATGATCCCGCTTGCGACAGCAAGCTCAAGCAGACTTGCGAGGTCGGTGATCTCAGTGGCAAGCATAGTAAAATCACTTCAGACCCGTTCATCGCTACCTACCGTGACCTTTACACATCCACCAAGCCTGGAAACCCGGCTTTCTTTGGCAACCTCAGCTTCGTGCTGCACTACTCCAACAAGACACGCATCACTTGTGCCAACTTCATTCTGCAAAATGCATCCTACACATCCACCGACAATGGCACGGCAACCGCTACGCCGTACCCTTCGTCCAGCTCGGTATCGCCAAAGGTTCCCATGCCTTCTGGCACAGCATCGGGGGCAGCTAGTTCGTTTCCGAAAGCGGCCATCGTTGGCGTCGGCGTGGCCGCCGTTTTGGAGGCAGCTATGATACTGTTTATGTAATCTGATCGTTGCTCTGGGAACCAAATTGGGCATGGCTAGTTGGACTCCAAAAAAGCATGGTAGTAGTAGAGCTCTTTGAAAATAGTGGTGGCTTCCCTACAGCTTCATACCACCCCTTGAGTACTACTACCTCTTCATGAGCAAGTAAACAATATATCTTTGGCGAGCCTGCCATTCTGGTCCTGAGCTAAAGAGTGCATGCTATTAACCTTAAATGGTAACAGATCTGCCTCATAGGTGGTAGCCGAGGGTCAAGTCGTCGAACAGACGGCACATACGAACTACGGCTCAGGGTGGCTGAACTGCAGTTAGTATTAGGAACAGTAAGCTGGAGCTATCTACAAATGCATGCAATACCAGTTTACCATGGCCTCGGGAAGATCCATACAAATATTTGGGATAATCAGACAAAGGCTCGAGAAAGCGACGTAATAGCGCTCTGTAATGCAATCAATGAGTAGTCGAGTTAAGGAGTCCCTGTCATCCAGTCGCAGATATACAACAGACTCTGCCTTCACTTGACCTCAGAATAGCTTCGGATCGGCGGGGAGCTAACTCGCAGGCCGTGTTACTCCCCCAGCTATCCACGGGAGAACATACAGACATTTCTTCCAATCCGCCTAAAGCACTCTGTAAGCCTCGCACACCAGCGACAGTCTGTATCGGGAGCATGATTAAATCGGCTTGTTCACATCGCCAGTGCCCAGCGAGGCAGTTGAAGAAGAGGATCCTGAGAACAGCTCTTTGATCCATTTAAATGCACGCTTGTGCTCAAAGTATGATCTGTGCATGCCTCGTCAGGACGCAACTGGTAAGTGGAACGATGAGCATCCACACCAGCAACGTCCAGCTTCCTGTCTCGTCAGGACGCTTGCATGTCCCAGTTTTGTCCCCTTTATCATGCTCGCAGTCCAGTCTTCAGGCATCGGTTGTTTTCGCTGTTTTCGTCTGCGCAAGCGTAGTAGTGCGCGGCCTTGATTACTGTCGCGAGTCGTTGCACTTGCTTCTGCTGCTGTCAGGTTATGGGAGGGATCGGCATTATCAAACCCGACGTGCTTTAGGCTGCGGGATTTGGGCAGCTCCGAGCTCCGAGCTAAAATAGCGAACCAAAGTAAAGCCAATATAGATACATTGTAGCTGCACGCAGCGCCAGTACTCGTAGGCAGAAGAGACAAATAGCAATTATAGCCCCTGCGCAGATGCGCTGGCTGGCCGTGGGGGCTTCCTAGTGCGGTATGCTCTTCGAATTACGGAGTAGAGAGACCTGCTCCTTCCCCACCTATACTGGCTAGCACCAGGAAGCTCCTTCTCGTTTCATCGCATAGGTGAGCTCGTAAGTTGCTCTCAAAAGGTGGGTGGGGGAGGGGGGGCAAGTACCCACGTCGCGCTTCCTCTATTCGACAGCGACTTGTTCACCGGTCAGGCAAGAACGAGCTACTCTGCCCCTCTATCCATTGGCGGTGTCACGCTTCAGGAAGGCTGCCTCCCTCCTACTTACGACATACATCTTACAAATCGTTGACAAGACATACCGCGTGTTCCGCCAAGAAGCAAGTAAATACGACCTGTCGATGTCGACGTGCTCTCTCTCCCCTAATGCTTATGCACAACAAGGACCATCCTGGTCGAAGTCACATTCTGGTCTCCTGTTCTGGTCTTTTTGCATGACTTGCTCCTTTAACGTCGCCGAGCAATGACACCGTCGGCTCCGAATCTGCTTGGCCCACTGAGATTGTCGCTGACAAATCCTCTTATTCAGCGTTCCCTAGCTGCCCAAGCTCTGGACCGCCTACAAGGTTGCAGGGGCCGGTCGGGATGGCAGCGGCTAGACCTACCTTGGTTCGCCTCTAGCACTCGTACCGCCAAAAGCCCCACGCTCGAAGCTCCATAAGCACCCTCGAGAGCCCAGAAGCAATTGCGGAGAGTACGGGGACGGATGAGCAGCAGGACAAACGTGGGGAAGCCGAAGCTGTAAGGGAAAAGATCCCACGAAGAACGATCCGCCGCATTCTCTAAACTGCCCGTGACTCTGCGGCGTGGCAGTGGATATGAAAAGGGGCCACATACTCCCCCAGATACGCGCTCTGACACTGTGTGCAAATCGCCGAGATTCGATATCATCGGCTTTCGGGAGTGTTGCGAGGGCAGGGCTTCCTTCGCAAGCAACGATCCTTCAACACGCCGCCACTCCTAGATTTTCTATTTCGACTGAGGGGCCCTCGGCAAAAATGCCGAGAGTCGGCCGGGATTTTTCAGGCTCTGCGGCTCTACTTGTGCTCGCGATGATTTCGGCAGCCTGACCGCTGTTTCGCGATATAGCCGCCTGCTGCTCTCAAACGCTAGCTTGCCTATCATGTGCATTGCGTCAGCTGTGCTGGAGATACTGTGGGTTTGTGCTTTTATCATGCCGTACGGAGTGACTTGATTCGGCCGTCCAAGTTGCCCGGCCATAGCGGCGGAAAATCCTTCCTGTCTGGTTGCTGAAAATTGCAGTCACTTCTTAGCAAAGAAGGCACATCGTGGCGACAAGGCGGGATCAGAGCTTCTGGAAGATGCTGCCAATGGGTCAACGCGCAGGCTCGAGACCCACCACATGAGGGATATTACTTTGTATGAGCGCAATACGGACACTTAACAATCTTGTCGTTACGTGGCAGGTGCTTAATGGTGCCTCTGCCAGTATACCAAGAGAGCAAAAACATTCGGCGTACGGTTGCTCCAACTTCTTCTTGTTCAAGCCCATCAGCAGCTGTGTCTGTCTGTACGAGCTGTTTGTGATGGTGGAGGCCAACGAGGATGCGAGCGGGAACACCACCATTTCCTCAGCACTACCTCGATATACATAGGACTTGACAGCCGATACGGCGAGCCTTGCCAACTTACGAGTAGTGGCTGCACATGAGCCGCGTTGCATACGCTGAGATAAGCAGTGCTGCCGGAACAGTCCGTCCTTGTCAGCGGCACGACTTGCGTCGGCATTTCTCGAAACAGGGAAGCAAGACGTGGAGGATACCTCGCCAAAGAGTTGCATCCGGAACATAAGATGACGGCTGCTTGCCGAGGCCAACAAATAAGTGATGACTGGGCAGCAACAACTGGCACACACACCTGCACACCGAGGTGTGCACCATTGTACACACACAGCGACGTCACACTCGCTCACTAGCCTTCCGCAGCTGGCACATGCAAGCTTGGAAAAGGTGCGGAGATGAAGCAGCACGACACAAAGAACACGTTACTTTGTTGCACAGACATTCGTGTCGATCGAGCTAGGTAACAGTCATGAAATGCGACTTGTATCGACACCTCGTACCTGTCTTGTCCCTTGAGCAAGATACGGGCAAGAGGACAGGCTAGACCGCTCCGGCATCCAAATGAAAATCACGCACGAGCGAAAAGCAGCGCTTCGTCGGTCGGTTTTTGCCGATGTGTGTCGGTCACATTCGTGTGCCACTGATCGGCGGCATATTTGCTCGCACTCGGCGCAAGGAGAGCGAGGCCGGTGCGGCAGCTTGTCCGGAAAGGTCCACGATACTGCATGCAACATGCATTTATCCCAGACAGCCGGGGTGGCGTGCGTGTGTGCGCTGTGTGAACGGGTAAATAGGGAAAAAGGGAAAAGCACGGTGGCAGCATCCATCGCTGAAGACGTGTTGCAGTGGATCTCGTTGACCCACCTGTATGTACTCGTAATGTTATGTAAGATATGTAAGATATTACGGGCAGTGCGCTTTGTATATTATATTACATGCGGCACATCACGCTTGAAACGTCTGTTCCGATAGTGCCCGAAGGTCCGGTTAAAGACGCCCATTTTCCTTATTTTTCCCCGTTGCCTCTCGCCTGTGACTTTTCGTCCTTTTTGAGCGTACCCTGCGCATCACAAGAGCGCAATCCTTTAGTGGGCAGGCTTCTATGTAGGCTCCCCCACTTGTTAGCTACAGCCTTTTTTCCACTTGGGCTGGTGGTGCACTATTTCGATCGCTGCCAACCGCGGGTCTTCTGGCGGCCGGAACCGATGCCGGGCGTTTGTCGATTCTCTGGGGTAAGGCGGCACAGGGGTAAACTGTCGCAACAGGGAAAGGGCCGAGCAAGAACAGTGACCCACGACTGCCCTAGCGAGCGAACCACTATTATTTCGCAACAGAAACAGACTTGGGCGGGGGGTTGCCCTGTAATCCCCCGTCTTAATCTGCTGTCTATCTATCGTCGCCACACCTCTCTTTTTCTCCAGTCTCTCCGCCACGGTCCCCCTCCTCGTAGGGCCCGTGTCGGATATACGAGCAGCGAGGTGGGACCGAATTGATTGATCAGAAAGTATGAAATATAGTATCTTACGTAGGCCGCAAGACGCGCAACTCCCATGCAGAGCGCCTGATCTACACATAGGATCTAGGCCTTCTTCCCACTTTTTAATGATTCCTTGTCAGTATTTCCGGCAAGTGAACCTCAGCTGTTATTAAGGTCCATTTATTGCGAGGATATGGCAGGCCCCGGGGCAGAGTGTGTATTACCCCTGACTAGTGAAATGGGTACATGCTACTATGTACGTACGGTAGGACAGCAGCTGTAGAGAGGACCTGTCAAAGCATGTACTCCGTACTATGTAAGATGCGATACACTACAGGGCGTTTTACCATCGTACTGGATCCCCACTGCACATGCAAGCCCACGCAATACAAGTGAAGGATGCCGACGGCAAGTCTTGTGCAAGACACATGCGCGACACAAGTCCAGATGGCCTGCATTTCCCGAATTTACCCCAGCAAAGCGAGTGACAGCAGGCTCGGCGAGCCTGCAGAGCAGCTTCCTGTCTCTCAGCCGGTCCTCCCGAAAACTGCCGAGGACCCCTTCCCTCTCTTGCATCTTACGTGCCTAAAGCTTGGCAAGTGGCCAATCAGGCAGCATTGCTGGATGTACGATGGGATACAGAGAGCACGAGAGTGGCCAGCTGGCACGGCGACGATGTCAGAAACCATGTTGGCAGGGTACAAATGGCT